TCTTCAAGTGTGTGTATATAGTTGTACTTAATAGTCCCAGCGTCATTAGAAACAAAGAAAGGAATATGCATAATATGCACACGATGCGTACTATTGTCTACAACTTGCACATGGTAGTGATGGCAATAAGATAGTTCTATACTTTCTTTTCCCATATAACTATATGTTATTTTTTTGTTTTCTATTCTATCTAATATTCTTTTATTCGAAGATTTATCAATATAGTCAAATGTCAACATGCATCTTTTGTAATTTGGTATTATAACAACATTTTTTCCTTGGTATAGAGTTACATTGTTTTGTGGCATTTTTAAGTACTTTCTCATGGCATGATATCTTAGACTGGCACTCTCCAGATTATTATTTATATGATAATCAGTGTCTATTTCATATAAATATAAAGAATATTTATAGAAATCAGCAAATGTTTTGTACACAATCCTATATATATTAATTTCACTATGTATGGGCGATAAATATAGATTTTTTATAATAATTTGTATTTTTTTAAAGGATGCATCCATTATTTCTGCATTTTTATGAATAATTCCGTGTAAGTATTCTATAATACAAAAAAGGCTAGACTGATATATATCTGCTTCATTGAGATTCGTATAAAGAATTCTATTTTTTACTCGACTAATCTCTTCATATTTCATATAAAATAGATCTTCATATATCTCAGGAATGCATAAAATCAACAGCAGCTGTCTTTTTAGCTGTAGGTCATCTAAATTTTTGTTTATATTACGAATAAACCGCTGGGTCTTCTGATTTGTACTAGATAAAAGCATACTTTCTATATGCCACAAAAGATTTATGTCTCTTTTACTGTATATGTCACCAAGGGAAATTTTATAGTTTTTAAATTTCACTATTTTGTTGTTTTCGGAATACCTTATAGGTGTATTATAATAAGAACTACAATTCTTAATCAAATAATTATTTAAATTCCGAAACATATTATAGTAGTAGGAGATCTTATAACCTTTAAATATAGAATTCATTTTATATAAATTGCGTGATAGTTCTTTAATCACAGCTAGCTTTGTTTTTATATTTTTTTCTTTAATAGTAGGCAGGCATGCCCATAAATTTTTATTCTTTTTAGCTTTAATGATTATATGATTTGCCAAATCTGAAATTTCCTTTTTAGTGAAAATAATATCTATATCCTGGTCAAAAAATGATGGAACAATACACTGCATGTCTTTGTTATGATTTTTCACTGACAGTTTATAAGTGTGCAGTTCTTCTAAGAACTTCTTATACTCATCAGAGTCTCTAAACACATGTATTTTAGAAGGCGTACTAGCCAACTTTCTTTGATGTATATTTTTTATAGGCTTGACAATTTTTCTTTTTCTACTATTATAGGGAGCCGCTAGAATGCTTTTTATACTACGAGTATTAGTATTATGAAACTCTTGATGTTCGGTTATACTATTGCTAGTGGCTTTATTCTTACTTAATTGAGATTCTGCATATGATGTAGCATTGGAGTATGCACTTGTGCTCTGTCGATTAATTTTTTTAAAACTTAATATTTCAATTTTTTCCGCTGCTGTTAGATTATTTAATTGCTCTTCGAATATTAAATACTTATTCAAATCTGATTCTTTCGTGCTGTTTCTATTTGGGGCCACATCTAAATCAAACCCAGAAGAATTTTCATTTGATGTACAAATGACACTATTCAGCGCCTCTAGAATAGTTAAGCACCCATGCATGTATATGACAGATAACATTACCGAAGTTCTTTCTATTTTTATTTTCGTAATTTTCATATTTTATAAATTAAAACAGCATATATTTCATTTTGAAGTATATTAAGTGCATTTTAAGAAATCTAATTGTTTAGAGTTAAAATAAAATGTAATAAAACTGCTACTTATACAAAGGGTCCTATGTATTCATTAGGAGTGCATGCACATGCGGTGAAATTAAAAAAACAAATACTCAGAATATCACAGACGCAGGTCAAACTCTAATTATTTAAGAAGCGCACTTCATAATAAAAAGGAGAAGAATCATATGGATATGTATCATGTAATTCAACTAAACGCCAAGCACATCACACACTATTGTAATTCAATGCATTACCACACGCAGTCATGCTTATAACTATAATAAAGAAAGCTTACAAATAATGTATCTATCTTGTGCTATGTTATTATGAATGTTATATTATTTTTCTACTGCACTTCAATATTGTTTAATGTGCTTCGTCTATAATAATGAATACAATATGATTACATGTTAATATTACATTTAGTCTAATAGCAAACAGCCCGATAAGACAATTTAGCTTAAAATTAAATTGGTTAAATATAATAATGTTTGCCATCAATGCGAGTCATCCCTATTATAGACAGTTTTATATAGCATAGCCCTTCTATATTTTTTTCGGGTTCTATTTCTTGATACATTGTATGCTTGGCAAAGAAATTTAATTTAACTAATCTGCAAATCAAAAACATTTAACATATTATTCTAAACCAATTAAGCCAAAATGAAATTTTAATAATCTAATTGGTCTAGTAAGACATTAAATTCCCCATTATGTTGAAGCAGTCAATGTCATTAATTCCAGCAGTCAACAACATTGACCTGCTACTGCATATCTAGGAAAATAGAGAACCCGTGTACGAGGTATAAGAAATTGGAGCGTAGCATTAACTATTCATCTAGTTGAGCTCTCTCATTTTTTATATTAATAAATTATTTTCTATAAAAAAGACAACAATAAAAATATAAAAGTGAAAGGTTTATTTTAAATATTCTTTAGAAAAATAATTTATTTCATTATGCATGTATATTAGAATAAAATAGTAATACATAAATAGTAAGTTAAATATAATTTTAGGATTTCTATATTTTCTCTCATTTAGAAGAAAATATTTAAAATATTATAGTGCAGTCCCAGCTTAGACTTTGTATAATTAACACATTTCACAGTTACCTGTATTCTAGAAAATTTGTGTAGATTTGAGATTTGTGTATTTAGACAATCCATTAATTTTTGGCTGTTTTCTCTTATTTCTGGGCTAAGCATGCAATACATCTCATTATTTTGGCTGAATAACTCATGTAACTGGCTTTTCATTTCTGGGCATGCAATAATCGATACTATGCTAGTATTTGTTTCTTTTGGTACACACACACATATTCCATAATAAAGCATGTCTTGTGATACATGCCTTCTTTGAAATATATTTAAGAAAGAGGTTGCTAGCATTATGTTATTTCTATATTCTGCTTCGGTTATAGCACTATTTTCATGCTGAGAAGCTAAATCTATTTTGTAATTAGTATATTCTCCTAAGGTATACTGTTTTTTTGTATTCCAAGTAAGCTTTATGGTGTTTTCTAATGTTAGTGTTGTCGTAACATTCATGAAATAACAGTAACAGTCTTCGTATGCATGATTCAATCCTAGTATAACAAAGTCACTGTAATAATTTATACACTGCCTATATTTCTTAGCTACTTCTATGAGTTTTTTCTGGTTTAAACTGTTTGTATTCACAAGATGATCTAGCCAATTAGAAAATTCAATGGGGACTAAGTCTTGGTAATCGCCTAGAGTCTTAGATTGATATATCGCCTTGGACTTTAGAACGTATGGCCCCATGTGAATAGCTGATGTCATTAGCTTGGGAAGGAATAAAGGAATTCGTATTGAATCCTCATTTACTTTACATCCATCAAATAACTTCTTTGCTTCCTCTCTGTCCTCTTCATACGCTTTATTAATAACCATTTCACCTATAGAATTAAACTGCGCAAATACAAATTCTGTTATATTTATATTCTCTTTTATATAGTAGAATACAACATCAAATCCAGAATTATGCATTTCTTCCATTGTTTTATTCATTTCATTCTCTGTGACATCTAACTTTCTTCTTTTAGCCTCTGTGTTAGCCAGCTTAGTTACCATTGACCATGTTTTTTCTGCTCTATTATATTTGAATGGATATACATTATTAACCAATGTATTTTTTTTCTTCTCGCTAATACGAGATACTCTCTTTATATAATCTACAATATCTTCAAGTGTGTGTATATAGTTATACTTAATAGTTTCATCGTCATTAAAAACAAAGAAAGGAATATGCATAATATGCACACGATGTGCACTATTGTCTACAACTTGCACGTGGTAGTGATGGCAATAAGATATATTCATATTCTCTTTATACACATAGTTATAACGGATTTGTTTGTCTATTATGTTGTCTAACATTCTTTCATTTGCTGGCATAGAACCAGAAATGCATTTGAATTGAACCATGCATTTAATATAATTAAATAACATAACAGAATCTTTTCCTTTATATGAAATTATTCTGTCTTCTGGAATTTTTGTATACTTTTTTTTAGCCATATAATTGCAGTCTTTTTGTAATTGTGGATCTGTGTTGCTTATAAGCACTTTTGGGTCTATTTTATATAAATATAAAGAATACTTATAGAAGTAGGCAAATACGGTATATACAAAATGATATATTGTAATATAGTTAACATCATATAGGTAACACACAATATCATCAATTTCTTGTATTTTTTTAAAGGACGCATCCATTATTTCTGCATTTTTATGAATAAACCCGTGTAAGTATTCTATAATACAAAACATATTATGTATAGGCCTATAAATCCTATTAGAAGTGCTTTTTATAATTAAATCCCTTAGTATATCAATATCTTCATACTTCATATAAAACAAATCTTCATATATTTCTGGAATGCATAGAATAAAGAGCAACTGTCTTTTTAGCTCAACAGTACACGCAGGCAAATCGTTAGAGCACTCTATATGTATATTAGTACAAGACATCAGAATGCTCTCTGCATGCCACAAATGGTTTATATTATTTTTAATGTATATGTCACCAAGTGTGGATTTATATGGATTGAATTCATTTAGTTTTATTCTATTTTCTGTCTGTAATAAATCTTCTATTATATGCGTATTATAAGAAGAAATAATATTTCTATAAAAATAATTATTTAAATCCTGCATAATTCTATTATAGTATAGAACTTCACAGGATTGAAATATAGGACTCAGATTATAAAAACAACTTAACACTCCTTTAATTATCGCTAGCTTTGTTTTTGTACTTTCTTCTTTAATAGATTGCAGACCTGTCCATAGATTATGATTCTTTTTTGTTATAGTGCTTATACGATCTATTAATTCTTTATTCACATTTTTAACAGCAATATTATCTACTATTTGGTTATAGAATGATGGAGCAGTGTGTTGATTGTTTTCATTATTATTTTTCACAGACAATCTATGCTTGTGCAGTTTTTCTATGAACTTCTTATACTCATATGAATCTCTAGTCACGCAAAATATAGGAGGCTTAGCAACAAACCTCTTTGGAAATATACTTTTTATAGGCTCAACCAGTTTTCTTTTTATATTTGCATACAAAGATGAAGGTGCCTCTTCCGTACGGCTTGAACCACCTCCATATAATGGATTATTACTAGTATACTGTGATGGTACCATTTGTGTGGGATTATTAAAAGCACGTGCGGTATACATGGTTTGGTTCGGGGGATTCGGGTTATAGCCACTGTGTGTATTTATGGGTTCTGGATTGAATAAATCTGAAGTTGGTATTTTCATTAATTCTATTATAGATGTATCACTACAAACTGGTTCTTCTTGGGCACCGTATGGATTATTTATATCCTCATTTACCATGGAATGACTGTAATTCTGTGCGTATTGTGGGTTTGTATAATTACTTGTATTATCAACTAATGAATTAAAGATATCTTCAATTGATGTACAGTGAACTGTGGTATTTTTTGTTAGTATAATTAAGCACGCGTGCATAATCAGAATAAATCCGAGTATTCTCATTCTTGTAATCATTGTTATTTTTAAATTTCTCATGTTTTTGAATTTTTATTTTAGCCATTATATGCAAAATATACAGGGGTTTATTAAGAATATAATTATTTGCCTTTATGACATAATCAGCCCGATATAACCCGAAATAATTAATTACGCTATGTGTTATATATTCTAATTAATTTTTTATTATTAACTGCATTATTACTTATTGCACAATATATAAAAAGTTTTAGTTATTATAGTAATTTATACTGTATAAACACTTCAAGTACTCTTTATATTCTATTTATAGTATAAATTAGTTAATACAATCATATTGATAAACAATTAATAAAATAAGAATTTTTGTAAATTATATAAGAATTTCTTGCTTTGACAAATTTTAAATATTCTTAATTCGGAGAATACTAAAAATTATTAGACATAAATACGATAAAGAATTAAAAAATATTCATTATACATAACCCGACATAACCCGAAATTATTTATATAATAGAACTATAGGCAGGAGTAATTATAGGTATATACATAAGAATATGTCTATGGTATAAAATAAGTCATGGAGTATTCCTTATACACTCTATTATTATGATGAGTATAAAGTGGAAGTGTACTGGTGGTATATTATTATGTTAATTTAGGCCAAGTACTTCTGTGTGGTAAGGGTATTATGCATTATTATATGTAATGTATGGCTGTGTTATATTTTTAGTATGAGTCATTATGTACTTACTTGGTCTTATGGTCTGGGGGTGTATTTATTTTTCCTTTTTTGATGTATAATAAACTCTTAAAAGGGATAATTCTATATACAGAAGTATACGAGGTATTTCCTAATATAGAAACACATATAGTATAATACAGCCAGTGTATGAGACAATTATGAGATTATTATTCGGAATAGTTGTGCTATTTTATATAGCTAGAACCGAACTCGTACCAGTCTATTATGATCAAATGGAATATGTTAACCCAAATCCAGTAGAGTATGTTGAATATTCACCAGTAGAGTATGTTGAGTATGCACCAGTGGAGTATGTTGAGTATGCACCAGTGGAGTATGTTGAGTATGCACCATGGGGTACACAGACTATGAGCAGGAAGAGTATGTTGAGGAAACAGAGCCAGGCATAGAGACCATAAAAAGCATTCTTACAGAGGCTATGATGGACTCAGATCCAAATTTAATTGATGACTTACTAAGTGAGGCAGTGCGTATACAGGAGACATCTTTAAAAGACGAGCTGACTGTAAAGGGGGGAAAGTACGCAGGAACATTCTCTCTCACATTTGATGGGAGTCCCACTGGGAATACTTTAAGGCTTTTGAGTATTCTTAAAAAGTATAAGAAGAACTGCGGATTCTATCTGGACCCATTTAATATAGACAAGAAGACTATTCCTATTGTTACAGAGATTCTGAAGAATGGGCATACAATCGGCCTATCAATTACTCACGACATGCCTTTCACAGAGGTAACTATGCATGAGGCAAGAAGCAGAATAAAGGCGTGCGTAGACAAGTATATGGAGGTAATAGGCGTAATGCCCGGATCAGCCAGACTGCCTAGGCAGGGGTACTACTCTGATGACATTGAATACTGCTTGGAGCTGGGAGTGACTGTGTGTGAGCCTAATTATGATGTTATGGACTATAATGATCCACACTTTTTAGATACACTTAGCAGATCACTTGCTGCGAATATGATTGAGCCAACAACAGACTGTATGGTTCTTGTAATGAGGGATAAATACTCATACACACTTGACAGTATTGATGGGCTGATCGAACTTCTTAAAGTGTTTGGGCTTAGGCACGCAGACTATAACGTGAACACCGGACTAAAGTCGGCTGCACCAAGTAACCCCAGTGATTTAAGAAAAAGCAGCACAGCTAACAGGAGAGAAGAGCTTCTTTCAATGAATGCTGATCCAGAAGAGTCTTCAGCACAGAAGATTGTTGATACGATTGAGAACAATGCACGTATGAGCAGTACAGCAAAAGGGGATGTGAGTAAGAAGTCTTCTATTTCTGACAGCGTGTCTAAACTAATTAAGACAAGCGGTGGTAATGTGATGATCAAAGTGGGATGCGTTGGAGGTGTTCTTCTTATTGTGGCTTTCTTTATTTGATTGATGGGCTGAGAGTTAATAAATGGTCTCCTTCTGATTTATTCCATACAGAATCATTTCATAATCCACAGAATTTCTAGGTGGTAATTCAGTATTACATAGCAGAGAGAGTGAAATTCGGGTTATTTATCACATGAGAAGGGAGTGGGTGGCTATAAGTTAAAAAGCACTAAGAATTTATTTTTGTGTGGCATACTTTCTTGTTATTATTACGCTGCGCATATTTCATCTGTTATACGTAAGGATATTCCTGGCATTTTGTAAGACCTTCTTAAACCTGATTTTAGGGTGGTTTAAGCCCTCTATTTCCTCAAAATCCTTCTGCATGTTCATTATAGTGAATAAGGCGTTTGTGTAGGTACTGCCTGCTATATTTGAGTCTTGTACTGGCAGATACTCTCTCAAGTCAATATTCTTATATACTGCAAGGATGAATTCTTTGGATGGATTTGGGTCATTACATGCGTATATAAGCCAGGACAGGTTTACCCAGTTACGCACACTTGGATTATGCTTCCAGAATGTAAGCATACGCATTTGTAGTCGATTTAGGATATTGATGCTTCTCTGGCTGAATATGCAGTTGAATATTCTCTCACTGAGGGTTTTTGTTGTAAGAGGGTTCCAATCAAAGCATGCACTGTTAGTTATCGTCATATACTTACATAAGCACTGTAATAAGACTTTTGGGTTATCCATATCTAAAATACATGAGAATACGCAGAATAGTTCGTATGTATCACACTCTATACCAAGAGAGTGTCCAGTGGGGAAGTCTATATTAGGGTATAATTGGTGTACACCTTTAATGTATCTTAGAGCACTGAAAATTTCTTCTCTTGTATTTTGATCGTGTAATGGCACACTTCCCAGCAGGTTATGTACAAGTCTAATTACTGGATGGTCTTGGGATAATTCTTCAGTTATAGACCATATGAGCATATTCGTCACCAGGATTATTTTATAGTTAACAGAACTGATTTTTGCTGTTACGAATATTTCATTTATCTCTGTGCTTCCTTTTTTAATTATTTTCTGTACTTGTTCCTTTTGTATAAATGCGGCCAGGTGTTCTTCCATAGTAAAAATATCTGTTTGTTTCGTTATATACTCAATAATTGCGTATCCCACTGGCTTCTTTATAGATTCGTATTTGTTCTTTAGGGCTGTAACTCTGTTAAAATCATTCAATGTGAATGTAACAGCAGAGGATAGGACGTACGCGTATGTATGGCCTTTATTAAAGGACAGTCCGATTCCGCCCTGTATATTATTATGTGAGAATTTTATTTCAATTATTCCGAATACATCTACTTGGTTATTCTCTGGGGATTTCTTAATGTTTTTACATGTTACTGTTACTTCTTTATTACATGAAAGCCTTTTAAACAGGTCATTCAAGTAGCGAGTTAGTTTATCCTCTGTATAACTATTAATGTATGGGCTGATTTTAATATCATTCACTATTTTCTGTAACTTTTTAATGGTTTTAGTGGATTCTCCTGTTATTTCTATGACTGTATAAAGAAAGTTTATTATTCCACTTTTAATTTCATTTCTGTTGTTTATGTAACAGATATTTTCACAGGGCAAGTCTGCAACTACTTTACACCAGTCTCGGTGCATTTTATTATTTATTGTTTGCTTATACCGGCTGTGCTCATTAAAGAACCAACTTAAATCTGATGATGCATTGGGCATGCTTGCAGTAGTATAAGTTCTACTCTCTGGGTTATACGCTAGAGAGAAGAACAGGCTCAGTATAGCGGTTTCAGCACAATTACTGTAGTAATGTATCTGATTTTCTATAAACGCAGAAGTCTTTCTAATGTACATTGGTACTCTGGTGTACACAGGTAGCTGACTAAAGTGTATAAACGGACAGACTGCATACGTATCTAATATATTCTCAAACTCTTCAATATCACATATGTACTCATTCGTATGATTATGTGATAAATCCACAGTGAAGTATTTCTTTAATACGTCATTTATATGTTCTATCTCATTTACACTTTCTAGTGTTGTGTCCATCATGTACAGAACATCTAAGCTTTCATTTAAAAGTGTGTATATTGACTTTGCCAGCTGTATATAATCTTCTTCTGTGTCTATAAACTCATGGATGTACATTTGTATAAGAAATCTGGGCGTATTTAGAAATTTACCACTTCTAAACTCTTCTACACTAGAAGGTTCTTGAATTCTGTCTTCCTGTAGAATTGACGTATCTTTGTACTTTACAAAGAATTTGATTATATTAATGGCTTCACCCTGTAGGTTGTATGCACACGTCGTGTCATCTATGATTTTTGTAATGACTCGCATGTTTATGCGAAAATGCACTTTTGTCTTGTCTCTGTTATATAGGATAAGCATTTTCTGTTGGTTAATAGTACTCACACCAATTGGAATATTAACTCCTTCTGAGAGGAGCAGGAGTGATGCAAGGATCTGTGCTGTGTATGGTTTAGCATTCTCTGATCTAAGAAACTTTGTAAATGAGCTGTTTCTTCCCACTGCAATATTAATCTCTTCTCCTGGTGATGGAAACATTTTTATCAGCTGTGTATGGTATTCGTATAAGTACTGGTTTATATTCAATGAATGGTCTTTCACTGGGCATGCTTTGTCCTTTGCTGGTTTTCTGTTAAATTCGTACGATATCTGTACATCATCTGGATTTCCTATATTTCTCAGTGTATAATCAGTTTTTATCTCTGGTGAGAAGAATCTCTTATTATGCACGTACCCTGCCGCATGGTATATATATCCATAGAGTGGGTTAAGGGGTCCATCCGGGTTTATTGTTGTTTTTTCATGTGATTCCTCAATTGCTGTACTTAAAATACCTTTCATTTCCACCAGACTTATTCTACTGTGCATGCATGATAGCATTATTGTCAGTATGATCAGAGGAACTGCCTGTTTTTTCATATGTAAATTTTTTTTGTTTTTTGTATTAATACTGATGAAAAAATCACATTTCTAGGGCATATTCAGGTTATTATGAATTAATAACTGTTATTATGTGAAAATCGAACTATTCTAGTTATTATTTATAGATTTATTTTTTATTAATTTGATTTTCAGGTATTTCCTATTTCAGAGCATTTCTTATTTGGGTATAAAAATAATTTTAATTATATTCTTAGAGTGGCTGTAATGTATGCTTTTGTTCATAATACATAAATATTCCAGATGGTCATATCTGCATATCTACTTACTTATTTCCCATTTTATCCAAATCTTTCTGAATTTCTTCTTGTTCCTGCTCTAATTGCTGGATACTCTCATAGAATCTCTTCTTTAAAATTGGGTTTGTTATCTTTTCTATTTGTTTCTTCTTCTCTTCAATCTTATCCTTAATCTCTTGTAATAATCTCTCCTTCTCTTTCTTCTCTTCAAGATTTCCATCTATTTCTATTTCTTCTATACTGTTCTGTGTGTTCTTTTCACTCTCCAGTAGGTTCAATTCTATTTCAGCTGCAAGTGATGAAGTATCTTCCTCCTCTTCACTTCCATCCTTATTAATCAGTTGTACATCTACTCGCATTGCTTCTTTATCCTTCTCCAAGAGTGCTGCCACCTCTTTTTCTATTTCTTCAATTATTGGCGCTTTTGTTAGCCTTTTTCTAAACCTTCTCACCTTTACATATTTCATTGGTGGAGTAATCCCGGATATGCTCTCTTTTTCTAGTTCAGATATGTCAATGTCCTGTTCAGTGAATATGAATATTTTTGACACATCTGCTATTTTTATGAACTGCCTGTTGTCCAGAGTTTTGTGTGACTCTATAATGCATGGAAGGTCTACAATACATCCTTTATACGTCTTGTTTTCGTATGTAAGAGTGCCTTCTTTGTTATTTGTCATTTTTATTGTTAGTTTATGAATTAGCCCATTCTTCACATCCTCACACACTTTATTTCTTATACTCTCTGGTGGTCTTATAATGAACTGGTCTTCCATTCGAAAAATAAAAGTGAAGCACTAATAAAATATTCCATAAATATCCAAACCCCATTGAACTCCTATAAACCACATGTTATTAAATATTTAGGAGTATATAAGGACACATCCCCAGATAGCCCTAATAATTATGAATTTTAGAGTAATTCGATTAGTTTTGGACTATTTTAATATTCTGTGATAATATTCTGTATATATTTAAATTCTTCATTGGTACTGTTATATTTATTTACTAGTTACTATTATATTTACTCTTCATCCCAGTCCTCTCCTATCCACGTAAACCCTGGGACTGTTTCTCTGCAACTTTCATCATCTACGCTGGTTGTATCCTCTATTTCAGCGTCTGTGCAATTTTGTCTTTTTTTTTCTTCTACATCTAGTTGTATGACATACTCTTTATTTCTAATTTTATTCCAGTCTACACCGGACAGCCAGGGATGCACGGATATTTCCTTATACCCGATTCTTTTATTTGGATCCTTCTTTGTTAGTTTATTAATAATATCTGCTATATTCGGGTTTATTTCTGGGTACTCTATCTCCTCGTATAATATTTTGTTTTTAAGGTCGTCCTCATCCTCACTCGCTGTTATTCTGTAGGGTGTGTTCCCAACAACCATTTCGTATAGGAGTATGCCTAGAGTATAGTAATCATACTTACTGGTGTACTTTGGAGTGAGTCTTTTTTGTACGAGGGCTTCTGGTGGCATGTACTCAAGAGTGCCGGAATTATTAGTTGGTGTGAATTTCTGGTTAGTATTTGACTCTACGGATATATCCAGGTCACACAGTAGAATATGGTTATTTGGTCCGATTAGGATATTTTCTGGTTTTATGTCCCTGTATATAATATTCTTACTGTGCATATGGTCAAGAATTATCACTAGCTCGCAGAAGTATATTTTTATGGCGTACTCCGGCAGTATGTTTAAAATAGTGAATAGGTCAAACCTGTAATACGGCAGAATCAGGAAAAGTTCTGTTGGTGACTGAAACGATAGCAGAAGAGAAATAAGAAATGGGGATTTCTTAAGCTTAACAAGAAGGTTCCTCTCATTAATTATGTTTTTCATATTTTTAGATTTCTTAATTATTTTGCACGCGTACAGTCGGTTTGACTGGTTATACCGCACTAAGTACACTTTGGATGTACTCTGCCCCAGCAGCTTTATACGGGTGAAATCTTCTTCCTTGATTTTTATTTTGTTTTTTGTTACTTTGATCTGAATTTCCATATTCTTGGTTGTTATAACCCTATCCTTCACACTGTACGGCATTCTGTTTATGTATATTACATTGATGTTATTGAATATGTCATACTTTGTGGACAGGTTGGTTGTGCACAGGGTGACTTCTATTGTATTATACTCTATTCTGACTGGCTTGTTATATCTTAAATGCTTTAAAGACACTTCGATTATACCCAGTGTGACCGGGTCTTTTCCTGCGGGTGTGAAGTACTCGGCTATAGAAGAGAGAATCTTCATGGAAATAATGGGTAGGGGTAGAAATAGAAGAAATATAAATAAATAAATGGATGAGCATGGGGAACAAACAAATAGCAAACCAAAAGGATCATATTAAACATAAAAAAGATCATAATACATGCAAAACAAGAAAATAGAATGGTTTTACCAATTATAGATACTTCTCCTATTTATTCAATTTAATTCACTGGCTGGCTTCCCACAGAAAGTAAATTCATTCAAAAGTGGGATAAATGCATAAATCATCTAAAAGCTAATTTTAACGCATAGAAGTACTATTATAACCCGAATAACCCGAAACAAGCTGAAGAAATCGCATGGATACTGAGTTAATTCCGGATTATTGCACTGGCTTATATTCTGTATTTTATTACTTTACAGCAGAAAGCAAATATAATAATAGCCCGAATGTACAAAGAAATTTTAGAGTAGAATTCAATATATAATGTGGACATATTTTATAGGCTTAAGCTATTTCGGAATATTTCAGATTAAATATGAGACAGGATGGGTACTATTCAATGCACTTTGAGATAGTGCTACTTTTTTCTTTAGTATAATAGATCAATCTATACAGCCCATGGATTATGTACAGAAGCACTTTTATATGCGCATGCAGCATATTCTTCTAGATAAACCAAGAAAATACAATAAGTTTTTTGGGTTATATAGGACAAGCCAGTCTTTCAGTAGTTTAAGCTATTTGAAGGATAAATTTCATTTTTAGAGCATGTATTTCGTAACTGACAGCGCTATTAAACGTATTTATAATTTTCTTTGCAATATTTTTTTGTATAATGGAGTTGGATTATAGTCTTTCAAACCTCGCCAGAGCCATTGAGGCAGTAAAAAAGAGCGCAAGCCAGCAGGAACAGGAAAAGTTACTGCCGTATATAGAAACTGAAGATAGAGTAAATCTGGTATTTCAGAGACTGCAGGAAGAGGATTCACTTGGAAGATTTTACTGCTTAATTCTTTTACAAAAGAGTCTCAGTAAGAATCGAACAGAGCCCGAGCTAGATGCTTTTTTAGACAGAGTTCAGTATTTAATAGAGTCTATTAATTTCACAAGTCCATTGGAGATATCAAAAATATCTTCTCTGTACTCAACCACTGCGTTGTTTTACTGGCCTGTAAAAATGCCACACTTCATTGGGACACTCCACTCTCTTATAATGAGCAGAAGTAATCTGTGCATGCCGGTACTCAAAAACTTTCTGCAGCTTGTTAGCGATTCACTTGAAATCACAGAAGAGCGGCGGTATGAGCTTAAAAAGTCAATTGGCAAAATAGAAAACGACCTTATGCAGAAGATATGTGTGTATGGCAGTAAAGTAGACACACTTGAGCTGGTGCTTCTAATGAATCGAATTGACATAATTAACGAAAGCATTTTTGTGCAGATATTTAAAGATGTTAATAGCGCTAGTGAGATATCACAGTTTTTGCCGTTCTTCATTGAAAACATCAACATACACAACAATGGAAATATATTTTATACGGTGCTATCGTACTTATGTTCTGCAAACAGCATGCTTTCAATCGATTTCATTAGCAATAACATAAACATACTTGAATCAACCGACAACAAAAACGTTCTTTTAGTGTACAAGATAGTCACCGACGCAGTGCAGCACATTGATGTGTTTTCAGCTGAAGAGGTGGATGTTATCTTCAAAGTGTTTTTAAAGCTGATTAAAAACTACTTTAAAGATAAGAACTTTAAGGACTTTAAAGACCTCTCAATCATTGTGCCCATTGACTACAACACATACATTATGAACATAGTCAACACTGCAAGCAAATTTGGGCCTGATGTAGATGAAAGCAAGTCCATAACAGATTCAATGATAGGCATAATAGGCCTCCTCTCTGGAGAAATGCGGGAGGAATCAACTGCTTTGTTTAGAAAGTATTATGTAACACTCCCGGTCAATGTGCTGGAGGTGCTTATCAAGAGTATTTTATATCCAACGCCGACAGGCAATCCATACTTAGACTTAAAGCAGTGTGTTTCTTTCAAGAACTATGGAGAAATACTCCGTCTATCACAGGAAATAGAAATGAAAACTGCCAAGGAGTGCACGGCTGTAAAAGAAGGACTAGAAATTCTCTTTGCAGAAGGCCTTATGTCCGCAGAGCAAGGGATCGAGCTTTACAAGAAATGTCTAGCAACCAATAATTATTATAGTATTGACCTTGCAGTAGCCATTGGTGTAATTCTAAACAGAGATGACCTTATTATAAACTCTGTGCAGGACTTTAAAGGGAAGGGCATTATTGCATTTATCAGTGTAGTTGAAAAATGCAGCAGACTTGTTTTTAAGCTATTTGAGCAGTTTAAGATTCATCTTCTTGCAAAACCTGGCGACATGATAAATGAAATAGAGGCAATTACCAAGCTGCTTGAAATAGAAACCTCACGCGTGAAGGGCAGCAGCCAGTACAAGGTTGATGCAATTGATGTTTTCGGTAGAGAAATACTTGAAAAAATATTCTTGCGGGTGGAGGTAGGGCCTATTGTAGAAATTCGAAAAATAGTGAAGCTCCTCTCTTATCTGAAGGATAGAGTACACGAGGCATTTATACAGAAGCTCTGGGCCAGAATGAAATCTGAGCTGGACAAGCAGATCTCATCTGATGCATATGAAAACAACCACGCAATACAGAATATCATTAGCATCACAGCAGCAGAGTGTAAATCAGCACAAGAGGCACAAGTTTTATATGAGATAGTAGAAAATGATGAATACTCTGCCAGGGGTGTACTCTCTGGAGTAAAAGGTGTTTTGTCTGAGGTACAAAAGAATGAATATTATGGGCAGGTGCTAAGTGCAATGATAGGTGTTCTAGTAAATGTGTATGTATCCCACTCTGATGAGAACACACGCGCCACTGTTGTAGGATTAATAATAGAGAAAGAAGAGAGAATCCAGGCAATGGAAATGATGTACCAAATAAACCTAAGCGAGGTATATGCAGCAAAAGAAAAAAGACCCGTGATGAAAAAGGTCCTTAGACAGATTGAAGGTATGAACGAGAAGCAGGGCGCACTCTTGAAAAAGCCCAAAAAAATTGAAGTCAGTGAAGATCGGTGGAGTGAAATATCAACTCCTTTCATGTAGCTGCTCGCATTAATAAACCGGCATATGATATGTATATCTTTACCATATAATTGCGTATAACACAAATAATTTGCACAGACACAAGAATTACAGGTTATACAAAATTCCCACTCTTCCATTCCTTTAAGCCATGATCTATTTACACCCTTCAGTATATACAGAATAAGATTTATAGCCATACCACTGCACATATGTTGAGTATACCAATTGCCAAACACTTTCTAGTTTAAAGTAGCATGGTGCACATACCCGAATTTATATACGAGTGTAATTCTTCTAACAGAGGGATCTGATTGTGTGTATTGGTATAAAGCAAGCACCCACTTCTGTTGTTATTGAGATTAGTGTAATGAGTGGCCAGTATCGGCCATGTTCAGTACATTTTGTCTATGGGCTATTTCCGTTTTATTTATTATATGCCAATTGTGCTATAAATGCCAATAAAATTTTTAAGCTAGTAAGTCGCATGCAGTCAGTAAGTGAAGAAATAAAAATACGGCCAATATTTAATACACAAGGGGTATGTGTAATAAACAGCGTATTATATACGGGGTATGAATGCACATTATTTGGGACGAATTCCCAGAATGAAATTGTAGAGCAGTTAGAGTTAGAGAGCGAAATAGTAAAAATATTTCCGGTGTACGATAAAGTTTTGATATCAACGATTACTGGAAAGGTATACGTATACAATCCAGCAGAGAGAAATAGCAAGTTACAGTGTGTGTTTACCAATTCTGTGATTAAAACCATTGACTTAGACGGTGAGGCGATTGTTCTGGGAACTGCAGACGGTTCTGTTATACTTAGCGATGTACAGGGATATGGAGAGACTTTTAACAAAAAAATGGATGGAATGATTACTTTAGTTAAGTTCATTAGTCTGAGCAGTATTAAGCGAAGGTACAATTCAAAGAACAAGCTAGTTGCTGTGGGGGATGCAATGGGAACAGTTACTCTATTCAACACAACAGGAGAAGTTGTGTACAGAGAAAAAAACTGCCATTCTGGCCAGATTATGTTCATTGGTGAGCTTGGCAACAAAATCCTCAGCTGTGGTATGGATGCACTGTTGATAGAGCACAGTCTAGAAAGTGAAATGATAATCAGAAACATAAGCGAGAACATTGATGAGACAATTGGTGCATGCTCTTTGGTTGGGGACAGATTATTTATGTGCTCAAAGGACTTGGTTATAACTTTATCTGCAGACTTAAAGATAGTTGCAAAGAAGAGGCTGAACATTCCTGATATAAATGGGTTTGATGTATTTGGTGAGTGCTGTGCTATCACGACAGACGAGCATGACATTGTGTTAGCAAGTGTAGTTCAAGACACTCTTGTTGTTGATAAAGTATTCATAGGAAACAACGATGAGATAACAGATCTACTGGTTATGGAGAATATGGTTGTAGTTGGAACAAACAGCAGGTATATTCGCACTATTAGTAAGAGTGATATTGAACGGCAGAATGAAAACGGACTTATCAGAAACAAGGCATTTTCTGGTGAGTTAGTTAAGTCTAACAATGAGGAGTGTGTGCTTTCCATGTGTGGTTCAAATAAGGTCTTTTACACCGGAAGCAAAGATGGAATTATATCCAAGTTTGAGGTGGTAACAGGCAATATTAGAGACAGCGTGTGTGCTGTTAAAAGTGTTTCCGCAGAAGCCCCCATCACTGCAATGTGTTTATATCAAGACATTCTTATCACAGGAACAGAGTATGGAATTATCAATGGATGGAAAATCGGGGATACTCTTGAGCTGGTATTCACAGCTTCTGCGAGCAGTTCAGAAATAACCGGCATAGTTGTGAATAATAAAAAAATCCACTGCACAAGTAAAACAAAAGAAATAATTGTAGTGAATCTAAATGGAGGAATGGACAGCAGCATCTCCGGGCACAAGAAAGGAATGTGGTCTATATCAGAGTACTGCCAAATGCTCCTGACTGGTTCAAGCGATAAAACTGCTCGGCTGTGGAAGGGTGACATAAATAGCACACTTCAGCACAACACCTCTGTGGTTAAGACTCTTCTTACTGAGAGAGCCATAACAGCGACATCTGATGGAGTCCTTCGCGTGTGGAATACCACCACGTACAAAGAATTAGGTGCCATTAGAGTAACAGAAATAAAAGATGAGAGAATCTGGGCAATAAAGAGATATGCAGGCACTGAGTACATTGTCTCAGCAGGGCCTTCCATTGTGATTATTAAAGACAGCTCATGGGAAGTAGAAAAAATGAAAGAGCAAATGCAAAAAGAGGATTACATTGCAAAGCAGCACGCCATAATATTTATGAAAAAGGGTGAGTATGTATCTGCCGCCGTTGAATATTATAAACTAAACTTAGAGAGAGAGCTAAAGGATGCACTTAAAAGAATCACAGGTGAGATGGACATATCCCCGTTCATGTCAGTTGTTCTGCTTGATTCATATAAATTCGTAAAGCGTGTGTCAAAATGGGCCAGGTCTCCTTATCTTTTTACGATCACCCAGCGAATCCTTCAAACAGCAATTGAAAATAGAATAGAAATACCCGTCAAAGAGGCAGATGACCTTTCAAAAACACTTTTAAGAACTGCTGAACTTTTCAATGCCGCATATTAGTATAAGAAGTAACCAAAATCTAAACATATTCAGAGCACCAATCAGATTTCGGGTTATATAATAAATAATCTACCATTACTTTACAGTCAAAATCGCATTTACTACAAATCACTCCACTCACTCTTAATCATACAATAGTATTAATATTGAATATTTTTAATTTCTTGTTTATATTAGTCTGCTATGTGTCTATCTGTTATAAATAACCATAAAGAATCCTTTTGTATTAATTTGAGTTATGCTCTATTTTAAATAAATATGTACTTTTCCATGTTCTTTACATAAAATGAATAAACACTTTCTAAATTTAAATTTAAAATAAATTTTATTTCAGCGCATTTCAGATTCTCAGAGAAACCAGCACTGTACAATCTAAGATAAACAGGGTTATACAAGCACAAATCATGAAATATTTAAATTTTATGTAAATGTACTTTTTATGTACATTTAGTTATATTTATATTTATGTGGCAAGAAATAGACTAAATTAACAAAAATACAACTTTCTTTATATAGAAAGGTCTATAAAATACTTTAAAATTAGCACTTCTTATTTTTATTTTGTATATTCATATATAACTAATTTTCTACTCTAATCATCAAATTTAATAGACTTAACAGCCGTGTCGATTTTGCCTAATTTAACCACTCCTTTCTTCAACTTTTTCTTTTCTCTGTTAAAGTTCTTTCCTTTGTGTGTTTTTAAGTGACCGCCAGACCTCTTTGAATGTGTTAAAAGCTCTTGCTGTGCTCTTGCCATATGATAAATTTTTTAGTGTACTGTGCATATGTGTACATACCAAAATATGGCGGTTCATAATAGTACAGAATAAATTTAGAGTATTTCTGTGTTTATGGTATACGGCACTAACCAGATTGTACACCAACACCCTTTTTGTTTAAATATAAGGACTCTCTCTGGCACTCTGTACAGTACATATTCTTACCAGGAATTATTTTAGTGCACTGCTTGCATATGGTATAGTCACTGGGGAGGGCATTTAAGCAGTTTGAGCATGCAGCGTATGCTGAGTACTTTTTAATTTCTAAGACCTCCAAAAAGCACAGAGTTATCCACTTTGTATTTCTTCTTGCTATTATTTTACTGTTAGATTTACATATTCTGCAGATAATTGCGCGCTCTTTGTTTTCCACCAGAGCCGAGCTAGCCCGGTTTATTTCTTTAATGAGCATACGAATAAACAGTATATTTGTATTTGTTTTAATTAGAATTTTTATATGGAAAGAGTGCATAGTAAATGTGCGCACTCTAAACACACGGGAATACTCACAAAAGCTGAAATTGGGTATGGAGGGTGGGCATGGTTGATCATTTCTCTGTGTCTTATAAATTATCAGATATGCATGAATGGCAGGATGTATGAACTATTCTCACTATTAGTCACAGAGTCACTGCAGTGTTTAAAGCAGTACACAATTCTGTTCTTTCTTTTAGTGAATGTAGTTAGGTGGGCCATTATCTATTTTGCATCAGAGCAGTTAAGTTCTAGCATTGTGTATGGCACTATTTCTTTTTGTATAGCCATGGAGTCTATCTTAGGATTCTCTGGGGTGAGTGGGTATATTGGAGTTATTTTAAGGTATTTAAGTCTTACGCAGTTGATGAAGGGCATTTCGTACATACTTGTGCGGAGGGAGGTTGCTATACTTGGTATAGATGACCAGACAATAGAGAAGCCGAAAGAAGAAGTATCTCTTCTAAAGTTTATTATTCTTCCCACTCTGTGCTATCAGAGGGAGTATCCAGTGCTGCCAAATATTTCTAGATATAATGTTCTTGTGTACATACTCTTACTCCCACCATCTGCACTGCTGACGTATTATTCATTACGGGTAAAGTGTTATTCATTTGGGCTGAAGTTCTGGGATGAGCCATCTCTGGACACGTACATTAATATATTCCTGTGGAGCAATTTAGGGTGGGCCAGCGGGTTTATCTTTGTGTTTATAGGAATATTTGGGCTGCTTGGTGAACTAACCCGATTTGGTGACCAATCATTCTTTGAGGCGTGGTGGAATGCTTCGGTCTCAACGTACTGGAGAAAGTGGAATTCCCAAGTGCACAAGTGGATAAAGCGGCATGTACATCGTGCGCTAATTAAAAGAAACATAACTACCAGGAGCAGTAGAATAATTATATTCATAGTCAGTGGAATTGTGCACGAGTACATCATAGGAGACGTGCTTAACTACAGAGGAATTGGATTTATCACAATGGCATCCCAAGTACCTCTAGACACATTTATTAAATTTGGAATGCAATGGGTAAAGCTTAACCAAGAATTTGCAGCAACAGTCGCATTTAACGTAATTGGTGCGCCCTGTTTAGTATTGGTTTCTGTGATGCCCAAAGACTTTTTTAAAGATGCGATAAAGAGCTAGATTGTCTAATACATTTGAAATAAATAAACTATCAGCCCCCTTCTTCTTAGTATAGAGCATTCCCTCTGAGTACTATTAATTACCATTAGCATACCCCAAGAAAGTCCTCTCATTCTTATTCTTACAACAAGCCATTTGAGTGAAACAGTCAGTCTTATAACAGATTCTTAAAGTATACTATTTTGGATTGTATGAGTATGAGCATATGATTATATAATACTATTTCTGTTATTATTACTATAATAGTCTGTTATTATTACTATAATAGGAAGTATCCAATTACTTATCATATTTTATACTATTTTATACTGTATGGTCATATTTCTATTAATCAATCATATTTAATTTTCTAATTGGTCATGTTTTAGGGGTGATTATGGCACCAATCAAATTATAATTTATCTGTCAAATCAACTGGTATTTTATAATTTTCTATATTTAAATAGATTTTAAATATTTTAAAATATGAAATTTATAAATTCAATATTTATTCTAGTGGCTATTTCATTTTCTTGTATTATCACCACTGGGGACAAGCAGGAAAATTCATTTGAATTAGACGACTTATATAAAACACTAGAAATCCTACAGAAGACGCAGTCTAAAGTAAACAACAGAATGCGCAAATTATTAGAGATATGTAAAAAAAGGAATGGTCTTAGTAAATCAGAAGAATTCAGGTATAACGAATTTTCGGGTTATTATAAAGAAATAACTGAAAAAATAGAAGAAATAAGTATGGAAATGAAAGATTATGAAGACAAGCACAGCCACCAGGAGAATTCATCAAACCCGAATGATTCAGACGAGTATAGTGTAGATGAGAACAACAACAGCAGTTCTTATTATACAGCAGATGAATATTCTAAGTCATATAAGAATAATAATGCAGAAGAGTCAGTAAATACAGAAGAGTCAGTAAATACAGTAAATACAGAAGAGTCGATAAAATTGATTAATTCTATGAAATCATTAGAGAAGAGTGTATTTAAATTAAGGAGTATGTATATATCTTATATGGCTAAGTATTTCTATAATGCAGACAAATCTATGAATATATTTTATATGGGCAGCGTTGGGTGTGATTTAGCAGAGTCTGTTCTGTTTTTCCTTACACAGTATGCAAGTACAGAAGCGTCAAGTTCATTTAAAAGTAATATGTATAATAGATTACACTCATTTTTAAATAACTCTGTCAGTATAACAGCAGTTAAGCAATTTTCATTTAATTTAATACACAATATGAACAAGGGAATGTCCTTTATTGAGGGAATGAATGCGTCCTATCCCATTCTAATACGTGATTTATTATTTAAGCCCAAAACAATGAACAATGCCAAATTACAACAAATGATCAGTGACTACCGCACAATATCCTCTGGATTATCAATTGAAAGGGATAATTTATCTGTCATTGATTTAGTCAATGCTTTATCCATTTCTGTGTATCTTGGTAAGTGCAATTCAGGTGATTTTTTATCAAAATTATTAAGTAATGGAATTATAAACACTGTTGCGTATATGGTATGCACTGTGGCAGATGATGCCACCAAGAAAAAGAACATAAAAGAGCTTTCTATATTAAATGAAAGTATTCTTCATAAAAACCGATTAAAGAAATTCCCAACAGTAATTTATCAGTAGAATTAATTGATTTTGTATATCTTAGTATATGTGAATTAATCAGTTCATCCTTTATTAAAGATATTTATACACGTAAAGAAGTATCCTTATTACTGTATATGCATCCAGTGTATTATATACTTAAAGGTGTTGATTTTACTATTAAGAAGACCACATCAGATAGTATTTCTACGGGATCGTATGGTGTTGAAGTAAGTATACAACCAAAGAAGAATATGGCAGTTGTATCACCAGACATGAACATTCAAACCCTATCACTTCTAGTAAATGCCAATTCTATTAGCATTACAGCCGATAAGAATACTTCTAGAAAGATGGAAATTTCCATTAAGGCGGATTTATCATGTGCTGTGGTGGCTCAGGACTCAATGAGCTACAGATCCACTGCTGTATAAAATGCTATTAACTCTAAATAAAATTACTTAGTACACAATGAATATTTAATTTTATTTATTACACAATATACATTATATTATGCACTCACACTAATCACAATTTATTAAAATAAAATATTACATTTTATTTATTATTTAGTACAACTTATTACACAATATACACAATATATTACTTATAATACAATATACAATATATTATGCACTCACACTAATCACAATTTATTAAAATAAAATATTACATTTTATTCATTAGTTATTACAACTTATTACACAATGTATTTAAAATTATAACACATAGTACACAATATACAATATATTTTATTTATTACACAATATACATTATATTACACAACATACAATATATTTTATTTACTTCGGGTTATATTACTTATTACACATAGTACATTATATTATACAACATACAATATACACTACTTATTACACAATGTATTTTATTTATAATTTACTACACAACATACTATATATTTTATTTACTTAGACTTATATTACTTATTACACAATGTACACTACTTATTACACAATATGTACTATTTATAATTTATTATATAATGTGTATTAATTTATGTAGTAATAAATATACTTGGTTCATCTGAGTACATTTTATCTGCTATTACTTTAAGCGTGCATAATTTCTTGATCTGATTTTCAAGTGGTAATTGCACAGAAAGCATTATTAATGGCCGTATTCTTTCTATTTTCCGTTGTGTTTTAAGTATCTCACCAAGAAGTCTTTTTTTACTGATATAAAAATTTTTATCTTTTGTCGTTATAAAAATTTTACTTTTTAACAGATTTTCATTTTTTTCAAGTATTTGTATAACGACTTTTTCTATTCTCATACTCTCCTTTACTGCTGATGTAAGCTCATTGAATGACACGGGCATATTTTCATCTATAATAATAAATTCATTATCTGAGGTATCTGATATGTCATAGACTAATTCATTATTATACTTAACACACAGCATAACTGGCCTAATTACAGACCTTTTCTTGGTCTGTGCACTATTAAACCCTGCAAATATATTTTCTGTACTGTTTTTATTCCATATATGGAAATTGTCAGGTTCATTTTTAATTAAATTCACTTTTTTTTCTGTTATAATTTCTGTTTCTTCCACTGTGGATATAATAGATGGCGATATTTGCATATTTAATACTTATTTATTGCTCTCTTTATATTTACTTCTATTTGTTTATTTATACTGCATATTATAAATATTTTTATTTTTAATTAAATTTCCATATAAGTACATTTTTAATAAATTAAGCTTCCCTCAACTATAAATATTTTTATTTTTTATACTATAAATTTTTGCTTCCTAAGGGATGCCTTCACGTCTTCTAATAAAACAGGATCTTCTTCCTTTAAGTACTCAAATAAACACTCAAAATACTCTTTCCGCTGTAATAAAGATACCCCAGGAATCCAGCAGTTAAAGGAATAAATTATTTCTCCATTTTTATCAAAAAATATTTTATCAAAAATTTCATCTTTTTCATTTTCCGTTATAAAATTTTTATCTTTTAAAATTTCAAATAAAAACAATGACAAATCACCTGAAATATTCAAAATATACGTTATATACTTAGAATAAATCTCATCCTCACTGACCCCCTTTAAAATTGAAACTCTTTCACTTTCTGTACATTCAAATAGAATATTCTCCCAGATGGGCTTATTTAATGTCTTTATACGGATTTTTACTAAATAATTATATTCCTGCTGTGATAATTGGTCTATACACTCTGCTGCGTATCTTAGTACGTCTATGGTGGCCGTACTTACTTGTGATCCTCCTGTGAATATCCTCCACATATCGTATAGTAAAAAATAACGGTATTCTGCGTATGAGTCATTATTATTTACACATTGTGTATTTAATTCTGTTAATGAATTCAGGTCTTTGTTATTAATTAACAAATTTTTTACTGGATATATTTTACACTTCTTCCTAATGAATAGCATAGCCTTCTTAAGAATAAAACAGTCTTCTACAACAGATGGTAGAATTTTACTCCTGGACTTCTTTTGCTTCTTGATTTCTTCATAAAATAAATATACTGATAAAATATCGTTATAAATAATTTTTAAATTATCAAAATTTTTCATTTTTTCAATATTATAAAAACAAATAATAAACAAACCTGAAATTTTCTTACAAATTTCATAAATTTGAATTATTTTTAATTTTTCTGACTTGCTCATAATAGACATACTCATACTTTTGATATATTGTGTAATATTTTCTGTATCAAATGGATCTATTACTATATTATACTTATAGTCCTTTTTATACTTAAATATATTAAATATCTTATGATATAATGGATTTATATCTAAAATACTTTTTAAGTACATTTTTATTTTTGGATTCTTAAAATATTTTTTAATTATTTCAATTGATCTGTTAAATATACTACTAGATGTAAAAAGTCTTGTACCATCTGGTAGTATTATATTATGTCTAGAGATGATCTCTTTTGGTTTAATAAAGTAGCTAAAGAAGTTCAAGTGATTCTCTCCTGATGATATGCTTAATAAATACATTGCATCATTAAATGTGAAGAATTCTTTATGTAAATTATTTTTTATACTTTCAAAAATAACGGTTTTTTCTGTTTTTGTAAAATTTTTAAAATGTAAAATTTTTGATAAATAATATGATTGTATAACGGGCGTACTTCCCTGAATTACATCAATTATCCCATCTATATATCTACATTTAATAACGGACAGACAGAATAGTGTAATACTTGCATCGCCTGATAAGCAGCTCTTTTCTAGCACTCTAAAGTATAACGGGGATATTCTTATGTCTAAGAATCCTTGGTCTATGAGTACATCTGCCAAATCATTCTCATTTGCTTGGTTAATTAAGTACTTAATTAAGATATTCTCTATTTTTAAAATATTTTCATCCGTTATTAAAATTTTGTTATTTTTTGTGTTTTTATGAATTTTTGTTACTTTTTTAATTAAGATATTTTTTGATATATCAAAATTTTCATAAATCACTTTAATGAATTTCTTTTTAAGTCTTTCTATTACCGGTTTAATCCTTATACACGTATTATTACACATTGTATCATAATTAATATTTAGTATACTATTATCATTAAGTAATAACTCATTAATTATTTCATGGCTAATTCTACTCACAGGGATATAATCCAATAAAACCAAGCACCCTTCAACTAAGGAATATCCTTCATTATGCAGGTCTTCTGTGTACTTGTCCCATATAAGTATAAATTTACTAACAGAATATATTACACAATCTATCATAAGTAATTCATTATTTTTATATGTAAGCACATTACTAATACTTTCTACATAATGTGTACTATATTCTGCTATATTAATTATTTTTAATAGCTCATTATTTATAACACTATGTGCACTATATTCTGCACACTCCTTAATTAGTCCTATTATAGAAGTACTCCAATTATTCCTGCACATCTCTTCCTCTATAACCCGAATTATACTCACCCTATGAATATCCCCACTTATAATTAACCCGTGTATATAATTTATTATTATATATATATTATTGCTTAATTCTTTAGTTATATCCTGTACTTGAAATAGTTTGATTTTATAATACTTGTTCCTTAAATCTTCCCTCTCCCTGATTAGTACTCTTTGATTATTACCATTATTTATTACTCTATTAATCATAAATATTGATAGTAGATATTTATACTGGGCTGTATAATATTCTATTTTTACAGTATCAGATATTTTATATTTTAATAATTCAAATAATTCCGGGTTATTTCGGGTTATGCTTATTCTTATTATATTATCAATTGACATGTTTATTATATCAGAGTATGAATCAGGGAGTAGTGTAATCATATTTAATAGTTCATCTACTGAATCATTTTTTAATGCCATAATGTATCTTTTAATTATTTCTTCTCTTTCTACTGTGGTATTCTCTGTTTGTGTAATAAATTTCATTTAAATTTTTTTATACAATGTGTAATAAAAAGTGTTCAGTTAGTGTGAGCAATAATTCTATTTATATAATGCAGGGTGGCTTTATTAGTATATATTCAATAGAGAATATGAAGGAAATAACCCGAATTAACCCTAAAATAGAATTTGATAAATTTATGCTAATTAACGAGTATATGTACATTATTATAGGAGAGAGTGTATATTATAATACACAATGTATAAAAAGTAATGAACAATTTATAGAACAGTGTGTAATAAGTAATGAGCAATGTGTAAAAAGTAATGAGCAGTGTGTAATAAGTAATGAACAATTTAAGTTTATAGGGCGTATACAGTGTAATACATATCCAGATATGTATATTTATAAGGATAAGTTATTCTTATATAAGTATGATAACGTATCTGGTACTATTTCTGTGTATAATGATAATACTGTGAGTACATTAGATATAACCCGATCTAACCCTATATTTATTATAATAGATTGTGTAATATATTATATTAACAATTACGGGTTATATCAGTATGATATGATAACCCGAGTAACCCAAGAAATAATTTCAGGTTCTAAAATTCCCAAAGCGGAAATATTTTCACTTGAGAAGACTGAAAAATATTTTATAATTGGCACGAGTGCATTACTTTTAATATATTGTATACAAAGTAATGTGCTAAGGCGGGTTACGTGGCACTCATCTCCTGTTATATTTATACAGCGAGTAGCCGGCGACTTAATTATATCACAGGCCAGGAATGGGAATATTTTACTGACTGATTGTGACTCACTTAGTAATACGTTTATTACTGTTGATTATTCCCTAATTAGAGAAAATTTTAAAGGAAAGTCCGTTATAGACAGGAAAATTTTTATTACCAAATCGGGATATATAGTAATTAAAACAAAAACCATGATTAAGGTGATAAACATACCCAGTAAGGTGTGTGAGTATGTTTATTTATTAGAGAATTCCAGGAAGCACTTAGAAATACCTGAAATAGAAGAAGAGGAGGAGAAGTTTTTACCAAATTTTAATGAAAATCCAGAAAAACGGTTTATTACCAAATTAGACAGTAAAAATTTTTACGTACCTGAATCCACTGTGTATCATTTAGACAATGCATTAGTATTTACTACGGATGGTGTTATATACCGCGTGATGAAAGAGTTAGTCACGATAGAAGACTTTTTCTATTCAAACGGCCATATTCTTATTTTTATAACAGAAGATGAAGAAAAGTCCGTTATAACTGAAAAATTTTTATCAAAAATTTCAGACAAAAAAACCGCCAAATTATACAAATTAGGCAAAAACCGTGTTGAGCGAGTATTTTATGGGTGCATTGAATTAGACGGCATGAGGATAACTGAAATGGAAGTAATTACTGATGACCGGGTCATATTAAGTCTAGCAGACGGCGAGTCACAGTGCACTACCAGGTCGTATGAGTATAAGGACATGACTATATACACATAGTATAATAAGTTATACAGGGTAAGACTTTAAACTCAATATAGAATAAATAATAAGTTATGAATAATGTAATATATAGTAGTAATAGTGTAATAAGTAATATGTAGTAGTAAGTATATATTATGTTATGTATAATAAGTAATATATAGTGGTAATAAGTAATATATAGTGGTAATAAGTTATGTATAAGTAGTAAGTATTTATTATACTATGTGCAATAAGTAATATATAGTAATATATAGTAGTAATAGTGTAATAAGTTATGTATATATATTATGTTATGTGCAATAAGTAATATATAGTAATATATAGTAGTAATAGTGTAATAAGTTATGTGTAATTACCACTTAATATGTTATGTGTAATAAGTTATGTATAAGTAGCAAGTATTTATTATGTTATGCGTAATAAGTTATGTATATTTATTATACTATGCGTATTAAGTATTATTTATTATACTATGTGTAATATTATATGTATAAAAATAATTTATAAATTATGGAGTGTCGATGGGGAGACTGCTCTGAAGTATTTCAAGACCAAAAGGACTATGCACAGCACGTAAACAAGCACATACGAGAAACAGACGTAAGAACCTGTGACTGGAAAGGGTGTACAAAAATATTTGAGAAGAGGATAAGCAAGTGCACCCTCCTTACGCATATAAGAACCCACACACGAGAGAAGCCTTTTAAGTGCTCTCTGTGTACGAAGGAGTACAGTCGGTCAGATGCACTAAATAAGCACATGAAGTCACACGAGCAGATAGCAGCAGATGAAAATATTTTCATAAAGAAGATATTCTATTTAAACCAATTATATCAGGAGATAGATATAAATACGACTAGTATAAAGGAGGAGTATAACAGACTAATAGTAGAGAATGAAGTATTACTTAAGTATATATGTAATAATAAGAAGTAAGACATATAATACAGTATATAATAAGTAATATATATAATACAGTATACAATAAGTAATATATATAATACAGTATATAATAAACGGGATAATATACTAATACATAATACATAATACATTAATAATAATATATAATAGATAATAGATAATATATTATAACTTATTACACCGTGTACAAGACTTATTACACATATAACAGAACTTATTACACAATACACAATAAATAATATACTACTTATTATCACTTATTACACAATGTACAAGACTTATTAAACATATAGCAGAACTTATTACATTATGTACATTATTTATTACACAATACACAATAAATAATATACTACTTATTATCACTTATTATAACTTATTACACAATTAGACTACTTGCTATAACTTATTACACATTGTGTATTATATTCTATACTATAAATATAAAATTAAAATTAAAATTTTATGACAATTACTTTACTACCGAAAGAAGTAATTGAGAGAATATCAGCAGGAGAAGTAATTACATCACCAACAGCATTAATTAAAGAAGTATTAGAGAACAGTCTAGATAGTAATACAACCACTATACGCATAACCATATCAGACACATTATTAGACAGGATAGTCATAGAAGATACTGGCTGTGGTATAAATAAGGCCGATTTAGACTTATTATGTACAAAGCATGCCACAAGCAAGCTATCCCAGTATAATGACTTATACAGCATAAATACACTCGGGTTCAGGGGAGAGGCCCTGGCCTCTATTTCCATGCTATCGCATATAACCGTAAGTACATCAACAGATAGTATAATAGGCCATGAAGTAAAATATGAAAAACAAAAATTAATAAAACAAAAAGAAATTACCTGTAAAAAAGGCACAAAAATAGAAATAACGGATTTATTTTATAACTGTAATAAAAAATACAAAAAATTCATTAATAACAAGACAGAGATAATTAAAATATTTCAGATAATCAGCAAGTATTCCATAATTTATACAGGCGTATTATTTGAGGTAGTGAAAGGGTCAGAACTTAAGAGGTATAATGTAAGAAGTAATAAGAACCACACTTTATCAGAAATATTTACACCCGGGTTAGTTAATGAATTAGTCAATATAAAATTTAGTACACAATTATCATTAAGTAATGTACATTATAATATGTACGTGTCCCATTCAAATTTATCATTATTATCACCCGTTTTTATTTTATTTATAAATAAACGGTTAGTAGAAATAAAAAAATAAAAAACGGTTATATTTACTATATAAGGAAATATTAGTAAAAGGGCATCCATTCATTCTGTTAGAGATAAGTATACCACAGGATATGGTTGATGTAAATGTACATCCATCAAAAGTAGAAGTATATTTAAGGCATGAGGAGGAGATTATTAACCAGATAGAATTTGAGGTAAGGAGAGTATTACAGACACAGAGAATGACCGGTATAACAAAAGTATCACAAAATCAAAATATATTACCAGAAAAGGAAATAAAAATTATTAAAAGTACAAATAAGGAAATAAAAAAACCATCAGAAATAAAAAAAATAAACGGACACAGCCCGAATCAACCCTACAATAAAACCAGACGTGTATACGGCAGTATCCGGGAGTAGCACACCAGTAACAAAACGGGTCAGGACAGACAGCAGAATAAACCCACTAACTATATTCCTTACACCAGAAATAACCCGAACTAACCCGAAAATAAAACCAGAGATAAAACAAAATCTACCAATAAAAAATATTGCTAATGAAATTAAAAATAACAGCATTACCAAATACAGTAATATTACCAAATACAGTAATTTAATAAAAAAATCACCTGATGAAACTCAGCACACAAATTCACCCCAAACAGAACCCGATTCCCACAATGAATCCATTCTTAACGAATCCCTCCTTATAGGACTCATTTCCAACCACTGGGCAGTCATCCAGCATAATACAGACCTTTATTTATTACACATTGCACATTTAAATTTAAACAGTCCAGAACTTACCACCAATAGTAGTAATAAGTTATACAAGCAAATTAAATATAATTTATTAATTAATAATAAATTAATTAATAATACAGTGCCAATAAATAATGCAATTAGACAAGACTTATTACACAATAACCAAAAAGTCCTGTCCAATAATAACCCGACTAACCCCACTACTCCCACACTAACCCTATTAAGCACAATAACAGAATTATACCAATTATTCAACAGGTAAGTAACCCAATAAACCCACACATAAACAAACCAATTAAAAATTTTTATGTATTTATTCAGAAATAAATTTGGTTTCACATGAGGGAAGTATACGCACATGGAAAGAAATTAAGAACAGAATATAATACACAATATGTAAGAAGTATTGAGCATAAAGAAGACTTCTTTAAAGAACAAGCCAGGATCCTCTTAAATTTCTCAAAGGACTTCACCACCGTACACACAGAAGATAAAGAATCCTGCCGTATTAAATGGTTTGAGGATGGTGAAATTAATGCGTGTTATAATGCAGTGGACAGGCATGCACTGACTAACCCTGATAAAATTGCGATTATTCATGAGGATGACAACGAGAATATATTACACATTACGTATAAAGAACTATTACAGCAAGTACTTATATACAGTGACTATTTAATAAGCAAGGGTATAAAAATGGGTGACACTGTATGTATATATATGCCCATGGAGCCCAATGCATTAATTATATCATTATCATGTGCTAGGCTGGGCATCTCGCATACGGTCGTATTCGGTGGGTTTAGTGCAGAGAGTCTCTCTGTGCGCATGGAGGACTCAGATTCTGTATGGCTCATTACGGCTGATTATACTTACAGGGGTGGTAAAAAAATTGATTATTTAAATAATGTTGTAATTTCCGTTGAGATTCTTAAAAATAATGTGAAAAATCCGTTATTAAAAGGTATTTTAATTTTTAATAAAGAAAATATTTCAGGTGAAATATTTTTAAAATTAAAAAACTCTGTAAGTACGCTGGACACATTAGAAAATATTTCACAAAATAAAAATTTATCCGTCCAGGATATTCCCTGCGTACCCGTCCCATCCGAGCACACGTTATTCCATTTGTATACAAGTGGCAGTACGGGCAAGCCCAAAGGACTATCCCACAGTACAGCAGGGTACTTATTATACGCTGCACTAACCACACTAGTCTGTTTTGATATACAGGAGGGTGACAGATTCTTCTGTACGGCTGAGTTAGGCTGGATTACTGGTCATTCTTATGTACTATACGGTCCATTAACACTCGGTATCACTACGGTCGTATTCGGAGGTGTCCCCGTATACCCTGATGCCTTACGGTTATTTAGGTCTATACAGAGGATTAAACCAACGCATTTATACACTGCACCCACTGTTATTAGGCTACTACAGAAGTCATTACCTGATTGTTTAGTCAAACCGTACGATATAACTGAGTCTAATAACGACTTATCCCCTGCTGTTGATCACGTGCCTAATTCACCGATCAGTAACCGGTCTATATTCACACACGGCATAACAGACACATTCAATAAGGATAATTACTACAAGAAGTATAATTCAGAAGGTGACTTAGGCGTATAGACGTATCCTCATTACGTGTACTGGGCTCAGTTGGTGAGCCAATTAATAAGGGTGCGTATGTGTGGTTTTCGATGTACTTCGGGAATGGGACCCTTCCGATCATAGATACGTATTGGCAGACAGAAGCCGGTGGTGTCATGCTGTCACCGCTTATAAGTATTTCTGAGTACAAGCCAGAGAGTGCCTCATTCCCATTCTTTGGCATGCAACCGATAGTCATGAAGAAGGACGGACTGCACACCACAAGCAATGAAGGCAGCACAAGCAGTGCGGGTGCAGGTGATGGTACAAGTAGTGCAGGTATAAGTACTGGTATAAGTAGTACAGGTACAGGTAGTACTGGTAGTGTTAGTGGTACAGGTATAAGTACAGGTGCTAGTAGTGTTAGTGGTATAAGTAGTACAGGTACAGGTAGTATGAGTACTGGTAGTGTTAGTGGTACTGGTAGTGTTAGTGGTATAAGTAGTACTGGTGCTGGTAGTGCTACTGGTACTGCTTCTGCTGTTGGTCCATCTGATGGTGTGGTTGAAGTAATTGGTGAGACTGGTATTTTACTGTTTAAGGGTTCCTGGCCTGGTATTGCTAGGACTATAGTAAAGAACCATGACAGGTATAAAAGTGCTTATTTCCAGTATAAGGGATATTTCTATACGGGTGATGAAGTACTTAAAGATATAAATGGGTACTACTGGATCAGAGGCAGAATTGATGATGTAATTAATGTGGCTGGTCATAGACTAAGTACAGCAGAGATTGAAAGTGTCGTATGCTCAGTGACTGGTGTATCAGAAGCAGCTGCATTAGGAGAGGAGGATGAGGTGACTGGCCAGGGTGTTACTATATTTATAGTTAAGTCGGGTGATGTATCTGACACTGACGTATTCAGTGATATTAAGTCTGTCTTAAGGAAGCGGATCGGGTCGGTTGTTAACCCTAAAAGGATCATTTCATGTCCTGAGTTACCTAAGACAAGTACTGGTAAGATGATGAGGAGGGTACTAAGGAAAGTATTAGAGGGACAGGAGGTCGGAGATATAAGTACGTGCATCAACCCTGACTCGATCACATTTGCTAAATCAAGTATTGCTAAATAAATGATTTATTACACAATGTATACAACTTATTAGACAATATATAATTAATACTATAACTTATTACACAGTGTACAAGACTTATTAGACAATACACTATTACTTATTACACAGTGTACAAGACTTATTACACAATGCACTATTATTTATTACACAGTGTACAAGACTTATTACACAATACACTATTATTTATTACACATATAGCATAACTTATTACACAATGCACAAGACTTATTACACAGTGTGCTAAATATATATTATTTATTACACAATACACTATTACTTATTACACAATACACTATTATTTATTACACAATATAGCATAACTTATTATACAATATATATTACTTATTATACAATGCACTATTACTTATTACACATATACCATAACTTATTATACAATGCACTATTATTTATTACACATATATTATTGCTTATTACACAATATCTATTTGATTATACATTACTTATTACACATTTATTAAACATATATTACACATTTATTATTAAGTTATACACTGATTATACATTATTTATTACACAATGTATACAACTTATTACACATATATTATTTTATTTATTACTTATTACACATTGTGTATTATTTATAATTTATTATACAGTGTCTTATAATTTATTTTTATGGAGGCCCGTTTAAGTACGTATAAGCCAGGCCATGGACTAGAAGAACTCTTCAGTGATAATTTAGAACAGTTCTGGCACACAGATGGAAACCTTCCACATTACATAGAAATAGACTTTAACCAGATAAAGAAGTTAGTCAGTATAAGGATGAACTTAGGCCATACACAGGACAAGAGTTATATACCTAAAGATATAGAAATAAGATACGGAAAGACACGGGAAATGGCAAGCGGACTAAAAAGCACAGTAATAACAGACAAAATGCCTATTATAACCATACCAATAGACGAATACTGTGCATATGTACAGATAGTCATACTGAGTAACCATCAGGAAGGAAGAGATTCACGGATCAGAGGACTCTCATTAGCATGTTTAGATTAAAAAATAAAACTATTTATAGTTTAATCATCCTTATTTTATTAAAAATTACCAAATATGGAAATGTATACTAATTAAAAATTACTAAATATGGAAATATTTCATTATATTTCATTATGTTCTTGTTTTTCTCTCATGCTTTTTATATACCATACGCTTAGGCCACTCCTCCATAAACCTACCAAATCTAATTGGTCCAATTACTTTCTCGGACCCATGCCCAGTCTTCCTGTATAAAGTGTCCCCCCCTAAGAAGAAATAATTAGTGCAGTACTCAATAAACCGCCTTCTCTTTAATGAATACCCAACCCAGGCCATCCCCTTCCCTCTCCTCTTTAAATAGTCCTTTATGCTCTCAATATCTTCCTTGCTTATCTCTAACTCCATGAATAAATTTTATAATTCATTGAATGGAGTTCAAATAGTCCTGTGATAATTTAAGTACTTCTAAAAGTGTAGCCGATAAATTATCTCTCATTTTTAAATCTAATTTGCTAATTACATTACCAAATAAGGAAATCTCTAACCGTATTTTATTATTACTTTTTACTGTTGTATTTATAATACCATTTGTCTTACAGAAGAATGAACAAAAATTTGTTGTTGGTGTTTTTGGTATATAAATTAATCTACAATTAGTAATAAATAATGTACCTGTACTAGAAATATGACTATAAGTACTGAATAAGCCACCTTCACCCACTGTGATAGAGTATCCTATGTTATACCCTATGTATAATAACTCTTCATTATCATCCAGTGGCAGGGGCGTACCAGCCACTGTAAATAAGCACGTATTGAAATTCCTGTACGTCTCCTGTAGCATAAAACAGTTCTTTTTTTTATTTTTTAATTTTTTATATTTATATTTTATGCGGAAACAGTCTTTTTTTATTTTTATTTTCTATAAATACGCATGCGAAAATATTTTTCAGTGAGGCGATACTTTACAGAATCATTTGTATAGTAAGTATGCTATCCGAGTTACTACAAAATAGTGCTCGCTCGATACTGGAATGAGGAAGAACAACTTCAATTCTTTAATTAGAAGGTTAGAGATATTTAGGAGTGTAAGTATATTTACACTTCTGTCTCTTTTGATGAATTATTGAATATCCTCCAGAATATCTGTTGAGGAAGGATTAGAAGTATTCTGACCAGTGTTATAATTTAATATCTTTATATGAACAGAGAAGGAGTAGTAGAAGCAGCAGAAGGAGAAGTAAATAAAGGGATAAGTAGAAGGAGAAGTAAATAAAGGGATAATAGAAGGAGAAGAGTAAAGGGAATAGAAGTAGAAGTATATACACAGTAGTAGTAAGGTATTAGTATACATATAATAGGTATTAGAAGTATAAGTAATAGGTATAAGTAGTAGTATATACACAGTAGTATATAAGTAAGGGATAATAGGTATAAGTAGTAGTATATAGTAGTATATACACAGTAATAATAGTAGTGTATATATAGGTAGTATAGTATATAGTATATACACAGTAGTAAGGTATTAGTAGTAGTATATATGTACTGTATATAAGTAATAGTAATAGTAAGGTATTGCATTGGTCTATTAGTATACCTATATGTATATACTATGTGCCTGTATATATATTAGTCCTACTGTATATACTATGTATACATGTATTAGTCTATTAGTATACCTGTATACATTAGTCTATTAGTATATTAATAATAGTATAATAAGTTATATTTAGTATATTTAATTAGTAATAGAATCAATTGTATCTTGTAAGTAATATACATTGATCTTCTCATTTGGTGATGTGAGTGTAAGGATGGTTTCTTCTGGGTTATTAGAAGTGGGAAAGTCAAGAAATGTACCTGGTGGTGTTTTAATGGCAAATAATGATGATTCTACTGAGTTGTCTAATTCCTTTAAGTCTGTATATGTTACATATGCTCTATTAATATTCTCTTCATGGTTTGCTAGTATTTGTAGTTCTGTGTTTACTTGGTTTAATTGTTCATCTATCTCTCTTTCTATACGTAATAACTCCTTGACTTCTTCTGTCTCTCTTCCTGTGGTTAGTGATATACCACCACAGCTTATACATTTATTATTCTCTTTATCTTTTATGTACTGTATGCTATTCTTTAATTTCTTCTTTATATAACCCACTCCTTCTAATACATTTGTTATATCATACAGTCTTCTTTTATGGGTTTCTAGTGCTGATGCGGCATAATTCAGATCTAATTCATATTCTGGTGAGTCTTTTAATAATCTTAAGAATCTTTTAGCAAGTACTCCTAATGAACTGCCTGTCCTACCAATTACTGAGTGTTTCTGTTCTGATGTGTCTAAGTCAGAGAAGAAGGAGAATAAACTACTCTCCTGTGGAATATGCATGGGAAATAAAAATGGATTGAATTTTCTATTTTTTATATGGAATATTTACTGTGTGGTATACCCATGGACTGTGATTACTTAATCAAGTACATAAAGTTATCTGAGGATGCGTGTGTGCATGAGAGAGTATCAGAAGTAATTTATTATTTAAGCAGGTATACAGTAATAATAAGCAATACAGAACATAATGATAATAGCCGTATAAGTAATAGTATATTTAGTATAATATATCCAGCAGATAAGAATAAGTCCAGGAAGTGTTTATACAGGAGACGGTTTAGTAGTAATTATATATGTGATAATATAGAGTATATTATGAGTGAGTTAGGGTGTACCAATAAGGTGGTTAGGATATATGACAGAGTGTGTTATAAGTATAATAATGCGAGTATAATAATAATAAAAAATAAAAATAAAAAAATAATAATTGCGAAGAGTGACCGACCAGATGGGGAAGTCATTTTAGAAGAGATAAAGGACAAATTAAAGCTATGGGTAAATTTAATAACACCCCCAGAGGACATACATAAATATATACCATAATATATTATACTATGTGTAATAAATAAAATAAGATAATAAAAAATAAAAATAAAAAGATAAAATAAGATAATAAGATAAAAATACAATATAATACTAATAGAGTAATAAGTTATGTACATTGTATAAAATAATATATGTGTAATAAATAATAAAATATAATAATATATGTGTAATAAGTTATGTACATTGTATAATAAATAGTATAGTATATAATAATATATGTATAATAAATGCTATGCTATGTGTAATAAGTAATAGAATATAATACTAATAGAGTAATAAGTTATGTACATTGTGTAATAAGTAATAAATATAATAATATATGTGTAATAAGTTATGTACATTGTGTAATAAGTTATAATAAGTTATAATAAGTTATGTTTATTTATTATGCTATGTGTAATAAGTTATGTACATTGTGTAATAAGTTATTGTATTAATATTCTATACAGGATGGGTGTGGTTTACTTTCTGTTAATAAGTGTGATAAGTCTTTCTTGCTGTAATAATCATCTGATAAGTTAATATTGATTATATGATTATTTTCTACTGTATCCTCATTTAATAATATATATCTAACGGTCTTTTTTGATATATTATTATCTTTTGTTTTTATTTTTAAAATATTTTTATTTCTAACGGTATTTTAATTAAATTTGTGGTTTTTAGTGTACTTATTACACATTGTTTAGTAAGTAATGGCAAGTGCTGGAATATGTCCCTTATGTAATTATCTAATGAATCGATTATATCTAACTGGTTTTCTTTAATTATACTGTATATATCTATATTATTACAGTTAGAATATTCTTTAATAAAAAAAGAAGATTCTTTAGATATAAAAATGTCGTTATTTCCTAATAGAGTAATGTACTTTTTTAGTAATAAAAATATTTCATTTTCATTTAAAATATTTTTATATTTCAAAATAACCGTTGATAATTTAATTGAATTAATTGAAATATTTTCATTTAAGTAAATTTTTACCATTTTTCTTATTTCTTCAATAAAACTTATTCTACATACCATAATAAATACACACTCTCTATGAATTATAGTAGATTGTGTAATAAGTCTTACTAACTCTATCCAGGCTGTGTACTCATTCTGGTTTATTTCTGTGTAGTTATTAATACATAAGGAATACGTCTCTAATACACTGCCTATCTCTATCACAGGGACTATCATACTTGGTGATAATTTTATACACATAGCGTATAAAGTCTTAATAGCACATTCTATTACTGTACTACTCCTGTTAGTATTAAATAAGAAAAGCAGGTCATTAACTATTTCAGTATGTTGTATATCTGTACTATTCATATTATAAAGGATTCTTCTGAAGAACTCTTCATATTCCAATGGATCACCTTGGAAATCCTTTAACTTTAATACTTCTCTATTATAAGCCATTAATAAAAAAATAATAAAATATTCCAATATATATAGTACAGTATATACTACACATTGTATAATAAATAATATACAATACACAATATAGTACTTATTACACATAGTATAATATATAATACTTAATATGCTATATATAATAATATATGTCTCATACTATTATTTATTACTCTATTACCACTTAATAATATAGATATATACTACTTATTACACATATATCAATATATTATACTATTTATTACTTATTACACATGTATTATTATATATCATTATATTATACTATTTATTACACATGTATTATTATATTATACTACTTATTACACATAGTACAATATATATTACTTATTACACATATATCATTATATTATACTACTTATCATTTATTACACATGTATTATTATATTACCTATTACTTATATTACTTTATTACCTATTACTTATTACACATATATTATTATATTTTATTACTTTATTACCCATTACTTATTACACATGTATCATTATATTTTATTATTTATACTATTATTATTTATTATACTATTACTACTTAATACTATTTATTATACTATATGTAATAATTATTCAAAATTCTTTTTTACTATATAGCTTAGCATCCTCTCTGTCTCTTCCTCAATCCGTCTTATATACTTGTTATCTATAAATAATGTATTGTCATCTATCTCCTGTATTATAAAATTACTTTCTCTGTTGAGTCTTATTATTATTTGCTTAATAGATGGGTCACACTCAATTAGTGCTCCTTTTATGGCCTTTACCATTTATAAAAAAATGAAAGAATTTGCATGGAGAAGATGTCTTAATGAAGGAATTCCAATAAAACTCGTATTAAAAGAGAATGAAAAGGACTTTATTGTAAGGGAAGGTATAAATAACTCATTACTAAGCATAGGAAATATATCCAACAGTAATATATTACTATTAGATGGCTTACCAGGCGTACAGCATAAACTACTCACAGATATATACGGTATAAAAGAGAGGACAGTCAGTATTATATGCAGGATCACAGGTATACAACAGAAACAGGACAGGGAGGAGGTTCATAAGATATATTCTATGCACCCATTTATATATACGAAATCAGTGAGTGTCACACCAGGCCATACGGATATATTAGTCATATTTGACACTCATCACAGTATGAGCACGTATGCAGTGACTCTTACTAAGAAAGGGAGGACAACGAATGATTCAGTGGAGTTATTAGCCAGGTTATTAAGGTTAGAGAGTAATCAGATAAATTATGCAGGGAACAAGGACAAGAAAGCCATTACTACACAGAGGATAAGTGTAACAGGTGTACCGTATTTAAATATTTATAAATTAGCAAATTTTATTAATAATAACGGTATTACCAAAAGTAGTAATAACGGTATTACCAAAAGTAGTAATATAACCCCAGAAGATATTTCAGAATTATTAAAAATACCTGATAATGATTCAGTTAATAAAATAAATTCATTATTCTCAGGGTGTACCAGGGACTTACACCAGGACAGTCTTAATGGGCTCAGTGACTTAAGTGGAATAAGCACACTACCACTAAGTAGTATTATACAGGACATAAGGAGGATTACAGCAGAGTACAATAATTCAACAGAACCTGAGCAGACAGATGCCCAGTACAAGGACATAACTAATTCTATAACGGAGGATACAATTATACTTACGAATATAGAAAGGATACCAAAAAAAATACAATTAGGAGATTTAGAAAAAAACAGATTTTATTTACGGTTAGAAATAACGGACAAAATAAAAAATAAAGAAATAACGGAAGAAATAACGGAAGAAATAAAAAATAAAGAAATAACGGAAGAAATAACGGACGAAATAAAAAATTTAGAGGACCGAATTAACTTACTAAAAGTAGAAGGATTTCCGAATTATTATGGAAATCAAAGGTTTGGCTATGGACTGAGTAATCCTGATGTAGGGGAGTTAATTATAAAGAAGGATTTCAAAGGCGCAATTAGTAAAATCATTGAAAATTTAGGAAATTTAGAGAATTCACCCAGAGTAAAAGAAGCACTAACGTATTTACACCAGGAGAAGTATTCTGATGCGAGGAATACCCTACCAGGAAAATTTCAAACAGAAAAAACCGTTATTTATTCATTAGAGAAGAAAATTCCTGCAAAAATAATATTCAGCAGGATAAGGAGAGAAACAAGAATGATCTACTTACACAGTTATCAGAGCAAACTATTCAATGACGTATTACAACAGAGACTAATTAATGGCGTACGTAATAATGAGTATATAACAGGTGTAAGCATAGGGTCTATAACAAGCAAGCAGCAGATAGACCAATTAGTCACAGTATCTGATACTCCCAATATAAGTAATACAGTGATACCTTTATATCCCATTGAAGAGATTGGTGCGAGTAAGCATGAGAAAGTGGTTGGTTTAACTGGTGGGTACAGGAAGGCCATTATTATACCTGAAAATTTGAATTATTCCGTTATTAATTTCAGGTACTTAGAGATTTCATTTGATTTACCACCTGGTGTGTATGCCACTATGCTTATAAAGGAGCTTACCTGCAATGGTGTAGTAGAGATAGGGTGGTAATACACCACTGACTAATAGAAGAGGTCTTAAGGAGTACTTAAGGAGTGAAGAGAACTATTTGAACCTATTAATAAACTGGTTAGTCATACAATTAAATGGTAATTTCAGTTATTTATATATATTATATCTATTTATCCGTTATATATGTATATTATATTTTAAACCGTTATTTATATACATATTTATCCGTTATTTATGTATATTTTATGTATATTAATATTATTAATCCGTTATTTATGTATATTATATTTTAATCCGTTATTTATCCGTTATTTATGTATATTTTTTGTATATTTTTTATAAAAATTTTAATAAACCCGTTATAATTTATTTTATTATCTAAAAAATATCTGCATCTGAGAAATCTTCAATCTCCGACGCATTATCATCCATCTCCATTTTATACCTAAGAATCCCTCCAATCCCATTAAATGCAGATATAAATTGAGTCCCTTCCTGACTCTTGTCAGATATAAATACCACACTGCAATTAACCTTCCTGTAATTCTCTGCAAGCCAGTCAGTCAGTAAGTCACCCTCACTGGAATCAGCAGCATACACCACAGACCCACCCCGATCAACCCGTCTTATTGTAGATGACTCGTCTATGATTAACACCTCCATACACCCCATCTCTAAACAGCCCATGGTCTCATCCACACCGAAACAAACCTTCCCTGACCCAGAGACAACCTCATCAAAGAACATCTTAACTGTCCTCTTCTCACTCACTAATTTTATATTCTGAAGGACTTCTTCTGACTGCTCTATCGCTTGATTTAGTCCATTCTCACCACCGTATGCCACATCAATCACTTTAGCCACTTTCACTTTAAGCCGCTGATCAAAGAAGTCTGCCTGGTATAAGTCACTCTTGAAATCAGCACACCCTGCCAGGATGAGTCCGTGTATATTAGGCTTATTACTGGATATAAACACTTGTGTGGCTATCTCACTGACTTTCTTAAGGTAATTATGCCTCTTCTCTAACCTAAGCCTAGCAAACCTAACTGAGGACTGGCCACCACGGCCGTGTTTCTTTGGTAAGTCCACGGATATGTTCTGCTTGACCTCTTTTGAGTTACCTGAGAGTACTGCGAATAAAGCCCCGTGTCCATCCAGCACTATAAACCCGAATTTATAATCATCCTCTAATGAGTTTATTAAGTCCTGTACGTGGAACTTGCTGTCACACAAGTACAGTGACGTATTAATGGGCTTCATTGGCTCTATGTCAAAGCACACTTTCTTCTCCTTGCCAGAGTCTTCCAGGATTGTTCCTGTGTACAGTGCCAGTCCATTATCAGGTACTTTTGTGATTAATTTTAGTCTTTGCTGTGCTGATGTGATTGCTCCGAGTACGCTGAGTCTGTTAACTCTGCTTTTTATGTTTGAGGCTGTCCCGTACTCATCCACTAAGAGTTTGTTAGCCCTGGATATTTGATCCTTTGGTGGGAGTATCAGGGATATCATGGATGTCCCATTTCCTCTTGCATTCTGTAAGTACTTCAAGAGTTTTTTCATCTTCCATCTTTCTACTTCTAACTGCTCAGCTGTTTGCTGGTCTTTCTCCATACAGAATAAAAAAAGCCAGAATTTATTACAGTATGCATAAAAAATAAAAATAAAATATTAATACTTATTACACAGTGCACAAAACTTATTACACAGTGTACAAAACTTATTATTATTTATTATACATATACTATTATATATTACTCTATTAGTACTATATTCTATTACTTATTATTACTTATTACACAATGTACAAAACTTATACTGCATATACTATGACTTATTATTACTTATTACACATACATTACTATATTCTATTACTTATTACACAGTGTACATAACTTATTACTATTTGTTACACATACATTATTACTATTTATTACTATGTTAGTACTATATTCTATTACTTATTACTCTATCACATATACTATGACTTATTATTACTTATTACACATAATGTATTACTTATTACACATACATTATTATATTCTATTATACACTATACTACTTATTACACATTAATCATAACTTATTACTATTTATTACACATATACTATGACTTATCATAACTTATTACACATAATGCATTACTTATTACACATTAATCATAACTTATTACACATTAATCATAACTTATTATTACTTATTATACATAATGCATTACTTATTACATATAGTGTATTATTATTTATTAACTGTATTTCTTATTAAAATTTCCTTCCATGTAAAATATTTTTCAGATGAGCGTAGTAGAGAAAATTAAAGAAATAGAGAATGAAATGGCAAGAACCCAGAAAAACAAAGCAACAGCAAACCATTTGGGACTATTAAAGGCAAAATTAGCCAAATTAAGGAGGGAGATACTTACAACTAAAAGCAGTGGAGGATCATCTGGAGAAGGGTTTGATGTAGCAAAAACAGGAGTGGCAAGAATCGGGTTTGTAGGGTTCCCATCTGTAGGGAAGAGTACAATCATGACTAAATTAACAGGGACGTACAGCGCAGTAGCAGATTATGAATTTACAACACTAACCACAGTTCCAGGCATCCTTCATTATAACGGAGCAAAAGTGCAAATACTCGACTTGCCAGGAATCCTTGAAGGAGCAAAAGATGGCCGTGGTAGGGGTAAACAAGTAATTGCTGTAGCCAGGACGTGTTCACTTATATATATAGTATTAGATGCAACTAAACCACTCACTAATAAAAGAAAAATAGAAATGGAGCTAGAAGGGTTCGGCATACGACTGAATAAGTCACCACCAGACATTACAATATCAAAAAGAGACCGTGGTGGTGTAAATATACGGTCATCCTGTAGACTGACGCATTTAGATGAGGAGGGTATCCGTATGATATTTAAAGAGTACCGGACACTAAATGTAGATGTCATGTTCAGGTGTGATGCAACTGCTGATGATTTAATTGATGTAATTGAGGGTAACCGGGTGTACGTGCCTGCTTTATACATACTTAATAAGATTGACAGTGTATCGTATGAGGAATTAGAGGTAATTAGTCAGTTAAAGGACTCTGTGCCCATATGTGCTGATAAGGAGTGGAATTTAGATGAAGTATTAGAGGCCTCATGGGCTAAGTTAAGGTTAATTAGGGTGTTTACTAAGCCCAGGGGACAGTTACCTGATTATACGGCACCGGTTGTTATGCGGGAGGGTAAGTGCAGTATAAAGGACTTCTGTAATTCTATTCACAGGGGGATTCTTGGGGAGTTCAAGAATGCGATTGTTTGGGGTAACAGTGTAAAGCACGTACCACAGCGGGTTGGCAAGGAGCATATTTTAGTGGATGAGGATGTGGTACAGATAGTAAAAAGGAGGTAACCTGAATAACTAATAACACATAAAGTAATAAATTCTAGAATATTCATATGTATTAAGTAATAATAAGTAGTAATAGAGTAATAAGTAATAATAAGTAGTAATAGAGTAATAAGTAATAATAAGGTGTGTTATATAGTGGTAATAAGTAGTAATAAGTAGTAATAGAGTAATAAGTAATAATATATAGTGGTAATAGAGTAATAAGTGGTAATAAGTTATGCACTATGTGTATTAAGTTATGTTATATGTGTATTAAGTTATGTATAATATATAGTACTATGTGTATTAAGTAGTAATAAGGTGTGTTATATGTGTAATAAGTTATGTTATATAATGGTAATAGACTATTAAGTATTGTACTATGTATAATAAGTTATGTTACTATGTATAATAAGTAGTAATAAGTTATAATATATTATATACTGTGTGTTAAGTATTACTTATTACACAATGTATTTTATATTTTATTCTTTATTGGTTAATTTTCTCCTATAAAAATAAAATTTAAAATTTTTATTTACTCCAAAAGTTTTAGAATTTACGTATGACAGGAAAACCACTCACAAAAGGACTTGGAGGCAGAAAATACGCAGTTGATGGATGGGACATGGGAAGAATGCTTAAATTCATTCAACAGGAAGCAGAGCAGAAGACACAAGAAATAAAAATCAAAGCAAATGAGGATTATCGACTGAGAGTCTCTGAGCTGGCCGTGACAAGCACACAAAAAATAAATAAAATGAGAGAGGAGGAGATGCACAGGATTCAGATGGATAAGACCATTGCAGTAGGGAAATTAAGGGCAAAGGCCTGTCTTAGTATAGCAAAGCAGAAGGAGCACACGATAAACAGGATTCTAAACACTGCAGCAGAAAAGTGCAAAAATTCTTTATTAACTGAAAAATTAGTAAAAGAAACCGTTGAAAAATACCGTTATATATTTCCTAAAAAGGAAATGATAATCCATATACAAGAAAAAAACAAATCCATTGTAAAAAACCTTCTTAATGGAGAGGACTACAGGATAGAACCATTAAATGAGGATATGCTTGGTGGGATAGTTATACGGGATGAGGAGAGGACTGTTTTAGTTAATAATAGTTATTTAGAGAGGTTAAGGTGTGCAGGGGATAAGGTTCAACCAATAATCCAGAAGATAATATTTACTAAATTAAGTAATAATAAGTAAATAGTTCTATATAACGGTTTTTTATTTAAATTTATTATAACTTATTACACAATGTACAATAATACATATAGGTAAACAGAACTTATTACAACTTATTACACATACAACATAACTTACTACACATTGTACTAAAATATCTATTGATTATACTATTACTTATTACACAACATAACATAACTTACTACACAATGCACTAAATATTATTATACATAACAGAACTTATTACAACTTATTACACAATACAACATAACTTACTACACAATACAACATAACTTATTATACAACACAACATAACTTACTACACAATGCACTAAATATCTATTACTTATTACACATCATGTATTATATTCTATTACTTATACTATTACTTATTACACTAAAATATCTATTACTTATTACACATTGTACTAAAATATCTATTGATTATACTATTACTTATTACACAATACACTAAAATATCTATTACTTTTTACACTATAACATTACTTATTACACAATACAACATAACTTACTACACAATACACTAAATATTCTTATGATTTATTATATATTATGTATAATGTATTGACATATCATAAAAAATAAAATAGTAAACAAAAATTTCTTATTTTATGTCATAATTAAAAATATCTATATAAGGAAATATCAGTTATAAAATATATATTAAAATTTTATTATATGAAATAAAATGAAAATTAAACTATTATTACTGCTAATATCTATAATAACAGTAAATACAACACAATTATTATCACCAGAAGAAATAGAATTATTAAATAATGAAATAGTCAAGAAATATCTAACAAAATGGATATTAATTAATACACATAGCTTACTAAATTTTGATATGGCATATTTATTGTATGAAAGTGGTGGCATATACAATAAAAGGAACTACGCAGAAGAAATAGAGATTAAATCAACTGTACAAACCTACAAAGACTCTTCTAATAATGCTTTATACCAAAGATACCCTTATAAAGATGTTTATTATGATTATTTTGATAGGGAGAATAAGGGAGAAGAAAGATTTAAATACATAAAAGAGTATCATAATACATTAATTAATATGTTTACTTATACAGATAAATTTAATACTCCCTTATCAGATGGATTAACAGATGGATTAACTATATTCTTAAAACACCAAGATATATTACCGTATGTACACAAAGTATTAGCATCACTTTTTTTAATTTCTGAAGGATTGAATATTTCCCTTTTTGTACAAAAAATCAATGACAAAGATTTTCTTATACTAAAAAAATTTAATTCAACAGAAAAACATTTTATGATTGATTTGCACCTGAAATTCATTAAAAATAACGAAGAAATAACGGTAAAACAAGAAAAAACAAAAAATATCATAAACTTTTTCATAAATAACAGAAATAATCCAATTATAGAAAAATATAACTACACTGAACCTGAAACATACGAAAATTTTTACACTGCAAAATTTTTATACAATCCAAAGATTCTTATTTATTCGTATATATATGAGCATATCACAAAAAAAGAAGAAATGCTTGGTTTTATACGGACAGTATACGATTTATTATATGAGTGTATGAATACGCCTATTTATACCACTAAAAATACAAAAAAAACGGATATTTCCATATTAAGTAATACTAAAAAGTTTGCAAATTCATTATATAAAAAATATTTTATAGAAGTATTGCCATCCAACAGAATTTTCAGGTATTCTCCTGTTAATGAATTAGTAAAGTATAAAAATAGGACTATTTCAAATAATTTACCAATTATATTGCATAACCCGAATGTAACCCTAAATAGAGAATATATTCAACCAACAGGTGGAATCTGGTTATTAAAATTAATTAAGTGCATAACTTATAACCCAATAACTCATAAGTATACGACTGATCATCTACCAAATGCAAATTTTAAATTAATTAATTTTATTAAAAAAGTAAAAAATTATTTTCCAACGGATTTATCAACTGAAATAGGCAAAACTTGGAATTCTTCCTTTTATGGTATAATTAATGAAAATAGTGCATTATTTAATACACAAGGCATAATAAGTACGCTTGAGGTTATATCTAAGCTAACTAGTAATCATACAAGAAATAAGCATTTTATTATGTTTAAGGAGAATATCCGTAAATATGGTAATACTGGCATGTTATATAAGGAAATTGAATTATATACTAAAGAATTTTTAAAACCGTTATTTAAATCTTATTATTTATTTCCTAATACGGAAAACAAAAATACAAAAGATTTAGATATAAAAATTTTTATAGAAAATTTTAGTATTTTAAACATACCTAAAAATAAGACTTATGATGTATTCGGTAAGATATTTATTAGGTTTATAACACATGAACAAGAAGAAGGGATTATATTGGATATAAATGAGTCAGGTATTGATTTTTATACAGAAAAAAGAAAAATTCATCAATTACCCGATACGGCAGAGCATTGGCTTAGATATAAGGTGGATTATGTTAAAAAAAGAAACAAAAATTTTTATGGTTTTTTATTTTTAAATTTTTTAAAAATGCAGTTAAGATTACTAAATAAGGAAAATACCGGCAATATTAATTATTTAATAGAAACCGTTAATTTAATTATAAATAACGATAAAAATAAGGTTGACAGATTATTTCTTGGCGGCAGAATAGAAAATATTTTTTATAAGGAAGATATTTTGGTGTGTTATTTATTACACATTGTGTATTTAAAAAAGTCAAAACTATCGATACAATTTATTACTAATATACTAGGAAGTGAAGAATTAAGTGATCATTGTGTACAAAGTATTCTACTGCCAATTGTGATTTATACAGGCATTTACAGCGAGTGTAAGAAATTATTACACTTAGACTTATTACACAATTACTTAAATATACCAATACATATTACACAATTACTTAAAATTCTTGAGTATTTAATAAGTATAAACTCACCAGAAATTCTTACACAATGGTTTAAAAGTTTTATAGGGTTAGACTGGCCTAATACATATTCTGTATATGAACTGCTTAAATACGCCCCTATAAAGATCAAATTGGGTGTACTTGACTGTATAAGTAATAACGGTAATACAGTTGATTATATTAAAAAATTAGTAAAAATTGTTAAAAAAACAAAAAATATCCGTTATAACGGTAATTGCCATATAAGGAAATCCAATGAAATATTTTTAATATTTTTAGGTATTTCCTGTCATAATAAGACTAAGTACACTAATATCATTAAGTACTGTTATGATTCTATTGTGTATAATAATAGTATTACACTTATTTACACTGGGGATACTTCTCCTGTATATATTAGGACAGTATACCAAGTATTAGTACAAGAAAAAATGAGACTATGTGTAAAAAGTTCTGGTATACGAAAATATAAAGCAGTTTTATACTCATACCGGATATATCTGGATAAGTAATAAATTATAACATAACTTATTACATACTACATAATAAATAGTATATAACTTATTACACATGATATATAACTTATTACACAATATATTAATAATATATAGATATATATAACTTATTACACAACATACAATATATATTACGTATTGATTATAACTTATTACATATTGTGTAAATTATATTTATATAAAAATAAATTAATTTTATTTTAATAAACTGGTACACATTATAACATAACTTATTACACATTATATAATTAATACTACTTATTACACAATATATTATAATATACAAATGAATATAACTTATTACACTACATATAATACTTATTGTACTACATGTAATAAATACTATATAACTTATTACACAATGTATAACAAATACGATATAACTTATTACACAATGTATAACACTATCCTTACCCAGATAATACAGTCTAAAAATAAATACAGATAAAGATATACTCTTTATTATAATAATTATAGTATAAGGACGTACACATAGTCATAATAGTACTAGACCATGCACTGAACTGTCCCTATAGTTATATGATTTGTTTAATTATGTGATACTAGTCTGAATTTGATATACTTATTCTTATATCTAGGCCGTTTATCTTAACATGATCACTGCACGTGTTCGCACACTGGCAGATCAGTCTCGAACATGCACACCCACATATAACCCGAATAACCCAAAATTCATTTTTGCCTTCACATAATATTTAAAATATTCATAATTTTGTTTGTTTCATTAGGATATAAGAATATTATACTAAAAACAATCATTATAACAATCATAATTATTGCAATAAATATTATAGTTGTAGTGCGCATTCCTTTGATTGTAGTACCAGATGTATTTATAGTACCACCTGTTTCTTTGTTTTTAGATGTATCTATAGTACCACCATTTCTATTTTTTGTATTCTCTTTTATAGATTTGCCTGTAATACCACAAACATCAGATATTATTGATTTTAAATAGCCAGAAATTACGTTATTTCTAAAATTACTAATATTAAAATCTTTATGGTCTAATACATTACTGTGCCCACCTAATATCGTTAGAATAGACTTATTATCTAAAATACCAATAATTTTCACATTCTTCAGTTGATCTAAGAATGTCTTAATTCTATCTTTGTTCTCATCTTTACCTAAACTAAATCCATGCTCCATAGTAGACATCTTATATATTGTATAATATAACCACGCAATAGAAGTATGTAATTTTTTATCTTTATCTTGAACTTGAATTAAATTATAAATTAAACCATTTATAATGTCATAAGTAAAAGAATCAAAATCCGAACGTTCTGTTCTTGCAAGTAATTGAAATGAATAAATATCATCGTCAGTTAGCTTTAAATCACTTGCATTTGATTGTTCTTCTCCATTCTTATCAACTATAGTTAGTTTATCACCATGTTTTATTAGTATATCTAACACTCTCTGTAATCTAGAACACTCTCCTGATTCAGTTAACTCATATAGTTTAAGTATTGCATCTTTTGAAGTTATTTCTTCACCTAGTTCTGATCTGTCTGCTTTCTCACGCAGTACATTAATAGAAGAATCATAGAAATTCTTTCTATGCCTATATAATTGTGCTATAATACTATGATTATTACTTATTAATTTATAAAATGCCTCTTTTTTACTTCCACTGTCTAATGCCTCTGCTTCTTCTTTAATCATATCTATAATTTCAGATGTTTGGGTTATAGAGTCATTGATTTTTAATATAATATCTTTATAATCACAGACCCGAGTTCTATTATATATTTGCATGTAAAATATATTATATGCCAAATTAGTCAGTGATTCTGGTAAATCTTCAAATATTGGGGTTTTTCTGTTAATATCTGTTATTATTTTATATATTTTTTCTATATCACTACGTGCTATTCTTCCTTTTTTGTGACCGATTTCTTTCTGTAATTCTATTCTTAATTCTTCATCATCAATATATCCTTCCATAAAAAATAAAATATTTTCCATATTTATGCTTTTAAAAAAACGGAAAAATTAAAATATTTTATACAAACTGTAATTATTATACATTTATGATGGCCAGCAGAAGGCAGTTAGTTAATGATACTACTGTAGTACTGTAATATGTCCATATAACATAGTTGATTCTAGTGGTGTAATAGATATTTATGACGTGTTCACAAGGAGTAATATCTGTAGCTGTTCTGATACATAGCCAAGATATATAGGAGAGTGAAAGGGAAGGTGTTTTATTCTATTTAGAAATTGGCCTATGCTTGTGCAGACTTGAAGTATTAATAGTACAGCTGCGTTAGATCTGGTGCTGAAGTAAGCTGTTAATGCCCTTTGAGTCTCTCCATAAAGTGTGTGAATGTCTCAAGGTGGCTAGCCAGTAGTTGATACACGGATCTGTGATCTGGCCTTGTTTTGTCGGGATCATCGTGCGGGTTGTCACACTGACATATCGCCATTGGATTCTCATACGAGACTGGTGGTATCATCATAAATATATAACTTATTACACATTAATCATTACTTATTACACAACATACATTACTTATTGTACTATGTGTAATATATATTACTTATTGTACTATTATTATTATATTTTAAATTATTTAACTTATGTAGAGGTAATGTATAAATAAATAAGAAGACGTAAAAAATATTTTATGGGAGGCCTTTTGGTAATTGACAATGGAACATACGAATGTAAAGCAGGAGCCAATAAAGATATACCAAGTGTGAAATTCCGCAACCAAATATACAGAACAAAAGGAAAGGATGGCAAAGCATTATACTCAATATCTGTGGATAAAAACCAGAATACTCCATCAACAGTAAAAAGTATGTTTGATGGAATGGTTGTGTATAACTATGACGTATTTGAAGGTACAATTAAATCAATAATGAAAGAAGTAAAAACTGGGTTAAATACTAAAGAAAAGGAAGATATTAAAGAATTAGTAATAACTGAATGCTTTTTAAACCCAAAAGTATTTCATGATATGGCTATAGAAAGTATATTTAATACATTCTCATTTAAAAAGGTGCATATAGGGTATGATATGATATACTCGTATGAGTATAATATACAGAATAATTCAAATATGTCACTGGATACAGAAGGATTCAAAAGAGAATTCTGTGATGTAATAATTAGTATGGGATATATGGGAGTATATGTTATTCCTGTAGATCCTGTGATAAAAAGTATTTTATATGAAGAGAGTACTTATATGCCACTGGGGAGTTTGGCGGCACAGTATATCTTCTGTAGAAGTATTTCTAATAAGTACTGTGGTACGGGTGTAAAAGTACAGAAAGAAGATGTAATTGAGTACTTTAAGGATTTAAAGGTACCACTGGACTACCTTGAAGAAATAGAGGGAGTTGTACATGAGGGAGTAGGAAATGTTCAAATATTACAAAAGCCAGGGAAGGAGAAAACTGCACCTATTAGGAATTATCCTAAAAGAAAACCAGCAGAAGAGATCCGGAAAAAAACAAAGGCATTGGTGGATAAAGAGAAGAGTGAAGAGAGTACAGAAACTCATATAAGTGATACTATGACATCGAAAGAGGCAGTTGAAGAGGAAGCAGAAGAAGTGGTTGAAACAGCAGAAACAAACAGTACACAGAAAGAGAGTGAATTAATGAATGAAGAAGAACTAGCTAAGAAATTAAAAAGAGAGAAACTCATAAAGGGAGCAACTGATCATAGGAATAAGCAGAAAATACTGAAATCCTTGGAGCGGCTTAGCTATCACATATTTATACTTGAAGACAGATACTTGCTCATAAACAACCCAGGAGAGTTTATGAAGCTACGAAGGGATCGGTTAGAGTACCTTGAAAAGATAATTAAAAAAAGGACTTTTGTAAGGAATGAGTTGAAGAACAAGAAAAGTACGCACTCTCTGGCACTACTAAAGAAGTCTTTAGAGCACCCAGACACACAGTCGGAGGATAACGTATACTTACAGGATATTCAGGATGCATCACTTGATGACAGTGCAATTCTTGAAGAGATTGAGCAAATAGATGGATTCTTACGGGAAAATGATCCAGAGTACATTAAAAAAGAGGAGAACCCACTTGATAAAATAAGGTACGGGTATAAAGAGAAAGGAGGAATAAACATCAATGTTGAGTTTATACGAACAGCAGAAGCACTCTTTAATCCTGCAATTGTAGGGATAGAGCAGCCAGGTCTCACTGAAAGTCTTTCTAACATTATGCACACTAAGGATGTACGTAATATATTCATAACTGGAGGGTTTAGCCAAATAAATGGGTTGAAGGAAAGAATCCAAAAGGAAATCATTCCACTGCGGTACATGCCAAATGATCCATGCATTGTATCTGCCTTAGACCCAGTGAATGATGCGTACCGTGGCGCATTCCTTAAATCAGAATATGCAAAGACGTACACAAAGAAAGAGTACATGGAACAACAGGCAAAGAAAAAAGAGACAGAAAATAATAATGACTAAAATAGTTATACCACAACAATATTCATAATATACTAATATGCATATGGAACTGCCCAGATTTAGCTGTAATTTACATGAAAAGTGCTTGTATAAAAATACACGTACATAAAGCATAAGTAATCACTGTAATATTCAATCACATAACTTGAAATAATCGAATTCTTTAATAGAATGTGCTGGTTATTTGGGCTATATAGTAATTACTGCAGTATAGTATAAATAAGTACATGACAATTCATAAATAAAACCTAAACGGTATACTTTATTAAGATGGATGTTGGATGAGAGTTGTTTAATCTACTGCCTGTCATGCCAGCCCTTTCAGTTAGCTTTTTAATCTTGCCGTGTTTTTACTTCACGATGCACTCTTTTTGAAGGTGTCAGAATAATTACATCAGAACCCCACCCAGACAGCGCATTCCTGTCTATTGCATTTAAAAACGCCTGCACTGCTGTGGTAAACAAGTCTTCTTCTTCCAGACCCTCAGTGAATAACACATCTGCAATACCTGTTAAATTAGTGGATGCAGTGCCGGTTGATGCAAAGTCTTTATGCGCACTCATACACCCTATTAAATCCATGGTATATACATGTGGGTTGTTCTCCCTGTCAAATCCCACTATCAGCGGGGAAATAAGGAAAGGTGAGAACCTCTTGCTGTACAGAATATATGAAAGTAAACAAGCAAACTCTTTCGGCTCTATCTCCCTCTGCTCATTGAGCTTGAACATATTCACGTGCTTTCTGAGTGTCTTGTAAAGTATTTGACAGTCCGGCACAAACCCAGTCAAACTAAGAATAAGCCTGTCTGTCATTTTATACAAACGGGTAAAGTTTGAATGCAATGTGCTTGCATTGTTTCCAAATCTTTTGTCAGCTGTGATCACAATTGCATCCTTTCCCACCATTGCCAGAGAGGATCCTCCGTAGTATTGCTGAATAGACATTAATTAGAAGAAAAACAACAAAATATTTGAAAGACAAAATGAAAATAGTTTAAATAATAAAAAGGAATTTCTTAAAATTAGAAAGTATTCCTGTGCTAACAACCAGAAATAACAGTAGAAATACTCTAAATACATCTAATACTCTAAATACAGCATATACTATACATTATTAAACCTATTTACTACTGTATTTCGTACAGTTGTTTAAATTGTATCCACTCATATACAAGCTAATCCTGGCACTCTTTCTGCTCTAGCTTATTCTAGCTTATTCCATATTCTACTTATAGTATAATAACCCAAATATTAAAATTAATGTATCATATCCCATAAAGAAATATATAAATACCTCGAAATATTGGCAGGAATCAAATGATAAATAGGAAAGGAATAAATAAGAATTTTTTATTCCCCCCCATGGAAGAAAGAGAAGCAAATAAAATTATTAGCACAATAATAACACATGACGGGGCATTTCACTTGGATGATGTACTGGCGTGTTTTATGCTTAAAAAAATATATCCACATGCAAATATAGTAAGAACAAGGAATGAAGATATAATAAAAACAGGAGATATTGTGGTGGATGTAGGAGGAGTATTTGACCCAGCTAATTTTAAGTATGACCATCATCAAAGAGGGTTTAACCAGACATACAATGACAACTATGATATAAAAATGAGCAGTGCTGGGTTAGTGTACAAGTACCATGGCATGCAATTTATTAAAGCACTGGGTTTGGATGTACACCCGGATTTTGACTATCTTCTTCTGCTGGGGTTACTTTATGAGACATATTTTGTATCTGTTGATGCAAATGATAATGGTGTTGACATATCGGATGATGTTCGGTATAATGAAAGGACTTTGGATAATGTAATACGGTCGTTTGTTCCCTTTGATATTCCAGAGGGGGAAAGTATTGAGTACGGTGATAAAGTAAGATATGAAGCATTTGAAAAGGCAATGGAGTACATTGGAAGTGATTTAGTAAGACACTGCAAGTACTTAATGCACCAGATAAATAAAGATAAAATGCCAATACTGCAGAGCTTTAACCAGATGAAAGATCCAAGAAGTAGATACATTATAATGGGATCCGGAGCATACCCAGCGAAAGAATTAATTCAATACTATAATACGTCACTAAACAGAAATGTATCAATAATTATATACAAAATACGATCAAGAGAGGGTACTATATACAAATTACTGTGCATTCCCAAGAAAGGCATAAGATACACACCAGAGATACCTTTATGTGAGGAGTGGAGAGGTCTGAGAAATGAACAAATGCGCAGATTCCCAAAATTAAAAAAGGCTTCTTTTGTGCATGCAACTGGATTCTGTGGGTCTGCAATGGACTTAGAAACAGCAGAGTACATGGCACAGAAGTCAATTGAGGAGTATTTGAAGAAAACCGTATAAATAATAAGATTTAGTTGATTGTCGCTGTAATATGTGAATGAGCCCTTCAAATTAATAAATGAAAGAATGTCCGTTTGTTTGAGTTAAATTTTAGAAAAACTGAAAATTTTTTATATGGCAGGAGAGTCTCAGAAAGCAAAAAAAGAAAGAGTTGACAATTTACTATCAAATGTAGGAGCATACCAGAAAATATACAAGTTGTTGTGCGACAACAAGACTGCCTTTATTCAGAAATTAAAGAGAGATTTCAGAAGCGTGAAGTCCGAACTGTTCTTTGGTAAGTACAAAATGATAGAAAAAGTACTATCACGAACACTCGACACAGAGCAACTTACTAGCTTAAGAGGTACTGTTGAATACAAAAAGTCCGACAGAGTCTTCCTCTACCTTCTATCAGACCTTCCCCAAGAGAAAGTACAGAGTATAGTAGACAGAATTAGTCACTTAGACTACGAAAAGGTTGGTGACACACTTTCTAGTGACATTGTCTTACCAGTAGGAGAATTATTAAACGAAGAAAGCGTAAAGGTCTCAAACACATTATTTAAAGAAATTGAGAAATTAGGAATCCAGAACATTATTATTAACCCAAAGACAAACAGCATAGAAGTAACAGAGCAAATTGTGTTAGGAAGAAAAGGTGAGCAGATGACAGAAGAACAAGCAAAAATGTCAAAGATTATTGGTCTAAAAAACAAGAAACACGGTGCAAGAATCGTTGGTTGTGCTGATATTCCAAAAGAATAAATGTTCTCTTAATAGGAATATACATAATAAAATCAAATGATTACTTATTAATGCATAAATGTCTGAATATTTACAGATCCCACAGAATTATTTAAATATGAAATTTCATTTTTATTTAACATAACAATTAAATTATATTTGATAATATTTCCTACTCAGATATAAATAGACTAAACTTCAAATATTTGGTTGTTCATCCTGTCTGTTTTTGGTCTCTTTATAGTTAATTTAAATGGTTTAATTGGTTCTTTCTTTGGAATACTGCCACTTTCTATTATTTGCTGCACTTTTTTCATGTGGGACAGCTCTTCTGAGGTATTCCCATTCTGCAAGTCCTTTAATATTTTGAGTATTTCATCGCGTGTAACATTCTGTATGATCTCTTGGTTTAAAAATGAACATTTGTCTGAGGACTCTTCCTTTTTATCTTTTGATTTTTCTGGAGTTTTCTGGACCATTATAGTAGAAGGCTCTTCAGCTGGTTTACTGAAAATAAGAGAGCCAGAAGTTAAATCCCTGCTTGAACAAAGTATTACCATAATCTCATCAAGAGAACTCTCTGAAGCATGCCTCATTGCTCTGCTAATTGGCTCATCTATTATCTTCCCTAAACACTGCGCAATCCCCTTGTGCTCTGAGATAATATTTTTAAATTCTTTGCTTTTTGCTTCCTTATGGGTTAGTCGCATAGTGCTGTACCCAATTTCTGTTAAAATACTCTCCCAATACGCGCATAGCTGTATTGAATGGGAAATAGGTCTTTCTGTATGTATATACTTGCTCCCAATAGGACGAGAATATACGTATATCTCTGGTCTATTCCCATGTATAAGCAGCCTTCTAAGACTCTCTATAAGAACCATCCGGGATAATCCCCTTACTTTTGATGCACTCTCAAATCGTTTAATATAAATAACATTTGGTTTTGGGTATACACAAATAACACAAACACTCATTGGTGCTCCATCCACATAAGAAATGATGTATAAGTGCTTGTTCCTCTGCAGAAACAGACTCTCCACAGAATATTCCATAGAATGCAAATATTTTCTGGTTTATTAAATGTTTATTTATTACTGAATTAGATAAAATCTAAATTATTTTTACTTCATGGATTATTCCAACAGAAAGTACAAATATGTAAGAAATCAAAATATTCCAAAGATTCAGTTATTTTTACTAACGGATAAAATATAACCCGAAAATTATACTGTCTAATAAGAGTAAACATAAGTAATTTATTGCTTGGATATTTTATCCTTCACTGTATGCCGGAATGATGATTTATCCTTAAGAGACTCATCATTTCCTTTAAATGAAACAGGAATTATTTGTTTTAGCTCTAATGTATTTCGTATTTCCTTCTCCTGAATATGTCTCTCCTCTTCTGATGGACAGCTTTTTGTCCACAGTGAAAGAATTGTGTGATGCCCTCTTACACTTACTACAATCCCATTCACATCCATGGTGGAAAACGGAACAAGTGCCATCCATATAAATAAGCTTTCAAATAGCCTCTGCTCTGCCGTGTTCTTTTTTATTTTGATAATCCACTTTCCTCCATTTAGATTGCTTGGATCTTCCCACATTGGCTCAATCCCTTTCTTAAACAAAGATAAATCCGTAATTGGCTTTATATCCTGTAACTTCTGCAGTCTTCTGATCAAATATAAAAATTCTTCTTGTGTTTCAACTGTTGCTTCCTGCTTTATCTTGCTTTTAAAGTCTTCGGTGTCTCCTTTGACGGTTAAGCATCTAAATACAGAGGAAAGGATAAGAGTCGATGCAAGCTTCTGGTTTGCCATAATAAAAAATATTTAATCGTAACTAAAATACTTTTAGAGTATGTGCTAAGTCCTTTCACTGGGCGTATATTCTGAGAGAAGAGTGGGAATTGAACCGAAATTATTTGACTTAATTACAGTAAATGTGTCTCCATCTGAGACAGCAATAAGTAATGGAAGGTTTTCTGTATATGAGAATACTTCTTGTGTAAATATGTCTAGTGGTGTAACTATAAGCAAGTAACCGTATAATTTGGAGTTCTTTCTGTTGAAGTGCTTATCTGGCTGATATACTTTATAGAAGTATCTGGGATTATAGCAACTACTTCTTTTTTCGGTTATGAAAATTTCCGTAATTGGTAGAATTGGCAGAGTATTCGGGATGAGTATCCAGCCTGCCTTTCGAATTTCTCTGTATGTTAAAAAGTGCTTATACCCGGAATTTATTGCATATTCATTAACATCCAACTGATTTATTTCTGGTGATGAAATATCGAATAGAACCTCTTCTAGTGCAAGTATTAATTTCTCTTCTTTTATTCCACACTTCCTATATTGCTGCCTGCCTGGGTCTTTTGGTATGTAATTAATCCCATCTGGAATGAATTTGTCTAGTATTAAACGCTCTATTTCTTTAGTGGATTCTGTCTTTGTACTGTTCATATAGCGTGGCTGGGTTTTTGTATGTTTTAGTGCAGGGGTCTACCATTACAGCAATTTCTGTATTTTCATAGGGAATGTCTGCGAATATACTTGGAGTCTCATCAAATAACTCTTTTGATTTAAGGAATAACTTATCTACATCTGATAACTTAACTGTTTTTTCCTTTTTTGTCTGTTTTCTTTGTTTTTTTGGTGTTTTCTCTTTGTAAGAAACGAGCTTCTTCTTCTTTGAGAAGTCAATTAGCATGAATATTTTTTTGCATTGACTTTTATGCCAGAAAGTGTTTATGTTAGAAGAATCCAAGAATTGCTGGCAGAGATATGCGAGTCGTCGCTTCTGCTCATGCCGCCTAACAAGCTTAGCACACACCCATGTGACTGGCTGTCTAGTGATATGGAGAATATACTATCTGCCATAGAGCTAACAAAAGACAAAGTGAACAAAGATGTACAGCAAAAGAAAGAAATAATTTCTGCAATGGAAATACGAAAGAACGAACTTCAACAGGCACTTGAAGAAGTATCTGATCAAGAGAGCACTCTCTGGATATACGAAAAGAATCTTACAGTAAAAGAGTCTCTTCTAGAGAAAGAAGTAAACTCTCTGAGCGTAAGATACGAAAATCAGTTAAAAGAATTTGCAGGCGTATCTAGTGCAATAAAAGAGGCAATGGCTGATTTAGATGAACACATGGTGTATGAAAATGAGTGTAATGAGATACTTAATATTTGTATAGTAACTAAGCCTAGTATTTGTCAGGCGAAAGACCTTCTTGATAGACTCAAGAGAAAGCAAGAGGAGATAAAAGAAGAAACCCAAAAAAAATAGAAAACACAAAAGATTTACTTATTTCTATTGGTGTAAACCCGTCTGCGTATCCTACAACGAGTGATATTGTTAATGCTTTGAGTGTATTAGAAGAACAATTAGAGAATATATCCAGTGAAACCCAGTCTTATAATTATACTGTAAGTAAAATAGACATTTCTGCGGAAAAGAGTGCTGATAGTAGCAGTTCTACCTGTGAATTAGCCACTTCTGGTGTTTCTTCCAGTGTAAAACCAGCTGGTCATGAACTTACTGTGGTTTTAAAGAGACCAAGTGAGATTGTTTTTAATAATCTTATAGTAGACGGATTAATTTTATTTCCATTTAATTTCAAAGGTGTACCTGAAACAAACAATCTATTTCCATTTCTGGACACATTGTCTTTCTCTGGTATTAAAAAAATAGAGTTGAATTTGGTTAAAATTAATCAACTAGCAAAAGAACTGGATATGTTATTCACTTCACGAATTGTCTTTTTATCAAGTAAAATACACCCACAGGGAAAGGAGTCAATTGATGAAATATCAATAATTAGAAAAATCATCATTGAGAAAGCATGGATACAGCAAATGGAAGAGGAGTACAAGAAGAAGATAAATGAAATATTCACAGAAAAAAAGGGTGCACTGCAAACTATTCTGAATGACTTAGAAAGAATCCAAGAAAAAAAACACGAAACTATTCCCTTCCCCTCTACAATAGACACACTTAAATTCACAGAACAGGAGCAGATTATATACGAGCTGGAAGAGAAAACACTTTCAGCACAGACAGAATATGAAATACTTAAGAATATTGAAGCATTCTCGCAGGAGAGAAAAGAACTTCTCCAAAAAATGTCTGCATTTGAGGAGCAGGCAAGTGATCCTCTCAGACTATTCAGAAGTTCATTCCAGCTGAACTCAGAAGAGAAGTTCCGGAAAATGGCCGTGCCAACACTTCTTCGCGTGGAGAAGGAGATATTCGCACTTGCATCAGAATATGCAGAGAAATTCAGTGACAAACCGATTGTTTTAAACAAAAAAGAGATCATCACAGAATTAAAGAATGAAATATCCAATCGAATAATTAATGCGAACGCATTCATGAAAGGAAGGGTAGCAAAGCCAAATAAGTAATCTTGATTTGAGAATCAAAGAATACTAAAAATTTACATAAACCGATTTTTACTAATAAACTGCTGTGTATTTCATACGTACTTTATGCTGAGATGTCTTCTGTCCTTGGACTCTGTCTCTCTTTTGCGTCTTTCCTTTTTTTTGTAAGTTTTCTAAGCGTACTCAGAAGAATAATATCTTCTAAAAAGGGTATTTCCATCTGAGACTCACACGGTGTGCAGTGGTATGTGCTAAGTCTCTTTTTATTAAGCATGTGCTCATAGTCTCTCATATTACTGCGTATTAAATATTCACTCTTCTCTGGGTTTATTTCTGTTATTGGCTCTTCTAAAGTCACATCTGTTACAAGTGCTGCAATTTGAGACGGGTCTTTCTCCTGCACGGGAGAGAATGGGATACTTGCTCTTTCTTTTAAATGGTCCTGTACGTCCTGGTCTAAGTATTTCTTCTCTTCTGGTGCCTTCTTCTCTCCTTCCTCCTCGCCTGTAAAGTTAATTAGTGCTCTTTCTTCTGTGTGCACCCTTTTCAGCTGGTCGCCAACACGAAGTATCTCGAGGAGTGATTCATCCTGCGGCGCTGCCTCTTTTTTTATTTGCTTGGTTATGTTCAGCTGGTACTGCAGAAAAGAGACAAGCTCTTCCCTTTTGTAGGACTCCTCTGGCCCTGTTGATTCTTCAATTATAGCTGAAAGAATCGCATTTACTAAGTCGGTGTCTGTTTCTGGCTCTTTTATCTCTACAATACTGTTATGCGCCTCACAGAGACCAGCCTCTGAAAGAATTCTTTTAATTATTAATAGCTGCTTGTTTATATGTGAAAAGACCAAATCCAGTATTACTTGCAGGGATTGCTTGCTTGTTCTCTCAAATCCTACCTGATTCAGTATTTCTACAATAACTGCCTGGAGCACTTTCGAGTAAAACTTTCCTTCGTCCATCGCTCTAAAATTTCTTTAAAATTAAACATTTTACAGTATTATTCTGCTAATTCAAATTTGTCCGGTATAAAAAGACGTAGCTTATTATTCAACGTATTTATAATTAAATGGCGTTTGCTTTATCATTAGCTATAATATAGCTGGTAACTCTAGAAATAAATCTTAATTTTTCAAAAAGTTTTATAGATGAAGTGTGCCATTTGCGTAAACTCAAGAATAGAAACCGACGCAGCCCGTGACATAAGTTACTGTACATCGTGTGGTCTGGTAATTGAAGAAAGCACAATTGTGTCTGATGTGCAATTTGCACAGGACACAAAGGGCTCTTCTATTTTGCAAGGCCAGTACGTCTCTACCGGCGACACAAAAAAACTTGTTTCGGGTAAGTTCATTACAACAAATCACATAACAACGATTCGGGGCATAGCCAAGTCGATTGGCGAGGCACTGGGAATTGGTGAGTCACAGATAAACTCTGCAATGCGGTGGTACAATCTGTCGCTGCAGTTTAACTTTACAAAAGGGAGAAAGACGCAAGTACTTTTAGCGGCCTGTCTGTACATTACATGTAGAGAGGAAGAGACTCCGCACATGCTTGTTGACTTTGCATACATTCTTCGTATAAATGTGTTTAAAATCGGCAGTATCTTCTTAAAGCTAATAAGACTACTTAACATTACTATGCCATTAGTTGATCCGTCTCTATTTGTTCCTCGTTTCTGTAGTAAGTTAAACTTAAATAATCAAAATGTTGGGAAGACTGCATTGCGTCTTATAGCAAGAATGGACAGAGACTGGATTGTAATCGGGAGAAAACCAGCTGGTATTTGTGGTGCAGCCATTCTTATATCAAGCAGGATACACGGCACAGAAAGAACAGTAGAGGAAGTTGCTAATGTAGTAAAAGTATGCGAGGCAACTATTAATAAGCGGCTTATGGAGCTAAAAGAAACAGCAACAGCAAATCTTTCAATTAGCGAGTTTAATACAATTTGGCTGGAGAAAGAAGAAGACCCGCCCATTGTTAAATTACGTGGCAAAATACTTAATGAATCTTTCTGTAATAGAATAGGCCATAGTGAGCCCAATGCCGCAGATACTGTCATAAATACCCCAAAACTTCCTACTGTATCCAATCAAAACAGTTCACTCTCAATGAACATTTCTGAGAAAGATATTTCAAATGAAAAGACTAAAGAATGGCCAAGTGACAGCGATGAGAGTTACATTGCTACACCTAGTTCTCTACCAACTCCTTCACAAGCTCTTTTAAGCAGCACAGCAGACACATCTGCAGAGACTTATAACTATAATAATGAATACGAAAGTGATCTGTCCGACTGTGGAATAGAAGTGGAGAACGACCTTCTTCTGAGTAAAGAAGAGGTTAAAGAGAAGGAAAGGATCTGGAATGTAATGTATGGAGACTTTCTTATAGAAAGAAAGAAGAAGGAGGTGAAGGAAAGAAAAAGGAGAAAAAGGACAAGAAAAAGAAAAGGAGAGAGAGAAGATACCACTGCAAGATGCAGTTGAGTCAGCAGTTAAAACAAAGAACCTTTCCTCAAGAATCAATTATGCTGCGATAAAAAACCTTTTCCAACAATGATAAATTCAGAATAACCAGCCACTGACACATGAAACAAAAGGAAACACAGCAAAAAGTAGAGAAAGAGTTAGAAGATGCACAAAGTGAAATAAAAGATGCAATAAAAGAAGAAAAAAAGAGAGGGGGCTCAATTTCATCATTAGAAAAGGACTCAGAACAGCTAAACGAGTCTCTTTCAGGGCTTCAAGAACAAACCCATTCAGCAAAGAACCGGCTGCTCAGAAAGAGTCTTCTGTGGATAGGACTAGCTGTTTTAATTGTTCTAATTATAGGCACTGTAATATTCCTATATATATACGAAAAGATAAAAAAACTTAAAGAATAAAGTATTATATTATTATAAAGAATATTCATTTCGAACTATATCGGGTTATAATTAAAATATGACTGTGGTGACACTACCACTCAGACGCGAGCCCCCGTGGGCGATCCGTCTGCGCACCATCTCGCACGATGATTCCGTCAAAGAAAAAGGCCAAGATTACTGAATCAGTATATCAGCTTCCGACTATTTAACCGGAGCTCTTTTCTCAATTTAGGGGAAGACTCAGGGAAGCACGACGACTTAACTTTAGCGCCAGGCCTAACACAGCTGTGCCCTTGGACTCCGAGTTCGCGCAGGCCTATGCCGCTTTCTAAAGACAATAAATATCTCTCCCCTTTCACTCTCTTTTCTCTCTTGACTATGTAGCAGGGTGGCAGTGCTGTTATTCCTTATGAGTACGTTGGCCACAGTAAATTCTTTTCCTAGAAGGCATTTCAGATAAACTTAATCCGCCGATTTCAGTGATAAGCTGAGATTTGAAAATACTTGTGAGCTTGTCATACTTTTTTTTACTCACAGGGTCATTTCCATTGCAAAGTGACTCTTTTTCTTTTTCTAGGGCAGATAGAATCTTTTTAGATATATTTTTTAATTTAATAGCATTTCGGAGTATATACTCATTACTAACACGCATAGGATCTAAATATGCATAAATAAAATTAATAAACATGGGATTATTAATATTCATACATGCATAACATAGCCATGCAAACCAAATATTATTTAATGATGTTACTGCATTTGATTCCATACATTCTTTCATTTTCTGCATTATTTCTGTTAGTATACCAAATTCATACTTTTCTGGCACTTTAATAAATATCGCTTTAAAAGAATCTAATACTCCAAATATTTTTAATTCTTGCTTATAATAAATAGATTTCTTCAAGAAATAACTGAAATATTCTAAGAAGGCTTCTTTAGAATGGTTTATATAAATCATACTTTCTATTATATTGTTAAGCAAATCATTACTAATTTCTGCTGTAGGCATATTTTCTAAATCATATTCAATATTTGAAAAGTGTTCTTTATGCTCAGTGAAATACATTATCTGTGGAAGTATTTTCTTTCTGGTTTCTAGATTAGGAATAAGTGTATTTCCTATAATATTTATAATAATACACAATAGTTGATTGTCGCTTACTCTGTTTCTGTTAGTGATGCAGAAGTAGTTAATTATAGCTGCTTTATAGTCTATATCGCCATATCCATATAAAAACAGTCTATTTTGAATATTTTCATTCTTTAGTATATTATTAAGCATACCCAGATTTTGCTCTAGTGTTTTTTTCTTAAGTGACTCTAGAGTGTTATTTAAATAATTACTAATTAGATTTCCAGTGTACTTATTTATGTCCGAATACTTTTCTTTAAGGCCCATAAATTCATTTTTTATATCTTCAGAATAATCTCTAAAATCAGATAGTAATGTAAACCTAGACATCACTGGGAAAGTAATTAGCTCTATACGTTCTTTTTTGTTATTTCTCTCAAAAACAAGTGTAATACTTCCAAATACATCAATGCTCTGGCGGTTTTCTGAAAGTGGTGCTAATATTGACGTACTAATACTTATTTGATGATTTCCTGCTAAGCAACGATTGAGAATATTCAGAAATAGTTCTTCTAATTTTTTTGTTCTTTCTAAGCCTGTATTACGTGAAATATGAATTGTATTCACTATAGTATTACGCATAGCATGATTTAGTGGAAATAGTTCGCATATCACATATAGAATGTTCTCTAGCCCAGCATGTAGCATTGTTCTACTCTCTTTTGCATACCTAATGTTTGGATTATTCAACCTTGATACAACTTTGCACCAGTCTCTGTGCTTGGTCTGACTTGCATTCTCTGTTGGCACTGAATATTTATTAAAGAATTCTATTAGTGCTGTAGAGGCACCATGCATATATTCTGTTGAGCATTTGTTGGTTTCTGGATTGTATGTAAGACACATGAACAAATTCAAAAGCATTGTCTCCACATGATTAGCGTACTGTAGTATTTCATCTTTTATAGGATCCTGTGAGTTCTCTGGAATATTCTCTGGTATACGAGTGTATGAAGGTACCATTGTATAACATATGAAAGGAAGTATTGCTTCATTGTCTATTTTAGTTTTTAGACTGTAAATATCTGCTGCATAAGTATTCTTAATACTATTATCTGGATTGTTTTCTATAAAACAACGATTTATAGTCTTATTAATATGTTCCTTCTGATATTCTGATATTCCTGGATATAATTCGAGGTCTATTAGAAAAACTCTTACAGCTGCTATAAGCTTCCTGTACTGCTCTATACTATCTATGTATTCAAAAATATATGACTGTATAAGGAACTTTGGGCTGTCAAGAAAATCACCACTATAAAACTCTCCTTGACTATCTGGCTCTTCGCGTTTTTTTACTTCGGATAAAAAAGGCTCTCTGCACAGATTCTTAAAGAAAAGTACAATCTCTTCTGTTTCCTTCTGATAAATTTTCTTTTTAGACTTATCTGCCACAATACTCTCCAGCTGTAATGGCAGGTCAATAAAAACAAAGTTTTCATTTTTTAGAACTATTCTCTCACTTCCTTCTATGCTCTTGTCTACTTCAATGGGAACATCAACTCCCTCTGAAAGAAGTATGAGTGTAGCAAGAAGGTATATAGTGCCGGGTTTGCTGCTATGTTTTCTTAGAAACCGAGTAAATGAGTTGTTTTTATGCGGTTCAATAGAAATCATGCCATTTACACATGGAAACATATATATCATTTTCTGATGAAAATCAGACAAATACTCTAATTCAGTGTTAAATCCATCTATACCATTATTGTTTCTATATGGTGTGTCATTCTCTGGATTCCTTCTGAATTTGTATTTATACTCTGGCACATTCTCTCTTAAATCTCTATATCGGTTCAAACTATAATCTGCCCTTATCCCAGGAGAAAAAAATCTCTTGTTGTACAATAATTCGTTCTTATAAAAAATATATCCTCTCAGCGGGTTTAATGGTCCATCTGGATTTATGAATATATTCTCTAGCCTTGCAGCAAAAATATTCTCTTCTATTTCCTTTATATCGCACAGCTCGAGTCTTGCATATACTGTGTATATCATTACTAGTAGCTTTATGATCATGCGGTTTTTCATTTAGGGAATAAATAAAATATTTTTTATTACCCAATTTGATTTTTTTATTTCTATTTTTATATAGCATAAGATTCACAGAAAAATACAGAAAATGTCACTAGAGTCCCATGTTTATACATACTCAGATATTACAATAGTTATAAAGAACCTTTCTTTTTTACTTTATCTATCTATTTTAAACTGCATTGTTTTTGAAGTAGCTGCACCTTCACATGGGTGCATCAAATAATAGAGCTGGTTTTCTTTCTTCTTGAATGTAAACCAATAGATATCATAACTGGACTTCATATTTATTAAATTCCAGCAACTCTTATATAGATTCTATCACTATTATTTATGATTCTGAAAAGCATGTTCATATCCCGAATAATACGTATACATATTATTATCATGCGAATTGTTCCATTGTGTACTGTCTGTAGCAATGTCTCCTCTGTGGTGTATATGAACTTTATATGCCCACAATGTATATCTATAATATATTCATTATACAGTATAATATATTTATATGATTTTGGTATATTTATTTATATTTCATCTGAAAGTGAAACTGGCCTATAAGGCTTATTTTCTTTATTCATACGGCAGGCGTTTAAATATTCCTTAAATATAGAAATTCTAAAATAAAATATATTTTTAATGAATGTGTACTTTTTTAATTATAAAGAAAAGACTTTTCTATTTTTATACTAATTTAAAATATTCTATTTATATTAATATTACTTTATCAGAGAATAATTTTAAAATGGATAACCCGAATAATAGAATAAAAATAACCACCATAATAGAAATAGCACAATTTCTTATAATACTAAACTTATTACTATGCTGTGTTTTTTCTGGATATTGTATAGCAACATTAATATTTTCTGTATTTCTTGTAGCAATATTAACATCTGACCCACTAATACTAGAAATTTGTTTTCTTACACTTTCTAAGTATAGTTGAACTACATTATTTTTAAAAGCATCTGTATTAATACCAAATCCCATCAATGTAATATTAACATTATTTAGAACATTTTCATTAATAAATACTGTTTTTGTTTTTTTAAGTATATCTAAATCTTCTTTAAATCCATTTATGCAACTTTTGTTATCTGATAAAAAATCTTCTTTAGTTGTACTTCTGAAATGATTTAGACTAAGTGCAGTGTCATAAAAATTATATTGCTGGCCTTTGCTATCCTCAATGCCTATTGAATCATATATATGTTTTATAATTACTGGCCCATCAAATTTCTCAAATTTCGCAAATAATTGCAGCGAATAAACATCATCAATGTTTAAACCAAGTATCTCCATATTTTCATCTTGTCTGTATCTGTCATCACAAAGCATAGAAATATTATCTCCGTGGATTGTCATTATATCCATAGCTCTTTGAAATCTTGAACACTCCTTATTCTCAGTTAGCTCAAATATATTGTTCACTATATCAGCATATTTTTCTTCAATTGCCTCAAAATTATTTTTCTTAGTATCTATTCTTCTTACACAATTATATAAGAACTCATGCTTACATAAACAAGCCCAATTTGTTGCTATATGGTTATTATTTATCATATCATAATATGCTGCTTTCTGCTTTTCATTTTTGATCTTTGATTCTGCTGCTTTCTGTATAGCATCCATAGCCATCTCTGTGTCTTCTATTGAATTGTTAACTATTGATACAATTTGTTCTTCGTCATACTCATTGTCTAAATTACTAATTAGATGTGATATATTTGAAGTAAATATATTATATCCAAAATTACTTAATGATGCATATTTTTCATGAAATATCGACTCTTTCTTGCATATTCCTGTTATTGCATTTATTAGTTCATCACTAAAATACTTTGTGTTTATTCCACTATCCAATATATATGAAGAAACTTCTTTTAATTTCTCTCTTAGATTCGATTGATTATAATTTTTCATTAAAAATCAATTTTCTCCGTATTTATATTTAACTGACAAATTACAATTTTTCTGGTTAAATTACCCCTAATACTCAGTTGATTTTTTAGAAAAGCTCATTAAAATAGATACTTTGACGTTTATTGAAATTTGAATATTTACCTATACGATCAATTTAATTTATACTGACGTGTTTATGGAATTATTTAGATAATTTATATATTACTATACTAGTGCTAGTCTTGGCATATATCATAGCCAATGACAATAACTTATTACAGCTTCTCTAGAGCACGGGAAAGTGATTTATGAAGCATAGAAAATAATCCAAAACCCAAATAATCTAATTTGTGACTCATTTCATGCTTTATTTTTTTAATGAAAAGTAGTTTGTTAATATATGGTCTAAGCAACTCAACCGGATGGGCAAAGAGTGCATGGCATTTGTTCCCTATACTTCATGCTAGGGGTATTTAATTTAAAATATTTAATTAAATGTCTTTAAGTTTCTAGAATCGTTTTTTGTTAATTGAGGAGTAGTTTTATTATAATTAGTCCATTAATAACCAATAATAACATATTTTTATATTAAAATAAACCCATTCACTGCCAAAAAAATAATTTTATTTTATTTGCAGATTCTTTTTAAGAATATTTAAATAGCTTCTATTTTTATTAATAAAGATATGTGTCATAATTGACATTTCTCCAGAATTTTAACTTATTTAAAATTTTATACGTGCAGCAAGCAAGTTATATTCAGGTGACATGAGAGAAGAGTACAACAATAAAAGAAACAAGAATTTAATACGCATTCGCCATAAACCGTCGTCATGCCGAAGCCTATTAGAATACGTATGGACTTCTAATCAGCTGCCACCGGTTGGTCATGACAATATGTCTATAAGAAAAGAATTTATTATTATAATAGTTGCTTTATGTAAGGTATACTGTAATGTAGGAATCAGTGCATATAAGGGTTTACATACCAAAGAAATAGGAAATGAAATGTGTATAAAAGCAAATGGGTCAATATCCCCCATAGGTGAATTTATTTCTGAGAAGTTCAATTTAATGTTTGCAATGCGGTTTTTATCATCGGGTGTAGATGCAAATTACAGTCTAAGTGTTACAGATGATGAAAATAGTGAAAATAATATAAAAATAGAGTCAACAAGAGACTATAATAAGGATGTGGCATATAAAAAACTCTCTAATGAAGAAGAGAGTGAAGAAAAAGAGAAAAAGACAACATATCTTGAAGACTACCACCAAACAGTAATCGGGATGTTTCCTTCTCTAACTGGAAGTTTGTCAATACATACTTCTAATGATGATTCATTCATTAGATTTCTTGAGTTTGAGCATGTGAGTAAGCATAAAATTGATATTTTAGCTTGTTTATTTCTATTAGCAGAAGGAGCGGATATACCACTGAAAGTAGAACATAGTAAAACTGGCCCAGTGCTAGTCTTGAAAGAGATTATAGCAAAATCTGAGAAGGAAAATAAACCAGAAAACACGCAGAAGAGTGAAGAGGAAAAAAATAAATTCTCTATAACTATGAAAGGTATGTGTAGTATAGAGAAGGAAGATAATACATTCAAGGATAAAAATGTGTTACAAACAAGAGCAGCAGATGTTATAAACTTCTTTATAAACAACAAAACAAACCCAGATATACGAGAAGGAGGTGAATATGCAGAGCCAAGAACATATGAAGAGTTTAAAACCGGTAAGTTTTTAAATAATGCAAGGTGGCTAATACAGTATTATATATTCAAGTATTTGGATGGTGAAGAAAAAATAATTGAGTTTGCAAAGACAGTATATTCTATGCTTAAGGATTGTATAGAACAGAAAAAGAGTGAAGGATCAAACAACGAAGTGAAATATCTTGAAAGCATTATTAATAAGTGCTTTGTGAAATCCAGTAATGCCAATACAAGTAATGCAAAGCATAGAGCAGGTATATTAACTACAATATATAAAGAGTCTCCTCTAGTAAATATATTTCCATTTATAGGTAATGTAAGTGCACCAGAATATAGAAGTGTTCCATCATATAATAGAAAAGAAGATTCCTTTGATAGTAGTAACATATACAGTAACTGTGTTGAGGCTGGATTGCTTAGCTTGTTTTGCTGTTTAGCATATGATCCAAAGACTAAAGAGTATAATATAGACCATATGGGAGAAGTATCACCGGACTTGAAAAGGTTCTTTGATACGTACAATAAACAACTGGAGACTGATACATACGAGATGCATATAGAGTGGAGTAAAGTAGTGGCGGATCTAGAGAATGAGAATATTAGGTATCTAAAAGAAAATAGGAATGAGCTTGCGCCTGGTATAATAAATATGCTATATGTCATTGCTGAAATAACTGGAAGATATTCTGAAGAAGAAAAGTCTCTTAAAGAGCTCAGTACTCTTTTAGAAGAAGATGATGATACAAAAAAGGATATGCTATTTAAAAAAGTGAAATTATACACGAAAGAATTAATTTTATCACTCTCCAAGAAATATACTGTAGAAGAAAACTCGAAATTAGCAAGAAGAGAAATAAAGATAGAAATTTTAAAGAATGTCAAAATGCTCAAATATTAAAAAGCAAGTGGATATATTGGGAGAAGTAGTTATAGCATATAGTTATTTAAATTTAGAAGGGGGAGTAATACTAAAACATACTATTAGATATTTAAAGACTACATTCTTCCCTAGTAATACTAATATCTTGAAAAGTAATAAAAAGAAAGAAATACGTAATAAAAAGAACAGTATTGAGAATGGGCCCGAAAAAACTCTAACAGATTTTCTACTTATGTATTGTATAGAAAAAGTGGTGGAGAGTAGCAGAGAAGTATACCAAAATCACAAAGAAAATATAAAGGTATCAGGAGAAAACAATTACTCCTATCCAATAGAAAAGCTTTTTTTATATAACAGGTTTGAAAAGACTGAAGATAGAATGAAAATGATACATTATATTCGGGAGTGCCTCTTAATGTATCGATTAGAAGAAGCCGATCCGTGGTCGCGGTTCCTATCTAATATAATAGGAAGTCTTCCGTTAAATGACTTAAATACAGTAAAAAGAGTTTTTTTCAATCCATTGTATAAAGAAGGATTATACAAAAGTTTTTGTACAAAAGTCAGTATATCTCTAATACCATTTGATAAACATATTGATTCAGACGATGCAGGTAAATATTATAGGCATTATATAAATAATAGCAGTTTACTCGGCGGATATTTAAAGATTTTAAAGATATATCTAACAATAGAAGGTAATATAAGTTGTTTTTTCACAGTTGCAATGCGAATCTTTGGAGAATCTACTTTTATTAAACTTTTTTCTGTGTTGACGCATGATGGTAAATCTATGGATTCATTACTAGAAATTGAAGAGTTTTTAAATGGCATAGACAGAGGGCTTCCAAAATATAAAACAGTCATAGCAGCTGATGATATGTGGTTAATTTGGCTTAAATTATCTTTTTGGTCAGATAAATTCAATGATATTAGATCTAGGCTTTTTGATAAAATTGTGATTGATACAAATTTTAGCACAATTAAAGGAGTTAAGCACGAATATACAGATGAAAATATTAATAAGGCAATATCTAAGTTTAAGAAAAAAAATACCCTCCTGATGTAATAGAATATGTACTTAGTATGGTTGAAAGCAACTTTGAATATGCAAAGAAACTTAGTTATTTGCTAGAAAAGTATGATATTATGTTTTTGATGAAGAAAACAAATAGATAAATTTCCGATTAAAGAAATTCATTCATAGAATATTGAAGACTCCTCTATTCTCATCACAATTAAAATATTTTAAGAGCAATAAATAATTCTTCTATAGAAGCTTTCAAATAGCAATTATTATTTTTCGTAATATAAATTTTATTAAAAATAAAATATTAGTCATCCATTAAATTTTATTATTTAGACAGACTTTAAAGAGTCTTTCTTTATAAAAGCAGAGCATTCAATATATGTATACATTGAATTTCATCAGAATTGATTCGTATTTTTTTATTATTTTATCAATCAGATCATTATTTACTTTTACATTGTTAAGGTATGTTGAATATTTCATGGAAGAGCCTGTATCTTCTTGTATGATACTGTTAATTGTATCAATTACGCTACGCATACCTATATGCACACGATAATGCAGGTTTTTTTCAAAGGACAAAAAATGCCTAAAAATAGAAATTTGATCTAATGTTTTTTTGTCATCTTGGTTTTTTGTAGATAACATGATTTCTAAAGGTGCAATCTGGGGTTTTTCGAGTGCAATCCTAGATAAATCACTATCTATATCTTCTTTAAGATCTACTAAATAATTTGATATTATTGATTTTGCTTTTAAATATCTATCTATGCAATTTGCAAAAGATTCTTCTACGCTATATAGTTTAGTATTGTCAAAACTGTATGCATCTATGTCTTTTAAATCGTATAGTGCGCGTAATGCGTATACATAGGAATATCTGAACTCAAGCAATATATCGTTTTTAATTTTTTTAGTTATATTCACTGCCTTTATAGCTTCTTTAAATTCTAAAACGAAATTAATTATTTGCACACACGTGGAGGAAATAATAGTTTTTTTAAATTTAACATTTAAAATGCTTGCTTTGAATGTTTCGGGAAATTTTAAGGTATAGTTAAATTCGTCTAGTGCACGCTCTTCTTTAGTCATTTCTCTACTATTTCTATTTAATTCAATATCTCTTATTTCTTTGTAATATTCCATCTGGTTAACAGCCTCTTCGTCAAATTTCATTAATCTTTGCACATTGAATGTAGATAGAATCCTATTCACTCTGATTGAATTTATCATATTCAATATATTAAATGAAATCGCCAAGTTTTTTGAAAACCACTTGTAGTCAACAGTTCTTTCTCTAAAAAGACGAGAAGAAGTGTGTATTGCCTCACTCAATTGCCGATTAATATGTTTTAATTCAGCATCTTCACAATCAATCTTTTGGGTTATACGGCTTATAATAAAATTAGAACGACTCCCTTTAGCTGGAATCATGTCCTCTTTTTCTGTATGTACTTTTGCCTGTTCAGTTGCAATTACACTTGCTAGTTCTGTAGCCATAGGCCCTATCATTGTAAATCCATTCAATCTTATTCTGTTAAAATGCCGAGTTTTGGTATATATATTATTTAAAATCTTTTCTTTAGATTGCTTTTTCTTCCTCCTTGCTGTTTTAAATAGTTTCTTTAATTTCATATAATCCGCTTTCATGTTAGTATATGATTCATCATGCTTATTCAGTTTAAACATATTTCCATACATATTTTCATTATGTAAAATAAACTCTTCTACTGTTTCCCGTGGTTTTTCTGTAGAATAAGCAGCCTCTGCGCTGTTAATAACATGGGCAACTCTTACAGCCGAGTCAGTGGTTTCAGATTGGTTATCTGTATTATTCAGCATTGATGTGTTTAGCGGGTTGCTGAGTATATCTATATTAGGCACTTGTGTATCTATTGGATTATAAGGTGTATACATGCCATTTGGTATTAAACTACAAATAACATAATGTGTTCCAAATACAATAAAGGATACTGTATATACTTCTTTAATAAATCTCATTTAATTTCAATAACATCTTCTCTATTTATATATATTTGACAAATCAAATTGACAGTTTGTTAATTAATAAGCATTACTTTGTATCTAGTTGATTTTGTAGCTATTTTTCTCTTTGTAAATATATGAATTCTTTTCTATAACTAAACACTGTAGTTATTTAGCACCTGGCCCAGCAGGCAATCCCCTGGTGGAGACTTCAGGCTTTCTATTCAGAGGAAGCCCGCGGGCTCAGACTGGTAGGCCTGCTCCGGCTGTCGGGTCTAGCGTTCACTGCCCAGCTGTTCCCCAGGATCCCAGGATGGGAATATCTACCGAGGATTGCCTGCGTTGCATGCCAGTTCGAGACCGAGACGGAGGACCTTGAACACCTCCTGCTGGAGTGCCCTGAGCGGCGAGTTCAACGGTTATACTTATTTGATGCGATCCGCCTGGAGATAGGCGCACTATCTCAAGTATCGACAGACAGTTTGGTCGATGCGCTTCTTGGGGGGAAGTTACCTAAACACGCATGGAGGACTCTGTTCCGGGACTATCCCGAAACTAAGGCCCAGTGCGTAGACCGTAGCGTGAGTATTACTCGCGCGGTGGCACGTTATCTCAGTGCCATCATCCCATTGAGGAGTGACCGTATAAAGTCCTACTTTATAAGCCATGTTCCTCGATTCCTAGCAGTCAAAGACATTAACTTGTTACGGCCGCCCTAGGGGCACGAGGGACAGCTTAGAGAGAACAGGAAGAGAGTGTGTGGCGCTCGACGACCATCCGTTTGAGGACCCTCGAACCCTATATCAATAAACTGTTTTAAGATATAAAATGCCAAAATTATAAATGATGCTAATGAAAATTATATAAAAGTTTCTGGTTTAAAATAAATGTAAGTTATGCATGGTTTATTAAAAATAAATATTATCTATGTCTTATATAGAGCATAAAATAATTACAAATTACTATTAAAGAATGTTTATTTGTAAAATATACATTAAATATATCTTATTAATCGAAAGAGTATTGTATAAAAATACCAATTATTTTAAATATTATATACTACTAGGAGTATATAACTATTGACCGTCTAGAACTTCCTGCTTGTCTTTGATGTATTTTCTAAATAAAGAAATTATTGCTAGGTGTTTTTCTTCATGCTCATAACTATTCGGGTTGTTAGACAATTCAAACTTGTTTTTATCTAAAAACTCTATAAAACGCATAGTATTTTTATAGGATAATTTATATCCTAGAACATCTTCAATTTTTCTTGAAAGATCGTATGGGTTTATACGGGCGTATATGAGTTTAATATCCTCTAAGGTGAACGAGCAGTCAGAGTTAATTATATTATAAAGCCAGGACACATAAATAATATTAAGATTAGTGCCAACAGGAGAGGGCATTGCATCTGTTAATTCGTTATGAACATAATTAAAAATAGATGTTGCATACGGGATGTGCACTTTTGTGTCTGCTATATTATGATCAGCTGATTTTTCACTATTTAATTTGGGCTGGGACTCCCATGGCATATATTTTGGATTATAGCTGGGCTTTTTAATTTCTTTTATTATACTATCAAGCATATGCACACCTGAAAATAAATATGGTATTTCTTTGCCTTTTCTATATGCCTGTAACAAAGATATATATGATCCAAGGATAGTAGAATTATCTATTTCTTTTATATGATGGAGGGACTCTATCATTGAATGGAGTTCTTCTAAACGAATTTTTGTTTTATGCGATATGTGTATGTTATAATCAAGCTGTGGATAGTATGCCTTATAGTTCTTGTTGTATGCATAGCCGGATAGAATGTGCTGTCTTATTGTTGGGTCATCCAGAGGAACACTCCCTATGAGATTAGAAGTGAATCGCACCATAGGGTTATCACTTCTCAAATTTTCTCCACTAGAGTATATTGAGAACATTCTTATAATATGCGACTTGTACTCTAGGTCATCTAGATCCCCCCATAACATTAGGCGGTTTGGATCATTGCATCTACTATTTACTATTTTCTCTTTATTCATATCAAATGAGAGTTTTAAATTAAAGATGGCATCTGATTCAATTTCTATCATAAAGAATTGTTTTATAATCATATTGGGATATACACACATAGAATCATAAACATTACATAATTCAATTGGGGAATCTTGAGCAACCAATTTTTTAGTATAATGATCATTACCCCATGCGAATTTAGATGCCAGCATTTCTATATCAGAACGCGCATGCTTATTATATAATGTTAATTTATCGCTGCATGTTTGTTCTTTAGAATACCCTTCTTCATCAAGCTTTTCCTTTTTTATAATCTCTACTGGCTGGTTTTCTTCATAAGAATTAGATATGGCAAATCTAATTCCATGCCACAGTAGACCAGTATCATATAGGACACTAATATGCGCACCCAAGTCTTTATCCAATTTTCCTTGTCTGTTTATTGTCATAATTATAGGGTTGTTGCACTCTACTTGTACCTTTTTATTTCTGGAGAGCAAAGAAAATACTTTTTGTAATAATTCCTCTAATTCTAGCTTGGTTTTTTCCATATTTTTTATATAATTCTTCTCCTTTTTAAGCATATTTTTTATATAATTAATTGTATATTCTATCTCAGGTAGACTTCCTACTAAATCAGACATCATATATAACATGCTTAGTAGCCCAGTGTTAGCTATTGAACCATCATCATTATAACTACGATTTGAGCTAGGAAGGTCATCTATAACCCGATTCCATTTAGATTTCATAAAAGCACTTATGTTCTTTACTATATATGTGTATTTAGAAAAGAAGCTTTGAAGCTTTTTAAATGCATTTGGTAGATGATCTGTATTGTATTTTTTAGTTGATGAATCAAAGGTAAAGCAGAAGAAGATAGCAAGAAGAATAGAATTATGGCAATTTTGAAAACTTCTGCTGTTTTCTTTATCTATAACAATTCTACCTTCTTTCTTGATGTACTTGGGCCTATCTATGCAACTTGGCGTATAGGCAACGTCTATAAACGGCGTGTTTATACAAACATCTCTTGCTTTTTTAAAGCTACAGAAATCTGCATAATAGCATCTTCTATTTATTAGGCTAGCAAGTGGGGTTTCAAGTTTTAAAAACAACATTTTAAATATACGATCTACATGGTCTTTAGATGTTGTAGAGGAATTTTCTCTATCACCAGTCATTTGTTCAGTAATTAAGCTATGCACTATCATTACAAACTTTTCATACATCTCTACACTGTCTATATACTCAAAGAAGTATGTTCGAATAAGCATCTTTGGATTGCACAGAAAATTTCCTTTTAAGAACTCTTCATATGTAGTAGGCATTGAGAACTCTTCTGGTAATTTTAAGCAGTAGGATGGGCCTTCATTAACAAGGCTCTTGAAGAATTCAATTATCTCTTCTGTTTTTTTCTGATATACTTTTGAACTCTCATGCTCTTCTCCTATTTTGTCCTCTATAGTCAAACTCAATTTAAAATAGAATCCATTTTCTGCTTTTTTGCTCTTTAAAGTAAGTATTTTATTCCCAGTATTTCTTTTATCATCTATTATTTTAATAGGAATCGCAATTTCTTCAGAGAGAAGAAATAAAGAAGCAAGAATATATAAATCATCGGATTTACTATTATGCTCTCTTAAAAACCGAGTAAATGAATCATTCTTAACTGATTCAATAGAAAAACGTCTATTCTCTGATGGAAACATATTGATTAGCTGCTGTGCAAACTTTTCTAAGTATCTGTTTTTGCCTCTATCTTCATCTATTTTGTTATGTACTTTCCAATCTTGTATACTTTTAGAATACTCAATAGTATGCTTATTTTCTTTTGATATCTTGTTTTTCTTCAGAGACCACTCTTGGTATGTTCCATGCCAGTACATACGAAGGTTCTTCATAAACCTGCATGAATAAGTCATATAATTAACAGATGGCGAAAGCCCTCCTGCCGGGTTTATAATTAAGCCAGAGTTTACTTTTATTATATCTGCTCTAGATATATCGTTCCCCAGTAGAATAGCACTTATACTATCTGCCAATGTTATTAGTAGTAATACTGCGCCCATGTTCTTATTCGATATGTTTCTTATTACAAACTGTTTTATATTTTTAGATATGCTCTGTCTCTCTTTCATATTAAAACTATATTAAAATTAATTATTTTTATTTTTATTAATGACTTTTTATTTTTGGTTTATATAAAAATAAAATAGAAATTGTTTAAATTCTTAATAATATTTATTAGAAGTATTTATACAGTAATATATTTAGATAATAATTGTTTATGCGCATAAAAACATATAAAATACTAAAAGAACAATTAGTATGCAATTAGTGAACCAGTTATTGATATGGGGAATGTGGTGTTGCATCTATATGACAAATCGATAACATGCACGTGTTTATTATACTTCACTAAGCGATTCTTCTTTCTTTTATTGTAATTATATGTTACTGACTGTTAGTTCAGTTGGTGCTATATTTATTCTTTATATATTAACGTATATTTATAGAAGTATTGTATAATTTATATTTTCTATAAATGCTTTAGCGTGTTATCTAGCACAGAAAGATTTCTCTTATTAAATAAATGAAAGGAAATTATATTATGTATAAATCCAATTAATAATAGTAAATTGTATTTATTTGAAAATTAAGTGCATTTAGTGCTGCAATGTTATGGAATACTCAAGTTAAATTTAAATGTCTATGGTTATACTATTTGGTGCTTTTTTAATCCAGTATGCACGATTTACAACTGCCAATGGAACTAACTCAGTTGAGTAGGATATAAGTGTTAGGAGTGATAAAAGCAGCATTATGTGATTTATATAATAGACACTAAGTATTATACTTTTCACTTTTTTTGTAGTTGGTCTATATAAGTGATATTTAAATGGTTTAAAACAGATGAATATAATTTCAGATATAAGAAACGCGATTTGCGATCCAATATACGTCTTAATACCATATATAAACCCTCCATTTTCCCCTGTACTGGATATAGTAAAGCGACTCATTATAATTAATGATACGACTATAATGCATACCAAAGGGTAATATAGACTGTGCATGCGGGTATTGACAATTAAACCATATGCTGTTATATTAGAAATAGGGCTAATACAAGAAATAAATCTAAATGTGGCGTATACTAGATTAATTACAAAGTATATTATATATGCTACTAGAGACATCTTAATTTTAATGGATCTATCAAGATTTAGCAGAATGGATTGATGTTCAGTTTGGTCTGAATGGTCATTCATTGAATATAGATTGAATATAATATCTATAATTGTCTTAGAAAAGAAAACAAGTGCAAATGAGCTAAATAAACAATATAAACCACATTTCCCTTCATACACCAGCAGAAGATATTTAATTATACTTTGACTTATAGCTTCTCTATTCACATCCTCTTCAATAACTATAGTATTTTGTTGTAGTTCGTTTATATATTCATTATTTTCAGTTTCTCTGGTACTTTCATTGTTTATAGCCTCTATATTATTAAGGGAAGCACCGCTCATGCCTAATAATGCATCCGTAACACCACAAGCCCTTTCTATAACAATTGGCGCTGAATTTTCCATTTTATCTATTAATATTTAACTTTTTTAGTTTAAACTGTAATAAAATAAGATGGATTAAATTGCTTTAATTATATATTGTCAAATGCTGCTGTCATAATTGACATTTTTCCAGAATTTTAACTTATTTAAAATTTTATACGTGCAGCAAGCAAGTTATATTCAGGTGACATGAGAGAAGAGTACAATAATTAAAAAAACAAGGATTTAATACACATTTACTATACACCGTCTTCATGTCGAAGCCTATTAGAATATGTATGGACTTCTAATCAGCTGCCAACAAATTAAACCAAGATAAAATTTTATTATAGCAATTATTAATATATAGCCGATTATTGGCTACAGTAAATATAAATATATTCACTGTTTCTAAAATTATTTAACTAGAATACTATTCTAATATAAATATACCAACCAGAAATAACCCGAAATTCTAAATATAAATAGATATAGCACAAAAGAATGTTCTTTATTATAATCAACATACATGGCATTGACATTGATATAGAGCTGTTGTATACTATTGCTAGTACAGTTCTTAATATTGCATTGTTTCACCTGTTTTTTCTGAATTATATTCTACTTAAATAGCTCTAATGGAATTTATATATTTAAATATTTTACTAAGTCAAATTGGGAATGGCATTATTAGATGCACTCGTGAACAGTATTCACGGTTATTCAAGGGTATAATGCTTTACAATAATAATATATCAGTGAGTATTGCATGAATTAGTATAAGTTAATAGAACAATAACATATGAATGTTTAAAGTCCTATAAGCCCAGGAATTAATAATGCCTTAATGTGTATCTAACGAGTTTATGTGTGTAAATTTAATTTCATTATCTTTAACTAAATGATAATTGTTTCTAGCTGCTGACATGCCTGTATTGTCTAGTTGTATATTTCTTCTGTTTTTTTTGTTTACTATGCATACATAATAGCGCACACTTATAGATATAATTAGAAGTGCTATAAGTGCAATTACTCCTATGCATTCTATTGTGCTTATGGGATGTTCTGTCTTTGGGGGTTGCAACATTCTGCTTTTCTCTTTATTGATTCTCTTATATACTTCAATTATTTGATTTTTTTATTTATTTTTAAATGATATTATCAGTTGTTTTATAATTATTTTTATATCAAAATTGTCATAAAATAATCAATAACTGTGTTGTATAGATGTTTACATAAATAGCATATCAAAATCCAATAAATTGATCTTGAAAATTTATAAATACACAGTGAGAATTAAATAGATGCTGGAATTTACTAGTGATTAATTATAAAAATCAAATCATATTTACACATATGTGATGTGTTAACGATATTAACAATATAATATACGGATTTTAATCTAAAAACCGTAATAATGATCAATAATATCTGTACTGTTTCTATAAATTTTCTATTTTTATAAATAAAATTTAAATGCGTACAGAAATGTCTTACATGAAGTAAACACTTTCTATTTGGCTTAGAATTAAAATTAAGTAAATATTACAACAGAGAAACTATACACAATTAGACACATGGATAGTAGCAAACAGTGTATTATAGTGCGGATTATACGAATTATTATATTGCAGAACATTTATTATGCATTCTTGTTTTTATTTTAGTGTAAGACATATTACTCGTCTTATTCTGTCAATTTTTACTACTTGACAGAATACATGAACTACTTGCCCAGTGACTCTTGTATGAGAGATTCTTCCTGTATACGTAATTGCTAATTTCTTTTTATTATGGTAAATATAAAGAATTGTCTCACCACTCTCATGGTGTTTAATACATAAAAATTTGCCTGTTATAATCAAGTATATATTCTTATCTATAGGTATTCTGCATATATTCTCTAAGGAACACTCTATTATCTTCTCTTTTGTTCTTTTTAACATATAAAATAATTAGAAACTCTGTTTATAAGATTAATTCGAACAAGATCAATTTTTGCATAATTCTTATGTTCTCAATATATTAATATTTCTATTTTAGCAATAAGTTTACTAACTTGAACTATTTCTTTATTTTAGATTAGTTGCTTATGCCACAACCTGGGCTGCTTCTGGCTCGTATACCATTTCGACCTTCTTTCCCTTTTGCTTGACATCAAACTCAGTCTCGTCAATCTTTGGTCTCTTCAGTACCTTTACCTTCTTAACGTGGCAGTTCTGGAGAGGGTATATTTTAATGCCTTCCTGTTCTATTCTCATTCCAATGGTTTCATTCATTAACTTCTTCATTACGTCATTGATCTTGCAGCCACTGAGCTCCTCGGACACAATCTTAAATATAATCTGTCTAATTGCTTTGACTTGTGATAACTTTGCGTAGCAGTTCTTCTTAACAGACTTTGGCTTTCTCTTGGTGTTGGAGACAGTGAATACTCTTAGAGTGTATCCGTCAACAGTCTCAACTTTGCTGCATGTCTCCACAAGAGTGTGCCACTTCTTTGGAATGCTCTTTATCTTGTCACTAATAAGTTCCATACTGTGGAAACTGCTAATGGCATCCTTTCCTCTTACTCCATCAACTACAAACTTGAACTTTCTGAATGACTGAGTGTTTGAGCTTGTCATGAGATCTCCCTGGTTTACTTCAAATGTTCTTCCTCTTACAGCATCTGGTGCAAAGTAGTTTCCTTGACTTCTATCTACTATGGTGACACCAGCCTGCTTTGTTTCAAATATTGAAGGAAGAGTCAAATTGTAAAACTCTTTCTTGCTCATTACATCTACGGATTTCTTAGATCTGATTTTCTTTCCCTTTGAGATACCTCCCCCTGATACTTTTGCTTTTCCCTTTGATGCCATTTACTTTAACAGGGGATGAAAAAATAAGAAAATTTATGGCTACAAAAATAAAAATAAAGGAAGTAGTTAAATATGGCTTATAATGGTATATAAACTAAAAATACAACAGAAATAGATTTTACCCAGAACACCACCGCCAATTACACTATAGTATAACCAATTCTACTGTATTAGCATAATATATTATAAATAATTACTCTGTGCTGTATTTAGTATTGTGCGTATTCTATTTCTTTTTGTATTTCATTATACTGCATATAAATAATTCTATAAAAACCAATAAATCGAGTTATTATACGATTGTGGTAGTAATTATGTATAGTATTAGAGTATACTAGGCATACTACATTAAATAACAACAGTCCAATCATTCTTACAGAAGTATAGTACATCGGTATAACCCAAGGCGATTCACAGTATATAATAGTAACTATTACCGAATAGTTTTATATGTACTATTATACTACTCTTACATAAATATAGTAAATTAGTACTATATTCTATTTTCAATACACATGCGTGGTGTATTAATTGTATATAGAACAAACTGAATAGAATGTGATGGTGTGAATGGATTGGTTATTTTATGTGTATGTGATCGCATTGGTGCGCTATTACATGATGCAATGTGTCATAAATTACGATAAAAAAGAGAAAGTGAAAAAAGAGTATGCAAGAAGGCAGAGCAAGCGAAAAAACAACAATAAAAAAAGACGAAACAATATTCCTTTTCGATGTAGATGGGACTTTAAGCCCGTCAAGAGAAACCGCCACTAAAGAGATGAAGGAGTTCTTGGGGGAGTTAAGGAACAAGGTAAAAATAGGGTTTGTTGGAGGGTCTGATCTCCCAAAGCAGCAGGAACAATTAGGAGAAGACTGTTTGGAAATATTTGATTACTGCTTCCCAGAGAACGGTCTGACATTCATAAAAAACGGAAAGGTGGTATCAAAAGAGTCGTATCTTAACTTTGTGGGGCAGGAGAAGCACAATAAGCTAGTAAGAAGTGTTATGAAGATATTCAGCGAATTGCCAGAGAAGGAAGTTCCTGTTTTATCAGGAAACTTCATTGAATTGAGGCACTCAATGGTAAATATTTCGCCAGTCGGCCGTTCATGCACGCGTGAGGAAAGAAAAGCGTTCAAAGAATTGGACACAAAAAATAAAACCAGAGAACGGGTGGTGAGCATATTAAAAGAGCAATTTGAAGGATTTTCCTTTTCAATTGGAGGGGAAATCTCTATTGATATTTTCCCTATTGGCTGGGATAAGACGTATGCTATTAAGCACCTAGAAAGTGAAGGGATTAAGCACATTTTCTTCTTTGGGGATATGACTGAAAAAGGAGGAAATGATTTTGAAATTTACTCGGACAAGAGAGTCACTGGAACAAAAGTTATCTCACCAGAAGACACCATGAAAAAGGTGGAAAGCATACTAAACACACTAATTATTGAATAAAGTGATGATTTTAGGAATCCGTGGTGTTATATATTCTTATCACTTTTGATTATATTTCGGGTTTCTAGTTTTTTATAATTTAATTTTCCGTTATTTTCTGCAGTATGCCAAATAGAACCACGATATGTTTTATACTAAACAAAAGTCTTCAAATAATTATTGGTTTGTCTTTCTGATGTGCGGAGAATAATTAATGCATTAAGAATGGAATTTTGGGTATTTAAATTTTTGTTATTTTCACCCCTGTCACTCTTTGTATGCCTTCACTAATGCTTGTTTGCCTTTCTGATTATACTTCAGTGTATTCATTTGTCTCAACGCTGGGGAATCTTGAATCTGTGCTTTTGGTTGATTTAGAGTGCGAATGTGACTTTGATCAGCTTAAGGTAGACACACTGTATACGTTAGAATTTCTAGCGGACTTTCCTAAAGACAAAAGTATTTTAGTGCTTAACAGAATTGACTCCTTTATTAGTTCATCATATGACCTGCAGGTACGGCTGAATGGGTTATATGGACTGGTGTACAGCGGCGTAACTGTTTATGCCACATTGATCAGAAACAAGTATAACAAATACAATGAATATATTGCTAGAATGATAGATAAAGTAATAGAATATAAGCAGGCAGAATTATAGAGTAATGGCATGCAATGTAATACTCGAACATTAGGATATATAGGACAAAAAGTGCAAAAACTATTGTATATTTAGGCCAAACTCAACAGAATATAAAGAAAGAATTGCTTTGTGTGCTAGTGCGCATTTTCTTCTGTTTTCTATAGGAGAGTAAAGCATAATTTAGTATTTTTATTATAATATAATGATATTGTGTATAGCAAGCAATAATACATTTATTTATGGTAGTATGCTGATTGGTATGTGCTAGATGCGTGGCTGATGGTCTTTCTGTGTAAGCTATTTTATTCTATTTTAATTTTAATTTATGCTAGTACCGGAAAATTCAACTACAACTGAGCTTACATTGACTTTGCGATTAAGGGGTGGCCCACCAAGAAAAAGAGTCACATTTACGAGAAACACAGTAGATAATGAGCACTTGAACAGAAAAAAGTCTAAAATATGCTGTATATACCATGCACAAAATGAATGTAATAATGAAGAGTCATAAAAAATTTTAAATGCAGCTAGCAGTCGGAGACGTATTCAAATCAAAGAATGAAGCACAGAATGCTATACGAATGTATGCAATTGACAACAACTTCAATTTTGAGACAACAGACAGTACTCCCAAGAAGTATACGATACAGTGCAAGGAGAGGCGGACTCATGGATGTGATGCAATAGTAACTGCAGCACTAAGGAAAAAAGATAACATGTTTATAATTAAGAAGCTGAAGAATGTGCACAACTGTCCACAGCAGAGTAATCTAAACATACAGTCATCTGGCCGATACATAGCAGATGAGATACGAGAGATGCAGGATGTGGAGGAGACGCGGATAGGGCAGATTATAAACAAGATATCCTCGCGAAGGGGCATAAAAATAGGGTACTACGCTGCGTGGAAGGCAAAGAAAAATGTGATGAATGATGAGATAGATGAGGAGCTAGCGCAGGAGGAGTGCCTTAGATGTGTGGTGGAGGAGAACAGATATATCAATCCAGATGACACGGCAATTCTTTTCAACATGAAAAAGCAGATTGAGCAGTGGAGGGAAAACAAAGTAGATGAGAAAGCAGGGTACATTCGGCAGGTTATACGGGCTATTGGCCCATTAGACACTGCGGGCAGTAAGCTGGACACGCTGTTTTATGCGAACAATTTGTCTATTCATGTCTATAAGTACAGCCGGCAGATAATTGAGCTCACAGTACAGGAGAGATATAATGAGCTGCGGGAGCATGCAGGGTATGCATACATGGCGACAGGGTATGATGCATTTGACACGCCATATATGATAAGCATGTGCTATGTTCCTGAGTACTGCCCTAAAAGAGATGGGTGGATTGTTTTTATGCGGGAGCTTCTGAAGGTCATTAATTCAGGCGTGTTTCTTATTAACTGGGAGGGGTGCCTCTCGACGATTGAAGAGATTGAGCGCATGATTCAGGAAAAGAATGAAGGCACTGGAGCCGTGCAGAGAGGATATAACAGCCAGGAAAGAGAAAGCAGCGCGTGGAGTGGGCACTTTGATATTAAGGAGTCTATCCGGTCTGGCGAGCTTGGTTGTGAGGAGAATCTAAGCAATAAAGTGAGCCTATTTATTAGAAGCAGGTCTATCTGCAAGGAGATATTCTCAACCCACCCATCCTGTTCTGCAATTGGGCTGGTGTGGTCACTCTGCAACAGTCCAGACCTGGCAACATTCCAGATGTACCACAAGAAAGTGAAGGCTCTGAATGTTCCCTCTCTCCTTTCTCTGCTTACATCCCTTCCGACCCATCTATGGGCGAAATATCTGTGCGACTTCCCGCTCTACAACAAGAACAACACAATACCAATGGAAATAGAGGGAGTAAGCAGTATGCTGACTCTCTCACCAGTAGACTCTCTTTGCATGGTTATAAAGATCATAACAGACAACGCCTTGAAGAAGAAAGAAATAGTGGCACATGCAGAAATGAATAACAAGAAGGCATCAGACAGATCTAGGTATGGGGAGACTATAAACCGGGCAATAGACATTAACATACTTAAGTCACATGCGTATGACACTGATATAGGAAGAACGCCGAATGAGATGTGCCGGTCCTCGTGGATAGACCCAAGAAAGCTCTGTGATGAGGAGGAGTACAAGCAAGGTATAGTATACTCTGGAAACTTAAAGTTCTATGTTGATTTAAGGCTGCGCGTTTGCTCATGCATGAAGTTCCAAGAAATGAGCTATCCTTGCTCGCATGCGTGCGCTCTTATTACCAAGATAGGCGGACATGCGAATACATACATTGATGAAATGTACTCAATAGAAACCCTTATGCTTATGTACAAGCCATATACCACCAGATGCATAGTAGCTGAGCCCATCCGCGGAACAGAAGAGAAGAGAAAACCCACCGCACCGCACTACCGGCCAAATAATAAGAAAGTACTTGGATACGAAGCAGAAGAATTTGCGGACCACCATGAGTACAAAGAAAACTTGGTTAGATAAAGAGATATAATAAACACAGAGGTAAATTCAATTCGACTGTCTAGTGCTCTAACTAAGCACAACAGATATTTTTATTTATGATTTTAAACTAATATCAGTTAGTTGCTGTAATTTGACAAGTTTTATTTTAAAATTACGCTATAACAGTATTCACATAATATACAATGGATTCTTTATTTCTGGAGACTATAAGAGCTTTATCTTAGATAGAAACTTCTTTATCTTAAAGTCAACCTCTTGATCCTTTCCGATTCTTTCCTTCAATATGAATATAATATCATTTAATGTGTCTGCACATATAGAAGAAAATCCGATGCACTTATTTAAAGGCTTTTTGATTATTTCCATTTTGCTTATTTGGTGGTGATCCATCTGTAGGGAGGGAAGAGACGACAGAATTGGTGCACAAGAGATATTTATAAGATACGAAAGGAATGAAAGGAATACTTCAGATGTAGGCGCCTTTCTGAACATATCAACTGAAAGCTCAACAATTTCTTTTTTAATGCCATGCAGCGGAGATACAATTGCGATATTTGCTAGTATTAGTATTATTTCACTGCAGAGCATTGAGAGTGAAGTATTATGATCGTTACCCACATCAATTATTGTACTAGAGTCTGCATTTGCCACAAGCAAAATCTCACTCAGAATATCCTCAACAAGAGAGGGAAGAACTGCAATTCCTTTAGAATTTGCAAGGATATTCTTTAGAATAGACATAAAAACAATCTTTCTTTCTAGAGAAGTCGCCCTTTCTTGAATTTCCTGTAATTTTATGTGCTGAATGAATGTCTGTGTTATTTCCGATGTGGATTCAAATAGAATATCGCACATGAATTTCATTACGCAGTCTTGAAACTCTTGGATTGGCAAGTATCTGTGCACATATGGAATAATGCTATTTATGGCGATTTCCTTCCAGTGGTGGTTGTACACCACAAGATTCCCAACATAAAAGAAGAACTCAATAATGCTTATGCATAGTTCTGGGTATCTATCCTCCTTAAAGTAGTTGTGCGCTGTCATAGCAATATTTTCAACTAGATTTGTCATTCTGTAGGTAGAGAGGTAGTCAACAGTAATTTCCTGCGTACGGGAAAGTATTTTTAAAATCTGAAAGGATGAGAATGAAACAGCCGAAAATATTTCTTTTTTCATTTCATTTTCTATCATTTGCATAATTACATCGATATATTCCAGCTCGGAAACTATATGCTGGAATCGCTCTGACAGAGGAAGAAGGTTCTCTAAGAAATGGTTTAGTCTAAGATAAATTATTGTGTTCTCTGGGTTAAGTGACAGGAGGTTTAGCTCTTTTCTCATTATTTCAACAAAGCCACCAAGTCTGTCTAAATAGTACATTGCTTCTCTAGATTGCTTTGCCAGAAATATAATTGATGGAAACATCAAAGCAGACTTTTCCACTTTACATAGCCAGATAAAAATATAACCAAGATCTGTTTTGCTAAAGTCTTTTGCTGTTATGCTTATTAAAAAGTTACTTTTTTCTGGAAGTTCCAAAGACAGTTCTTTATACCCTTCTGCATATCCGATAAGTACGCCTAAATTTTTTTGTATAATCCCATAGCTAGAGTGAAGAAGAGCTATGGTAAAAATATTTCTGTCGAAATATGCAGCAAGTTTTTTGTTGATTATACAAACAAGAAGCATACCTGCTTTGTACGGTGCCGTAAGATAGATTGACTGAATACACATAAAGAACTCTTTGCACTGGAATAGTTTTAGGCCGTGCTCAGATTCAACTGAAAACCCTATACACGCGGTGAGTAATTCACTAATCCAATTGGGGCACTGTTCAGTCTGAATAGATTCAATTATTAGCTCTACAAATTCATCTGGAATCTTTAAAGAAACCATTAAATATCTGTATGCTTGTAGAATGACAATTCTGGAGGGAATGGGAATGTCTTTGTTGAATATCATGCTCAGTAGAATAGGTAATAGCTGGTCGGATTTTTTTTGCAATGACTCTTTTTCATTTACTAATTCTGCATGGCCGTGCACCCGCAGAAGATTCACTAACAATTTCTTTATGGTTGGTGGAATACCTGTATAATTATCTTGAGCACTCATCATAATTCAAGTAGAAAACAAATAAACAAAATACTAAAATACATAAATTTAGTATAAACAAAGATTATCTATTAAACAAAAGCAGAAATTAATTCATAAAGCGGGCATACTAGTTTATTCCAGCAACAGCCCATCACGGCAGTTATTTCTGAGCGTGTCAGTTGGTTTTGTTTTCAGGTAGTTTAAGTACTTCATGCTATAAATAGAAAATTCTGTTATAATATTTTCTGTAAAAACAAAAGCAGGATATCACTTCACTATAGATATACCCAGAAAATCAATACTTTAACAAAGATCGAATTGATTATGCACAATATATACAGTAGGATGAAATTTTTATGCATGTTTTATCCAGGTGTATTTGTATCTAAAGACAGTTTGCTATACAGAATGTACGTTCATTCCTGTATAAGAAGAGTTAATACAGTAATACCCATAGATTCATTAAAAGAGTGTTTTTCTACTGTAGATGCAAACAACTTGTCTCTAAGACTGCAGTCTAGACTGATGATTTCTGTGGCAAGTAGTCTTCTTTTTCACTACAGACAGACACTTTCTGCGCTTGTCAAAATAATAGGTAAGGATGTGCGTATAGATAAGACGGTATCTAGTAGAGTAGCAAGTAAAAATGCAATTACATATAAGTATAATATAAATGTACTGTGCAGCACTATTAACTACACTATACAATTACCTACAGAAGATATAGAATGCATGAGAGGCGGGTCTATAATTTTAGCAGAGAGTATTACACAGAGCACACACTCAATGCATGATATGTATACAGCGCCCCAAGCAGAAGAGACAGTTAAAAGAATTAAATTAGATAAAACAATAGATATATCTAGAGAGACAGTGGTAGGAAGGGAGTGTTCTAGTACAAAGTGGTATCAGAGCATGATAGATGCCATTATACTCAATTCATCAGAATACTATGAACCAGATACGCCTGCTGATATATCTTCAATTGAAGCTATAAGAAGATATTCTTCAGAGCAAACAGATGATGTACTTTTAATGGACAGAAGTATGTCCATTCCGATCTCAAATAGCATTCCTATTGCTACAAGCAATCAAAGACTCGCAGACTTTATTAGCTTGCTATATGAAGTAACAGAAGGCAAAGTATCTGCTATTCAAGCAGTGCCATACGGAAGAATAATCCGAATATAATTGATTTTTTGGGCTATTTCAGATTCTATTTCTATTAATCATATGCTCAAATAGTAATTCCAATAAAAATTGATTTTTTAGCGATTAAATCGTCTTTACATATAAATGTACTAATCAATAAAATTTTATATAAATGCAAGAAGAATTACTTAAAAGAGAGAACATTGGCTATAAGCTAATCAGTAACATAGAAACTAGCAACAACTTATACGAAAGAATACTTAATGATCTACACAATGGAGAAAGCGAAATAACTAAAAAGCAAGCAGAATATATAATACGAAATGTATTTGAGGATGGCTTAAGCGTAGAGCATTATGATATTACAGAGGACAGACTAAAATACTATAACAGTGCACTTATTTTTATAATAAGAAATATATTCAGTGACAGCTCAGATAAAGCACACAAAAAATAACAGATGAGATTATTAACGCTTTTATAGATGTGTACAGTACAGAATCTACTGATAACAAAAAATCTGCATGCTTTGAATTGCTTAAATCGTATTTACACCCAGACTCATTGATGATACAAGAGATTAAGAAAAAGCTAGACAGAATTATTTCAAATTCTAAAGTGCATGATACCCCAGAAGTAGAAAAATTCATATCAAATCAGTTAGAAAATATTTTGTATTTACAAAACTTTAAAGAGTTTATAAATAACGGAAATAACAAAGAAAAAATAGATTTATTATGTCATCATCCCGAACATATTCCAGATATATACCCATATACAATAGATGAGTTATATGAAATAGATGAATTCACAGGCGAAACAAAGCTAGAACAAGGGCTTAAGTACATCTATACTAACAAAGGTGTATATAATGAAGCAGATAGACTATACAATGCATTTAATACAGATTTAGATGTTGGTATTCAGTGTTACAGGGCAAATCATATATTTAAATTGGATAAAGTAAGACTAATAAGAAGTATACACAAGCACATAGAAAAAATATTTTCTGAAAGAAAGTGGTTCTTTAATATTTTTAGAGTTGAAAGGTACGTATATGACACGATTTTAGATGAAATCAATTATACCGGCACAATTTTAGAAAGCAATGAAAAAACTGATAATAGAACGGCCCCATTACACAATGGAATATTTTGGAAGTGCACATTATATCAATTACTTAGCAAGCAGATGAACGCAGAGCAGATAAGTGAAATTAGCACTGAGTTATGTAAGTTACTATGCCGTTACAAAGAAATCATTCTATGCAAAAACACAGCTATTAACAGACTAAAGGAGGCATACATTAAAAGACTTATTAAAGAGAGCAAAGGCAGCATATCAGAGACTTCAATAAGACAATTAAGCCTAGATAAACTTCTTAACTATAAACAGAATATACAATCTGAATACTTAACAAAGATTGTGAATGAAATCATATCACATAAATCATATGTAGATGATTTACTTATTAATATGACTATAGCAAGGAATAATTCTTATATATTCAATAGTCTTAATACTATAGTAAAAACAACTCAAAACATACCAGATTTAGAAAGCAGTCAGAAGGTATACATATATAAAATTGCAGAGAAGTACACGAATTTATTCGGTGCAAACTTCAGTTTCGATATAGAAAATAGTGCTGAGAATACTAATGATGTTAAAAAATATACAGAAGACATACAAAAATTATTAGAAAGAACAAAAAAAGAAAATGAAAAATTACAGAAAGTTCTATTTTATATAAATCCATTGAAATATATAAAAATGAAATTGTTAAATATTTGGGTATTTTTATCTAAATATACACCACCAGAACCTGAAAGAAGCAGAATAACAACTGTAAAGGGGATTATTCTAGTTTTATTATTATTACTAATTGTTGGTTCTCTGCGCGCATTCGGAAACCATATATTCCTCAGCAGTGGTATTATGCCCTGTGGAACAATAAAATAATTAGTGTGATAGTAATATGTGTGCACACCATTTTTTGATATGGATATGCATGCCGTGATCACAAATAATGGGGGCAGAAACTATATAAGAGTTTCTGTAATTTAATAAAGATGAAATTAAGATGATCAATAGGAGTTCATATTTACGAGGAAGGGGGAAACCCCGCTCTAGTTATTGAAATAATTATGCTTGAAGTGTTACAATTAAAATACTTTGAGCGTATAATTAGGCTAACTCATGGCATACTACTATATAATAGATTATAACAGAGATAATGAATATTTTAATATACATTGAAATATTTAGATATTTTATTAGAATAGCACAATGCTGGATTAGAGGAAAATTGAATTATTACACTGCATTGATGCCACCATAGTTAACACACTAAATATTGTTAATAACCCGAAATTCTATTTAAAATTACAATTTTATTATTTTTGGGTATTTTAAATTTTCTGTTTTCTATGCCAGAGCACATTGTGAGTTAGAAATGGCCTTTTCTAGGTTTGAGTATGCTCTAGGGTAGAAACAGAAAATTATGTCTATTAGAATCAGAAACTGTATCAATTGGCACATTTCAGGTTATAACTACTTTCTGCTGGGTGCTCTGGTTAGTGTGGTTAGCTCGGAGTACTCTCCTGTATTCTTCCACTCTGCGATTACCTTTTTGCCGTATTGATATCCATGTGCAACTATTTCATCAAACTGTCTGAAATTCATTGTTTTATAGCCTGCTAGGTCTGGTCTGATGTACTTAATTGAGACATCTGACTTTAATGAGCGTTCTTTGTGCATGCTTGTGAGATACGCCAGTCGATACTGTATTTCAGTTAGAGACAAGAACTTTTTTGTACTAAATATCTTTTGGAACAGAATATAAAATCCATTAATACTGTCTCCGTAATCAGCGAAAGTTGTTTCTACTTCACTCCCCACATCTACTGCAATGATATTTCTAATTCCCATTGAGCGCATGGCATCTGCTGGGACATTATTCATATACCCGCCATCGAGTAAAAAGGATCCGTTGTCACATAGTGGGGGTAGATACCCTGACAGACTCATACTTGCTCTAACATATCTCCATAAAATTCCATCGGTGTGTTTTTTTTCTTCAAATCCGGAAATATCTGTTGTAATGCAGTAGTACGGAAGCCATAAGTCTTCGATTCTCTGATTTTTAAAAATAAGCCGGAGCGCCCAGTTAAAGCTCTTTCCAGTGAACATTGCGCATATTGGGTATGTCATGTCAAAAATCACTCTCCAAACACTTCCTATCAGACCAGTAAGCCTTTTTGCTCGGATAAATACTTCTTTGTTATTTGTTCTCTCTGCATAGAGTGCCCCCACAAAGGCTCCCATTGATGTTCCCCCTATTGCATCTATTGGTATATTTGCTTCTTCAAGCGCTTCAATGATTCCTATGTGCGCTATTCCCCGGGCACCTCCACCTCCAAGCACTAGCCCAACATTTGTTCCCTTGAGGGTTCTAATAAACCGATGCATATCGTTCAACGGAAAGTATGGAATCCAGTCGTTGCTGTGCCCAGTTAGTTTGCAGTGCTTATTTGTATAGTTTACGGAATCTCTGCTTTTAATAATAGAAAGAGGAATGTCTATAATGGGAAACTCTACATTGTGTCTCTGTCCATAGTAATTGCCTCCATATACCTTCATCCGACTGTCCCGGTGCAGTATTAGTGTATCTATTTTGCAAAAGACTTCCTTATTTATATTCATTGACCTGCGGTCTCCATTTGTTATCACATAAAACATGATTTCTGAGAGTAAAATTGGGTCTAGATCTGCTTCCTTCTTCTCTTCTGATTTTTCTACACTCCCTTCTTCTATCTCAGAAGCTTTTGATTTATCTAAAACTTCATTATCTTCAGAGGATAGTGGCTTTTCTTTTTCTTTGCTTTCTGCGCCACCCATAGAGTCTTTTTTAGTATCTTCTGTGGTTTCTGCCGGGTCTGAGTTCACACGGTCTGCGCTGCTTTCTTCTGGCTTTGTTGGCTGGGGCAGACTCTGTGCTGTGCATGTTATAGTGCGGTTTGGGTCTACAATTGGGATTAGTATATAGGAGTATTCTCTCTGTAAATCGCTTATGTAATTTAGAAGGGATAGCACTGCGCTTTTCGTCTTCTGCACAGATTTCAGCTTATTTTCTATCTCGGTAGAGGATAGAATAAAACAAGAGTCGTTCTTTGCCATCTCTTTGCATAAAAAGTGTGTAAATATCTCTAACTGGGTTTCTTTTTTGTCATTTGGTATGAACGTGATTATAGATGGCTGCTCTAACTCCTGTTCAATCCCTGTTCTTTCTAGTATCCTTTTATAAAGACCATTCGAGAGGGCAGGAAAATTAGACGCAATTGTTGTGATGTATTCCTTTGGTATTTCAATTACTTCAGAAATACGCGTCGCTGTTAGCTCAAATGCAGACGGCTGTTCTAAAAGGACTTCTTTTTCAAATAATATGTTCCTGCTGGATATTCCAAAGTACTTCACATCCCCATTCTTCAAAAAGTATCCGTTTGTTATTACTTTGATAGATTTACTTGGCTCTTCTGATGATAGCCTCCCTCCTGGCTGTATTATTCGCCAGTCCACCATTACATCTGTCATTTCTAGCTGTTCTACTGGTGCTTGCCCATTCAGTATATCCTGCAAAACTACTTCAAGTGACTCTGTGCTTGCCTCTAAACTTGGTTCTAATTTAATCAGCGTTCCTACTGTTTTCTCCTTTGCCACAATAACCCTATTGTTCTTTAAAGAGCACACCCGCTCTAAACACCCTATTATATCGCCTTTTTGAAAAGATTTTTTACTGTCTCTTGTATACTCTACCTCTCCACTCCCCTCTATTATATACAAAAGAGTGTTTGGACTCATCTCATATCTTCCATCAATCACTATCTCCTCTGCTCTTTCCACAGGCTTTACCAATTCTATTTTTTCTTTTATTTTTTGTACTAGCTCTTTATGCGACTCTCCTGCACTGACCGATATTTGTTTTATGTCTAATTGCATCCCTTCCTCCAAATAATTTACCATGATGTAAAGTGTCCCCTTGAAAAACCTGTTTAGCAATAAATACCGAACAGTTGCATCATTTTTGTTGATTTGGTATAACTGACTGTTGCGCTGTATTTTATACGTCATATGTTGCTTTGAGCTTACGCCAAGAAGCCAGTTTATGGAGTAAACAAAGAAGTCCTCAGTTTTCTTGATTATAACCACCCGATCATATATTACCTCTACCACCCCTTCTATTAAATAGTACAGTGTTTCTCCTGTTGATACTTCTATGTCCTCTGTTGTGCATATCCTGTTAATTACCACGTCAGTGTCCTTTAATAAGTAATTAAACAAACCTTCTGCGGGCTTGACAGGAAGAGAGCTGGTTTCTGTTGATTTTATCACTGGCTCTTGTGGTCTTCTAAACAGTTTCTTTGTAAGTGCTGCCGCCACTATCGCCACCACAGCGGATAAGGCCATAAGTAAAATCGAATAAATGGACATTACCATACAAATAAAAAATCTCTTTTATATTTTTAAGCCGGCCATTTATTGTTCTACCACTAATTGGCCAAAAATCTTCACAAATCAATTACTTCTTTAGTGCAAAGCACGGCTTGATATGCTCTCGAAACATTTTTATGGTTTTTCATCTGGTAATTTTGGGCCATTTCTGAATATTTCTTATGTCACTCTGTATAGAAATGTGCACTAAATTATGCGTATTTCATAATAAGCAATTTATATGATGTGGTATACTATGTAATCATATGATTCTAGTGAAGACTCTGCCATGGCTTCCTCTGCCCCTCTTCTTCTTTCATATAGTAGTCCATTGGATAGTTTTTAAGATCGCTGCTAAAATACTCAAATGGTGTAATTATTGGTATTTCGAAGGTGGTCCCCCAATCAATTGCTATTCTTGGGCAGGCCACTTCTATTACAGTCACATTCTTAAGAGATTCAACAAATGTCTCATCGACCTCTGACAGAAATACAACATAATACTTTCTGTTCCGCTGGTTTAAATCGTCCACAAGTCTTTTAAGTATTCCTGCGCTGCCCTGTCTGCCAAGGGTTCCAAATATTATCACGTACTCTTGTGTGTTAAGTGATGTGCGCTTTATACTCTTCCGTATTTCTAAAAATCTGCCATAGTCATGCGTCTCTAGTGACAGCTTCTTTGATGATGGGCAGTATTTATAGTATGTTTTGTTTGGATTATGTATCATCAAAGACTCTAAATGAAACCTTCCCTCTGCAATAAACAGAATTGTGTCTGTACTAACCTTTGGTGATGTACATCCTAATACTTCACCAGGACTCAGTGGCTGCATTCTTGGAATGTAGTATCCACTGCTTGGAGCACACGGGCACTCCTTGTCCTCTAGTTTATTTTGGTGTGTTGTTGCTTCTAGCTCTCTTTTTATCTTTCTTACGGTGCTGTTGTACTGAATTGTGCCTAGAATTGACAAATTCTCTGTTTTTATGTGCTTGTTTATCATCTTAAGACAGTGCGTTATGTCAAACTGAATCTCTACAAATATGTACATAACCTGTATTAAAGACTTGGTTACTTCAAACAAACAAGAGTGCCCGTAGTGAATTAATAGATCACAGTCTATTAAATACCCAGAGACATCATCTATACAACACGCGCCATACACCACATCTGACAGAATAAAGACTGCTTCAACATCGGTGTTTGCTCTAATAATGTCTGAAATAACCGTGGAAAGGTGTATAATTCCCTCCGGGAATTGAATAGCAACCCGCTTGCTCTTTCTTCTTTCAATTTGCCGAATTGTCTTTTGTAGCTCAAACTTGTAATTGGGTGGTAGATACTCCGATCCCAATATGTTCATGTCTTGCTAAAAAATAAAATAAATAAAACGTACACATTTATATTTTTAAAGCAGTGTATGAACACTTTAAATAAAGAAAACTAAAGAAATTACCAAAAAAACGAATAGCACTTGTAAATAGAACAGCTAAAAAGCCGGCAAAACAATACAATTAAAATATTACACGCATATCTCAAAACAGAAGAAAAGCATACCATATATATTTATAATAATTAGTAAAACACACATAGAAACTGGTGCAACAGAAACAGAATCTGTTAAAGCTCTCTTAACTGTATTCTTAGAGTGTTTTGGGCTATTTCAGGGTATTCATAAAACAATAATAAGTAAGAGTGTAAAAATTAAAATTATGGATTATAGAAAGTCTTTATAAAAGTTTCAAATTTCCTGTTATCAAATCTATTTCATCTTCATACCACGGGCCTATAAATGTAACAGTGTGTGTATTTGGTTCTACCTGCGTTCTGCCCGCATCCACAATTGATGTATATGGGATGTGCTGGGCTTCTACTTGTTCAACTATTGCATCAAGTTCTTCTTTTGTATTTGCCTTCAGGCTAGTTTTTTTAAACCCATTGTACTTCCATATGCTGTTTAATGGATTGTCCTGTGTAGCTGCTTGGTATGCCGCATGCATGGCCTGTGATACAATTTTACCTTTTCCCATTTTTAAATCATTACGCACTACTAATACACCCTTAACAGGTCTATTTCTATCAATGGTAACATTTGTGCTCTTTCTTTGCCTCTTCCCGTTTGAACAGTGCACTAGAATATTTCTTCTATATATAAGATACACAATAAATGGAATTTGGCTTAATAGCACTGTAAGAATAATTTGTACAGTCATTAAAATATTTTACAGTCGCAGTATATTAGCATGTGTTAGAGCCACAGCGTGAAATGCAGAATTAAAATTAAAGAAATATTTTTTGGTATGTGGAATATTCTCTGTGGTGTGGATGAGTCTATACCAAATGCAATACAGACTAATTAATAATACAGTTCATTTATTTGAATAAAATCCTATTCTGACTTTTGGCTATATCCGAAAATAAGGATTTATTATATCCTCAAGAAGCAGATCAGATTCTTTGTGAATATCTTCAATATTCTCTAATAAATACTCTTCATATGGATAAGCATACTCAATTTCTTCTGTATTACATGAGATAATTTTGTTATTCTGCAGTTCATTTTCATTCCTATGACTGCTGTGTATATCAGTGCCCTCTATGGACTGTATGAAACTCGGATTTGTGATTTGTTGTGGGAATGCTTCTTTTTCTCTGATTCGTTTTGCTTCATTCTCTGTGTGGAGCGTGTTTGTCTTGTCTTTTAGCGGAGTGTGCTGTCGGCCTGGTCCTGGGGTGGTCATTTTCATTTTTATTTCTTTCATATTTATGTAATAAAGGCGGTGGCTAGTAGAAGTTTTCTTTTGGAACGATATATTCCACGCCGGTGGATGTTCTTACAGAGTAGTACGACCCAATAACTTTTAAAAGTTCGACTGTCTCGCCCTTTCGAATATAGATAGTTCCATTATAAATAAAGTCAGATTTCGCTCGGAGATGCTTTGTTTCTGTACTTACACCAATTGGTGGCATTCGTATATCGCCAGACCCGTATCTTCTTCTGACTAAAGACTTGTTTCTTAGTTCTCTTCGTTTTTTGCTTCTGTTGTACCACTTGCCCAAATAAAGAGTAGACTCAAAAAGAGAGAATGCCAAGTAAGCAAAGACAGCTATAATAGACTTAGCATTAAAATCTTTACAGAAAATAAAAACACCACATACGATAAGACTGAGAAGGCAGGAAATAATGTACATTGACGCATTAAATATTCTTCTCAATCGGGAGGGCATAGAAATAAAGAAAGGAAGGAAAAATGGCATGAGATGTAGAACACAAGATATAAAGGGAAGCCACGTTTGTATGTATCTGTACATATGAGACTCTTCACAAAAATAGAATCGGACGCTAGTTAGTAGTGAGACAGTTCCAACTGCTAAAGAGACTTTGGTTTCTTTCAAATACATTATGTTGATTTAAGCAGGGGCCATAAAATGTTTAATTTATTCATTTGCTTGATTGGTTCTTTACATGGTTAAGAAATCGCGATGGAATAATTCGACCAATTGCAGCAATTACCGCATTTCCTTCATCAATAGGAAGTTTGCGTCTAATTTCATCCTTTAAAAACTGCTGCAGATTGTTACTTACTTCTTCTAAATCATCAGATGCCGACTTGTTTTTGTATATAAGCTTGGAAATCTCTTTCATTCTGCGAAGAATGTCTGCGGGGACCCCCACTCTCTTCATTGGTGCGATTGTAGAAACAGTAAATTTTGGAAGAGTTAGGACAATTGGATCGATTTTCTGTAAATTATTTTCTGTGTGCAGTGAGGGCGTGGTTTCACTCAATAGCTTTACTAAGTCAGGGTTTATAAGATGATCTTTTTTTGCAGGCTTTGGCTTTTCCTTAACTAATTCCTTTTTCTCTGGAGGAGTGTCCAGAAGAAGCATGGATCGAACATTAACTCTCTCAATCAGACTAATTGGCCTATTCAAAATCCGGAATATTTCTACATCGACCTCATTCTCAGATGCACTCGTCATAAGATACCCATTATAAAAGTGGTTTACAAATAGTCTGAATGTGATGTTTAAGTTAAAAAATGCATTCATCACGATTCTGTTTGACATAAGAAATTTAGCTTTCTCACTGCTTGACCGCTGCTCAATCTGAGAAATTCCTTGGCTTTTCACATTTTTTAAAAGCATTTCTCCAAATATCCTGTAGAATATTTTGTGCTCTTTTTCATTAATATTCTTATACGTATTTTGCAGCTGAATGTTTTTCTTAATAGCATCAGATATTTCATCATTATTTATCATTCTACGGCTTTTAACTATCTCTTGTACCATTTTAAAATTATCTTCGTCAAGATGGGTTAATTTATGTGTGTTTTTACTGTTCAGTGTAATTGAGATCTCTAAGTGCCCCACATCAATTGAGAGGATTTCATCGAGTCCGAGCAGTTCTGCTTTTGTCGATATTTTCAAGTACTTACGATCCACAGCAACAAGACACCGCATTCCGTCCATTTGGCATTCAAATACTTTCATAAAGAAAATAAAAACAGCCGAGAATAAACAGAATTATAGAAAGGCTTTTGCCTAATAACTCAATATAACTAAAAAACAGAAAAACAGAAATATAAAAGAGTGTAATAGCAATGAATATGTAAAAACTAGTTGATAAATCAAGAAAATTTATTCCTTTTTATCCGGCAAAGAGAGTGTAATTTCTTTGTTAGATGGCTCTCCTTCTTCTAAGTCAATTTCTAACATTCCATTCTCTATTCTTGCGCATTTTATTTTTCGGTTAGGATCAATTGTAAAGCAAATGCCGCCTTCTTGCTGGCAGCATTGTTTGAAGTCATTTCTGTCTATTTTGCTTTCTTTTTTGTAGCATATTTTTATTTCTCCATTGTTACCTTTCTTTTCTTCTTTTACTATTACGTCTTCTGGAGATATTCCTGTTGGAAGACACATTTTGTAGTTCATTTGTCCTTTTGATGATAATTGTGGGTTTGCTATGCCATTTTTGCAATATTCTGTTGGGCACATATCAGACTTAGTACACTTTTTGTCTGAGTGGTCGCAGGATTTGTGGTCTTTCCCAGTCATATGGCAGCTGTGCATATCAGTGTGTGGGTTAGTACTACTGCCACTATAGGTGTTAGTATTATTATTACTGTTGCTGTTTGTGTTAGTAGTACTATTAGTGTTGGTGTTAGTATTATTGTTATGCATACTTTACAGTTTTCGGTTATATTTATACTTTATCTAGCCAATCATCGTTAAATCCCTTTCTCCGTATAATGACCCAATGAGGTTCTAAAATGTCTAACTGATGCATTCCATAGTAATACGTCAAAAATCGCCATCTTTTATAAATAACATTGAAGTTGCCTGTAAACATTGCTAATTATTCTCTGAAAAGCTTCTATACAATAAAACACACTGTATAATGGCACAAGTGCACCAAATATACGTATAATAATAAAATAGACCTATTAACAAGGGGTATAAGACAACAGAATATTAGTTCCATAGGTAGAGAGACATATTTTGGAAAATTGCATAGTAACAAACGTGTATTATTTTCATTGATTATTGTGTGTTTGGTATACAGGTGTTTCACTTACAATTCTAATGAATTTATTCACTCAATTGAATAATAAACAAAATTAGATTTTTTAGACGTATTAACCGGAGTTTTGTGGCTTCCACTGCTTGTAGTGATCTTATTATTATTTTTAATTTTGCTTAGAACAGTTAGTGCCTTTTTGTACCTTTCAGAATGTTCTTTTTCTAAGAAATCGTGCTTGTTTAGGCCTTTAATAAATTTGTATGTTATTATAATAAGATTGTTTGCTTGCGTGTTCATCTCACATGCGAGAATAAACCAGTGAAAGTAAGTTCGGTTTAAAGCAGCGGTTTCTTTCGAATTTAAAGATTTACTGATTGTTCTAAACAATTTAATGTATTCAGTGGTTCCACCCGGAGTGAGAAAATCAAACACTTCTTTTTTATGAAATAATTTGTATACGTTAAAAGGAACTTTTGAATCAGAATATGCACACACTATAACTTTAAAACAGTGCAGGAGTGTTTTAGGGGATCGACTCATCGCATAATTTAATATAGATGCTCTCAGCGATTCATTTGATAAAACATTAAAAGCAGTATTTTTAAAGGGTGTATTCTTGTGCTCTGGTATATACATAGACAGTAGAGTTTTATTATTATGTCTACTGAATATGTTTACTCCATCATAGAATATTAGCCCTGCAAGCATTTTATGCACAATATTTAGCTTTTCTTTAGAACAGCTGCCTAGAATATTAAGTACAAATCTAAATATTATGTGGGTTCTAGGAATCTTACTGTCTATGCAGTGCATAAAAATATATGTGATTAAATTGCATTTATATGTATTATCATGGATTTTATCTAATAGGAATAGCCTATTTAAGTGTAGTACTTTTTTTTGCATAAATTTGTTAATCTCATGCTTTGCCAGAGAATTAACTGTATTTATCTCATATAGCTTTCTGACTTCTACATCAAGGTAGTATAGAAGAAGATATTTTATAAACGAGTCGTTATTGTCAATGCATTGAATCTTTAGATTTAAAAAGGTACTTATGCATAGATTTTTTTCTGGCTGATTATACAGTGGCATAGTATATATCCAAACAGAGTTTGTCTCTGTTTGTGTATTAATTGAATAGGACGATTTTTTGTCTTTAATGCCAGTATTAGCACTATCATTGCCTTTAACGCACTCTATATATATAGACCCGAAAAGATTGAACTTATCATTTGTTTCTTTACACTTTTCCATCCACTCTATGCGCACATTCACTTTATTCCACGGCGGGCAAAGACTAATAATTTTTTTGGCTGTATACTTTTCTATGCGAGTATAAATATCTTTGGCACTTATCAGTGGATTATGTAGGTCATGCATAAAGTTATCTAAAATATGCCTTTCACTTGAGTAATTTTCTGTTAGAATAGAAATGATATATAGGATATTTAAAATATTTAATGGAGGTTGTATACAGCTTAGCGTACTCCACTCATTAAATACATTAGAAATAATCTGCATCCATTCATTTTTTGTTTCAAGTTCGGATAGATATTCTGGCATATAGTTATTAGAAAAGAAATTGAAAATATCGCTGGTTTTTGAAGCTATGTGGTTAGTGGTATACACATCTTTATCAGGGTCATACATTAAGAAGCAGAATAGACTAAGTAAGTTATAGGATATAGCATTGATGTTGCTGAAAGGGCATAGCTTTTTAAAATGGCTTTTCCAGTATATTACTGGACTATGTCCATTGTATATGTTTATCTCTGTCTCATTCTCTATAGTATATGGTATGTGAGAGTTATAATTACTTGAAGTAAGATTTATGTTCTCAAATAATTTAGAATAAGAAAATGAACTGGTATCACTTGCACATTCTTTAGAAATAAAAAGTCTTTCAAATATTCTCTTATACACAGTCTCCTGTATGCTAAGAATAGAAATACCTTTTTCTGGGAGATATTCACTTATTATGTTGTACACTGCATTAAAAAACCGAATTGCTGTGTCTGCGCTTAAGTACTCATAGAGATACGATTGTATTAAAAACCCAACATTATCCAAAAATACTCCTTCTTCAAAGCTCTGCATACTGTTAATTAAAGAGTCTAAAGATGCATGGTATACACAATTATTTTTTTTGCACTTAGTAGTAAATACATCAAACACATCACTAATTATAGTATAATATGCATTGGATAGATTCTCTCCATTGCTACCAGATATATCCAAGCTAACAGAGAAGTATTCATCTTGCATGTTTTTTTTCTTTAGAACTATTCTTTTCTGATTTTTGCTGCTTGGATCTCCTTCTATGCATATGGGAAGTGGCATTCCTTCAGATAAAAGAAGAAGCGATGCTAATATGTCATATGAAAATGGCTCTACAGTTTTCTCTTGAAGGAATCCAGTGAATGAAATATCAGGCCCTTTTGTTTTTATAGAAGCATTATCATATAGTATAGATGAAAACATTCTAATTAATGAAGTAAAATAACTTTTACTATGGTCATTCTGGGGAATTCTGGATATATATTTTTTTTCTTCCATATAAAAAGAATCTCCAAATTCAAATCTATGAAATGAAAGAATTGTAGAAGAACAAATAAACTCTTTCTTATTTTCGATTGCATTCAATGTATATCTAATATATACGTGAAAATCCATACTTCGCTTGTTGTGCATAAATCCTCTTAGCTTAAATATATGCCCGCGCAATAAATTCAGTGCTCCTTCTGGATTTATTCTGAGCACTGCTCCGTTGTTATATTCTAAATTTGACTCAAATTGTCTAAATTCATGTTCTTGAAATATTCCCTGCACTATATATGAAAGAAATGCTAGTTGAAATATTATTTGTAGAGGAATAACGTATATATCTTGTATAATTTGCATTTGCTTAATAAAAACAAAAATTATCTGTCTATCATTTATAGTGCATATATTAAAGTGATAAAGTGATTACCCCATAAAATATAATTAATATTTGATGTTTGGCATTTGATATTTTCTTCTGATAGTACAAGACAATTAAACACCAGTGGGCTAACTAGAAGAGATCAGTGGAGGTATAGTGCTCTATTACTACTGGTTACTTGTTTTCACAGAGACATATATAAGCTGTGCAATTTATTAACTAACCAGTTAGAAGTATGTAAGTCTAAATGGGATAGTTATACTGCCATTTATTGAAGTGTAAAAACAAAATAGATAGAGATGATAAAAATATAGCAAAAACATGCGAAACTAAACCAAAAAGAATTCGACTAAATTACTACTGCAATTGCAATGCTAATATTTTCTAAGTGAATATAAATTAAAAGCAGACCTTTAACACTGCAGTATTTTACAGTAAATGTGTCATAAAAATAGAATTATAATACAAATAGATTAAATATTTGAAGTATAACCCGAATTGCAATAAATGTGTCAAATGGTTTAAATAGTAGTTAATTGGTGTAAATATAACTGTTTTATTAAGAATACACAACTATTCTGTGTTTATTAATTTCATGCAGGAATATGCTTTAGACTTAAAATCTATTGCACAGTTGCTCAATCTTGTTTTATAGACAACTTAAAGTATTTTTAGTTAGTACTGATTACTCGGACTCATTTGGGGCAAAGTATAATTTAATTAGTATAACAAATGTGCATACTGCGGCCTGAATAGCTGAATATATAAAAAAGAGAGTTTTCTCTTGCATAGGGCCACACCATACTAAAATAACATTTAGAATAGTAAAATTACTGATTTCAATGGTCTCTTCATTTTCAGTGTATGATATAAGATTGAAGAATTTATATACTCTTACTATTGCCCGGCGCAAATATCCCGTGGCAATGTAAGTCTTCTTGCACTGCATGGTTGAGGGAACAAGAACTGTAATACTTTCTGGCCCATCCAAATGCTTTACAGAGGGCATTCGATGTCTGGGGCATGGGAGTATTTTAAACATCTGTGGCGTACTTAACACAAAATTAAACAACTGTGGAATAAGAAACAGGAAAAGAGTTTTCATAAATCCTCCGAATAACCCAATGCATAGAAGAGCTGATCCTGAGAAGTAACAGAATACATCACCAACAAAGCATTTAGATGGATACTTGTTCCACATAAATAATCCATAAGAAGATGTAAATAGTGATAGGCAGAGAAGTGCGCTTAATGTACTCTTGTCATCTGGGAATGCACACCTATCAACGCACATCATACTGCTAATTACTAGTATTTGACCACACTCTACTCCATTAATCCCACTCAGAATATTAATAGCATTTGTAAAGTATATTCCCAGTAAAATTAGCAATGCATAGAAAATATTTCCCAAGTTATATACACCGTAGAATGGAACAACCATTGAAGTACTTCCACTGTACGTTATAATCAAAGGAAAGGTGGCAATAATTGGGAATAGCAGTTTGCAAGACCAGCTTAGATCCACCGTATCATCTACATACCCCATTAGAGTGTTCAGAATGATTGTATTGGAAAATATGAGAAGGCTCTCCTTGTGGCTGGGAAAGAATGAAGAAAGAATAAATATACAAAGCACAAAGGAAATGGCGGACGACAATCCAATTGATTCTGGTATCTTCTCTTTGCTTCTTTTATGGTGATCTATACCAAATGTTCTGCTTAGTGCCATAAAATATAGAGAGAGTTTATACGATATAATTCCAGACATAATTGGAATACTCAGCAGTGCACATGTTTTACTTACACCCACAAAACCAGCTGTTCTGTGTGTGATGCTATGTATATTTAACTCTATTGTTTTTTTTACTGCAGGTATGCCTGTTTTGACAGGTCCTGCATATGAAGAAGACTCACTGAGTATGTCCCTAGGAGTGAGCACAGAATTATTTTGTGCATTTGTAATTCGAGGGGGAATATTATTAATAGCGCTCACGAAATATGTAATGTAGGAACCAATCATTTCCGAAGCTTAGCGCCCAATTAAATTTTTTATGAATTAAATATTCATAAATTCAATAATTGTTATTTCTGCTATCTATGGATTCCATTGAAGGAAATGCGCTATTGAAGAAAGTGAATTCGCTGATAACCAGATTAGATCAAGAAGAAATGATAAAGTATTTCAAATTAGATGGGTATATTCGAGTAAATACGTATTTTATATCTCCGTTCTCATTAATTACTATAAAAAGAGGATTGAAGAACTTTCTTGTATCATGGGAAATGACAGAAAATGGGTGGAAGTTTGTTTTTAACAATAATGCATGTGTGAATTTTAAAGGGCCACTAACCAGCCAGACAAAAGACGGAAAGATTATTCACATAAAAATAGACTGTGCAAAAATAGAGTGCAACTCTGAAATGCACTATGCTGTTCTTACTAGATACTTCAAGTGTTTAGACACTTTTTATTTTATGGTGACAGAGGTAGATGAAGAGTTTGAACTCCTCACGAATCCACTTGGCAGTGTCTGCGGGTGGAGTCAACTGAAAAAGTAAAATAATGCAAACCCACCAAAGAGTATTTCTAGTTTAGGAGAAATGAAATAGATATAATAAATATTACTAGAAATAGCACAAAATAACTCAAACTACTTTAAATCCAACAATTTAATTTGCGTGTAGGACTCTTTCATACACAATTTACGGCGTGCTGTTAATATTTACAGAACTGTTCAGAGCTATACTAGAACTACAAATATGTATATGGTATATGTCATATTCATAAGAACAATTTATAATTTGCTCTCTTATTGTGAAATGGGTGTATAATTTGTATTTTTGTATGTTTTGCATATTTTTGTGTTCTTTGATAGTTCTCTCGTGTATTATGTGATATTCGTGGGTTCTTATAGCATTTTTATGTATTTATCAGTTGTACTCTGAGTTTTTTCAGATAATATGTGTGTGTGATATTATTGCTATATTTATAGAGTGTGCATTGAATGTATGGTGTTATTTGCATTATTTCAGCGTACCTTATTGATTCTGCTGTATTATAGCTGTTTAATCATATTTTTCTTTAAATTGTCTTTGAATTTTCTTTGTTTAACATGGAGTATTATGAGAAAGGTAAACAGATATTACTAGATTTAATAGAAAAAGGGCCCAGAGCAATATTTGAGAGACTATTCGGGAAAGAAACACACATTTTGTTTTTAGGGATTGATAATGCAGGTAAAACAACCCTTCTGCTAAGGCTTAAAACAGACACCGTGCACACTGTAGCACCGACTCAGTCTGTCAGAGAAGAAACTCTTCAAATAGGAAATATGAAAGTGACAATAAACGACTTAGGAGGGCACGAGGCAGCAAGGCTGGGGTGGAGCATGTACTTTATGCACTCACAAGGGATAATATTCCTAATAGACATAACCGACTTTGACAGATATGCAATAGTAGCAAAGACATATGCCCAGCTATTCTATACTATGGAGAAGTCAGGGAAAAAGTCTCTTCCAGTTGCCGTGCTGTTCAACAAGACAGACATGTGGAAGAAAGTATGGTCTACGCGCCATCCAAATGAGCCAGCGCCTGTTCTAGATGAGATGTATCTTAATCATTTATGCAACACACTTGGTATAGTTGTAGGAGAGGGAGAGAATGGAAGAAGAGTTTCTGCTAATTATTGCTGTGTAGTGACAGACTCTATTTCAACCCCAAATAATGGGTTTATGCTTGCTTTTAAATGGCTAGATATGATGATTAGGGCAGAGAAATAAAGAGTTTTATATCTATGCGAGTATGCAATTCTACTGTTATTTGCATTGTGTATGTTTTTCTGTTTGTTGTGTTTCATGCATATCAGAAGTTTCATATAATTTAAAGACAAATTAATATCTTCCACCCACCAGGCGTGTTTGAAGCATGTTTCTAAGCACATATAAAGATTGTTGCCGTGTTTTATACATAAATCATTTTTGTGTTTTATTGCACAGGGCTTTCATTCGCTGAATAAGACACACAATCACTAGAAAAAGAATTTAAATAAAACTGGGCTTTTTTCGTAATGAACGTATTATTAGTCATAATATTATATGCAGCGCACATATCTGGGTACTATTATACAGAAGGGTGGAGAGGCTCAAGATATCACCCACTAGGCCCATATGCGCACCCATACCATTCATTGGAGTATCTTAGACAACACGGCAGACTGCATGCGTACAGTTCTGCATATTTAACTCCGTACGGCACTCCGTATGGTCATATATATCACAGTTCATACCACAACGCAAGAAGAAATGCAGCATATGGAAGCAGAGCATATGGTGCGTGTGGTGGCGCATACGCTGCTGGTGCATCAGACACAGCCTCTGCTGCTGCAGCTGCCGCCTCTGGGTATTCTAGATATTCCAGAGTGTCTGCGGGTCTTTCATCGGGTCTATGTGATGAAACGCCATATGGATATTAGCCAGTATAATTCAGGAGCGCCGGGTTATATTCGGATTTTAAATAAATAAATTGTAAAGTTTAGACTCGAATTACCCTCTCCACCCACAGCAGGATATTATAATACTTCAGACTAATCCCACACCATTCACAGTACAATTTCGCAATACAATATACTATTGTGCCGATATTTCTGATCATTTCTTAATTTCCTATCACAATTCTGAATAACATGAAAATTAACTGTTATTACTACTATTCGCACTGTTACTTCTTCTTTCTAAAGATTATACCTCTGAATGTGCTCGAATGCTCTTGTATATTTCTGCATACCACAGAATATCCTTGTATATTAAAACCTTATTATTCTGGATTATACTTAGATTAATCTTAGCTATTAAATAGCTTTTTATGTAATGATGTTTGTATCAATGGCAAATGATAGAAAATTTGAAAGTCTAAATAAAAAGCAAAAGACCTTTGGCCAGCGACTTATCTACCCGGTTGAGAACCGGTTTGCGCCTAAAAAGTACAATGATCCCTCTGTGGGCACTCGAGTGAACGTGAAGCAATTAAAACTCCGATATTCTAAAATAAGTGGATTTTTTGAAGCAATATGAAAATAAACAAACGAGGAATAATTGAAGAGAGAAAGAAAGCAAATAAGCTCACATTTAAAGACCTTCTACTACAGGGAGGGCCAACAGCAATAATACTAGCAGTTTCAGACCTTCTAGGCCAGATAATAGTGGGGGCCAATATGTCTTACATTAAGACGCCACTTTTAATGGGACTGTATGGATTTATAACAGGAAATATAAGTTTTTTAATGTACTCTACCATGGACAGCTACAGCACAGATAAATTCAACCGGATGAGAGGGCTCACACCGCAGAGGGTTAAAATAGCTTTTTATAAAATGCTGTTTGACCAACTAGTGTGGTCTCCTATCGGTACGTTTATGTTTATATTTGTTGCGAGTTTAGTTGATAGTTCAAATTTCGGTTTAAGAAAAGTTGTAATAGATTATTTCACTATACTATTTGATAGCTATAAGATTTGGCCTGTTCTACAGATGATTAATTTCTTATTTGTGCCATTGGAGATGCGTGTGCTATTTATTAGCACTGCTTCTTTAATATGGAATACTTATGTAAAGATAGCTAGACAGAAATAGGAATTAAAAATTATCATAATCATATAGCAACCCAAAATTACATACTGTGTATTATATAGTGTTAATTACAGATAACCAGTGATTCTCATTCTATATTACTCTACCAATAGTTTAACTGTATAATTATCTCTTATAAAGATAAATAATTGTTTCTGGGTGTTTACAGGGTGTTTCTTGTTCCTAATTTATTCTTATGCTTTACTGACAATGTGTCTTGTAGCATCCTCTCTGCCGATAGGTAAATTAAATGAAAGGTTTATAAACTATTTTATCTTTTTGTATTTTTATTTTTAAATTTAGTAGATTATTTCTATGCATCTGAAACTTTTAAAATACTCAGAAATAATCAGAGATATAACTCTGAAATTTAAGCAGAGAATCAACTGATGTGAATGAGTTAACATGAGGTATTTCAGAATTCTTATATAAATAGTCATTATGTGCAATTATAATTATAAGAACATTAAGATTATTTAGTTTAGTCGGGTTAGACTTTGTACTATTAAGTATTACAGTTTTAATTTAGAGGTATAAAGAGAATAGGCTTATGATTTAATTTATACATTGGGCAATTTAAAATATTCATTAATTATAGAAACTTGCATATTATATTTAGAAAATTCGGGTTCTGATTATTTATGGGTATATTAAACCTTTTAATTCCTGTAGAATTGTATCTATGAGAACTCATTTGTTATTTTTGGTTAGTTTGAGTTATTGTCTTTTTTGGATTAGTCTGGGCTCTTTTATGGTTGGTAATGGTAGTAAATATAATGGAAAATAATTTAGTAAAGATTTTCACATGGAAAATGAGAACATGCATAGAGACTGGATATCTATCTTTAACAGACTCTTAAAGAAGCCAAAAAGCAGCTTAAAGGAAATTTCCAGAATACTTGGTCGATCACAAAAGTTTTTATCCATTCTATCCACTGGTGGTGCATCTACTGCATACGCTTCCTATGCGGATAGTTTAAGAGAGTCTGTGGAGAGAATTCTTTCCACTTTAATTATGTACTCAGAAGACACAGAAAGCCACCCAGGGATATTTTTTATACTGTGTAACTATAAAGACGCGCACAAGTGCGATTTTCATCCGGTTATAAAAGTGTTTTTAGAAGGGACTAAGTCTGTATATCTTCTGAAAATAATTGAAAAAGTGTGCAGCAATGCACATATGGTTCGGCTAAAGAAGGAAGAAGAGATAGTACTTCTATCTGAGCTGGTTAAGTGCTCTGCAAGTGCGGATCATTTAATAGGGGAGTCTGCTATTAGAAGTATTTTTGGGCTTTATAAAAGAGAAAGAGGAGATGCTGTTTTTCTTGCAGAGCTAACAAAAACCTTTCAAATGAGGTATCTAGACCTATTTGTATCGAAAATATTCCCTGAAATAATTGGGAATGAAGATACTCAGTTTGTTATTTCTATGATTCAGGTTTTGTCTGAGATTAAAGAGATTCCTATCCTTATAATTGCACATAGTGCTTCTAGAGAGTGTCTCCTTTCCTGCCCTCCAGGCCTTCTAGACCGCATGTGGGCGCGGCTAGAAAATGAAAAGCTGCCTCAGGAGTATCTTAGTGGTATGAAAATGGCAGCTAAAGTGCCAGAGCTATTCAACATTAATCAATTCTTGCGCCTGCTGGTAAAGTATACTGGAATGAGTGTTTTGTATGATCAAGGGGACGTTCTGATCCAGTATATAAATACAGTACTTATCTCCCCCGTCTCTGTTATAATAAAGGAAAAAAAGTGCATTAATGGTATTATAGAACAAACAGAAAAAACCATAGGAAACTGCGGAGGTACACCAATAAGTGGCGTGTGCCTTAATACAGACATTATGGTAGAGTTTCTAGAGAAACTGTACAGGCACTCAGATGGAACTCGGATTGAGTACTGTCGCATACTCTTTTACACAGGACTAGAGTCTCAGAAGGCATACGTTCTGTTGCTTCTGAAAAATAAAAATATCCGCGTGAAGTGGAATGCACTGCGCACACTTACAGCGTATGCACTGGATGCATCTGAAATTGAAATAGTACTAGACGTTTTAAAGACAACAGAAAATGAGAAAATGAAGCTGTGGTGCTTAAAGATACTTGAGTGCAACCACAGAAAGGTTGATGCATCCGCTGTTGTAGTGAAGGACACTCAGTATAAATCAGAGATTGAGGAGATTCTTAAAAGAATAAATAATTGAATATTTTCTTTTTTATGGCAGTAAGCAAAAGAAGAATATCGCAGAAATGTAGGAAATCCGCTGATGACGAATGCCCATCATCGGCAGAGGAAGAAATCAGATTTGATCCAAACAAGAAGATCTTAAGAGCCAAAAGAAGGAACGAGCGGGCCCCAGGGCCAAGAGCAAGCCTATTTGGAAAACCTGCAGCAAAACAGTACACCACAGAACAGAAATTAAAAGGCCTTAACCAGTCCTTTATTGAGTCTGTGAGCAAGGCGTACAACATAGACAATACATACAACTTTACAGAGATATCCAATGAGTATACCACGTATAGAGAAGGCATAGTGGGAAGCGGCGAGCACTCTAAGAATACAACTCCTCTAAGCAGCGAGCAGAAGAAAGACATTTCAAATATTCTGCGCGCTGGCCTTGGTTCAAGTGCCCAGGCACCAGCACAGCCCGATGAGTCACAGATGAAAATGGCCCAGTTCATTCTAGGCCAGCACGGCGGTGCAAACAACAACTTGTTTGGAAGCATTGGTGGCGGAAACACTTCTGGTCTTTTTGGCATGAATAATAATGAAAGCCCAATGAACAGCGGGCTGTTGAACAGTGAAGCCAACCGCATGGGCACTAACCAGCCCCAAGGTGTAAAGATGGAAATAACAGAAAAATCTGAAGACCTGCCCATAGAGAAAGAACACAGAAAGATAAAAGAAGTAAAGGATCAAACAAAAACTACAAAAGAAGTAAAAGAAGAAGCAAAAGCCGCAAAGAATGCAAAAGCTAACAGCCATGCAGCAGATAAAAAGAGCAGCTTAAGTACTAGTGAGAAGGCGGACAATGAAGATATCAAGCATCCAAGCGAGGCCAATAATAAAAAAGAAGGCAAGCACTCCAAGAAAATAGAGACACCAACCAGCCACAAAAAAGAAGAATCTCCAAAAAAGAGGGAGGATTCTAAAAATGAAAAGAGTGTTCAGAGCAGTAGTGCTCCATCCGCATCTCCAGAAGTTTTATTTGACCTGACATGTAAAGTGTTCGCCAGAAAAACAACGCGGTTTGAGGACCTTGGATTTCATCGGGTAGTAGTGCGAGTGATTGATGGGGAAAGAAATATTGTTGTATATGATAATAATAAGAAGAAAAAAGAAACAGAAATGCTTTCTGTCTCTCTTAATAAGTCATCGATTCAGTCAGACAAGTCTCGCAAGGAACTTGCCTTTGTTGACCCTTCTAGTACTTTACTGTACAAAATAAAACTGGCAACTCATGAAGATGCAGATAAATTGAGAAATGCATGCAACAAGACTGGCTAATACATGGAGAATAAATTTCGGGTTAGCTTTGCCTTGTTATAATAGTGTGTTTCTGATGATTTATATTTTTACTACAAGAACAACTTAAAGTCTCTTTATTGAGTTCTTAGTATTTAAGTTTGTTATATGCCCTAGCATACAGATTGCACTGTTGCTTAGTTTAAAACAATCTGTTTTCCTGGGTCGTGTTTGTGTTTTTATGCGTGTATGTGCTACACTCTACTGTAACAAAGTCTACTGCTATAAAACATGCTAAAACAAACCGTGCAATGCAAACACAGACGTATTTAGAGAAAGAAGAGAAGGTAGAGCATGACATACTATTGCATGGGTCAATTAAATCCCTGAAGGAAGCAACAGTTGAACTTTCTGAGATAAATTCCGTTGTATCTGCGCAGGGGGAAATACTTGCAAAGATCCAAAGGAAAATTAACCAGACAGAAGTAACACTAAAAAGGGCGAGCAAGAAGCTTTCTGTGCTTATAAGGAGGTCAAAGAACAAAAAGGCATTTTCTTTCTGTTTACTCTGCCTAACAACAATTTCATTATTTAGTCTATGTGTATACACATACAAATACACGTAGAATGAACAACCCAGGACAGCTATTAAATACTTTACCTAAGCAGATAATTAGGTCAATAGAGCAGAAACCAATCAATTACAATATAATAGTAATGGGAGAGAGCTATTCGGGCAAGAGTTCTCTAATTAAGAATATCTTCTGTCTTGGCGAGTCGCCCCAGGCCAACTGGTGTGATGACCTACTGCATGAAGTGTGCGACATGGCAGGCACTGCCAACCCACTAGCACAGCTAACGGGCACGCACAGTATTAATTTAGAAAAGAACAACACAAGCATTTCCGCGTCTAGGTACACCATAAATGAGAACGGAATCCAAATGAATCTTACAGTCTATGAAATTGGAGGGATTGGAGACTCAGTCTATAATTCATTTGACTGGGTGCCTGCTAAGAATTTAATTATGAATAGGTATGAAGAGTACCACATGGAAGAAGACAGCGGTATTCTAGACAACGACAAGAGAATACATGCGTGTCTTTACATGCTTAGTCCTACTACTAATATGCGGGAGATAGACATAACTTCTATGTATGAAATGGGCCAAATAGTGAATGTCATTCCAATCATAGGAAAAGCAGACATGCTTTCAGATGAGCAGTATAAAGAAATGAAAGAGCGCATATTCTCTACGCTGATATCCAACAAAGTGCAACTATTTGACTCTATGTATGTTGATGAGTGCAAGAAAGTCGTAGAGATTAATTTTATGCCCCTCGGGTACTCCTCACCAAACAGACCGTATGCATACGGGGTATCTTCTACGAGAGCAGAAAGTGACATTAAAATACTGCGGGACCTTTTAATATCACAGCATTTAGTTGATTTGATTGAAGTGACTGACAAGTACTATGAGACATACCACAGAAATAAGATGATAGTTGATATTCTTACAAAAAAGAGCAGCAGTATCAGCGAAGACTTCCAAAGAAGAATTGAGCTGGAAGAGAGTAAAATCAAAAAGCTTCTTAAAAGAATAGAACAAAAGCAATCAAGCTATCAAATGCTTGCAGCACAGCATAAAAGCATAATCCCAAAGGAACTCTTATAAAATATTCATTTTTTCTATTTTTCTATTTTTCTCGTATCTTATAGTTAAACAAAAACATACAAGAATAAAAATCAAAGAATACAAATTTATCTAATTCTGTATTTATTAGTATATTTTCTTCTCTTTATTCCTTCTACTTGTTTATACTTCCAAGTATTTTCGTTTTTATTATACATTTTGTATAATATTTGGTCATAAAAACCACTCAGCTCTACTGTGGATGTTCTATGATTTATAGGTATAACTCGAAGTTCTGAAATTCTTAATTCTAAATTTCTGTTCATTTGAATATTTCTGCCTTATTTATTAATCGCTAAAAAATATTATTTCTCATTTCATTATGCCAAGAAAGGACAGAAGTGGAGCACATCTTCTTTTATTTCCAGCTGGTGCTGGATACTCCGTGTGCATGGCTTTAAAAAACAAGCTAGCACTTGGGAAAAGTGCAATAGTTGAGCAGATGTTTATGCCGTGTAATTATGCTGTTATGTCTTTAATCATTCTAGCAGCCATTCTTATGACCAACAGAAAAATTCTTAACAGACTGCATAAAATATTTGGGGGGGTATTCATATTCTCAGCTATGTACATGATGGTATCTAGGCTGGTTAAAGACAGTATTATTGCAAGACTGGGTACTATGGCACAGCACTATATTCTTGTGTATTTTATATGCGGGAGTATTTTTGTCTGGGAAAAATTACCGGTTATTTCTATCCTTTCAAAGGAGCTGTCTCCTAACTCACACTGGGACTTTAAGATAGGATATTTAGTCTTGAATATTTCAATATATTCTACGCACACCTATTCTCTTCACTTCTTTAATAGTCAGTTAGACTTAGCAATATGTGATTATGGGTACTTTGGGTGTATGTCTGTGTTTTATATAGCAAATACTATAATTGGGCCATTTGCAGAGAGAAACAAAGCAACTAAAAAAGCAACAATTGGGCTGTCTTTAGTCTCTGCTGCTATATACAGTTTATTTTTAGTGATCCGTCTACTGAGCAGTGATTCTCGTTCAATGCTGGTTATATATGGAATATTTGCGCTTTATGTGATTGTTCTTTCTGCAATTTTCCCACTGTATGATGTTCTGGTTTTAAACCACATGGAGAAGGAGTACGCGGGAATGGAAGTATGTGAGAGAAAAGAAATATTCACAAGGATTAGGCTATGGGCATCTATTGGGCATGCAATTGCTGGTCTGGTTATTTCCTATCTGTATAAGACACTTGTTAGCAATTCACACACACCCTCTTCTAAAGAGGTTCCATTGGGTCTATTTGTAGTTCTTATTGTGGTAGTGGTGGCAAGTGCCCTGTGCTTTGTCGGAATTGTGCACTTTTCACTAGAAGAAAAAACAGACATTTCCAGCACTTTATACAAGAAAAAGGCATCTACAGCAGAGAAAACCACTGGAACTGAAGATGTAAGTAAGTTGGATACATCCGAGACCATAAAAAAGCCAAAGAGTTTATTAAGAAATAGCGACTTTTTATTTCTTATTTTTGTGATTACTTCGATTGGTATAACCAGAGGCATTTCTTCTCATTATTTAGTCACGTATTTATCAGTGTACTTTGGAGTGGAATTTTCCAAAGTTACATCTATTCTTTGCATTAGAACATTCAGTGAGATGTGCATACTTTATTACAGTAAGCATCTTCTGAAATTCTTCGGATATCACTGGCTACTCCTTTTTTCTTTAATGGCAGCCACAATGAGAGACTTTAATTACGCATTCCTTTCAAAGTCGTATCCAATATTATTTGCAACTATTAATGAAATGTTCAAAGGGATCAGTTCTTCCTGTCTTGTGTTCAGTGCCGTTAATATTGTTGATGAACTTGCTGATAATGACAGTAAAGCAATGGCACAAACATTCTACAGTGGTTTTTATAATGGAATATCCATTTTAGCCTCTTCTTTACTCAGCATTGCCATTATTCGACACTTTAAAGACTTTAGATCACTATTCCATGCATCTTCTACTTTTGGACTACTGTGCTGCTGTATTGTTATTATAAAATACGGCATTATTGATCGAAAATTACAGCTTAGAAAAAGGGTAGATATTAAATAAACCTATCTTTCATCTGATATATTCATGTTTCATTTAATACATACTCAGTACTTTCTTCTCCTTAATTACTCATTTAATTACTTACTTAGTGCTTTACATATTTATCTCCTTAATTACTCATTTATTCGTTCATTACTCTTCTATTCTCCTTAATTACTCATTTAATTGCTTATTTATTCTCCTTAATTACTCATTTGTTCATTCGGTACTTTTCTCCTTCTTTCTCTCTTATCCCCCTCTTCTTATCCCTCTTCCTTCCTTCCTTCCTTCTCTCTTATCCCCCTCTTCTTATTTTCCTATTTCCTTATTTTTCTAATATGTATATTTATTTTTTATATTATTTATTCTGTGTACGTATAATAAATTATTAATTATTTACTTTCCCTACTATAGTATATTAATAAATATTTAATTATAAGTAGAAGGTTCTAGACCTATTTATTTCACTATTTATAGACTAATTATACCTTAATTAGTAATTAGTAGGAATTAGTCTATATTTAGTAAATATCTGTCTATAAATACATAAGACAATTCATATTTTATGTATTTATATTGTGATGGTGGACCAACTCTGTATAATTTACTAGTTTAGTAATGAGCATATACTTAAACAGTAAAAATGCATTAGAAATTAGAAATATTCTGTGCAGAGTTTACAGTTTGTTCATATTATATCCGAAGGAGTATAATATTAATATACATCACAGTACAGCAATTCTCCAATAATTATGATTATAATACTACTCTGATGGAATAATTCTGTATGTTACAGATATAAATTCACTGATGAATTATGTATATATCTATATTCACGCATTGTCTTTACTGTAGAGTATTTAGTATAACTTTAGTGTCTCTGAGATAATTTATGTAGATCGTATATTATCTGGGCTGGGGGCCCTTTTTATTTAATTTCATAATTCTCTGATTGGTGTATTTTATACTCCTATAAATATTACTTATTATATATAGTGTATTATATTATATTACTTATTATATATAGTGTATTATATATTATATTATCTGTTATACATTATTTTTTATACATTGTGTAATAAGTAATATAAATCTATATATTTCTGATTTTTTTTGCAAATTTTTTATGAGCATCACAGAAGTAGTCACTCAAACAGACATTGGAATATTCAGTAATAGTATACCAAGTGTATTCACAAACAGTGCAATAATTGGTGTAGCAGCAGCCAGTCTTGGTGTAGTGTTTAATGTCGCTATGTTATGGCTGGATATACTCCAGAAGGGGAATAACCCGAATATTTCATCAGTTAATGAAGCAGTCCGCAATTTTTATAAAAATTTAAATTTGTCTTCAATTGACTTGGTAAGAAATAATTCACTCATGAAAAATGTAGAAATTGGGACTATTTTTATTTTATTTTTTACAGTGCTACATTTACTTATTACACATTGTGTAATAAATACTGTACTCCTATCAGGAGAAGCAGTAAATAGTGCAGTAAGTACAGTAGGACTAGAGAAAGCCTTTAATTACCCAAATGAGTCAATCCCACACGGATTTATAAGAGAAGATTCACTTGGTCATAATAATCAGTATAATGTATCAATTAAGCCCACAGGAGCACTTAAAAGCATCTTTTCATACGGGAGGTATGAAATATTCATGGCTGGGTTAAGGTCCTGCTGCTTAATCACATTCGGGTTTATTTCTGTATGGCTGGGTTCTGTTGTAGTAGGGTATATACTACCAGATATTACGCATAGTATGATAAGTCCTGTACTTACAGGTATAAAATCATGGGTATTATTAGGGTTGACCGGGTTACAGGTAAATCAAAAATTTTCATTAATTAATTCAGTTATTTATGGATTTATGGATTGGATGACCGTTATTTTTTTATTTTTAAAGTATTTTTTACTGATATAAAAATTTTAATTAATGTAATATTATCATTAATTACTGCACTCTGTGTGATTCCTACGTTTTATTCCCTTATCAGGGTACGGCGCATTAAAGCCATAAGGAAATCATCAGAGTCCATTATTTATACAGCTAAAGTACTATTATCTGTTGTACTTGGTATATGTACATTACTTATTATGCTATACCCTATAAGAATTGTTATACTTATGTATCCCAGTGTACAGGATATATTAAAGTATCCATTAAGTATTATTCTGTATACGGTGGATATCGTATTAGACAGGATGGGTGTAATAAGTGAATGTATACAGCCAGTACAGGAAGTAAATATAAGTGAGCTAATAGCATAAAGTAATACTTATTACACATAGTATAATAAGTAATAAAATAAAAATAAAAATTAATATATGTGATAGTATGTGTGATAAGTTGTGATATGTGGTAGTATGTGTAATAAGTTGTGTACTATGTGTAATAAATTCTATACTATTTTATAATAATTGTGTAATAAGTTATGTACTATGTGATAGTATGTGTAATAAGTTATGATATGTTATGTTCTATTTTATAACAATTGTGTAATAAGTTGTGTACTATTTAGTATACTATGTCTAATAAGTCATATACTATTTTATAATAATTGTGTAATATGTTATGTACTATTTAGTATAGTATGTGTAATAATTTATGTACTATGTGTAATAATTTATGTACTATGTGTAATAAGTTATGTACTATGTGTAATAAGTTATGTACTATTTAGTATAGTATGTGTAATAAGTTGTATATTATGTGTAATAAGTTGTGTATTATGTGTACTATTTAGTGTACTATGTGTAATAAGTTATTATTCTGTTATATGCATTATTTAGTATACTATGTGTGATAACTTCTATTTTATAATAATTGTGTAATATATACTGTAAGAGTATCTGATTTATTTTTTGTCTAAATTTACTTCAGATATGTCATCAGAATAAGAATTGTTCTTCACTCCAGATATAATATCCGACCGTTTCCTGCCAAACCTAGCACAAATATTCTTACCATAGAAATTCTGATTATTTAACCTGTCTAATGCAATATCCCTGTCCTGCCTGTTAATGAATTCTAATAAGCCATCACCAGATGGAAGTATCCTAAGATAAGTTGGTCTGGCACCACTCATAAGAATAAATGAGCGTAATTCAGACCAGTCAATATTCTTAGGAAGGTTCTCTATAATTAGTCTAGAGACTCTTTTTACCGTTGGTTTCTTATACCTCTGTATATATCTACGGTTATATTCTGATACATTCCCTTTCTGTCCCTTGGCTGTCTCTATAACTATCTTATTACCATTCATTTCATGAGAATCTTCTAGTATTTTATTACCAATTACTTCATCTACTGTGACAAATCCGTATGAATTGTATATCTTCAGTGATTGTACCTTGCCGTACTGTGAGAGATACTCTTCTATCTCCTTCTCCTGTGAGAATTCCTTTAATCCTCCTATGTACAGTTGCATTCTGTTTATGTAAATAAAAAATATAAATAAATATAGATAATAAGATAAGACTAAACTTATTACAAATAAGGAAAATTAAATAACAATAGTGTAATAAATAATAAATAATAGACAAAGTATAATAAATAATAAACAATAAAATAAAATTAATTATAATATATAGTATATAAAATAATAAAATAAAATACACATTATATAATAAATAATATAAAACATACTACATAATACGTAATAAATAGAATATACCAATGGTAGAGTAATAAATAATATATAAAATAACAATAGAATAATAGAATATACTAATAATAGTGTAATAAATAATAGAATATACTACACACTGTGTAATAAATAAAGACAAGTAAGTTATATTGGTAATTTATTATAGTATATTGTGTACATAAAAGTGATACTAATTAAGACAAAATTAAACACACAATGAATTATAAATAAACAATTGTTAATAAAATTAAATGTACATTGTATCATAAGTAAAGGATGCATAGTTCACTAAATATAATAATAATAGTACAATAAGTAATGATTAATGTGTAATAAGTAATGCATGTTGTGTAATAAGTTATAGCAAATTATATTTATGATGATACCACCACTCTCGTATGAGAATCCAATGGCGATATGTCAGTGTGTCAACTCGCACGGTGATTCTGACAAAACAAAGGCCGGGATCTCTGAATCAGTGTATCAACTACTGACTAGCCACCTTGAGACATTCACACAATTTATGGAGAGACTCAGAAGAGCATTAACAGCTTACTTCAGCACCAGATCTAACGCAGCTGTACTATTAATACTCCAAGTCTGCACAGGCTTAGGCCGATTTCTAAATAGAATAAAACACCTTCTCCTTTCACTCTCTTATATATATTGGCTATGTATCAGGACAGCCACAGCATTACTCCCTGTGAATATACGTCATAAATATCTATTACACCACTAGAATCAACTATGTTATATGGATGTGCTACAGTACTACAGTAGTATCATTAACTAACTACCTTGGCCATCATAAATGTATAATAATTACAGTTTGTATAAAATATTTTAATTTTTCCGTTTTTTTAAAAGTATAAATATAGAAAATATTTTATTTTTTATGGAAGGATATATTGATGAAGAAATATTAAGAATAGAATTACAGAAAGAATTCGGTGAAAAAGAAGGAGAAATAGAAGATGAAGATATAGAAAAAATATATAAAATAGTGATAGATATTAACAAAAGAACCCCAGTATTTAAAGATTTACCAGAACCACTGACTAATTTGGCATATAATATATTTTACATGCAAATATATAATAGAACTTTTTTCTGTGATTATAAAGATATTATATCAGAAATCAATGATTCTATAACCCAAACATCTGAAATTATAGATATGATTAAAGAAGAAGCAGAGGCATTAAACAGTGGAAGTAAAAAAGAGGCATTTTATAAATTAATAAGTAATAATCATAGTATTATGGCATCAGTATATAGGCATAGAAAGAATTTCTATGATTCTTCTATTAATGTACTGTGTGAGAAAGCAGACAGATCAGAACTAGGTGAAGAAATACCTTCAGAAGATGCAATACTTAAACTATATGAGTTAACTGAATCAGGAGAGTGTTCTAGATTACAGAAAGTGTTAGATATACTAATAAAACATGGTGATAAACTAACTATAGTTGATAAGGATGGAGAAGAACAATCAAATGTGAGTGATTTAAAGCTAACTGACGATGATATTTATTCATTACAATTACTTGCAAGAACAGAACGTTCGGATTTTGATTCTTTTACTTATGACATTATAAATGGTTTAATTTATAATTTAATTCAAGTTCAAGATAAAGATAAAAAATTACATACTTCTATTGCGTGGTTATATTATACAATATATAAGATGTCTACTATGGAGCATGGATTTAGTTTAGGTAAAGATGAGAACAAAGATAGAATTAAGACATGCGTAGATCAACTGAATAATATGGAAAGTATTGATATTATAGATAATAAGTCTATTCTAACGCTATTAGGTGAGCACAGTAATGTATTAGACCATAAAGATTTTAATATTAATAATTTTAGAAATAACGTACTTCCTGGCTATTTAAAATCAATAATATCTGATGTTTGTGGTATTACAGGCAAATCTATAAAAGAGAATACAAAAAATAGAAATGGCGGTACTATAGATACATCTAAAAACAAAGAAACAGGTGGTACTATAGATACATCTGGTACTACAATCAAAGGAATGCGCACTACAACTATAATATTTATGGCAATAATTATGATTGTTATAATGATTGTTTTTAGTATAATATTCTTATATCCTAATGAAACAAACAAAATTATGAATATTTTAAATATTATGTAAAGGCAAAAATGAATTTTGAGTTATTCGGGTTATATGTAGGTGTATATTCGAGACTGATCTGCCAATGTGCGAATACATGCAGTGATCATGTTAAGATAAAGAGCCTATATATAAGAATAAGTATACCAAATTCAGACTAGTAGGACATAATTAAACAAATCATATAACTATGGGGACAGTTCAGTACATGGTCTAGTACTACTATGACTATGTGTACGTCCTTATACTATAATTATTATAATAAAGAGTATATCTTTATCTGTATTTATTTTTAGACTGTATTATCTGGGTGGAGACAGTGTTATACATTGTGTAATAAGTTATATAGTATTTGTTATACATTGTGTAATAAGTTATATAGTATTTTAGTTTTAATAAAGGATGCATAGCTCACAGAATATAATAATAATAGTGTAATAAATAATAGAATATACTAATGATAGAGTAATAAATAGAACATACTATACACTGTGTAATAAATAATAATAAGTAAGTTATATTGGCAGTTTATTATAGTATATTGTGTATTAAGTCTTCTATAAACATTTAATATTTATTATAACACATTGTGTACATAAAAGTGATACTAATTAAGACAAAATTAAACACACAATGAATTATAAATAAACAATTGTTAATAAAATTAAATGTACATTGTATCATAAGTAAACAAACAATAACCCGATATAACCCGAAATTTAATGAATCATAAATACTGGAAAAATCTACTTATAATCCATCTGCTGACTTCTTCTTCTGCCGTATACGACCGTATAAATAAACAAACCCAGGAATATAAGTGATTAAACCAATTAAAGTAAGCGTACTCCTCATGTAAACCATTAAGAATACTTCACAGAATATGCCAATTGGATAAAGAATTAAAGAGGCTAAATAACGAGGCTTTTTAAGCATGGGACACCCATAGTATAAAAACCGTATTAAGTCAGATACACCCCATACGATCATCATAATCCCTGTTATAATTAAATTATTATTAGTACACGCACACCTGGATATAAACACACGTGACCCAATCTGCATAAGTGAAGTAATAAATGACTGTGAAGTAATCCCAGTCACTGACAGAATCAGTTCAAACACGTACATCTCCTGGGTTATAATTAATAATTTATGATAAGTACTTGCTGTATACCCATTCATAAAGTATAAATAATCCCTTGGTATGGACAGGTTTAATTTACCACATAAAATATCCAATCCCATTGAAATCACTGACCAAGCAATTGTCATTCCGAATATATTAAAAAGAATCCTAGTAGAAGAGAGAATAAATGCCTTCCTGACAGAAATATTCATAAATAGTAAAACTTTTTAAATAATTTTAAATGGAAGAGTTAATGAACAGAATTTCTGGTAAATCAATAGAATATCCTGGGTGTATGCAGGACATTAAGGAATTAATAGGGGGGACCAGTAAGGATAACTATTATTACTGTATAGTGTACATATTACTATTAAAAGAGCAGATAATCAACATACCAGAGACGGAGAGGGACAGGACAGAGTTTGAAGATGTATTCAGAAGGTTAAAAGTACATGCTAAAACCATAGCAGGGGAAGAGTGGGGCAGTATGATAGATAATTCTACGTATACGATATATAAAGAAGAAAAATCCGAGGAGAACCGGGTTGAGATACTAATTAATTTAGTGATAGAGACACTTATAAGAACAAGTACGGCTGATATGGAGAGACAAGTTGATGCGTACTTACAGGAAGAGATAAATGATCCCAGGACAGAAACAAAAACACAAAAGAATGTATCACAAGATGTAATTGAAGAGATCTTATGCAACCTAACAAAATTAAGTGATAGGGATGTAAAGGGACAAGTGGGGATAGTTACACCACTATTATCAGAGGAACACATTCCGATTATACTGAAGTATTTAAAGAGCCTATCAAAAGTAATCCTATTATCACTGTACTTGAACAACAAGCCTGTATACGACGCATTACAAAAGGAATTTATAAGGAAGGAGTCATCGAATGATTTAATAGCACTGGTTGATTTCCCAGAGATAGATATAGATGGATTATTAAGTAGACTGTACAAGAGCAGTTCAGTATTTAAAACCCTGGATATAATCATTAAGACACGACTGATTCATAGGGACAAGATAGTAAGTACGGTTATAGAGTACATTAAGACAGGGTCAAGAACAAAAAGCATTCATTTTATACGGGAGAATTTAGAATGTTTCTTAGGCATAATACCCGAGATTGGGCTGGGGTGTGAAGAAGTGCTTTTATTAGCAGAGAGAAACAAGGTCCTGCTGAATCATGCATTTAAGATGATGGCAGAGATTAAGTCAGAGATGAAGGATAAGAAAAGGAAACCAGTAAATTCACAAAAAAAAGAGAAGCGGTTAAGTAACCTCATATCAGCACTCGCATCAGAATTAAGTAACGGGACAGATACAGAAATAGTTAATTTCATAGTCCCATCACATGAAATAGATGCGGATATGCTCAGTAAAGTGTGTATAGGCTTATTTAAAGCAAAACAACCTTCTGATACAGTAAAAGAAGTCCTCTCTGAATTAGTCACAGAAGATACCACAACTTCATTCGTATTTACAGTTATGCCGTACTTAAAGGACGTACAGAAGTATAAATTAATGGGGAAGTATTTAGTAGATGACGTATCACTAAGCTTATTCACAAGGATAATCAAGAAGCCAGAGGATATATTCATATACGCACACACATTAGACACAGACACAGGAAACAGGATTATTCAACTGTGCTTTACAAAACCAGAAATATTCACCGATAGGATACTTTCAGTGGCAATTGAAGAGATGTCTAAAATGGAAGTATTACCCATTCTGTTTATGGAAACCGTTAGAAATTCACTTAAATTATTCTCCAATATGAAGCCATTCTTGGTGAATTTAATAAAAAGAGAGTGGAGCAGATTATTCAGAAATAATCAAAATGAGTTAATTATTCTATTGGAGAGTATTGGCATGCCAGCAACAGAAATATTATTATCAATAGATGAAGACCACTTTATGATAATCCTTAATGAATCACACACACTAAAAAAAAGAATGACTGAGTACCTGATAAAACAACCGATGTATATACAGAATAAGTATAAGACACTCTTAAATAGAAAATAATCAAGAGAGTACAAGAAGGCAAGAAGACAAGTGTATACAGCCTATTAGTATATACACGTATACATATACAGCCTATTAGTACTTATCAGTGTATACCAGTACGTATAGATATATCATTAGTCTATTAGTATACAGCCTATTAGTACTTATCAGTGTATACAGTATACCAGTACGTACAGTCTATTAGTCTATTAGTATATAAGTACGCACAGCATACCAGTATGTACAGCCTATTAGTATATCAGTACATATAACCCATTAGTCTATTAGTATACAGCCTATTAGTCTATTAGTCTATTAGTATACATATACATATCATTAGTCAGTCTATTAGTATACCAGTATACGTATACATTTATACTTATCTATACTTATCAGTGTATACTATTATATGCTTATATGACTACTTATTAGTACTTATCATTATATGACTACTTATCACTGTACAGTAATATACACCTTATTAATACATATTATACATATTATACATATTATATATTTATCCTTACTTATCCTTACTTGTCCTGTTTTACTGCTTTTTATACTTTGGGTTATTTTTTATTTTTATGACAGAAGAGTATAAAGGGTTTATTACAGGAGTATTCGTTGGTATTCTTACTCTTCTATTCCTTCAAATGTCTTTTATTGCATTTGGGCTTAGGAAGATTGTTGTAAAAAAGAAATATCCAGATACGTACCATAAGGACTTGTTCACAGACCCACCGAATGAACTGGCCAGTCTCCTGAGTATTGCAACAAAAGAGTGCACAGACCTGGCATGGCTGAATATTTCATTACAAAGGTTCTTCTATGAACTGACTAAATCAAGCACATTCTATGAGAAGGTTAAATCTACGCTTATAAAGAAGATGTCAATGGCATTTGCAACAGGTATCTTGAAAAGGGTCCGGTTTAAGGATATTTCATTCGGGAGTGAAGCACCGTATATAAAAAGCATCCGGGCACTCTCTGAGGATGAAATTGAAGAATTGCTTAATAAGAAGGAATTAAGCCAGAATAAGCCAGCACACTTTAAGCAAGTATACTTACTGATAAGTATGGATTACACAGCCAATGATAATTGTATATTTATAGATGCAGACTTAATCAAAGGGTACTCGATCCCGATTATGGTTAAGTTACAGCCATTCAAAGGAGACCTTCTGCTAAGAATGCCTGCCAATAATTACTCTACACGGTTTGAGATTACGTTCATAAAGAACCCTGGGTTTAACTTCTCCGTGGAGGCATCATTCTCTAAGAATGACTCGGCATTCTTTACGAATACGCTCAGCCATTTGATAAAGAGACTCTGCCAGTACATCTCTAAAATGTACATATTCCCGAATTGGTACTATTACTACTTGCCAATGGTAGTGTACAGAGCAAAAACAATCCTGTATACGTACTACCCATGGGAAGGTGGAAGTATTGAAGGACCAATGCACCAGGCCAGGGAAGTACAGAATTTATTCAGCCTGGATTTCGGGATAGTAAAGAAATGGGAGAATATCATATTCAGAAGAACAAAGAGTACTGTAAACACATCAAACACCGCATTGGAAAGGGCAGAGATTGAGTTAATTAATAAGCACAGTATTATAACAGAATTATTCAGCCGGGAGAGTATTGAAGTATTCTCAGACGTAATCAGTGACTACGAATCGATCCAAGTAGTGGAGTCACTCGGTGTAGGAGTGGACTTAATTAACATTATTATTGCCAATCAAATATACGAGTTCATCAGGATAATAGTGGATGAACTCGTTATCTACCAAAGGACAGAGCCAGAAGAACCCCAATTCATTGCATTTAAAAAGGAGACCACCGGAGGGATAACAGTCCTGCAGTACGTTAATACGACAGAAGCATTCTACTTAGGCCAGTTCAGAATAAAAAAACTAGCAAAGAAATTAGAGAGACAGGAAATGAAAGTGCTTGGATCGGTGAAACTCTTCAAGTTCTTGGACTATTCAGTTAAGCAAGCCAAGAAGACCAAGGATATGTTCAAGACAAAACCAGAAGATAAAAAAGAGTCCCAGAAGAGTAGCAAATCACACTCACAGATCTCTGTAAAGGACACGCTAAAGGAAAAGTACATTTCAGATGGGTGCGTGTCCATACCAGAGAATAATCCATCAGAAGTAAGCATAATTGAGTCGCACTTTAAAGAGATACAGAAGAACTTAGCCAGGCCAGACCAGAATATTGATTTTGTGATCAACCTGCCGTATACGCAGAAGGAGATCTCTGAAATATTCAATAATTCACTCTTACGGTCAGCAATCCTTGGGTGCTTTACGCTCATGGAGGACATCCCACTCACAGGAAGCATAAGGAACAGTTCCATGGCACATATTTCAGGACAGTACGTGCAAATGCTAAGTTATTACAGTGAGGAAGAATCACTCTTAATTGAACGAATCTTATTATCAGAAGAGTACCAGGGAGTCACAGCGGCAGTACAAATTTTAGAGGGGGTCCTGCACATATTCGTATTCGGGACAAAGGACTTATACTTAGAGAACTTTGTTAAGCTTGCCATCCCATTCCTGGAGAGGAACAGGATTATCTCCCTACAGAGAGAAGAAATAACCAAGAAGTTCGTAGAAACCTTGAAGGACTCTTCTGGGTTTGTTATGGCATCGGATATTCCCGTGGTGTGCTCTATGCAGATAACCGTACCGAATGAAATATCCTTTGATCAGGAGGTTTTAATCAGCAGCACTCCTTTTATTTTCAGGTACAAAAATGAGAATAAATGCGAAATAACGGTTTCCATAAAAACCAAAAAAACGCAAAATTAGAGATGGGCATAATCCCATACGGTGAGACCAATAAATCAGAAGACTCTCTGAGCATAAGGAATGAAGATGACTCCACGCAGTATACCTTAATGGGCACACAGGACACCCAGGACACAAGCAGTTCATCAGACAGTATATTCAACAGCAGTACACATGAAGAACAAGACAGTACACCGGAAAGGTTCACTCGGTGCATACACATAGAAGGAGATATCCTACTGAATAAAAAGTGTACAGTTAACTTATTCACAGGTACAGGATTAATCTACTGGTGTACTGACTGGCAGGCAGTTGATAAGATAAAGGATGAGGAGATAGATGGGATATCCATAAACGGATCGGGATATTCTTCTGTTGATGTCCCTGTACAAATATACTGTAAGAACAGTGAGAATAAATCAGTGACTAAGAGTATTCTAGTAGGGATAATCTCTTAGTCTATAATACAACGGATGAATAAACCACTATAAATAATATTATACTATAACTTATTACTGTATGTACTATAAATAATAATATACTATAACTTATTGCTATCTTAAATTATTCTGCAGGGGTATAAAATTTTTAATTTATTTAAACCTTATTAAAACAGTTATTTTTATTTTTATTAAAATTATTAATAACTGTATTTCCTTTTTAGGATATAAAATTCAAAATCCGTTAAATATTTTCATATTTTCATATTTTCATATTTATTATATAAATAACCGTTTCCTTGGTTTTCTCCTCTCTCCCTTCACCCTCAGTGACTCTGCAATAATTTCTAATTCCCCATACTCCACGCGGTCTTCTGCCTTTAAGTGCTTCTCAGTGGTAATGTGCTGGTCATAGTCTGCATATTTTATTACACATAGCTCACAAAGTCCTGGCTTCTTCAGAGATCGCTGCTTCTTTGGAAGTGTCTGCTGGGATAAGTTTATTTCTGGGATCATCGTGTCCTTACTGTCCCTTTTATATTCCCTGTGAAAGGGTCGGTGCCTGCCTGTGGAATCTTCAATTAAGATGTACGGGTGGCTGAAGACGTGGTACTGCATAAAGGCAAATATACTAGAAAAAATAAATATAAAAAGGCGGGTTAAATTTACCGGCATATAAAAGAGAGAAAATGACTCGATACGTATACGTATCATAAGATACTGAGGCTATAGAGACCCATCACATAATAAATCCAGTGATATAACGGAATTGCATATAATTTATTACACAATGCATAATAAATTTTAATATTATAATAACCCATACTGTGAATTTGCATATAATTTATTGCACAATGCATAATAAATTTTAATATTATAATAACCCGATTTAACCCGATTTTTCTGTTATAATATTATTATAAATATATAATAAATTGTTTTTTATTTTTAATGGATGACATGGATAAGCACACAAATACATTCTCAGAGGAGGGAAGGATCCACCAAGTGGAATACGCAATAAAAAGTATCTCATCAGCTGGTCCTGCCATAGGGATAAAGTGCACAGATGGAATTGTTTTACTTGGCAAGGCCATCGATGACGCACTCACCCTGACACAGGATGAGAAGGTATACCAAATAAACGATAATACAGTGGTAATAGTCAGTGGATTATATGCAGACAGTAACTTACTGGTTAATTACACCAGGGTCATAGCACAGGAGTACTTAATGAAATATGAACAGAATATGTCACCACGGCAGATATCCATGGCACTCTGTAAGACCATGCAGAAGTACACGCAGGGTGGTGGTATGCGACCGTTTGGTGTATCGTTCATGTTTGCTGGGTGGAATGCGAAGGGTGAGTATTCGTTATACTCAGTGGATCCGAGTGGGACACTCTCTGATTATACAGCGCATGCATTCGGGGAGGGTGATAAAGCGATCCTGGCAGTATTAGATGAGCATAAGCCAAGTAATCCACTTAGCCAGGGGATTGAATTGGCATTTAAAGGGATTACCACGGCGAGTGAGGGAAAGAGAATATTACCGCATGTGATTACGTGTGCAGTTATTACGAAAGTGGATGGTAAGAATATTATCCAGATGGTATCACAGAAGGATATATCTAAGTCACTGGGGCATATTTAGGTATACTAATAAATACTGTATATATTACTAAATATTTTAATTTCCATATTAGGAAATAACCGTTATTAATATAATTAATATAGATTTATTATCAGTGCATAATGAGTTACTGGTTCTTTATTATACGCAGGGAGTACTTTAAATATGCACATGTGTAATAATAGTGCGTATAGTAGACCAGTGAATAAGTCATTAATACGACATAAGTGACCAAAATCGGGTTAATCGGGTTATTCAAGTCACATAGCCATAAGTTAACCAGCTTGTTCCTGGTCTATAGATCCCGATCGGCATTAATTAGTCATAAGTTAACCAGCCGGTCTGTCTGCGATCCCGATCGGCATTAATTAACCAGCTGGTCTGTCTGTGATCCCGATCGGCAGTCATAAGTTAACCAGCTGGCCTATGATCCCGATCGTTATTAGTTAACCAGCCGGTCTGTCTGTGGTTCCGATCGGCAGTCATAAGTTAATCAGCTTGTTCCTGGTCTATAGATCCCGATCGTTATTAATTGGTCATGTTCATATAAGATGGTGTTAGTCGGGTTGTGCTTAATTTTTATTTTTTTGTCTTCTTTTCTTTTGTCTTTTGCTGATTTTCTATTCCTGCCTGTCTCTTTTTAATATTGTTCTGTTTCTGCCTTTCTCTTTTATTCATTTTTCTGACTTTTATTTTATTTGCTTCTTCCTGTCTCTTTTTTATTCTCTTTACAGTTTTTATTTCTTTATTCTTTATTGCTTTTGCTTCTTTTTTATCTGCATCTGCTTGTCTTATTGCTGCTGCTTGTACTTGCTTGACAGCCTGTGCTTGTGCTTCTATTAATATCTGTGGTGTAAGTGCTTCTGCGATTGTATCTGCTGCATCTGCTTGTCTTCTTGCTTCTTCTGCTTGTTTTGTTAATTTATCTGCTTCTTCTGCTTGTATTCTTTTTTCTTCTGCTTGTTTTGTTAATTTATCTGCTTCTTCTGCTTGTATTCTTTTTTCTTCTTCTTGTTTTTTTATTGCAGCTGCTTGTCTTCTTTCTGCTGCATTTGCATGTGCTTGTCTTCTTGCTTCTTCTGCTTGTATTCTTTCTTCTTCTGCTTGTTTTGTTAATTTATCTGCTTCTTCTGCATCTGCTTTTCTTCTTTCTGCTGCATCTGCATCTGCTTTTTTTCTTTTTTCTTCTTGTCTCTCTGCTTCTGTTTGTCCTGCTTGTCTTCTTGCTTTTGCTGCTTTAAGTTTGTTTCTGATTATGCAGTATATACATGTGACTATAATTAGTGTAATTGCTGTTATACTGATTAGTATACATCTGTTTCTTAAATCAATCTGCTCATCAGTAGATGCGTATATTATATCTTTAATACTGTCTAGTGATATTTCAGAGACACTCTCTCTTATGAAATTTATTGCTTGTGTTGCTGTTTCTGTTGCTGTTTCTGTTACGGTTTTCATTGCTGTTTGTATTGCTGTTTGTGTGTTTACCATTTGACGGTTGTAAAAATTTTCAATATTTATACTTTTAAAAAACCGTTATAAATATTAATTATATCAAATTTAAATGATTTTCTGATGAATTCATTAATTATACACATATGGATTGACGTACTCACAGGGAGTCACGCCGCCGCCGTCCTGCTACGTAGCCAAGAGAGAGAAGAGAGTGAAAGGAGAAGGGGGTTTATTCTATTTAGAAATCGGCCTAAGCCTGTGTAGACTTGGAGTATTAATAGTACAGCTGTGTTAGATCTGGTGCTGAAGTAAGCTGTTAATGCTCTTCTGAGTCTCCCCATAAATTATGTGAATGTCTCGAGGTGGCTAGTCAGTAGTTGATACACTGATTCAGAGATCTGGTCCTTTTTTTGTCAGAATATATTTTTATTGAATTTCTTTTAAATTTCTATTTTTATTTTTAAATTCTTCACTTTAAATTTAATTTTTACTACATGAGCAGACTTTTAAAAGAATTAAATAAGTTCCTTCTACCTTCCAGGGGTCCACTAATTCCATTATTAAAGAATCAAGAAATAGACTTTTCTCTTGGATCAAACAATCACGTAGTACAATTGGTTATTATGGGCTACTTCCATGGTTATTCCAGGTGTTAAGTGCGCTATCACCGGGATCCCATTCAAAAAGTACCAGCCAGCAGTTACTAAAACTGCCCTGGACTATTCACAAGGGCTAGCAGCTTCTTTCTCCATTTTCTTTCTTCTTTCCATCCAGCCCTTATAAGACGGACTACATTTCACTCCCAAGGGAGGATTACATGCAATTAAGAGAAGTGCCTTCTTTTCAGCATCCAGATCCAGGAAGTTTCTACTCTAGTCATCAGACCATTTACAGCTGGGTTTTATCTTTCACTATATTATTGGACGTCTAGTATAGCTATCAATCATGTCTTGCACCGCCGCGAGTTTTATCAGGCTATTGCTTTAGTGCTAACCTGTGTATGGTTGAATAATTGGGCCGGCCTACCGTTAAGGCCAAAGCGTAGTCCACCTTCTTTGCCCACTCATTTAAGGCGAGTGAGGAGTTTTCCGTATAATGTCCCTTCGCGTATTTATCGCAAAGTCCGGGTATTTTCTGTTGCACCCATGGGTAATTAACCATATCCATAATCCGCGAAAGCTTGTGTATCCCGCATTTGCAGGGCCCTGGCTTTCCGGGCAATAATCCCATAATCCATCTGTTAATTGCTCTTATTCTGACTCCAGATAGACCGACTTTAGACATGGGTTTAATTAGGTTTTTAATTCTTTGTATTCCCAGTGCTTTCAAGCATCTTTCTGGGAAGTATATTTCATCCCTATGCTTCTTAGAATCTTGTGGCAATAGTTCTCTTTGCTCTTTAGTCTTTGCTTTTTTTTCCCATTCTGTCCAGGGATTTACGTAGCCTATTAGTGACTTCTCTCCATTCTCTGAGTGGATTTTCCTAGTAGTTCCATGTCCTAGAGATCAGGCAGCTCTTGTCATGTATCAGCCTATTCATCACCTTAATTCTCCAGTCCTCAAAGAGGCGTTGGGTCCTATAGATCATGTCTTCCGTGTGAGCTGTTGCTCTCATCTTCAGCTGGCTCGTCCTGTGGTAGGCTCCTACCGCTTTCCTTAGGTACGAGTTCATGACTCTTTCATATCTTTTCAACCGCGTCTTCCCCTTGCTCAGGATAATTCCGTATTCCAGCCGCGAGCGTACTTACTATGGGAATCATTCTATCAGTAATACCCCTATAACCCGAATTTCAATAAAGGAACACTCGGATATTCAGATTTCCTTTCTCTAGTTGACTATTACATTACTTACAACCGGCTTCCGCAACGGGGACACGTCAATTATTAATATAATTAATATAGATTTATTATCAGTGCATAATGAGTTACTAGAAGGTTCTTTATTATATTCCGGGAGTACTTTAAATATGCACCATTAATACACATGCGCATATAGTAGACCAGTGAATAAGTCATTAATACCCCATGAGTGACCCTCGAAATTCGGGTTATTCAGATCACATAGTCATAAGTTAACCTGTTCCTGGTCTGCCTGTGATCCCGATCGTTATTAATTGGTCATGTTCATATAAGATGGTGTTAGTCGGGTTATAATTAATTTTTATTTAAATTGTTCTCTTTGTCTTCTTCTTTCTTCTGCTTGTTTTTTTCCCCTTTCATATCTTATTTTATCTTTTTCAATTTTATCTGCATCTTCTTGTTTTTTTCTTGCTTCTTCTGCTTGTATTCTTTTTTCTTCTTCTTGTTTTTTTATTGCATCTGCTTGTCTTCTTTCTGCTGCATTTGCATGTGCTTGTCTTCTTGCATCTGCTTGTATTCTTTCTTCTTCTGCTTGTACTTGCTTGACAGCCTGTGCTTGTGCTTCTATTAATATCTGTGGTGTAAGTGCTTCTGCGATTGTATCTGCTGCATTTGCTTGTGCTTGTCTTCTTGCATCTGCTTTTTTTCTTTTTTCTTCTTGTCTCTCTGCTTCTGTTTGTCCTGCTTGTCTTCTTGCTTTTGCTGCTTTAAGTTTGTTTCTGATTATGCAGTATACACATGTGACTATAATTAGTGTAATTGCTGCTATACTGATTAGTATACATCTGTTTCTTAAATCAATCTGCTCATCAGTAGATGCGTATATTATATCTTTAATACCGTCTAGTGATATTTCAGAGACACTCTCTCTTATGAAATTTATTGCTTGTGTTGCTGTTTCTGTTACGGTTTTCATTGCTGTTTGTATTGCTGTTTGTGTGTTTACCATTTGACGGTTGTAAAAATTTTCAATATTTATACTTTTAAAAAATCGTTATAAATATTAATTATATCAAATTTAAATGATTTTCTGATGAATTCATTAATTATACACGTATTATACCCCGATATAACCACTCAGTATGTAGAAGTATACCCCGATATAACCCGAATTTCACTCATCCCCTGTTTAAATAAGGAGTATCAAGGGGATAATTCAATCAGTAATGCCCCGAATATTAATGAATAATATAAGTATACGTATACTAAGTCATTCTATACTTATATCTTATAGTAATAAACTGAATTTAATTGTAGGAGTATTTATGTGGGTTATATTTTTAAATATTTAGTCTGCCTTTGAGTTCATCTGTATGCATTATATGCTTAATCATGTAATTTTTGGGTTATTTCATCTCTGCGCCTTTTGTCTTCTTTCAAGTCCTCTCTGCATCTTTCATCATCTATTCTTATTTGTTCTTCTAATCTTAGTTGTCTTTCTTCTATTCTTAATTCATCACTTCTTTTGGGTATAACGTATATTGCTATAATTGCCAATATTATAAGAATAATTATTTTTACAATCCTTTTTAGATACTCATTTGTTATATTGGTCCGATTATCATCTTGTGTATATATTGTATTTTGTAGTACTTCTGGGTTAATTGCTTCTGAATTTGTCATTTAACAGTTAAATTTTAAATTTTATATGCCAGAGGAATTAATTTATTTTCTGGCCTTAAAGTCTCTTGATTAATAAATTTTTTAAATTTTCATTTCTCTATTTATACTCCAAATATTTATTATTTCCTTATATGGTAAGTCTATCTGTGTATAACTTATAACACAATTACTATTAAATTTTAAACTAATAAAATAAGGATTGCACTAAAACTATAAATAGAAAATAAAAATAAAAAAATAAAAAAGAATTTCTAAAGAAGAGAAATTTAAAGAGAATTCGGGTTATGATATGTGTATATTAATTATAAAATAGATTTGGGTTACATCTAATAATAATAAGTCTTATTAGCAATATTATCAGTGTAATATACTTATACCATAAATTCGGGTTATATCGGGTTATCCCTATCGGGGTATAGATAAGAATAAAAACATTTTTTTAAGAATGGTGAGTCTAATTAAGCCGGATAAGATACCAATGACACATAAACTGAGTTATTTAATACTTCTAGTGCCTACGGTTATATCACTGTGCATAATAGTATTACAGTATAATAAGCTCATAGAACTAGAAAGTATTATTAAAGACAGGCTTACTGTAATAGAAACAATAAGAATGAGTAATAACACAGAAGTAAATGAGAATACGTCTAATACGAATGAAATAGAAGAGAATAGTAATAAGAAAGACACTTCTGTGCCACACACAGATACGGAGCAGGACATACCCATACAAGAACCAATTATTAAGCATATAAGTACTCCTAGTTCAGAAGAGATTGTTAATAATCCATTATGTAATAACATTGTAATAGAAACACCTGATCATACCACATCATTACCACCACCACCTCCACCAATGCCCATGGGCGGTATACTCCCAAGTAAACTTTCTACTAATCTGAGTGATAATACAAGTAAAAGCAGTAATACAGAAGATACATCAAAGACAAGTACTGTAAAGAGTGATCTTATGGGAGAACTTGAAGGCAGGTTAGTGGGAGTACGCCATAAAATAGATAAAGCATTATCTTAAAGAATCATTTACTCCACCACAGAATTTCTGTTGGTATAAGATGTAATAGCACTAATTAGAATTTCGAAATAACCCGAATGCATATTAATATAAAATAAGCGATATGCAGTACACACCTAATAAGGTTTAAGCTAATAAATCTATTATATCAATGAGAATTGAATATTATACCAGTAATACAACCGTATAAGTAAAAGTAGGGGTATAATATAGTACAAGTACAGTACAGATATAACTCGGACACATATACTACTTATATAATAGTACACTACAGTATATTAGATCTGAACATACTTATACTGTACTTATACTGTACTACTGGTATGCTTATACAGTACTTATACTGTGTATAATATGTTAGTTGCTGATTTATGGTTATTCCTTGGTGTATGCATTCTTGTACTGTTAGTCACAGTACTTTTTATTTTTATGAATACTACCAGGGAAGAGATTGAAAGAATGCTTTCAGAGGATAATACAGTAGGTGTTAAAGAAGTACTAAATAAACCAGATACACCTGCTGTTATACGAGATATGTATACAGTTCTATTAGATACAACTAAAACAGAATTAGATATACTAAGTGTACTTAATATACATAATAATACGCACATTTCGTATTTAATATACGGTGATTATCTGCTCAGGAATAACAAAGTGAATGAATCCATAGATAAGTATACTACAGCAGTAAAACTAAGCACAGATCCATCAGATACAGAATCAATCCTAAAAGTAATAATATTTGCATACTTACAGATAAAAGACTTACCCAATGCATTTTATACGGGCTGGTCACTTATTGAGATGAGTAACACCGGGTATAACTTAAGACTGCTTTATTTTATATCACAAGCAATAATAACCCAGAAAGGGTTCTTAAACCACCCAATCCTACAAGAATCATTAAAAACAAAGAAATTAATCGGTGATAACCTAATACTACCAAAGGATAATGAAGTAGAAATACTCAAATCAAATGACATAGAAATAATCAGTGCACCAGGGACACGTACATTCTTAAATAAGCATAATATAAATATATCAAGAGATGTTGAAGTAGGTATCATAACAGACACTCTCCCATACTTTAACTTAATACATGAGCATGGGTTTAATACGTTCATTAAAGAGTATCATAATACCATACCAAATGAGTATAAAACACAGTCAGGATTAGAAGTAGATGTATTATCATACCTTATTAAATCAGAAGATATCCTTATGTTATATAAGGTATCTAATTACTTCTACACGGAGTGTAATTATTTCTGTTCACTTGTCTTATTCAGGTGTGTAATAGAATTATTCAGTAGGATAGATACTTATAGGAGTAAATTCATGCAATTATCTAGTGTTATAGGTAGTAATGCATTTACAGATATATTTATGATATCTCCTGTTGATTATGATAAGTATATACAGTCAGTTAAGAAATTAAACCTGTCCATATTTATAGTCAGTAAAGGTAACTCAAAGGATCACCCACTTGATAAAGTACTATCAGAGCATTTCTCAGATAAAGTATCTCTTATTCCGTATACTATACCAGATGTATATAAATATGATTAATGTATGGCATAATCAGAGTATATGTAATAGGGTAGTATACAGGAGTAGCAGGAGTATGGGTCATGTACAGTATTAGTCTATTAGTATAACAGAAGTATTAGTGTAGTAGTATACAGGAGTAGCAGGAGTATGGGTCATGTACAGTATTAGTCTATTAGTATAACAGAAGTATTAGTGTAGTAGTATACAGGAGTATATATAGTATACATTAATAGGAGTATATTATATATGTATTAGTCTATTAGTATACAGTAATAAGAATAATATACATGAGTATACTGCACTGTATTAGTCTATTAATCATCTGTTAGTCTATTAGTCTATTAATATACTGCACTGTATTAGTCTATTAGTATACTGCACTGTATTAGTCTATTAGTATACTGTATTAGTCTATTAATCATCTATTAATATACTGCACTGTATTAGTCTATTAGTATACTGTATTAGTCTATTAATCATCTGTTAGTCTATTAGTCTATTAGTATACTGTATTAGTCTATTAATCATCTGTTAGTCTATTAGTCTATTAGTCTATTTAGTCTATTTTATTATAAAATATTTTATTATGAATACGACTGAGTCATTCAATGATTTATTCGACTTTATACAGAGTACTCCTAATGTTATGACTACAATCAATTCGTATACAGATGAAGATTGGGGGATGGGTTGGGATGAGCAAGCATCTATTAAAAGTATAAAGCAAGAACTAGAAGGATTCTCTGAAATATATAAAAGAATAACTTATAACCCGAATTAACCCGTTTTATAAGTATTAAGACTTATGAGTATTTGTGTATTTTATTTTTTATATTTATGGATAAGAAGGCATTCACAAGACTTCTCATGTACGATATCCCATTTGAAGAGAATTCACCAATAAAGCCAGAAATTACAAATAAACCAGAATATGATTCAGAAATAGAAGGGCAATTAGAAGGACTACATAAAGAATTATTTAAATAAATACTTATAGTGTAATATAATTTAAATCATCTGTGAATTTCGGGTTAGATCGGGTTATATCTGGTTGTTCATTGAATGTTCCCTCTCCCAGTAGGATTATATTCTCACCGCGTAATAAAACCGACTCACTCTCCGTTAGTAAATATTCATTATTACTTATTACGTATTGTGTAATATCTTCTAGTAATATATTATAATATTGATCGTATGACCGTAGAATGCCTTTAATGTACGTATTATCCCTTAGTACCACAAATATATCTTTATCTAAATACTCTTCAAGTAATCTTATTCCTTTACAGTCGGTTGAAGGACTGTCCATTACCAAATAAAAATAAAAATAATAAATATATTCGGGTTATGTCGGGTTATAATAATATAACTTATTGCACACTGCATACTATATTATATAACTTATTGCACACTGTATACTATATAATAATAATAATTTATATAAAATAATAATAAAACTTAATACACACTGTATACTATAAAATAATAATAATAAAACTTAATACACACTGTGTATTATATAATAATAACTTATTACACAGTGTGTATTTAGTACTATGCACTCCCCATGCTTCGGGTTATATCGGGTGTTTTACATTCTGAATTTCTGAAACATTATTTAAATATTTCAGGTTTGTTATTCTTATGAATAATACACTAGGAGAAAGGATAAAAAATACACATACATACAAAGCATATAAACTGTACTTTAACAGTAGATTGATTGTTTTTATGCTGTCACTGTTCCTATTTCATATAATTATCATGCTGTGTGAAATATTCTATCTAATGTACTGCCAGATGGCATTAAAAAAAAGAGAATTACCTGAAAATAATCCATATTTAATGGACCTAATCCTATCAACAAAGGTTATAAATGTGTTTAAAACACAGGGGAAATTGGCTGGTAAGTGGGCACTGCGTAGAGCACAAAGTACATTCTCTAAATTAATTGAGTTTATGATAATTATATCTTTCTTCTCCCATGGTATACGAGTAAACCTAATGAGATACACAAGGAAATTTAAAGGGATTGTGCAGATAAATTCTTCGCACATGTCAGTGCAGGATAATAATTTTATATGCCTGGCATTTCTGGCACTGGGAATGAAAAGTGTTTTGGGTAGCTGGATTGTGAAATCATCTAGAAATTCTGTGGATTTATGTATGGCTACCCTTATAGAAATAATTAGGTGTCTTATAATATGTCCTATCCTTATGTGGTTGTTCAGCTCAGTATACAATAAGACTAAAAGTGGGTTAATATTTGCTGGGTATGTTTCAATTGTTATACTTATCTTTATAACTAACTGTACTTCTATAATACCAGATGGCCTGGAGGGATTTGAAAAAATACCAGCAAAGGAATTAGGCCCTGGATTATATAATGAATTAGTTAGGTTAAAACTAGATGATAGAATATTCTGGGATCAAGAGACACCCAGTGAGAATGCAGCACTGGTTAAGACAGGGGCTTCTAAATATATTCTTGTAATGGGAAATCTTCTTAAGTACGGTAAGAATGAATTTATCTCATTCATTGCACATGAAGTAGGGCATGCAGATGATTACAGTACAGAAAAGAAATTGCTTGCATCTGTGATAGGACTTGGACTATCCTGTGGTATGATGATAGGTATTCTTCACATTATTTCTCCAAAGTATGAGAACAGAGGAGTTTCTAAATTCTCTGTTGTTGTTTTTTTATTACTTGCAAATATGTACATATTCTCTGGGTTAACGAATATGTTCTATAATAACCTGTACATTTTATCAGAAGTAAATGCAGACTTATACGCAAAAAAACTAGGATTTGGAAGAACCTTGGCAAATGGTCTTTATCAGTTAGTGGTTGATAATACAGGCCTTCTATTCCACTCTACAATATATACGTACTATGCGCAGGACCATCCTGTGATTGCCACTAGAATATCTTACTTATCCAAATAGAAATAACTTGAAAATTCAATAGAAATAAAGATGTGTTCTTTAAGTAACAATTATACCAGAGATTATTTATAGCCTGAAACACTCTAAATATAGGCAATTTCCATATAAAGCATAAAATAAAATCTTAGATGTCTTCTGGTTTAGGAATACATAGCAGAATAAATGCTGTTATATCGCATTACTTCTGTATAGTTAACAAAACGTACTAAAATAAAGGAGAACTAATGATATTCCATTGAAATTCGGGTTATAATAAAAAGAATTCAGTCTGTGTGTCATTGAGTATATGAGAGAAGACAAATGACAATTTGTAAATTAATACATATAAGAAACAAACAAATAAAATATTTTATATGAACTCAGGAAGAAATGTAAATGCGTACAGCACAGATGGGAGAATACACCAACTTGAATATGCAATGAAGGCTGCCTCTTTGGGAACAACTACCATAGGAGTAAAAATAGAGACTGGTGTGGTTGTTGTCTCAGAGAAGAAGATAGTGACTAATCTGCAGATACCAGACAGTGTAAAGAAGCACCATTTAGTATACGAGCACTGTGGATTTGCATTTTCTGGGCTGAGTGGAGATGCCCGAACAATTATTACTAAAGCAAGAGACAATGCAATTAATCACAAGTTCATATACAATGAAAAAATACCAGTTGAAGGGGTCGCACAATACCTTGCATCGATTGCACTGAACTTTTCATCAGATAAGTCTGATAATAAAATATTCAGTCGGCCATTTGGTATTTCCATTCTTGTCCCAGGGTATGACAGTGAACCACGACTATTCTCATTAGATGCATCTGGTACGTACAGAGGGTATAAGGCCAAAGCCATTGGATCTGCAGCTGAGGCAGTCACTGCAGAACTAGAGAATACTTATAATAAAGATAAAAGCATAGAAGAAACAATACATAGCACTCTGATGCTTCTTAAGTCTGTAATGAAAGACCCCATTAGCAAGTCTAACTGTGAAGTGATGGTGTGCAAGAAAGAAGGCGTTCATTTACTTACTACAGAAGAGATTGAATCATATTTGAATAAATAATCCGAAATAACCCGAAATTAAAGCTGTCAGAAATTTTCTATTTTAATACTTATATCGCCGTTAATAAAGTAATAAATTTTCAAAGGATTTCCTGTACATAAATAAAAATTATTTTTGTGACCAGAAATTATAAGAATGAAGATAATGAGAGGGAAAAGGAAGAAAATATTTATAATATTAATAATAACATACTTATACACTAAGCTTAATAGAATAATTATATGCACAGCGCCTGAGGAACCTATATATCAAATCTCAGACAGTTATACTGAAAATATAGATGGATTAATACCTATAGAGCACTCAGATGAGATGAATACATATTATACACAAAACACACTTGATAGTATGTATAATACATATTCACATGGATATACTAATGAGATAACATCTGATTATTATTTAGGGGCGTGCGATATAGAGCACTCGTGTGTAAATAATACAGAATACGCACCACCTGAAGCACCATATTATAGTTGGTCTGATTTGCCATGTACAAGTACGGATAATACATCATACCAGAATATAGAGGAGCATACACAGGCACAGATAAATGATTCTTATTTAAACACAGCGGGGCCATCTTCGAGTTATATAGAGTATGTACCAAATACTGCATATAATACATGGGAAAACGAGGAAAAAACGGAACCATTAACTTATTCTGAATTATATTCTGGTATTGCGAAAGAAGCACCTTCTTATGTTATAATGCAGACTATCCCAGATAATAATACATATGTGAATACAGGCAATGAGTATACAGACACTGGATATACAGATACAGCTACAGAAACGAGTATTAATTATTCTAATATAAATATAGAAGACATGTGCAGTGAAAGAAAAAAATTATGCACGGGATTGGGCAAAGAACCTAAGATTAATATATTACAAAATATAAAAATCACTCCATCCATAGCAAGTACCAGCAAGAATCTAGAATTAAATACAAATAGCAATCAAGACATTAATTCTGAACTTATAGAGATCTGTGCTAGTATGGGAGTGAATACAGATGCAGCTCAATTAGAAACAATTGTTGTAAAAAATTATTCTACAGAGTATACCAATCTTATGAGTAGTATGAAGAGATATAAATCTCGATCATACGCAAGCAAAAATAGATCTATGCAGAAGAATAAGAAAATACATGACAGCACCAAGTTGTCTGATTATAGATATGGAAATCTTCGGCCTGTTATGAGAGATTTTGTAAAGTCAAAAAAGACTTTATGGATGGTGCTCTATGAGTGTAAAGGGCATGATATAGTAAAGCTTATTTTTAATCTTGAAGAACTTTCAAGGAACAAAGAAGTTGCAGATTCTATTTTTGCCCCAGTTGGGCTGCCTTATTACAGTGGATTTATGTATGATTTATATGAGTACCTGCTTAAAAACACGCCCTCTTACTATAGGCCATTTTTTGAAGGTGCCTCGTGTAAGAAAAAAAGCTCTGTTTTGCACGCGATGGCGCTGGGCAATATTTATATTAAAAGAGAGCTAAATATAGGATGGTGCGCTGAGAGTATTTTCTATATTGCATATTTTCTAAATAAAGAAATAGGTGGCAATTTATCAAAAGAAACAAAGTTAAAAAGACAACTGCATGCAATTTTGGGCATACCTGAAATATATGAAGATTTGTTTTACATGCCAAGGTCTATGCTTGAAGATATAAAATGCAATGTACTAGAAATAGACAAAGATATACCTGGTTTAAAGCTACAGGACAAGCCCAAGTTTTTAGAATGCCTCATGATTGTCTGTTACTTATCTGATAAAACGCAAGGAGATATGAATTCAATGTTTTTTTCATATGCCGCAATAGAGCGGCTAGCTATTAAGTATGACTGGTACACATATACCGATACACAGATGTACATAGAAATCTATAGGGTATTTTGTATGTTTTATAACTATGTTAGTGCCATTTACTGCATGACTAAACAAGATATTTTAAAAAAATCGTTTGGCAGTTCAACAACGGACATTTCAGAATCAGTCTTGCCAATAAAAACCCAGAAGGACCGGCCAGAATTTGTATTCAACAAGAAGCACACGCCTGTTCCTTCTAACTACAGAATGCTGTTCCTGGGAAAAGAGACTATTGTTTCGCAGATGTATGTGAAGTGCAGAATAAAGATTATAAAAAAAGAAATTAACTATAAGGGAGTGGACAAAAAACTTAGAAGAATATGTGAACCACTTACATATTGCATTGGCAACTACACTGCTGTACAACTGTCTTTTCACCACCACTATCATATTCAGTTTGTAGACAACACAAGGCACAGAGTGCATGTTGTGCACCTTCCATTTTATACCTCTAAAACGAACGGCACTATAGAATATCTGTATGTTCACACCATTAAGGATATAGTAGAGCACTTGAAAAGTACATTTGGCATTCAAACTCCTGAAGACTCACCATTCACTAATAATGTATACCCATTCAAATATAACCGAAATAGAAAAACCTGGTCTTTAATAAGCGATGATATTACTCTGAGCAAAACAATGCTGGATATGCACAATTTGAAGCACGATGTTATATTCTACCACATAGAAGAGAACATAAAAACCACAGAGTTTGTTTTTGTGCAGTTTAATACTATAAGCATGGATATATACACAGATAAAATCCTCGCTATTAGTAAATTAGAAATCCAAAATAGAAAACAGATAGAAGATGATAAAAACGGAATAAAGCCAAGAATTCCTTTGTTTTTCTCAAAGTTTATATCATCTGCAGTGCATTTAAGCCCGTATTGGTTAAAAACCACCAAATATGAAGTAAAGCAGATTGACTCATACACAGACCTTGTTCCTGTTGAGTTTTTGCACTACCTTATTAAAGAAATAACCCGATTTATTAAGCCATATAGAATAATTGAGCTAAATAATACTTTTGTATATATAAAGAATTACTATACTGATTTCTTTATAATTGGTCTTATGAGCAAATATGAAGATTGTGGGTGCTATAGCATGAATATTATACAAGAAACCGATAATGAAAATGAGGTTATTTTAGAGTGGCTGACTCATTTGCCGACATCCATTGAAGAATACACTAATTACTGCTTAGATTTAAGCCATAGTTTCGCTAATTCCAGTAGTGAATCTTCAATCAGCAGTAACTCTAAAAACCGCACTCTTAACTTATTTCTAAATATGCTGAAACGAAAATCCGAGTTTATGGATATGGTTTGCTATGGATTATTAGTTGGAAATAAAGTAAATGAAAATGAAACCGGTACATTCCCCATTATATGCCCTACTATTAGACACTTCATAAGTAAACTAAAAAACCAACTAACCATGTCTATAGATAAGTATGTTCCCATTATAAATAATATTGAAGGAATGACAGACATTGTTATAAGCGTAAAAAACACTAATTATACAAAATCTAAACTTGGTATACATTATGATATTTGTGATATTATCTTTAGAAGTTACACATTGAATTTGTAGATTCTAGAGTGATTCAGAGTATAAATAACTATTGTTTTATTTCTCCTATAAAAATTCACTTCTTAAGCATAATACTATTACTATAAGAAAATTATAAATTTGTCTATTTTATGCGGTATTCTGAGAGCTTTTGGGTACATTATAAAAACTATTAGGAATAATTTTATTGAAAAATGGAAATATTATATATTCATAAATACAATGCAGTTCAATAAGATAGATTTATTCTAAGCGTGTGAGTAAATTTTGTCTCCCAGCCTGTTAATTAGCTTAATAGCCATTCCTGTTTTCTGAGTATTTACTTGTTCGTTATCCATGGCAACTATTCCAACAGCTAATGCATTGGTTTTGCCATGCCCATATACTGCCACAACATCTTCTACTGAAACAGATGGGTACTCGGATGTACTGTGTAGTAGACCTGGCGCCATGAGGTCTGCTCCATTAATTAAGTACTTTATTGCTCCTGTGTCAACAACCACTCGTGGTAGAATGTCCGGTACAATGTGCACACATTTTACAAGAGGGATAAAAGAATTCCCAGAAACTTTAAATATGGGCGTATTGTTGCGCAGCACAAACATGTCTTTGTCTTCTGTTTTAATTGTTTCTAGCACTTCCTCTTTCCCCAGTAAGGTTGACAGATCCGCTGCAAATTGAGATTTAATCTGTTTTGTTATTGCTTTTGAGAGTCTGTTCTTTGTTGTAGACAGAAACATAAGTATGAAAAAATATTCACTATTTCTACTAGCGCCTAAAGAGACTCATTCTGCTCAGCATACCAGACAGGCCAGCAGAGCGTGTGGGAGTTTCTTGTGGCATATCTACATATAGAGAAGAGATGTCATATGTAACAGGATGGAATAAAATGGAGCTGTTCTGCGGGATGTAAGATATCTCCTTGTTGATTTTATGCAGATAATCTTCATCCATATAATTGGCAGAAAACAAGTCAATAGTTGTAGTGTATATAGAATTCCATTGGGACATGTACCTTAGCAAGGTTTTCTTTGATGTTTTGTCATTTTGTTTTTCTAGTCTCTGCATTCCATCTCTGAACTTCTCTACTCTCGCAACTGCAGCTACAATCATTGAGTCAAAATCACTTTTACCCCGTAATTTTCTAATAACGTTCTTGTAGTTCATCTCTTTAAACTGCTTCATAATATCCTCATCATGGAACACTAAAGGAACACCTTCAAACGTGTATGAATACTCTGCAGATGGTGCCATTTCTGTTAAAAGTGTGTTTCTCACTGGCTTTATTGAAACCTTTTCTACAATCTCATTCATTTGCTTAATTATTTCTTTGTCAGTTTTTACATTGGCATAGGCAGTATATGCCTTGCAGCGTAAATCTATAAACTGAACAAAATCACTGTCTCCTCCACACTTATCCTTTGCAATATGAAGTGCCCGCTTTAGAAGAGATGACTTCAACTTGCCAGTCTTCAAATACTTTTCTCTCGCTTTTAAAAATTCCCACTCTATTTGCATATAAGTGGTTAAGCCAGAATTCTCTGGTTGCTTCATCATCCCCCTCAAAATTTCCATTGCTCGAGTATTTCTTATTTCTAGCTGTGATGGGGATCCAACCACCAGGCCAATTATTCCATCTAACTTGCATCTTCTCAAGACTTTTCCAAATCCTATAAACTCAGTCATTAAAAATATAAAAAATATCGAATTATATCCTTCTCTAAGAAGTTCAAATTATTTCGTTTATAAAAATACTCCAAAAATGTATTAAACCAATTATTAATATTTATACGCCTAGAGACCATAAACATTAGCTATTTAAGAAGTAACAACTATGTGTATACACTGCCATACGCACAGACTCTAATACTAGATAAATAGTAAGAATACTCACACACAGTCAGACAAATTGGCGTAGTACTATTAAGAATACCAAATAAAATACAGATTATTTATGTATCACTTATACCAGCAAATAGTAAAGAGTCAATGATAAAGAAACCAAGTATTTTCATGGTAATACGTCTACATATACATATGGCCAGACAAATAAGATAGAAATAAAGAGAGGTTTTCCCATTGTCTTTTTTACTAATTGTCTTTATCTATTTAGTATAATATTGTTTGGAATGGAATATATCCTTTACTAGTATAAATAAATTTAATATTACTAAATTTGTAAAAACCCGTCAGAAATAATATTTATAAGCGTAATATCCGACATTTCTAGATAAATTAAATTTATTTTATATACCTCAGAAGACACAGGTAACAGACGAAAGCAATAAATAACTAATCAAAAAATATAATTTATCTGCATTGCCGTGCCAGAAAATTAGTGTAATACTACACAGAGACGTTGCAGTTGTCACCAGCATGGCATGATAATAAGTTATTTGCAATTTTTTTGCTTAAAAAAATGAATCAAAGTAAAGAAACAACAGTTGCTAAAAGAGTAAAATCAGTATTAATATACATATGCAGCTTTTTGGTAACACATCCATCGACTGTAATTCCCATTCGAGACAACTTTAAAAAATTATACTATACAAAGCCCCCTCGACATATTACAAGAAATATTACTGGTGATGAAGATTACCTCCTAAAGATGGATTTTTTCGGGTTGCTGATATACTATATAAAGGCTGTTCTAGTTTCAGTTGGCGCTTTATTCGCATTTAATGGAATGTCTAAAATGACAAATACAGTCCTAGAATTCTTATTTGAAGCATACGAAAACAGTTCAAATATATTGTATATTATTCCAATTGGACTAGTTAAAATCAGTACATTTTTAATTTGGGGAATATATATTTATATATTCGTATTTAGAGTGTTTGAATGTATAATTTCTATAGTTTATTATTATATAGATATTAGACTATTCTTTTTTCGCATGAATTATAAAATGAACTATTTAAAATCTACTATAAGAGACACGATAGTATATATCATATTAACAGCAATGATATATACGGATGCAGGCTTTATCTTCTCTGGTATTATAGAACTACCAAATGTTTTAGAAAGCACAAAATATTATGAAGCGATAGCAACTATCGTACAATATTTACCTATGCTATCTGCTGTGGCGTTTATAACCGTACTCTTATCTGTCATGCCTAAAAAGGACACTATTGATGACTACAGTATTAGAAACTGGATACTTGTTGTATGCTGGTCTAGTATAATTCTATTATATCTTTGTATATTTATATATAAATATAATACTAATATTTTACTGTACGCTAGCACTACTATAAATATAGTAGTGAATGAATTATCTGAATGTTTACATAAATACAGTATTATGAATTAAATCAAAGTTATTATTAACATATTGTGTTAAAATAATTTGAAATTGGCTTTGCTCGTATATTACATTCAAATTTCAATAAAGATTAAAGTATTTTGTTGACTAATTCTATGATTGCAACTTATATTATTAACTTTGTAAAAACTCATCAAAAAATAATGCTTTATAAATACTATTTACAAATTTGGGTTATATCGAAAAATATAAAATGAGTTTTTTGCTTAAAAAAATAAAATGGATCAAAACGAAGAGATGCCAGTTGCTAAAAGAATAAGCATACTATTATTGCGGCTGCACAGGTTAGCTCTAACACATCCATGGAGTGTAATGCCTATTGTAGCTAGTTTGGTAGAAACATATTCATTAAATAATTCAAAAGATGCAAAAAAAACCAATAATAGTGAAAATACTTATTACACCGTACCAATGAGCTTGAGCTGGCTATTAAAATACTATGCGAAGTATATTCTAATTGTGGCCTGCTTTTTATTAATATTTAGTGGGTTGTCTAAAATTGAAAATACAATATTTAAATTCTTGTTTAAAGTACATAACAACAATCCAAATATAATATATAATATTGTAATTGCATGGTTTTATATTGTTAGGCTTTTATGCTACGTTATATGGATATGTGCATGGGCATGCGTGTTTTTTATTCCTATGATTTATGTATTGGAACATTCTAAATATAAGATAAGAAACACGATAGTATATATCATATTAACAGCAATGATATATATGGTTGCAGGCCTTATCTTCTATGGTATTATAGAACTACCAAATATTTTTGAATGCACAAAATATTATGGAATCATAAAAACCACTGCACAGAGTCTGCCTATAGTATCTGCTGTAATGTTTATGTGCACAACACTATATTTAATATTTCAAACTCGTAGATCTAAAAAGTTAGCTATTTTAAAGACTATTATTGGTATACATTATATTAATGTAATAATATTATGTCTTATTGTGCTTATATATAGTTATAGTACTAATAGTTTGATAATGCTTAAATCTATCAAAAGCATATACAAATGAATAATTGTATAAAAATAATTAAATCTTAGATATAACCTGAAAAAACTTGTAACTCTTATTAATTTGACTATTATTATCTATTTTATAAGAATTCGGGTTATATCTCATCATAAATATATCATAGAGATAAATTTCCGGGTTTATAGCACAATATAATAATAGCAGGAAATAAAATGATTTTTTAGTATATTCAGAAATATAAATTATTTCTTTTTACATAAATATAAAAATATAATTTGAAAAACAAATTCATGTAGCATTTAATTATTGGATTATTCTGACTGACCTGTTTATAATATAGTAGACATATATGTTGGTATACATCTCTTATGCATTTAATGTATAGAATAGAATATAAACAGGTTTATTTAGCAAATATACTAATGAAACTCTGATTATTTCCTCATCATTAGTCAAGTACCATTGACTGTTTCTTCTTGTATAAGCAATATAATGTCCTGAATCTATTTCACCACTGTGCATAATAGTTGATGAGAGTGTAAATACTTTGCCTCCCACTGTGAGTTCTTCTGGATATGATACAACCGTATCTATCTTTGATATCGTCTTATTCTGCACTTGGTATCTCTTGAGGTGCAGGCACAGAACATTTGGCAGAGTTTTTATTTCTACTTTTTTAGTGTATGATTCTGTATTACCGCATTTACATTCTTTATGAATAACAACTTTTTCTTCTTGGAAGTATTTATCTAATGTGCTTTCAAGAGTGCCTCCGAATATGTCCATACTTATGGATGTGAATGGTTCAGTCATTACTTCAGTAAATGAACAGTCACATATTATACTGGACATAAACACACCACCAAATGTATTGTGGATTGCACATTTTTTGTCTGCTGCTGGATTACACTCAAGTAGACCGTGTACTTGTGAGCTTAGAAACATGAAAAACTCCTGTACATCTTGGTATTCACTCTTTGCAAATGCTGGATTATTTTCCCAGAATATTTTAATTAGCTCTGATATGTCCACATACCCACTGGTGCTGTTATACATTTGGAAAAGTATTCTATTAAGCGAGCACAAAATGCACTCAGTGCTCTTGCACCCATTCATAGAGTGGTTCACTTCTAATAAGTTCTGTATAAATACTTCAATTGACAGAACTGATTGAAGAAGGCTGCTTACATAACAAGTTCTCTTAAGATTGAGAAACCCCTTCACCCAGTTTAGATTCAAGCTCTGGAATTTCTTTGGGATGGGAGCCTGCTCTGTTTGCATCATTCGCGAGATATCAGGAATTGTGATGTATTCGGCGCACTCCTCACAGGAAACAACTCCTGATCCTGGCACAAAGTAATTTTTATGCCACGTGTCTTTCCAGTGCACATCCACATGCCCCTTTGACCGGCATAAAAGAATATTGCAGTCTATACACACCTCAACAGAGAACAGGCTATTACATATTGCACACCCTAGTTTTTGTTCAGCGCCTTCTATACTTTCTATTTTGCTTATTATTCCAGAAGAACTTTCAATAACTTCTTCTACATTTAAGTGCGTGCAGCCCATCGCCCATTTTTATTTTCTTCTTTTCTATTTATTTCTTCATAACAAGAGGAATAAGAAAATAATCAATAAAATGCAAGAAGAGGAGAGAGGCAAAGAGAAAATACAAGCAGAGAAAGAAAGAACAAAAAGAAACTTTGCTATTAGGCTGGTACTGTCCATTGTGATGGGCAGTGGATTTGCGTGTTTTATAAAAATGGGAAGAATCTATTTAATCGCATTGATTATTTTTCTGAACTGTGTGGTGTTTTATGAGGTTCTTAAAGTATTTTTAAGAATCTACCCGATAAAAAATATATTAAGGTTTGCAGCGAATTCTTCTAGAAGGGATGCATTGATGCCAAGCGGGTTCTTTTGGTGCTGCTTTTTTATGATTTCTATTTCTAAATACAGCCGGATCATGATATTTCCAGGGAAGTTAGCAATGGTACACCGGATTGTGGTTCCCTTGCAGTTTGTGTGGATAGGGTGGTTTGTTCTTTTATTACGAGGCGGTGCATACCGCATGAAAATATTCCACCTGTCTATGGTATTAGTTGCAATTATTGGGCTGCTAGAATGCACAGAAGCGGCTATTAATAATGTAGACCGAAGCATATACTGTTTTGTATACCCGTGCTTTTTAGTTGCAATTAATGATACATTTGCATATCTTATAGGCGCGAGATTTGGCCAGACACCACTAACTCTGCTAAGCCCTAAGAAAACAGTAGAGGGCTTTATAGGCGGTGGTATATCTACGGTTTTACTCTGTGTGCCAGTATCGTACGTTTTGAAGATGTTCTTATTGCACACTCCAAAACTTCAGTACACCGACTTGCTTATTCTGAGTATACTTGCATCCGTTGTTGCACCAATTGGTGGGATACTGGCAAGTGGGTACAAGCGGGCATTCAAAGCAAAGCACTTTAGCAGAATTCTACCAGGGCATGGCGGTATATCTGACAGAATAGACTGCCAACTAATCATGCAGCTAGTTAGTAATCTGTATTTATCTGGAATAGTACGAAAGCAAACTGTAAAGGGATTCTTAGCAGAGATAAAGCAGCATCTGACAGACAAAGAGCAGCTAGATCTGGCTAGGATGATAGTCTTGGCGTATAAACAATAGATATAAACCAGAAATACAGGCTAACCTAAAAGCATTCAAACTATAACTCTGCACAGAATGGATATCATATTTGTGCATAAAACCACTGCTTTACACATATACTAATAATTATATACACTATGCTAGAATAACAGAAAGTATCAGCTTAATTCAATAATATAAGAATAAATATAGATGCACATTCTAAACCCATTTGCCCAGTATGTATTATACACAGCAATTATTACACTGTATAAAGCATTTTACTAATTATTCATATAATGCAATCATACAAGAAGATCTATTACTAATTATATAACCCGATATAACCCGGAACTTAAATATTTTATTTCCTATTTAAATATTACTCTATGAATAATACAGTACGTGCAGATGAGGATTGTGGCTGTGATAGTGATGATCCATGCACATTTGAGTATTTACAGGCATATGAGTGTTATTTGAAATCGCCCAATAAGATAACGAAAGAGTGTGCAGAGAAAATAACTGCTATGAAGGAGTGCTATGCAAAAAGAGAAAGCAACAGCAGATGGTCAGTTAAGAATTTGCTCAGATATTTACTAAATAAATAAGCCAATGATTGACTGAAGTGCAAAGTACATACATAATAATGAAATGTATGGAGAAAGCCTTTCCCCAAAAACTGTTCCTATTGCAATGACTCTAACAAAAAACGATGCTTCTTCTCTATTAGACAAAGACTTTTTAAATTCCTGTGGAAAGAAAGGTTTGAGGTACGCTGTGGTGCATGTGAATAAAAGCAGCACGCGAACCATTGCACCAAAATTCAGTAGAGCTGTCATGAAAATAAATAAAAAGAATTAATTAAAATACTTAATGGAAGTATTGGCTAGAAATAACCAGAAATTTACTTAAATATCTTAATGATTGATCCGTATACAAGGTGTGTTGGTATGTAAGTCGTTACACTCTTATTTTCTAGTGTGACATACTGAAGATTAACCTTAGAGACCCTTCCCTGTGTATTATTTATAGAAACAGAGTCACCAACCGAAAAGGGAAGATAAAAAAGAAGAGAGGAAGACTTTGCCACATCTGTCATTATTGGTTTATATGAAGAGAAAATCCCAGAAGATCCTCCTAGGAGCGAAGCCACAGTTATTGCAGAAAGTATTGGGGTTTTATATCCTGTGAAGGCGTCAAATAGTTTTTTCATGGAAGAGTTCAAAAAAGAAATAAAAAGAGTACTTAAAGACAAAGACACTGGAAAGAGAGAAAACAGGCAAGCAGAAGTGCTTAAAATAACTAGAGAGAGAACAAAGTATTTATACAAGCTATACCAGCAGAATAAAATCACAGACAAAGAGTTAGGCAATTACATAAGAAAGGAGGAGTGCGATATGCTTCTAATACAGCACTGGAAGAAGGCAGAGAAGAGAGAAGTAGTAAAATATGTATGTTGTATGCTTTGTATACGAAAAGGGAGGAGGTGTATATGCAGGAAGGTATCTGGAACTGTTTGTACTAATTGTTTGTGTTCTGGTGAGTGCATGGTAGCAGTGCATAAAGATATGGATTGTTTTGAGTAATTACATTTACTTTTTAAGTATATTTAAATATTTCAATATTTAGGATTTTAGGATTTGAAATTTAAAATAAAGGTGTATATATAAAAATATAAAGTGAACACATTTATTTTAAATTTCAAATCCTAAATATCGGAATGCTCAAAGGTTAAATACAATTGTTTAAGAAGGCTTCGATAGTTAATCCAGAAATTCAAGCACGCCAGTAGCTCTTTGTATACTTTTCTGAGCAATGGGTATAATCCGAAATTAAACTCAAAATATACATATGGGAGGTGTAGTTATTATTAAGAATAAAAGTATGTATATGCAAGGTCTAGTATTTGTTGTGATTTCTGTAGAATGTAAGCGTATATGGCAGAGTTACGAACTGATAACTCTGTGTTCTCTTTTTGGTTAAATTTTCGTTTTTATCTCTAGAGAATTCTGAATCTTCGAATGGAATACCAACAGCTGCGCCACGCTTTCTGTCATCAGATGATGCTACTGCAAATTTATCTATGGTATTGTATTTTATTATGTGAACACATGAGGATATTTCGCCTTGTTTGTCTTTGATTACATTCCAGTTTATTCCCATATTGGGCAGTTTATGTGTATATTTATTTTCTAGCTTTATCATGTGTCCTCCTTGGTAATGCAGTCTAGGGTGTAATATGGCTTCTTTGATTGTGCTGCTACTAATAAATATTCTTGCTAAAGTAGAAATAACGGCTGTGGGTATTCTAATGCCACCAGATGCACCAAGTAGGTATATATCGCTGTCTTTCATAATAAAGGCGGGCATGGCAGATGAAAGTGGCTGTTTAAACGGCATAATGTGGTTCTTGCCAGATCTACTGGATGAAATTCCATTGAGAGTAGAAAATTCAGTAAATGCAAAGTCGTCTATTTGGTTGTTTAGAATTATACCAGTCACTGGGTCCATTAGTCCTGCACCCCAGTAGTTATTAATTGTAGATGTGAGCGCTACCATCATACCCTGTGCATCCATCACATTTATGTGTGTTGTTCCATGGTCTTCTGCTAGGTTGTTTTTATGTGGGGTGAAGGGCTTCTTCTCGTTTATATTCCGAACAATTTGATCTACGACTTTCTGCTGTGTGTGGCACATAAGACTTTTAATGTTTTTTGTTTCATCCTGAAGGTCTTCTAGCTGAGTGCGTATGGAGTAAAGCTCATTATATATTTTTATTAAATATACCTGCAATTCCTCTTCTGTTGTATTTTTGTCTAATTTAAGCTTATCAAAAACGGACATGGCTAAACCCAACATATATCCTGTTGTAGGCAAAGAAGGTGCATATACGCGAGTATTATTTACTACTTTGGGCACTACGCTCTTCTTAATGACGTGAATTTGTTTAAATTCGTCTGGAGTAATTATTACGCCATCTTCATTAATGAATGAAAGAAGAGACTTTCCCACAGACCCAAAGTAGAAGCTGCTTGGGTCTGTGGCAAGTATTTCTAAAGTGTTTGCAAGGTTTGGGCGAGTAAGAATATCATTCTCAGATGCAACCTTGCCATTTTTAATAAACGTATCAGATAATCCTTTATCACTTCTGATTATATGCTCAAACTCTTTGAGCTTTTCCGAAAGTATCCGAGGCACGTGGAATCCGCTTCTGAGCATCTCAATTATTTCTGGAAAGAGTTCGCACCAGGGAAGGGCCCCATAGTTGCTGTGTACGGTAAATAATCCTAAAATTTCACTGGGAATAGCCACAGCCTTTCTTCCTAGTCTAGAATCCTTGGCATTTGTGTAGTTTTTAATGTTTACAGACATGGGAGCTCTCTCCCGAAAGTTATATTCAAAGCACTGCCCATCCGGCAAATAAATAAGTAAAAATCCTCCCCCGCCAAGTCCAGAGGCAAATGAGTTTATAGCGCCAACCGCAATTGTAGTGGAGATAGCTGCATCAACTGCATTACCTCCCTTTTTTATTATACGGTGTCCCAAATCCGCGGCTATCTTTAAATCTGATGTAATTACAGGCAAGGAGTATTTCGTGTCGTTTTTATTCATTTCCTGGGCATATGCATAATTTATTAATGCATTCACAATTAAAATTTGTGCCAATTGTAACCACTGCATTTTTTGTTTATTTTTTTTCTCATTTTTTCACTTTTAAATTGCCATGCGACGGCAACGCTTTTCGCCTGGGCAGATTTAAACTCATCTTTTATTTTTTCTTTTATGGCAGACTTACTTAAACCAGGAGCAACCCAGGAAAAGGCCGATGAAGCAAGGACATCTTTTTTAGTTGGAGCCATTACAGTGTCTGGGATGGTAAAGAGCACTCTTGGCCCGAAAGGCATGCTAAAGTTGCTTTACACGCAGAATGGGCAGCCAATAATAACAAACGATGGTGCAACTGTGCTGAAGAACATTGTGCCGGCTGGTGCCTCATCGAAGATATTGATAAATGCAGCAAAGGAGCATGGAGAAACAGAGGGGGATGGGACCACTACTCTAACAGTATTGACTGGAGGGCTTTTGCATGAGGCAGACAAGCTTATATTCAAGGGCGCGCACCCATACAAGATTATTGCAGAGTACAGAAAGGCGCATAAAAAAGCAATGGATGTGCTAAAAAGCATATCAAAGGAGTGTGCGGATGACAAAGAGCGGCTTGCTTTGGCAAAGACCACACTATCATCCAAGTTCTCGCCAATTGAGCTGCAGTCACTTAGTGAGCTGGCGCTGAAGGTATCCAAGAAGATAGGAAAGAAGATTGACATGCTGAATATAATAAAAATAGAAGGGGGTGAGGTGAGCGATTCATATATGCACGATGGTTTGCTTATTGAGTGTGATATTGGGCCAGGCCAGAAAGATGCATGGGACAATCCGCGCGTGTTAATAATTAACACTAGCTTAGATACAGACAAAGTCAAAATTTTCGGGTCAAAAGCCGCAGTCACGTCTCCAAAAGAGCTAGAGAAGCTGGAAATGGCAGAAAACAAAAGAATGAGCGAGAAAGTGCAGAAAATATCACAGCATGCAGATGTAATAGTGAACAGACAGATAATTTACGACTATCCCACTCAGGAGTTCACAAAGCATGGAAAGACAAGCATAGAGCGGGCAGACTTTTCTGGAGTAGAAATGCTTGCAAAAGTATTGGATGGAAGGATACTTAGCACATTTGATTCTGTTGTAGAGAGCGATGTAGGTAGGTGCGACCGATTTGAGCGGGTAAAGATGCAGGAAAGAGTGTTCTGTTCATTCACTGGGGGTCTTAAAGACGGTGCATGCTCTATTGTAATAAGAGGGCCATCCAAAGAAATACTTGAAGAGTGTGAGAGGTCTCTTGTTGGAGCAATTAAGGTGCTCATGAACACGTCCGACAGATATGTCTTTGGAGGAGGCAGTGCTGAAGCAGCAGTTGCGCATCTGATCCATCCAACAACAGAGGGAGAAAGGGCATATGCCAGGGCTCTTCTAGAGATAACAAGAAGTCTAGCAGAGAATGCAGGCATGCCTTCAGATGAAATAGTTGATAAAATATCAGAGTACAACAGCCAGGGAGCACATTCGTACGGAATAGGAAGCAATGGCCCAGAGTGTATGGATGCGCACGGTGTAAGAGAGTCTCTCCGACTAAAAGAAATCATCTGGAGCAAAGCAGCTGAAACCGCAGAGGTGCTTCTTCGGTGCGATAACAACATCAAGTGCCGTCCAAGAGAAAGAGTCCAGGAATAGCCAGACCTGCACCCAAAATATCAAGAAGTATTTACACGCCATACTAAATGAAGAAACAGGAGGTAACGTGCAAATATAAATATGCAAAAAGGACAGGAATATAATAAATAAAGAAGATGTGGCATTTTAATAGATTTAATGGAAGCATATGCATAAATAATTCAAAATGTCTTTATTAGGGCAATTTCTAATTAGTATAGAAGAAAGAATTTGGAGTTGTATATATAAATTCTATATTCTAATATAGTCCAAAGCTGCGCCAAGCTAACTCACAAAAAACCAAATTTTATACAATGTTCTAGGAGCTTACTCTAACTTCTTTATTTATCTGGATTACCGCAGTGTATTCAGATTGCTATTGCTATCAGGCTGTATAAATAAACCTTAGAACATTATGATTTATACACACATTTACTGTGCACTATACTTTAGTATATAAGAAGCATAGTTTATCCTATAAAATATTTTATTCACACATTCCAGTTTATTCTGTTAGAATATACAGCGCTTATTATTGGCTATTATGTAAATACTCCGTATAAAGAAATATAGCCTATTAAATATTTTTTAAATGAGTTTAATTGGCTTAGATATAAAGAAACTGCAACAAGAGAGCCCGAATTTTATAAATATTTCAGATTTTAATTTCCAGTTGTGGGCTTCTTCTAAGTATGGTAACAGTGCAATTAACAAGATTAAATTCGTATGAGATAATTCCAATATGCCATTTAGTGCTTATCGGGCACATTCTGCTTCCTACTGCCATATACTTATCTGGATTTACTTTCATGCAAATATTTGGAATTCTAACAGTATACTACATGGGAATATTTGCTTTGTCTTTGTTTATATCACAAATATATCTAGAATACACGCTGGCATGCCTGATTTTTGTATGGGGGTGGATGTGTGTGTGCCACATTCTATCGATATAGTCTAAAATAATGTTATTTGTATACGCACAGCCAAAGATTAAATTTATTTGTACTAAATATTTCCGGGTATTTTCTATTATTTATTACAGTGTTATTAAATATATGTAGACAGATGATACAGCAGAATCCAGTAGAATGCTTTTAAATACTTTTGGGTATATTTAAACATAATCACATACTTAAAATTATGCAGTATTATTACATTTCCATAAAGAAAATTTAAAATATATTTATTATGTTGAATATTATTCTATTTCTGCTTTTATCCTGTTATTCTGTGTTTATAGTATTTTCATTAAAGGGTGGGCTATGGCTCTTCTTTTTTGATTATTCTGCCAAACAGATTCTCTTCTATGGTTTGTAAATTCGTTCTGATTAGTAATTTTAGGTTTACTAGGAGTTCTTGTGTATTTCATTGAGTGGGAGTATGCTTTAAGTGTGCTCAGAACAACCAATACAAAAATACAGCTAAACAGCACAGAAATGATTCTATTCTTAATGTGGGACCCAAATACAGAAATGTTTGCTATTTCATTAACAGACTTATTAGCACTATTAGAAACGTAGTCCATTGCTATGTCTAGCCGCTCTATTTTGTCTGACTGTGAAATCACCACAGTTTTTAGTTCGCGTATTAGCTCAGTTATGTGGTATACAGACTTATACACCGACTCTGCACCGTTTGTGCTTTTTTGTTCTGTGGAAGGTTCCTTTATTTTTTCAATATTCGCCATTGATGCGTTCATTCTGTTTATTAGCCTATCTATTTTATAGTGAAAATGAACACTTATGGACTCTACTAGAGTATAGTTAATTGATTTTTTGAAGTTCTGTGAGAAATAATCAAGAATCCCTTTGGACTTAGTGAGCACAATGGATATTTCATATTTCATCTGCTCAATTTTTGCTATTGTTTTTCCTTTGCTTTCAAAGCTAGGAATACAGTATATACTGCACTCCTTTTCCACTGAAATAACCAATTCCTCTAGTTTTGAGAGATTCTCAGATATTTTTCCGAATAGAACTTCTACTTCAGTCTTTTCCTTAATTCGTCTTTTTTCGTATAGAATGCCTCTTCTTCTTTTCAACTCTTCACTCCGGTTTCGCATTGTTTATACAAACAATCCTGTATCAAATATTACCCTGGCACACTGTCTCTAAATAAGCAGCAGACACACGAAGAATATCTAATACTAGATGCTTCATAAAGTTGAAAACCACGCCCGCACCATCCGATGAGAATAAGTGTGTAATTATTTGTAGTTCTCTTCTATAAACAGCCTATAGTATTCATCATACGTAGATGCTGAGGCAGCCTTGTTTGGCGCTTTCTCAGATAACTCACTCTCAGAAGAAGATACCAAGGTGTTATACTTCCTATCTTTTGCCCTTCTGTTCTGGAACCAAATCTGCACAGTGCGAATAGGTATATTAAAGTCACTCGCTAATTTACACCTTAAATCATTTGAAGGCCGTGGGTTTTGCTGATACACAATAGATAGCAATTTTGTCTGTGCGGTGGTGAGTCTTGGTCTTTTAATTTTTTTATCCATGTCTGTCCTATCTTTTTAGTATTTATCCATGGGCTCACAATCAATCTGATAATCATGTATTTAAATACAATGCACACATACCTGTGAATAATCTTATTTAAGTTTGTGTTATTTTTGGCTGTTTTCATTTCCACTTCTATTTATCTATTATTCAGTCTTTAGCACATAATAATTTATGCAGAAATATTAAAATGCAATATTCATGCTAAAGTATCCTCGTCATATAAATTAAGAATAACACACCCAGTGCGCACACTAATACTGCCAGGAGTTTGAATAAACCATAGTACACACAGTAGCACACTCTAATAAAATATCTAGTTTAAATGTTTAAACACATCATATGCAAATAATATAAAGTGCACTTAAACTTAAAGGTGTATAAGATGGTATTAAATACAACCATAACTTAATGTAGTAACACAGCCACTAGAAATTCAATAGTTAAAACACATGATCAGGCCGTAAAGCAATAAGTAAATACACTCCGAATGTAAGTACTCTATTTACACACATAGAATTATTATTAAAATACCATACAGCAATACATATTTACAGTATAACTAGGAGTATTCTATCACAGGAGTATAAATATACTAAAACAATCACTTCATTCTTTTGTTATACACTCTTGTATTTGATTATGTCTACGTGCTCTTCTCCCCTGTTTATAGTTGTTTATACAAGATATTGCTGCAGCGTAATTTGTACACAGAAATTCTTTCTTTTCTAGGAATTCTTTAATAAATCTTGGATGTAAAAATATAATTATATATTACTATTGTGTTACTTTATTTTAACTATCGGGTGGATCCAAATCCAATGAGAGTGACTCCCTGCTTCTTTAATGAGTAGAGAACATCCTGGCAAGAGACGGTCTTTCTCTTCCCGTGGTTGCAGTAGGTGACTGCACATCTGATGATTCCTTCTAAGTAAGTCTTGGCCATGTTGTTTATTTCGCTGTATACACCTGCACTGACTCTCTTTACTCCTCCTCTTCTTGCTAGTCTTCTTATTGCTGGCTTAGAGATGCCCATTGTCTGCTGTGTTGTTTTTCTGTGTCTTTTTGCTGATCCTTTTCCAAGTCCTTTTCCTCCTTTACCTCTTCCTGCTACTACTGACATATTAAAGAAGAAAACAAAAGGAGTATTTATAGTTTTACTTCCCGCCAAAAAGATAATCCCGCCAATAATGCCGGGGAATTTCCCGGGAAAATTCGGGGATTAAAGTGGAATATTACCACAGTTAAGCTGTTTTCCTGGCCACTCTGTCTATATACGGCATATTATTGAATATATTTCTTTATTTTAAGAGCATTCCTATGCCTAAAAAAGACTGAAATATTTGAAATTTTAGGATATTGCCTGAATCTTTAAATATTTCATATAAAAGAGTATATTACACAGCAAAAAGAGCAATATTACTATAAATAGAATATAGAAGAAATGATTACCCAAAAGAGTAATTTGTAAATATACGTTGAATATTTTTGTGTGTTGACAATTCTTTATAAATAACCCGAATACCTGAATAATAATGTGTATTTTTAAGGCTGTTTTATTCGCTGCTGGCTGTTTCTGGTGCTTTTTATTATGCCAAATTATTCCCGGCAAATAAAATTGCCCGCCAAAAGAATCCCGCCACAAGAGAGTACCCGCCAAAACATGCTTATATACGAATAAAGTTTGTTCATGAATGGCAAGAACAAAACAGACAGCAAGAAAGAGCACCGGAGGAAAGGCACCAAGAAAACAATTAGCAACTAAGGCAGCAAGAAAGAGCACCGCCCCAGGAGCAGTGGCAGCAAAGAGGCCACACAGATTTAAGGCAGGAACAGTTGCTCTGAGAGAAATTAGAAAGTACCAGAAGACAACCGATCTTCTTATAAGAAAGCTCCCATTCCAGAGACTAGTCAGAGAGGTTGCATCAGAGTACAAGACAGATGTAAGATTCCAGTCCTCTTCTATTCTGGCCATCCAGGAGAGTTTAGAAAACTACTTAACCGGTCTATTTGAGGACAGCAACAGATGTGCCATCCACGCAAAGAGAGTCACTCTCATGGCACGTGACTTGCACTTAGTTAACAAAATTAAGTCAACCATAATTGCATAAGACACCCACATAATAAAGTACAAGTAATTACATAAAGCACTATTTAAAGTATTATATACAAAGTATTTTTTAGTAGAGAGACTGGAATAGAATAAGAAGGGACGGAATGGGATGGAAAGGAAGTAAATTAGAACAAACAATTTTATGATGTATTTAAGCAGAAGGCAAAAAATCTGGATGGAAAATTTTAAAGAGCATCAGATTGAAGGGGTTGAGTGGATGTGGAAGAGAATATCTGCGCGGAAGGGGGTTGTTTTAAGTGATGAAATGGGCACGGGAAAGACTATGCAGGCCTTAGAAATAGCCAAGCGGGTTTGGAGCCAGATTGGAAAATCTATTCTTATTGTTGCCCCGTGCACACTTCTGCAGAACTGGAAAAAAGAAATGGATAAAATGGGCTTTTCAATTCCTGCGCGTGTAGTTAGATCGAGTGATGCGGGGGCAGAGAATGTTTTAAGGGGCGCAGACGGAAATTACATAGTGATATTAAACTATGAGCTGCTGCAGAGGAAAAAGGGGCAGATTCTTCAGTCTTTTTTTGACTTAGTGATATTTGATGAGGCGCAGCGTATAAAGAATCGAGAGACAATGATATCTAAAGTATCTCGATTAATTGATGCTCGATCTAAGATGTGCATTACAGGAACGCCAATACAAAACAGCCTTTCCGAGCTGTGGAGCATTACAGAGACTGTCCGGCCTGGGTACTTCGGGGACTATCAGAGGTTTAAGTCGGAAATAGAAGAGCCTTTGAAGAAAAGCACGCTAAAGAATTCAACTGAGCTGGAGAAGCAGAAAGGTGCATCTATAAAAGAGCATATAAATATGCTTCTTTCGGAAATAGTTATACGAAGGACAAAGGAGGATTTGGCTGGGTTTTCAGAGAATATCCCAGAAGGGGGCTTGGCAATTCCCAGGCGAAAAGAGCACACAATATATTGCCCACTTACACGGGAGCAGCAGTCGGTTTATAAGAGAGTATTACGGAATGACCTAACCCGAGCAACAGTAATGGGGAAAAGGGCGCCATTAAAGAGTATTGCACACTTAAAGAGCATATGCAGCCACCCTATTATGGCAGACTCTGAACTGACTAGATGGAGTGACAGCGGTAAAATGCAGGTTATACACAGGCTGCTGTTTATGTGGAGGCACACAAATAGAAAGATTCTCTTATTTAGCCAGTATAAAGAAACACTTCGTATATTGCAGAGCATTACAGGGAGGAACACTTACAGAATAGATGGGGACAGCCCAATTCGCAAGAGAGAGGAAGTGTTTAATACATTTGGCAGCAAAGAAGGGCTGGAAGTTCTTCTGATGAGCATGAAAGTGGGCGGTGTTGGGATAAATCTTCAAAAGAGCGACACAGTCATTTTATTTGACATTGACTGGAATCCATTTAATGAAGAGCAGGCAAAAGGACGAGCGCACAGAATGGGACAGAAGAAAGAGGTGGAGATATACAGGCTAATATGCAGAGGAACGATTGAAGAAAGCATAGAAATAGTGCAGGAAGTAAAGAAAACTATTTCCAAAGGAGTTTTAGACGGTATAAAGTCAAAGCAAGTATTTGATAAGGTTGACCTATGCAGACTCTTTCACTATTCGCACGACCCTCTTGACATAACAGATCTAGACACTCTTGCATCGCCCGAATATAAATAGACAAAAGCATAGAAACGCATTGCAAAATAAAGAAAAAACGCCAAGCTTCCACCAGGCAGTAAATATATAATACAAGAATAAAGAAGCGCATTATCTGTAATTATCATTTATTTAACTGTAATTAAATTTCGGGCACAGACATTTATTCTACTCTTATGCCCTAAATAATTTTGTACTTGTGCTGATAGTAATGCGCTTAGTAACAATTGAACCAGGCAAGTGTGCGCTAGGCTATTGTTGTTTCCACATGTCTTTAGCTAATCAGGAAAAGAAATTCAATCAATGTACACAGCTTTATATTGTATTATGAAGATGTACATGCATTATCATCCCAGCCATCTAATTCCTCTTCAGACACGGTTTCTTCATTATCTGACACGCTCATTCTAGGTGTGAGCGGCTCAGGAGAGGATCCATTAGAGCGTCTCTCTAATCCCAGGTGGGCTTGGCAGACGAAAGCCTCTGAAACAAATGATTTCTCTATTTTATTTATTATTTCACCTAGATTGTCAATGCAGGTGAAATTATCGCTTATATTTTCTATTTTTATACTATTGCTTTCAGGTTTATTGAAATTAACGTGGAATTTGCTATCTTTTTCTTTTGTATCTGTAAAGGTTATAAGCAAGAATGATTTTTCATGCTTTTTTGTTTGTTTTAAATGGTTTATTGTTGACAAATTTTTGCTGGAATCATCAAGTTTAATATTTTCAATAGCCCTGCATTCTAAGACCATTTCATATTCGTTACTTATATTTTTGCTGTCTTCATTTTGATTAAAGATTTTGTATTCTAGTTTTATAGTTTTTTTCTTGGTGGTTACATCCATTGTTATTCTAACGCTGCTTTTAACATCCGAAGCAATAATTTCTCGTATCTTTTTAAACATAATATCAACTTGGGATATTTTGTTTCCAGAGCAGTATTTGAATCTGTCGTTATTTTCCATATGGTTCATTGCACTTTGGGCCAACTCCAACGATTCACTCTGATTTTCGGGGTATATAAAGCTCCACTCTTTCTGGATATGTGGATCTAATGCAGTATTATCTTCATCAATTTTAGCATAGATCGATTTCAGATTATTTTGATTTAATATTTCTTTATCATTTTCTAATTGATTATCATTTTCTAATATGGGATTTTTATCACTAAAATTCATAAACAATGATTCATATATAACTGCTTTGATATTATCAAGAATTTGCTCTTGGTTATCACCCCTCTTTTTTTTAATTTGGTCAGATATCGAATTAAAAGCAGTGTCTAAATTTTTTTTCATGTTTTTTATAATTGGATTATTTAGATCAAGCCCATCCATCTCAATTTTTTGCATATCAAATCCATTCTGACTAGATAATAAGTTCATTGACTGTCTATAGATATTATCTCTTGTCTTTTTTGCTTCTTCAATATATTTTTTATCATCAAAATTTTCAGTAGAGCTGTTGCCATTAGATACTTTTTTTTTTCGGAATACAATACCAGAGCTGCTCGCAACTGAGGGCATATTATCTATCTGCACTTGTAATGTTGACATATCTATCTCATTGTACGTATAGATCCTGGATTTTGGATCTATTTCAGTACTTTTCATTTTAAATTCCATTTTTTCACAGCATATCTCTATAACCTGGATGTCTTCCCATACATGCATAGTTTCATCTATTTCTGATTTATTTGGATGTGCTTTTATATACTGATCAATTATTGTACTTTTGTCTACCGCATACGCATGCGTATTTAGTAAATACTTTTCTTCTGTTTTTAAATGTCTAAACTCAGTGTAATACATTAATTTGTTAGTTGAGTTCTTAAAAGACTTATTTTCTATACTTATTTGTTGAATCCTGCTGGTAAAATCCTTAAGAATTTCATTCATTTCTTTCTGTTTATCTACATCTAGTTGAAATACCAATAGGTTCTTTCCTGGGGTTTTTCTGTATATAATTAAGTAACTCTGTTTTATAATATCTTTTAGCATGTATAATTTTTTTATGAAATCAAAATTTACATCAGAAATCATAAAATTGGCATGTGTGCCATTGTTATTTTGATTTAGACTTTTAATTTTTGCAGGACAGTAGGTATCTAATATGCATGGAGAATTAACCTCTTCTGCACATATAGCTGCACGATCTAATAACAAACTACTAGGGTCTGATGCTTCCACCACCCCCTGTGTACTTATCCAGCATACAGTGGCTAAAATTAACTTTTTGTATATATAGCTACTTCTCTTCATTACTAAATTCATAATAAGAACTATTAAATACTCAACTCTATCCATATAAATAGCTTAAATCTTATCAATGTAAACAAACATACGAAATTTGTTTATATTATCTGATTGTGTTTATTTGTAAATAAACATTAGAATGACACTGATAATAACACCCAGCCATGTTGAACAAACAAAGCATTTATATAAACAACTATAGCTTATTATAAAAGTGTTCTATTTAATACACAGCAGTATTCAAATATGTGGTCTGTTTCAGAGTATCTCTGTTTATCATTTAATTATTATCTGTCAACATGTACATATTTGAACTATTTCAAATGTTGATTATTTAACATACATAGAACCATATACAGTGACTTAGCATAAAATATAAAATATTTATTTTGAGAAATTCTGAATTGTTTAGCATTTTAATTCATGATTTATTAATAATATCTATTATTTATGTTATATGATAAACCATACTGAATGTAAGAGTCTTACGCCCACTGGCGAAGTCCTATAGAATTGTTATATACAGATGTTTAAAGCTATATAAGACAAGGATAATAAAAAGTTTTAATGGGCTCATTTAATATTACCATGGATAAACCTATAAGTATTGTTTATGTCATACTATTTACTATTTATGCATTAAATATGGTATTATCCGAAATTTACTTTTTACTTATTACGTGTGCAGTACTGAAATATTTAAAATATTTTTATACCCCGAAATAACCCGAATATAAAAATAGAAAGATGAGTATTGTAAGACGTAGTAATACTATTATACACTGAAATAACCCAAATTTATAAAAAAATATATTCAAAGTATTTATTCTATATTCATCGTACCTCGAGGTATTCCTAATTATGAGGTGTACTCAGTCTTATGAGTGAATTTAGGCCTAGAAAAATTGTTCTTTGGATTACTTAGTGTTAGACTATTATTTAGAAAATATAAATTTATAGTCCAGATATTTGCTTTTTTGCGTATTTAGAATCATTCAATTCTCTTAACAGCTGGAAAATGAATATAGAAGATTCATCATTAATTGGAATTCTGTCGGCAGCCAAGAGTTCTTTATCCGTCCAATTATTTGAGAGTATTGATTTTATGGTATTTGTTTCTTGATGTTTAGTATCTTTTCCTTTATTTTCCTTTGATTTGTATATACATTCGCTGTTTTCTCCGTAAATAGAAAGCTTCATACTCTTATCTGCGCAGGTTTCAATGATAAATATCACTGGCGCGTGTAAAATTTCATGTGATTTGACAAATTTAATTTCTTTCATGGCAGACTTAAACCAAATAAGTTCATCTTGTCTCTTATTTGGGCTTTCTTCTACTTTACTTACTAATAATTCCAGAATAGGGCCAACTTTTAAAGTGAGCATGCTGCCTTCTACTGGGTACTTGATGTAATTTTCAATTGCATCCGATAATGCCTGCTTTATATCGCTGGTTGTGGTATATTGAAGACTATAATTATGCTTATCAGTCGTATTTTTATCACTATAATAGCTATATTTTTTCACTAAGCAGTCCCATATTTGATCCAAGGATGTATTGAATTTCTCTCCAATAAATAGTTGGTATGCATAGAACAGCTTTCTAAAAGCAGATGTTTTTATCTCATTCAAAAAAAGATTCATTTGATAGATCATGGCGTCTCTTTGCATCTCTTTTGATAAATTTTCGGGTTTAGAGAAAAGTCTATTTAGAAGCATTTGTGTTGTCTCAGAAGTTAAGCTTGCTACACCCAAAACCTTTTCTGATTTTTCATTTAAGCCCTTTATAGATATAAATTCCTTTTCTCCAGAAACCATACCAATTGTAATAACACTATCCCAAATCAGATTCTTCTTCTGAAGAATGCCTAGATCCGAATTAAATTGCTGGTTTTCGCTGTTTTGCAGTACATGGCACTCTGAATTAATTACATATTGTATTTCTTTCTTTTCATTAGTGAATAGAAGGTAGGAATTATCATTTTGGTCTGTATTTACTTGATACTTTCTAATATAAACCTTATAGCCGTTTTTTGCTGTGCGATTGCTAAGGGACGCATGCTCATTTTCTTTTGGTTTTTCTTCTTTTATAACATTTTTCAGAGTCATTTCGCATATGCTTTTAGTAGTTATTAGAATGTTTTTGCTGGGATCCTTGGCATTTACAAATAACCATCGGAAATTATAATCCGAAATTAATTTTTTAAGCGCATCTTTATCCATATTTATGTTTTCTGTCAGATAGACGGGCTCTTCGCCCTTATAGCCATCCTTTTCAGCATTAAAATTAATCAATTTGATACCATTCAGATTTGGTAGGGATTTTTCTATAGAAGCTCCAGTGATTTTCCTTTTCTTTTTAAGAACTATTTTTCCATCTTCGTCTATCAGAGATTTTAACTCACCTAGGTATGCCCGAGTGGGCATATTTTCAGTCTTTAAATCTTTAGTCTTTGAATCTTCAGTCTTTAAATCTTCAGTCTTTGAATCTTCAGTCTTTAAATCTTCAGTCTTTGAATCTTCATTATTTGAATTTTTATTTTTTTTGAAGTATTCTTATCAGTGGGGACAGGAGGCGGAGGAGGAGGAGGAGTAAATTGTCCACTGAAACTCCCTGGATTAATTGCAGTGGGGATTTTAGGACTATTCTCATCTAATGAAAAAGACTTACTTGGGTGTCCCAAAATTTCATCCTTAAGTGTGGAGGCGGCGCCGGGAATGGCATCGATGGCAATATCATTCCCTTGATTATCTTCTTCTTCAGATGTAATTGGACTTTCTCCTATTCTCTTCCTTCTAATATCAAGCGCTGCTTTGAACTCATTCGTGTTGATATCAATACTGTTTGTGTTATCTAAACTACTAGGGCCACTGAATACTTTGCTAGAATCTTCATAGCTTTTAGAGCCTCTTCTGTTGCTATTTGGAGAAACATCGTCTTTTTGTTGTGTGTTTCTCATGAGTTTTTTACTTAATTCATTATAAAATGCATCTTTTGATTCGCTAGTGCCTGCTTTATTAGCCTTATGGCCGGATTTCTTTTTATTGCTTTGAATTGTGACCACCATATTTTTTAATTGACTACTAAATGTAGTTTCTGTGTTATTGTCATTTTCATCTGGTTCGTTGCATTTAATTCTTTCAGTTGATCCTAAGTTATTTTCATTAGTGCTGGGATCTTTTTTTGGTAGTGAAGGCAATGTAGGTGCGCCCTTATTGTTATGTGCAGGTTGTTCTTTATAACCCGAAAATGTGCAAATTGAATTTCCTTCTTGTGCAGTATTTATACTACATTCTTTGCTGTCTATTCGGGTTATTCGGGTTATCATTGATTCTTTCATTTTTTTAAGGCTTTCTTCCCTTTGTATTTTTTTGGCTTTTACATTTTCTTCTAAACTTGGTTTCTTTGGTATAGCTTCTGGTTGATTAGCTTCTATTAATGATAAATCTTTTTGTGTAGCTTCTGGTTGGCTGGCTTCTGGTTGGCTGGCTTCTGGTTGTGTGGCTTCTATTGTTGATAAATCTTTTTGTGTAGCTTCTGGTTGGCTGGCTTCTGGTTGATTAGCTTCTATTGCTAATAAACCTTTTTGTATAGCTTCGGGTTGTGTAGCTTCTGGTTGATTGGCTTCTGGTTGTGTAGCTTCTATTGTTGATAAATCTTTCTGTGTAGCTTCTGGTTGGCTGGCTTCTGGTTGTGTGGCTTCTGGTTGATTAGCTTCTATTGTTGATAAATCTTTCTGTGTAGCTTCTGGTTGTGTAGCTTCTGGTTGATTGGCTTCTGGTTGTGTAGCTTCTATTGTTGATAAATCTTTCTGTGTAGCTTCTGGTTGTGTGGCTTCTGGTTGTGTAGCTTCTGGTTGATTGGCTTCTGGTTGTGTAGCTTCTATTGTTGATAAATCTTTCTGTGTAGCTTCTGGTTGATTGGCTTCTATTGTTGATAAATCTTTCTGTGTAGCTTCTGGTTGGCTGGCTTCTGGTTGGTTAGCTTCTGGTTGATTGGCTTCTATTATTAATAAATCTTTTTGTGTAGCTTCTGGTTGGTTAGCTTCTATTGTTGATAAATCTTTCTGTGTAGCTTCTGGTTGGTTGGTTTTTGTTTTGTTATAATCTGGGTCTAATTGATTGGTTGTTAATGTTTCTCGGCTACGTCCTGACATGCCTTTTTTCATATTGTTTTCTTGATTTTCTTCTATAGAGCCATTAGCCTGATTTTTTCCCAATGACGCAGTATTATTGGGATTAAGACAATATTTTGTTGAAAATCCCTTCCGATTCCGTCTACATAAAGTACCTGTATATAATACATTACTAGCGGATTCATTTGAATTACTTCTTTGCATAGCCTGACTTTCAAAGAACTTTGCCATATCACTAACTTTCGAGCTATTGTGACTTTTTGAATTTTGAGAAAATGTTGAAGGTTTATTTCCACTATCATCATACTTATCTGAATTTTCTAACTTAAACATATTTTTATCTCCTGATTCTGTAGATGCAAATACATTTCTTGTGAATTCAGAACTTGTCCATATTATTGCTATATTCTTACATATGCTTTTTATGTGCATTTAATTGTTAACCCATACATGTATTTATACCTTTATTTTGATATCTCCTGCCATGTTTGTTTGTATCAATTAATATAAACAAAACACTTTCTTTGTTTATTTTAATTATAACTGATATAACTTGTCATATCCTAGAATATTGCTATACATTAAATAATATATTACATATAAATTACTGCATAAATATTTAAGACTGCTTAAGTAATATAGAAATAATTCTCTGTTGTGATATTCTGTCTCTGTCTAATTTGTTTAATTTATATAATGCTTTATTTTTATTTATGCTGTCTGTTTGTTAATATATAATGTAATACACAATAAACAATTACTGTAAGTTTTTAATCAATGGATTTAATCGTCTAACATAACCCGAATACAAGCGGATTTAGGATCGTTTATGTTTTTAGTCTATTGCATTTAAGATTGAATAGATATAACCCAAAAATTACATTTTGAGCTATTTCATTATAATTTATATCTTATAGCATATAATAATTATTTTTTATTAATTGAGTATACATAAATTTCTACTTATACTTGTTTAATATGGCATATTCTGGTCTATTATGCCATTTTTGTTTTTTATATATGCGGTGACACCACCACTCAGATGGGAGCCCCTGAAGACAATCCGTCTGCGCGCCAGCTCGCGCGGTGATCCCGCCAAAACAAAGGCTGGGATCTCTGAATCAGTATATCAACTTCCGACTATTTAACCGGAGCTCTTCCCCCAATTTAGGGGGAGACTCGGGGAAGCATCGTCCGCTTAACTTCAGCGCCAGGCCTAACACAACTGTGCCCTTGGACTCCGTGCTCGCGCAGACTTAGGCCGCTTCCTAAAGACAATAAAGAGCGCTTCCCTTTCACTCTCTTCTCTCTCTTGGTTACGTAGCAGGGCGGCGGTAGCGTTACTCCTTGTGAATACGTCAATATATATTATTTTCTGTTTTCTTTTACCATGAAAGTCACGCCTCTTTTCATTTTCTCTTAATTTTATTCTGAATATGTACATTCAATGCCATTTTTTGTACTTTTGTACTTTTAGGTTATACTCAATCAATGCTTATTACACGGTATAAGTACATATTCATGCATATACAATTTGGTCCATGTTTATGTGCCTTATATCACTATTCAGGTATGATGTACTCACGAGAAGTAACGCCATCGCTGCTCTACTACGTAGCCAAGAGAGAGAAGAGAGTGAAAGAGGTGAGCTCTTTATTGTCTTTAGAAAGCGGCCTAAGTCTGCGCGGACACGGAGTCCAAGGGCGCAGTTGTGTTAGGCCTGGCGCTGAAGTTAAGCCGTCAATGCTTCCCCGAGTCTCCCCCTAAATTGGGGGAAGAGCTCCGGTTAAATAGTCGGAAGTTGATATACTGAGTCAGCGATCCCGGCCTTTTGATTTGACGGGATCACCGCGCGAGCTGGCGCGCAGACGGATTGTCTTCAGGGGCTCCCGTCCGAGTGGTGGTGTCACCGCATGGTAATTAGTTAATTTTACTTATTTAGGTAATTAATTATATCCAATTAGGGTATATATCAATTAAACAGGAATAAAGTAAAAATAGTTTTATTATAAATCTATAATGGCAAAAGAGGAGAAAATACGTATTTCTGGTTTTATTGCTGTTTTTATGATTTTAGTCATAGAGGTGTTTTGTGTTATAACAGAAAGTGATGGAATTAATGCACATACATACTGGAAGAATAAATCTGAGTTGATTGAGAAAGCAAGCATGAGAAGAAGAGGGTATTACAACAGATTGAAGAAAGAACTATTACGCCAAGAAACAGAATATTTCTTCTGTAAAATAGAAACAAACCTTAAATTCATAGAATACAGAATAGCTAATATAGAAGAAATAGTTAAGGTAATACATATAAATAATGAACAAATAAAAGAGATAACCAACAGAAGAGATCAAGATATAGCAATTGATGATCGAGTGACAGCAATAGAGATATCTTTGAGTATGATTGATAAAAAAACAGTCGAATTATTCTACATATTTGAAGAAATTTCATTCTGGATAAGCACAATTGATACAGATATTCTGAAAATAATTGAATTGTATTACACTAAAGAAGAAAGATTTGATTCCATTAAAAATAGTCTTATTTGGAAGCTTTCTGTGCTAAACAAACCTGTAGCTGTTGAAATGACTGTTTTATTGTTTTTATCTAAAATAGAAGGAATGTCTGATTTTAAAGGGGATACAACTAAAATAGTAAAGGATATAAGAGAAATAGTACTTGTGTCAGAATATGCACCAGTAGTGGAATATTTAAATATAATTAATGCCCTATTGAGTACATATAATTATGATATAATAGCTGCTGGCAGTGTTGGACTGGATTATTTAGCAAAAACATCTGTCTGGCATGTAAATATATCTGAGAAGGGAATCTCTCTTGGTGAGGTATATGTCAAAATAATGAAATTGTTTAGACGTGAAATCAGTTGGGAAAGCATTTCTTTAATGGATTTAACACCAAAGTCAATTATAAACTTAATAGGATTTGAGTATTTTATATCCGGAGGTATAATAAACCCGAAAAGAAATGATTTCTTTAAGTCATTAGAATTTCTTATGACAAACATAGAAAAAGTCTCTTACGATCCAAAACTTAAATTACCTGTGTCTTTAGAAGGGAGTAGAAATATGTATATAGATCTATTTAAATCATTATGGGAAGTTTCTGAAGATGCAGTGCATAAAATATCAGATGTATCACATAAGTGTTCTAATTTAGGCATTGATTTATACTTATTTAGAATGCTTAGAAGAAATTTCATCTCTTGTAAGTGGATGTACTCACTTGATTTTAGTTCTATTAAAATAAATAAGTCAAACCAGCTTAGTAATACTTGGTCTGAGATGATTGACTTGTCATATTTACACCCCCTGTGGTACATATGCCTAGCAAGTAAAATACATAAAACCCCATTGGATACAGACAAGCTGCATCCGCAGAATTCATTAAAAAGAATTGTCAGTCTATTGGAAGAAAAGGAATTTATAATATACCTAGGGCAGATTTACAAAAATGATCCTTCTGGTTATATTCAAATAATGAAATTATGTATTGGTATATGGTTCTCCACTAATATCAGAATTGTAATTGGAAATTTAACAGAACCTCCAGAGGTAGACGTATTACTAAATGAATTTATTAAGTGCCTATCTCCTGGAAGAAATATATTTACGACTCTATCTTAGAGCTGTTGTTTACCTTATGAGAATTTCCTTTAATTATGTATATTTGAAATTACATTGCTGCATATGGATTATATATGTATGAAAGGTCTATAAAAGATGATGCTTTTTCGAAGGTATCAGCAATCTCACTGAAAATTGTTTTTACCTCTACCCAGAAGTCACTGAATGTGTTCTTTGCTATTTTAGCTACCAGAGCAACCGGATCACACATTATACGACTGGCCATAAAGTTAATAGTGTCTATGTCTTCAACAATACTTGTATCTCTGGCTGCTCTTCCTATTGAATAATATGTGTATATGAAAGAGACTGAGCCAATCACTACTGCCATGTATACCATAGCTATGAAAAGAGTTCTTCTAAGTCTTGCTGCTTCTTCTTCGGAACTTAGCGCATTCTTTTTCTTGTACGGATTGTTATCAAGAAGGCATTCAGTATACAGGAACATAGCCCGGATAATAGAGAATGCCACTAGGCCAGCTGCACACTCTCGTAAGTATAAATCAGATATTTTTTTCTTAAACCAATTCACTGCAAACGAATTTTCATGCATGTAAATCACTAGTGCAATTGTTAGTCCATAAAAAACAGAGTATACACTTGCTATTCCATAAAATACCTTTGTACCACCAACCGTATTTACGTTAATTGACCAAAGAGCATTTTTAATATTTTCTATAAAAATAAGAAATCCTCTGGGAAGTGCTACTATAGCATACGCAAAAATTATATATGCAACAGACTGCATCTGACTACCAGAATTCCTTGATGTATGACAGACCTGTGCTATTATAAGTGGAAAGTACATTATACAATCACAAATAATTGTCATAAATAATCTTGAATTATGAAATTGTGTTGAGTATACTTTGTACGTATTTAAATAGAATAAAAATGTTATTATGTACATAACTTCCATATACCCAACATGGATAAGATTTCTTATAAATTCAAATATCCACAGGAATGCGTCTCTTATTAGTGGAAGAACAAAATAAGTTGACATCTCTTCAAATATATTTCCCTCTTTTCTGCACGGATGATCCTTAGGAAGATCACCTACAAATACTTCTTTGTTATGTTTACAGAAATTTATACCAACTGCATATTCATCTACAACGAATTTATTCTTAGGGAATTTTGGCTGTTTGGCATTCTCTTCTACCATTATTGAAAATTTTAAAGGATGAATTATTTTAATTTTAAAACTGATTTTACTTAAAATAAATCTGTAATTTGCATAAAAATTTGTAATTTTTGTAATAATATCATATTATACGATACGCCCCGAAAATACCTTGAAATATGTGAATGTTGGTTTTTTGATATGTTTGTTTGAGTATTTGATCTGATTAAATAGATTTATATGGGATATAATAGATTTATTGTACAGTGGTTACTTTAAGCTGGTTATTCGGGTTGTACAGTGGATTATTATTATAAATCCAGTTTAAAGAACTCTTTGTGTTTGATTAGTAAGAAATTGTTTATGTCAATTGGGTTAGTGAGAAGTTCTTTCTTTCTGGGCCTTCCTCCTTTGTTTATTTTTCTTTCTCCTACTTCATATAAATTATATACACATGGTGTGTCTTCAATCTCTTTGATTATCTCTTCTCTGCATCTTTTTTCTCTTTTTAATATTACGGGTAGGTCTATTCCTAGTATTTTATGCACTCCTGTCTGCTTTATTGGGGTTTTTAGCTCAAGATACCCCTTTATTATTAATATTCTGTTTTTAATAATATACCAAGTGGCGTATCTTATTCTTGGGTCAATTTTAAGGTTTTTTGTTACTGACTGGTTTAAACCCAGCAGCATGGCCATAAATGACCATCTTCTTCCTGTCTTATTTTCTCTTGCCATTTTTGTATTATCTACGCCTATTATAATTTATGCTAGATCTATGATAACTCGAGAATCATATCAATTTATTCCTCTGAAATTGCTTAAATTTCTATAGAAATTCTTTCAACTTATGGAAATACTTTTTGCTTATTATGTATAAAATAGCTCAAATAAACAGATGCTTTCTTCTGTTTAATATATACTATATTATAAATTGCTTTGTGTCTTCTTCTTATTAAATGCGCACTAACACACTATCTACACTGCGCGTCAATGTACACAAAGAATGTATTGTTTTATGATTTCGGGTTATGATTTCTTCTAATATTCTATCAGTAATAAACATACTTTATATGGGCAGTGTTCAGCGTGGCTGCTTCTGGTTATAGAAAAATAGTAGAATATATATTAAAAATGGTTTCTTAAGAATATGAGTGGACGATTCTTTACTTTTCTTTATCACAATTATTACATAGAGTGTTAGTGAATATATATTCTCTTGTCTGGTATACTATTAAACTGTTCTTGTGAGTATATTTGGATTGTTTCGAAATAGTTCACTATACTTCTCAGAGTATATTTTTAGGAATTCATTTTATTCTAGTATTGCAATGATTTATACCCTTCTGTCCTACTTATATAAATACACTAACTGTTGTATAGACTGACTATCCCATTGAATTTACTTTTGAGTTATTGCATCTACTCTATTTGTATAAGTACTCTATAGCAATTTACTGTTTTTGTCTATGGAATATTTCTCTAGTGATGAGGAAAGCTCTACAACCACTGTAATAACACAAAACCCAAAAAAGAACCGGAATATATCACTGTGCCTTTCTGTTTGTATGATTTCATTCAAAATAAAGCAGACTCTTTCTTTATTATCCAAGAAGCCATTTGTCCCTGTATCCCATCCATCCGCCTTTAATATTTATATGAAAGAAAAAGGGAAGGAGGAATATAAGGAAGACAGTGCAAGAGATGGTCTAAATAGACTCAAACTCTTTCTTTCCCTCTGTGAATTAGGGATTGAATGCAGAATTGTGTATAAAATACGGCTGAAAGACTTGGCATATGAAGAGTCTTTAGATATAGTCTCAGGGAGAGCTATTATATCAGACAGCCAAGACTTTAAATCGGAGCACATTAATATTGCAATTACCTGTTATGGCACTGTTATTAACAATACTATATATGGAAATAAAAAAATAACTGCCGCATTAGAATCCGAAATTCCCAGAAATACAAATGAGAACTGCCCGTTTTATAAACATGACTGTAGCCACTTGAACATCCTCCCTACAAATAGAAAAGAGGGAAATATTCATCCGCTATACAGAATAGAACCAGACAATAAAAGGTACTTAATATATCCTAAGACTGTGGGTGCAGTGGGAATGATAAAGGACACAACAAAAAGACACATTAAAAAATCAAAGATCCAAAAAGACAATTCACTAAAAATATATCCAATATCCCACTTACACCGGCTTCTGACGTATAATGACATCCTACAAAGGAATAAAATCCTAATAGAAGATGCCATCCCATTCAGAATAATAAAGAAAGATAGTCCAAAGATGCCCCGAAAATACAATAAGCACATAAACCCAAGCAAAAAACAAGTTTTGCCACTGAATATTCAATCTACTCCATCTCCAAGGACTGAAATACTCATAAATCCAATACCTGGTGCTGAATTGGATAGTACTATACATACTGAATTGGATAATGAATCTGAGCGTATTATAAAAATATATGCACCATGGCAAATAACTAATAAAAAGGAATGTACTACTAATCAATCTCAATATCCTAGTGTGATTATACCCAATATGATTCCTAAAGATATGGTATATTTACTGGAAACAGAGTTAATTAAGCATAATATACCTGGTATAGGACATATCCCTTATATAGGAAACATTTATAATTACCACGATAAAAGAGTAGAAAAGGTTTATAGTGGATTGTTATTAACTAAGACAGAGTATACTTCCCATAAAACAGATATTGTAAAACATATTCACAGCAGTCTAATACGTGCTATTACAATACAGAAAAGTAAACTAATCCTAAATATTCAGGTTATATCCAGTTTGTGTATGCAATATTTAGACGTACTAAGTAATATTAGCTAAACCCAATGATTAAAAGACTCTCCTGCTGTATATGTGAATATACTATACTTCACCCTTTACTCTACAAATAATATTTCATTAATAGATATGTCTCTAGTCACATACCTAGAGTGTCCTTCTTTGTATATATACCTTGGTACAGAATATGTCTTTTCCACGCTATTTATATTCTCTACAGCATTATCTTCTGGTATGAATGACTTATTTACTATTTTCTCAGATGTATTACTGTTCATATTAGAAATAAAACAAAAAAATATTATTTCTGTGTAATTATGGAGTATATCTGTATTCTCTGTCTATAATACATATACTAAATACACTTATCTGCTATTAATACGTTCAATTACCCTCAGTATATTCCATGATTATTTTCGGGTTATATTTGTTGGCTTTTGATAGTGAGATCCAGAATGTCAAGCAAAATCATGATATTTGGAGTGCCAAATATGTGTGTGACAGCTTTTGTGATTGAAAGCCGTCTATATAAGGACGGTGTGGATTTAATAAATAACAAGTTTTCGTATATCTAAGCCTTCAAGGAAAAAACAGCTATATTCCTTGTTTATATGATTCTTTATGTTTATATATGCTATTTCTTGTAATGCACTTTTCTGGGTGTCTGATTTTTATGTATATACAGTGTGTTTCAAGTTATAATCTTAAATTATTCTGATATTCGGACTATAATTATATGATTATGTTGTGTATATTTGGTTTTTCGAGTGTTTTCGGTTATTTTGGGCTTCTTCTATTTTTCTTACTATAATATTTCTTGGTATTGCATTATGTGTATATATTTATAATTATTTGTTGGTAAATTTAAAATGTCTGAAGAAGAGTCACATGATACATCTCATAGCACATCGGTGGAAAGTGCATGCGAGGAAAAGGATGTGGAACAGCAGGAAGTGGACATAAAAAAGACCAAAGTTTATCACACATTCTCTATGGGCAGTAAGTTTTTCTATATGCTGAAAGAAGTGCCGATTTTGTACTTTATTGGGATTATCATATCGTTTATTTTATACGCCGTGCAATATGTAATTGTATGTGTGAATATAGACGTAGACATAACGATATACTCAAACGAAAAACCATTCCCTTGGGCACTATCTAAGATACTCACTTTAATCAGTGCGTGCATTCTGTCTTGTACCGCGATTGATGGGCTGTTATACTATACAAGCGGGTACTTAATGGAGAAAGTTAACTTTTTAACGCTTACTATGTTTTATACCAACAGTGTATCTACTCTTCTCTCTTGGATTATACTTATCTTTGGGAGTGTTGTTTATCTTAAACTAGCAGAGGTTGACTATAAGATAAAGCCAAGCCATTCTGTTGGTGTAGAGCAATCTTTAACCACATGCTGTTTAGCACTGCTTATTGTACTGTGCAAGAACATATTTGTTAAAAAAGTACGGATGGGGTTCAACCACACAAACTATCTCATGCGTATACAGCGGTGTTTGATTGAGCACCAGTTTATCAAGACATTAGAACTAGTCAAGAAAAGAATAAAAGGGCAGAAGAGCGGTAAAAAGAAAAGATACTGGATGTTTTCTCAGCCTGCCCAGGAGAGAGAAGGTAGTGAAGAAGACACACCAAATCCAACAGAGGAACATAATGAAGAGATGGATGCAGAGAAATACTTCAAGCCAAAGTCTTTTAGTATGGCTCTTTCAGACACGTCAACAGACATCAAGCAGAAAATGATTATTTTCAAAGAGTTTGAACGAGTTATGAACACAAAGATATACCACATGGAAAAGGGCCTTGGTGCATCAACTGATATAAAGCAGGAGTCGCTTAAACGTGCAGAAAAGATTGCCATGTGGCTTGGTGCTGACAAAAAGAAATTTCAAGTGCGGCACTTAAAGAAATATGTTGACTCTGATTATGTTGATAATATTACATCTGTGCTGGGACTGTCAGAGACACAGATACTCACAGAGAAAGATATCGCTGCACTTATTGAAAGAACGAAAAGAGAAAAGTATGCAGTTAAAAAGAGTCTTGTACAGATGGATAAAGCCCTCCTTCGAGTAAGTCACTTTATAACCGGTGCCATCTTTTTATTTGCAGTGATTGCCCTTTTAGCACCAACTATTTCTGCAAATGATGTAGTAAAGGGAGTGTTTGGCACCTTCTTTGGTCTTGGATTTATTTTCCAGACAAGTGTTAAGAATGCAATTGACAGCGTTATTTTCTTATTTATTGTACATCCATACGATATTGGTGACAGAATCCGGGTGGAAATAGATAAAGAAGAGCTGAACATGGTCGTATCAGAGCTAAACGTATTTTCTACAGTATTCTATGAATGGAACGGATCTAAGATATACATACCAAACCACGTTCTACTGCAAAAGGCAATTGTAAATGTAAGAAGAAGCGGGCTAATGGCAGAGAACATTGTATTCCAAGTGGCATTTGACACTGTCCCAGAAAAGATTCAGCACTTAAAATCAGAAGTAACAAAATTCATCAAAAAGCATCCAAAGGACTTTTCACCGTACTTTATGTTCAACTACCATGCGATTGAAGATGCGAACAAGTTGCACCTTAAAGTATATCTACAGCATGCAACCAACTGGCAGAATTATGAAGCATATTTGCAAAGAAAGGCAAAGTTTATAATGTTCTTAAAGCAGGCAATTAATGAACAGAAGATAGAATACTTCTTGCCAATACAACGACTAGAAATAGTGGCAAGTAAAACTGTCCATTAGTATAATAAAAGCATAACCCGAATTTTTTGGTAATCCATTACTAATAATACTGTTACATGTTATAACTTGAAAGTTTTCCTTCAGTTTTTTTAATTTCGGATTATTTATTTTTAAGTTATTTTAATTTTATTACCATATAAATAATAAATCTCTTCAGATTATGAAGAGTTTACAACTAAAATTAAAAATAAATAATTCGAAATACAATGAAAGTACATATACTACACAAGTCAGTGCACAAAGCAGTGCGTATACTACACATATACTACACAAGTCAGTGCATAACCCAGTGCATATCCAATACATATACTACACAAGTCAGTGCATAACCCAGTGCATATCCAATACATATACTACACATGTCAGTGCATAACCCAGTGCATATCCAATACATATACTACACATGTCAGTGCATAACCCAGTGCATATACAGTATATAAATATAAATTTATTATGTGATACAATTGGATATAATTTATCCAGAAATTCTAAATCTGTTCAATATCCACTCTGGCAAGTGTTATAGAAAAGCACTGTAAAAAAATAAATAAGAAGTAAATCAGATTTGACCAAACATAAAAAGGTACCAAAAGATACCCAGAAATAACAAGAACGCACATAATGATGGGCCAAACTAAAAAAGAAGGAACCACTTTCCATGCACGCATTATTATATTTGGTGTTCTATCACAGTAGTGCATGAGTGCATACACTTTACGCTGTATAAGGAGAGGATCACTCATTTGGATTCTCCATGCAATATCAGAAGATGATTCAAATGTGCTTTCTTTATACTGTGGGACTTGTTCTATTACAAATGCTGTATAATTATCCCTTTCACAGGCATAATCAATAACTATCTCATGTGCAACAATCCGAGTATCTCTTATGTTCATGTTAAATGATTTTGGATCTGTGAATATTTGTGTACATGGGAGGTCTCTCTCTATAAATATTTCATTTTTCACAAGAGTTGACCAGTATCTCTGTAAGGCAATTAGTGCCAGTATTACTCTTTGTGCACTTGGTGTGTGCACGTTAGTTATTTTCTGACTATCTCTGATTATTGCACTTGCATATTCAAATAAATACAGTCCCTTCATCTCTGTGTATAACTCAGAAAGTGTCCATGTATGCGTATGCTTCATTCTGTGATGTCCCAGTTTTGCGTGCAGATTGTTTATTTTTTCAAGTATCTCTGGCGCAGTACAGAAATATGCCTCTCTGGCATACATACACTCAGACAAAACACTGTCAAAAAAAACATCTTTGTTATATTCTTGCTTTAACCTGTCAAATATTTTGTATACGTATATGTACGATGAAATATACTTTTCAATCAGAAGAATAGATGACTCTACTAAATTATTATACCGTGTACTGATTGTATACTGTATTGTATCTATATATGATGCACTGTGTACAATAGTTCTGATGTGAGTGCATATCCATCTGACCATTTTATCATCCCCATAGGAAATGACCTTTTTCTGTAGAAGAGCCTCATACGGCAGAATATTTAATATTTCATCTAATAGGGCATGGTATAAAAAAGACCATTCTTTGTTAAATTCCATTCCTCTTGAAATGGCGCACAGATCGTGGTATGTGGGTGAGTCCTGCAAGTGGGCACAGACTATTTTGTGAATGACTGGCATTGCATCAAAGAGTGCACATTCCATCAGATGTAAATTATGATTCTAATTATTACATCGTACAGGCGCATGCAGAGAGGTACTGCCTTTTCAAAGTAAACAGGGCACAGTGGCAGAATGGTTATTGCGACGGCTTGCTAAGCCGTGACCCTTTGGGTTCGTGGGTTCGATTCCCATCTGTGTCGTTTTTTGTTTATTATTTATATTTTCTTTTATTTTACCCCTGCATGCCATACAAAATGTATAAATGGGCAGAGAGCAGGCTGCGTCCTATAAGCAGTGTGCTGGCACCGGAAATATCTGGCAAATTTGCCAATAGTAATATTTATGTGTACAGCCAGTGTGAGAGAGAAAAAATCAGAAGAACCGATAAGAAATCAGATTATAAAATAAAAATAATCCTTGACAAGATCACTGGACGTAAAGGGTGGCACTCTCGGCAGAAGTATACACTCTGTAATAAAGCACTGAGCACGCAGGTATGGATGGATCTGTATCAGGAAATAGGCGAGAGTGGTATTCTTAGTCTGTACTCTAACTATACAGTAATGGAGAGGTATGGAAATAGGTATATTCTGCACTTAGCAAATGATAAACTGCCTGTGCATGAAAATGACAAGAACAAGAGTAATCTAGTTAAAGTATTCGAGTTTAAGGAGATGAAAGAGATACATGCAGCAGATGTATACAGTAAAGATGTAATTGAGGTGTACACAGATGAAATAAGTACTTTATTCTTTCGTATACAGAATGACACTGTAAGTATAAAGGGAATAATTGGGTCGTTCATAAAAGCAAAGAAAGATAAAATAAAAGAGAAGCACGGTGAGTGTGCACAAAAAAAGCCAACAATATTAGACTGTGAAATACAAAGTGAAACCGTGGTAAGGCTGCTTTACACAATAGTAAAGAATCTCTTTTCGGGGATACTTCCAGAGAATGGACTAATGCGAGTAAAGCAGAAGATTCGGTGGATGGCAATGAACAAAAAGTATAAAATCAAGACATCTGACTTACTCTCAGGACTAAAAACCAATTTCAAGCCTAAAATAAGAAATAACAATCCACTTCTGTACAAGAAGTACATGACAGAGACGTATTCCTTTATATTTCTAGTGTGTATTCCAAATATAATGGCGTGTTATATAAAGGATACAACAAACCAAACCAGCACGCCAAGGTTCTTTTTCCGCCAGCAATTTAAAAGACTGGAAAACCAGTTTAAAGACAACTACATAAAGGAATACTTTCAGATAATAAAAACCCCAGAAATACCCGAAACCCGCCTAGAAAGTAGGTTTTTAAGAAAAAGAAAGTGTTCTGAAAGCGGAGAAAGAGAAATTTCTGATGTATCATTTCTCCAAGAGAGTTTTTCAGAGTACGCGGCAGTAGATGAGACAGTGCTTGGTTCTGATATTTCAATGGAAAATAGTATGCTCAACTCTGAGGATACATCTACCTGTACAGACATAAAAGGCAAAGGAAACAGTGCAGCTGAAAAAATATCAGAGAATGGTATAACCCGAAATAAGAAAGTATCTGGGAAAAAACCTGTACAAAACCGCACTCGAATATATAGTGCATGCCAGAAGATAAGCCCGCTATATGATGAAGTGTTTAGAATGAATCTTATCCCCAAATCGGAGACGTTTAGGCCTGTTTTTAAAAAAGTATACAACCCAATCAAAGTATTTGCGCCTTTAAAGCACATTCACCAAGAAAGAATGGTATGCTGCATTCTTACGAGAGAGGCACAGGAGAGGACGGAGTGGGAGATTCAAAATAATCTTTTGCTAAGGAAAAGGCAGCCCAGAGTACGTACAAACAATTCAATATTTAGGGTGACAGATATATTTCCAAGAGTGCATAATTTTAGGAGCAAATTCTCTGATAACTTTGCGAATAATAAGCCACTGTACATTCTTATTCTTGATATAAAGAGCTGCTTTGATAATATTTCTACTGCTGCTTTAAATGGTCTAAACATTATACAGAAGCTGTTTGGAAGGGAAGAGTATGAGGTATATACTGTGGTAGAAACATCAATCAATGGGGTGAAGATTGTGCGGAGGAAGGCACTTTATCCAAACGAAAATATACAAAGTGAATGGGAAGGCCGGCAGAACAGAGACCCGCACGTTAACCACAAAACAGTATTTAAAGCATACCACAACAAAGAGCTGTTCACACAAATGGAGATAAAAGAGACTTTAGAAAAAGAGATAAATCATAGTATACTACAGCACAGAGATGCATACTATAAAAGAGTCATAGGAATTAACCAAGGAAGCCGATATGCATCACATATGTGCGGATATTTTCTTGCCGCACTTGATCCAATAATAACTGAAGGCCTAGTTAACACATGCATGGCCCGGTATGTTGATGATTCGGTGTTCTTTTCATGGAGCCTGGATGAATTGTCTTTGGTTGTTGAGCGAATTAAGGGGCTGGAAACCGCCGGTGTTATTCTTAATATGGCTAAGTGTAAGTTATACACGTCAATAGAGGATGCTCCCAGTGTGTCCATTGCAGGGATTATTCAGTCAGAGTACAAGCCCACCTTTAAGTGGTGTGGGATGCACTTTGACACAAAAACACTCTTTCCAATAATGGTATGGGAGCATAAGCCAGCACCTGCGCTAATATATAGCAAAAAAGAGATTTTTCTGAAAATACTGCTAAACCTAAACATTAAGCACACAGCAGAGCTATTCCACTCAGAAAACCCAAATAAGTACAGAAATGCCATGCTCTTCATTAAGTGCCAGATACAAAAACTACTGTGTATCCTAGAGAATAAAGAGTGCACTCATATGCGAGAGGCATGCTTAGAATACTTACTTGACCGATTAAAACACACCTTTATAGGGAAAGGATGCCTTTCTCAGCAGAGAGTAAAAGAGTGCTTCTATCGAACACTTGATATATGCCAAGAAGAGATGAAAAAGTCGGCTGCATAATCAGAAAATTCTCCAAAAATGTTTTTGAGTGCATCCCTCGCTTTAAACAGACTTATTTGAATAAAGAATAGAAAACACTTAAAATTATGCTTCATTATCTGGGAGTAAATTGAGATTTATCCGCCTGCTCTTAATTAAATCACAGAATCCAGAAATAGCCCTAAATTGAATATTATGTGATATAGTCCAAAATAATCAGAAATATAAATGTGTAATTATAATAAGAAAGTAATTAATAGGAAAATCAGTTACTTGCAGATCAATTAATACAAAAATCTGTTATGTATAATTAATATTGCAGGAGTAAAGAGATCTTGGCCATATAAGCATAAAGGCATCTTGAGATATTTTCATATTATTTTAAGTAGCTCTGGGTATAAGTATAAGTATATATTCTTATTTCCGCTGGTGGCGGAATATTCTGCCAATTTTCTGTTATTTAGTCTATTTTATAGAAATTTTGCGTTCTGCACAGACAGACAAATAAGCAACAAAAATTTGCAGTAAAATAAATGCCAACAGTTCTTGTTATAGACGCATCCGCAGTAATTTCATCAGAACTGTCTGAGATGGAGTACAGTAAGGGGTACATTCCACAAGCAGTGGCAGATGAACTGAAGTGTCAGAAAAGCAATGAACTCTTCTCTCTGCACACATGCAAAATAGAAATACGCAATCCAAGTGAGAAATACATTAAAATAGCACAAGAAAAAGCAGCTGAGCTAGGATATTCCTGCCTCAGTGATCAAGACATTCAATTAGCAGCACTTTCTTTAGAGCTATCAGCTGAGTATAATTCTTTATTCTCTTCATGGATGAATACAGAAAACATCGACAGCACAACAGAAGTAGTCACAGTAACCCGCGATATGACTTTAAAGAATCTTATAGCAACGCTAGGTCTGCAATTACACGATACTTTCCTACAAAGTGACAAAAAGTATTTGCAGAGGTGCTATACATGCGCTCGCATATACAAAACAGAAGAAAAGATTGACTTCTGTAAGTCGTGTGGATATGCAACAATAAGCAAAGTGAGCTACACCGAGAAAAATGGAAAAATAGAACTATTCTTAAGTAAGAACTATACACACAAAGAAAGAAAGATTTACACCCGGCGAGGAAAGGAAATAAAGAGTGAAGACCAGAAGGCGTACACTGATTACAGAATGCATCAGAGAAAAGATAACAGAATGGATAAAAAGCAGATAGAGAATAGTATGGATCCGAATGGATGGAACTGTCTATAATAAATAATTGTTTTCTTTGTTTGTAATGTATTTCAGGAATAGGAGCTACATGGATAAAATTGGGCTGTCCATGTCCTGCACTTTAATTACGTACATTGGGATTGTGTCTGGCCCAACTCTTCTGTGGGATGAAATCAGGGACAGAACCATTACGCGCGTTTGCCTAATGGCACAAAATGCATTTGTGTTCTTGGATGTACTGCTGCTTATTTACGTAAGCAATACTCGCGGATATGTCAAGGAAGAAGAGTACGTGGTTGGCGGAAAGTTTTGCTATGAGTGCAGGAAGGCAAAGCCCGAAAGAGCGCACCACTGCTCTCGCTGTGGTAGGTGCATTAACAAAATGGACCATCACTGCCCATGGGTTGGATCGTGTGTTAATGCAAATAATCTGGGCAACTTTATTAAGCTAATTACCAGTGTACTGATTAGTTCTGTTCTGTCACTATTTCTGCATGGATACGTATTTCACAAAAAGGTTGGAATGGTGTACGACACTCTTTCCATTAACATTCCCATATGCTTAATTGGGCTAAACATAATAATACTGTCCTTTATCTCTGTGGCAGTGTTTTTAATACTTTTACGCCAAATACGCCTCCTTATAAAAAATATAACGTACTTAGAGTCTCTACAGATCCGCATGCTAAACCGCCTAGGAATATCCGTGCCAGCAAATCCGTATGATCGCGGTGCAATGGGAAATATTAAAGCATCTTTAGGATCACCAAAAGACTTTCTGCTGTGCAGAGAGCCCGAGAACGCCTTTGCATTTGGATATAAAGAGTACTGGCCGCCTCTAAGAATGACTAAATCCATAAGCAATACCCAGGCAACACTTAATCCATCTGTTTGATAAATATACCAGAAGTAATAAGTGAATATATAAAATCCGCAGCCTGCTAATATATATTCAGGTAGTGCTTTATACCCTGAACCCCAAAATAACCTGCAAAAAACAGATTTCTGTTATATTTCAGGGATTGTGCCATGTGCTGTTCAGATTACTGTAGATAACTTCCTGCTCATATCGTATTTAGTACTAAAGCACCATAAATATACAGCAGCGCCTAACCAAGATTTAAATAGATAATGGTACTGCCGCAAGCATGGATTGTTAGATATATACAATTACATATAGCCAGAAATACCTAAAAATGTAAATATCCTTATGTTACATAGCCATGTACCATGTAATCGTTTGATTTATGATTAATTCATATTATAACAGTTACTTGGGCTGTTTGGGTTGTTTCTATCGGGTTGTATTTAGACCTTTTTATTACTCTATTAATACGTGAGTATATTCTAAGACAAACAGGCTTTACTCTGCTATTTACTTAAATAAAGATGCTTTTAGACTAATTACACAGGAAAAGAATTAATATCCTTGAATACTCTTAAATATTTCTATTATGTACAAGGAATAAGTACTTTATAACGGATTATACTGACACTGCCTGCGCATTCATGCTTATTGCAAATATAATAAAAAGCACAGCATATTAATATTATTTATATCTTATTCTATTATACTTTAAACTAAAATATAACAATTCGAAATAGTTCTAAATTCTTTCTTATCCTTACTTTCTTTATCTAATTTTTTATTAGTTAACTATGATGATAAGGAGCGAATGCAGTAGAAACAAACTAATATAAGCAAGAAAATAAAAAATATGAAAATTAAAAAAAGAAGAATTTCACTCTCATACAGTGTAATAGGACAAGTGCTAATGATATTGCTCTTTCTTGGTTATATATGGTCGGATGTGTATTTGGATATGATTGTTTCTCGTATAGATAAATATAAAATAACTTATTCCAACAGAGGAGTTCTAATTACTCTTCCATATGAGACTATACTTTTGAGTGACTATTACGCTTTGAATATAGCCAGTTGGGGGGATAAATTTTTCAAATACATGGATAGGCACCATAAGAATCCACCCACATAGCACAGGTATAATGATAAGAGTTATTTATCTGACTATTCTAAGGCCACTTTGTCTGTGTTTGAGTCTATGGAATGCGTTGCATTTAATACCGCTGCTTATTCATTCTATACCTTTATTTGCTCTGGTGTATCAAAAAAGAGTAATGATGGGGATTATAAAATATTGGCTTCTTTGTTCCTTCTGTCTGAGGGACTAAACCTGCCTCTTAAATTTGCAGCCACTAAAAACTGCGCGTTAATTATTCTTAAGAGTAGAGATGGTGAAAACATTCTATTTAAACACATTAAAATCTTACAGAATATAATCCAAAGTGGCGTGTCCTTCCTGGGCTGGAAAAAGAATCAGAAGGTCGGTGATGTAATTAATTTCTTTATGAAATATTGTGAAAATCCTGTAATAGAGCCCCCTTCACTTCGGAAACCAAATCTGTACAGAGAACGCATTACAGAATTGCTCAACTGTTCTCCTTCTTATTTGATACAAATAATCCTAATTTTATACTTAAAAAAGAAAAAATATTCCTATAAATTCAATATTGTGGTGTACAATTTTTTTTTGGTTAAAACAGTTTATTGATATAAGTTTCGAGGGGCCTCAGACGGATGGTCGTCGAGCGCCACACACTCTCTTCCTATTCTCTCTAAGCCGTTCCTCGTGCCCCTAGGGCGGTCGTAACAAGTTAATGTCTTTGTGGTGTACAATATATTAAGTGAATATTTACCACCATCAAATAAAGAAATAAAAGATATGCCCGAAATAGAGAAAGTAGCAGAAAAAATATTTATGCGGTGGTTTATAGTAAAAGATGTAGAAAAAGATGACTTTTTTTCATGTTTTAATATCTGTCGTGGCATTTTACCAGCATTTAATATAGCAGAAGAAATTATTTGTAACTTACATCCATTGGATAGTGATAGCATATCATCTTTCATGTACCAGATTAACCTATCAAAAAGAATGTTTATGGCTTCACTGAATCCTAGCTATTCGGGTTATATTATTAATAACAATTATATGAATCTGCTACAGCTCAAAGCACAATCTACTATAGAATATGTGCCTTCACTAGAGAATACAAATATATAAATAATACACATTTATACATAACTTATGTTTACTTTATTGATTTTAATTCACAGTGCATTTCAAGAGTATTATTTCTTTACCTTCTCTGCTACTTCTTTACTCTCCTTTTATTCTATTTAATACTATTTTTATCCCTTACAATTTATTTTAAAAATAAATTTATTCAAATATTATTAGTAATAACTTTCCTGATGACACTTTTTATATTTGCTGGAAAGAATAAAAATGAAATAATTTTAAATTCTATAAAAATAAAGAACCAATGTTTATTACTGGGAAATCCTATTGAGAGCAGCTAACAAAATAGATTTGAGGTTATCTTTCACAGTTTCAACGTTATCCATGAAGGGATAGTACTGTTTGCACTCCTCAGTGTAAATATATTTGAATATACCAGTTGATTTTATCCACTTATCGTGAATTGGAATACTTATTATAAGATTTCCAATGAACAGCACCATAGGATTGTTTTTATATTGGATTTTTGTTTCTGAATGGATTAAAAACATTTCAATAATTTTAGATTTATAATATAGATTCTCTAGATCACCACAAAGAAGCAGTCTGTTTGGACAAGTGTATTTGCTATCTAGTGCAGACTTTATTCTATTAATGAAAGTATATTGTCTATAACTTAAAAAGGAGAGTTTATCTAGATAAATATCTGCATAGCACTTCATTACATACTCAATATGGCTTGCTGGATTGGTATATTTTTTTTGTAGTGTTTGTAATTCTTCTTTGGCACTACTATTATAATTATTTAACTTATTTTTAACATCTTTGCATTTAAACGCATTCGAGTCTCCCTTAAACTTGTTAGTAACCCTTATCTTAACAACAGGTGAATTTGAAGTCCGGGTTTTTTTATAAATAGCACAAAAAGAAAGGACATTAGTTGTGCTTATTTGATTTGAATCATTTTTTAAAGAATAATTAAATTTACAAGCAGCACTTACATTTTTGTTTCTTGAAAGAGATTTAAATGCATCTTCTAAGTGCATTCCTACCACTTTCTTAATTTCTTTATAATTTATGTACTTGTTATTCAGGTCAATCGCTTCATTTATCTTTTCTGTGCTTCCCGCTACTTCTCTTATGACATATAGAATATTAAATAAAGTGAATGCAATGCGGTTTCTACTATTTAATTCGTACGAAATATCCTTGCAGGGCAAGTCTTCTACAACTCTACTCCACTCTTTATACATGGTGTAATCCATAGGCAATAGTGGAGCACTGTACTTACTAAAGAATCTCTTTAACTCTTTAGATGGGTTGGGCAGATGGCTTATATCATATTTCATAGTTTCAGGATCAAAAGCAAAGAAGGAGAATATGCATAGAAGAGCAAGTTCAGTCTCGTTGCTATATGTTAATTGGTTTCGGGGTAAACAACATTTGCTAATTTTTGTAGTGGTTTTATAAAACTCATTAGATTTTCTATTATACTCTGGTATATCACAATTCGCAAGCATATTAATATTATCTATATATGGCGTTGGGAGCATCTCTTTCTTCAATTCGCATTCAACAGACCTTAAATCCTTAATATATTGTGTGTTTTTAAGTTTTTCATTCAATTCTGCATCAATAAACAAACTATCAAATATTTTTTTTATACTCTTTTCTGTCTCTATGCATGGATTTTCATTGGTTTTACTGGATAGATGCACAGACAGTAACTCATACACTGCTCTTACAAACTTTTCGTACATCTCCACAGTGTCTATATACTCAAAGAAGTACGACTGAATAAGAAATTTCGGGTTATTCAAAAAGTTGCCTGTTAAGAACTCTTCGTAAGTATTAGGCATCGAGAACTCTTCTGGCACCTCTAGGCGAGAAGAGGGGACTGCAGTGGTGAGTCGCTTGAAAAAATTAACTATATATTCTGTTTTATGCTGGTATACCAGATTTGCAACTATTCCCTCTTTCGGGCTTTCTTTTATACTCATACTTAAATTAACATGAAACACATTCTCTGTTCCTTTCTTCTTTAGAACAAGTGTTTTATTTCCCGAATTTGCTGTTTGCTCTTTTATTTCAATAGGAATATTTACTCCCTCAGCAAGAAGAAATAGAGAGGCAAGGATATATAAACTATGTGAGCTTTCTTTGTAGTTTCTCAGAAAAAAAGCCAATGAGTCAGATGTCTCTGATTCAATAGATAAATAGCTATCTTCTGAGGGAAACATATTAATTAAGAGCAGTGCAACTTCTTTTATGTAATCATCAATGTATTCGTGTATAGCGCCCCCATATGATCCATCTTCGATTTTATTGCTTTTTATACCATGGAAGTATCCCCGTAAATTCTTCAAATACTCGCTTTTTTCTATTAAATATTGATAAACTGGAGCAAGACCGCCATGTGGATGTATTACTAAGTTGTCTTCTAATTTTATTTTCTGTACTTCTTGTGCCTGTTCAAATGATAAACGCGCGCACACGCTACATATATATATTGTTAATAATACTATAATCCTGTTCTTACACAATACCCCTTTTGTTATAATTCGGTTGTTGCTATTTAGAGCGTATCTCTCCTTCATGTTTTAATATAATTTAAATTAATTCTTTTTATATTCTATAAATAGAATTATTATCAAAATTTTTATTCTTTAAATAATTTGAATTCTTCTTGAACAATAAATGAATAAGATTTGGGTTATATTTATAAAGTAATTATTACACAGAGAACAGTTAGTTTTTGTATTTTCTAGTTAAGTACTAGTCCATTTTATTTAATTATACACTTTAATTAAGACAAAATTAGCAAAAAAGTTTAATTTCGACTAAAGCAGACAAACTACTATTTAATTGCAGTTATTATAATATATATAAGAGATTTGTGGGGCTATATATAATATGAAGTTGGTATGTTGCTTTCTATAATTTGGCAACTTATAAAGTAATATGTACTATATTTATAGTATACATGATGTGTGTTGATGTTATAGCAGTACGTGTGTCTATTGGGGTAAGCAACGGGTGCTTATATTCTTCAAAGGATTCTCTTTTTTATAAAAATTCTTAAGTTTATAGAGGAGCATGTGTGACTGGTTCGAATAAAAACAATTTAATGGTTTCCTATTCTTAACTGGTTCTAGTCTCTTTATTTAGATGCTTTATTTGCTCTATTTACTACTCAGATGCAATATTCAGTGGAGTATAACCGATATAACCCGAAATTCATATGAACTGAATATCTTTCTATTATATAACATGTTATAAAAGTTCGCTCTTTTAAATTTTGAGATATAACATGTTGTTCTACGTTTGTCACTAGAATATTCTATTGTTATGTGGCTTTGCTTTCGACTTACTCTTTATTCATTCTCTTCTTATTATATTTGCTGCTACTTATTCATTACACTTTATTTTTAAATATAATAAGTTGACTATTTAAAATAAATCTATTCAAATAATAATATTATTATACGCTTTATATTTAAAAGTAGAAATATTTTTATTCTTTACATTTTACTTTTAAATATAAAGCATATATTACGGAATATAAATATGAGAAGAAACAATCATAGATATATGAAGAGAATAAAATTAATTAAACTTGTTGATTTATTTTGAGTTTTATCACGAATATTTAAATTCCTGGTTAAAAATTCACTAATTTCTCTATTTAAGCGGGAAAATTTAAACCAAATCATAAAACACCTTCTCTGATAACATAGAGAGTAAATAAAATAAACTAACATAAAATATTCTTAGACAAACTGTCACTTTCTGAAATGAGTTTTAGGGACAGAACTAAAATAAATCTAAAGATACATAAGAAAGTTTTAATTATAATAGAAACCATTAGGTATGCTCTATTTTCTTTGTGAACATAACATGTATTTTATATTTGTGCTTCATTTCAGGGTCTATTTTTTTCAGTCCAAGATCTTTGTATAGCCTGCTATCTACACGAATATTAATAGGAGAAATATGTTCACCCACAGTTTTGTTTCTTTCTACTATGTCTATATCATAAAATACTTCCTTTGCGCCTGAGTTTGGCAAGCATTCTGGTGAGGGCATTGGGTTTAGATACATTGGTGTCTGTTTAATTTTATCCAAGTTTTCTACTTTAAACTGTTCTGTATACGAATAGAAAATGCTACTCATAGTTAATTCTTGAAGCGCTTGCATTTTTTTAAGAAATTCAAAGTCTGGAGAACCACTGAAAACTATATTTTTGAGTGTAAAGGAAGTTATTCTATTAAGGGGCTCTATACTATTTAATCCAGCAGTATCCATAAAATCAATATACGACACTTCTATTTCTTTAAGCCCGTGGCAAGAGTTTATTCCACATAGAAGGAAATTCACATGCTCTCTTTTAATGCCACATATTTTTAGTTTTTCTAGTTTTTCGGGTAGGCATAGATCCATCTTAATATCAGAGCTTAAAATTGTTACTACCACAAAAGAAAGATCTGTTATGCCATAAAATGCACTTAGTAGATTCAGTTCATTTATGCAAATGGATGATTTAGATATTACAAGCTTTCTTGCAGAAAAGAACACATCATATTCGTCAACTATATGTTCATTCGGCTCAAAGTTAAATCCATCAAGTGACAATGCAATATTGCATATCTTTTGTGGAGTGCAATATGCAAGCAGTGTGTGTTTAATAACAGGAATAGCTAGCATAGGAGTAGGATATAAAAGAGAAATATCCACAATAGGATTGATTTGTTCAGAGTATATGTCTATGAATTCCTCGTTGTTATATGCATGTATTACTTCCCATAGCGTTTTATTTTCTATAGTTCCAGAGTGTTTTGTACTTTTAATTACAACTGTGTTTTTATACTTAAGAGTTTCATTAATGATCATAACATTGCTATAGTTAGTTATTTTAGGCAGGAGTTTATTCTTTCTAGAAATGTTTTTTAGCGCTTCTAATAGTTCTGTTTCTTCCGCAGTGAATGGTATAGCAGGCGATATATCATATGATTTGTTGGGTTTCGAAACTTTACCCATTTTATTTTCTATAACTGGAATTTCTTCTACTTCTTTATTTGCATTTTCTGGTATGTTCTGTGTGGGGTTACATGGCATGCGGATGGGCACAGCCTTAGGTGTTTCTAGCACAGGAAATCCTAGCTCCATATTATAAACGGAAGGAGATAAATTTTCTGTTTTAGCCAAATTTCTTTCAGTCTCTGCATGGGTATTTTTAATTGAATTATCTTGGCCTATTTTTAGAGGATTATCATTATTTTGTAATTGTAGATCCGCTGACTCATATCCACAGCTGGGTATAGAATCTGTGCTGCTTGACATGATGGGCTTGTCTGATTTTTCGCCAGAGTCAGGGTTTGTGGCAATTAAGATGCCTATTCCTATTAAACAACTAATCACAAATAGAGATACCATGGTTCTTATATGCATTCTCTGCATTAAAAATAAAATTACCTTAGATATTTATAGTAATATAAGAAGCTTTAATTTGTTATAGAACACATACAATTTGATATTAAAGCATATATAAGTATAAATATACAAATGATCCTAGAATTCTACTAGATACATCAGCAGAAGAATAGCATAAGACAGTACGATAGCTGTAATAAAGAGAACATTATTATATCGGCTATATCCACCTAGGACTATACATTAAGGCCGGTGCACTATTTTTAATAGAGCATGCCAATAACAAAATAGTAAATATGCGGAGTTTTATTAATAAAGTAACTGTTTTTAACAAATTAAACCAAACTAAAGTTTTATTAGACTAACTATTAATATATAGCTTTATTGATAACAGAAGTAATTATTAGTGGCCTGAATATCCAAAGCTAAATTTAATAAGCAATAAACTTACTTTTGGCATGAAATATTCAGTTCTAAAAGAGTCTCCTGACAAATAAATTGCTTTACTGTTTTCATTTATAGCATATTAACTAGATTTAAAAGTATTAGATACGAATTCTATATACTTATTGATAGCTAGCAAGAAAAAATCATTTTTCACGCTAGAGGCAATTTTATCCACCAATAAAGACTTAACTCTTTCTACCTTTTCAGATCTAATTGGGTTGGCTTTAGTTGATTTTATTTCTTCTATTTTTTTAAAACAGATGGAAATATCATCTATAAGTGTATTAAACTTATTTTCTTCCATACCATTTAATGTTAAAAACCAGTACTTGAATAGCGTTTCTGCGATTTTTTGCAGTTCTGTTTTATTTTCCTCTATTTCCTCGGTTGGTGGCAGATACTCTTTTAATATATTGTATACTTCTACATTAAATGCGTCTATTTCATTTTTTCCTTTTAAATAGAAACACAGAAACCGCTGGATAATATTCTTAGATAAAAACATCGAATTAGAAATTTTAGGCTCTATATTTGTATTAGTTGGCGTGATTTTGTTAAGCATAGGAGAATTACAATATTTAACAAAGAAGTCAACTATATTGCCCACTTCTTGATGTTTCTTCCACTCCTCAAATGGCATTTTTATGTCTTTTTCTGTTTTAACAACGGCAAACACTGTTGCCAACAAATTAAAACCAAGATAAAATTTTATTAAACTAATTATTAATATATAGCCCCCTGGCAACAAATTTATTTTTTTATACAGAGTCGGATTAAAACAAACATGTCAGGAAGCGTACCAATAAAGAAGCAATCAACTAATATCAATTACAAGCCTTGCCGTTCCAGGAACTTAGTGTAGTATTATATAGAGACTTCACAGTTACCACTCACAGGACACGGCAGGGGGATTTAATTAATTTATTTAAATGAATTAATATTCATAAATTGCATACATGAACTAGATTAAATCACAATCGAATCTAAAAGTTTAATAGAATAACTGAAGATATTTATACCTCCTTCAAGGGGTAATTTAATTTAGTTAAGCTATAAATACAGATCTGAAGTTAAATATAAAAGTCAAAGTTTAAGCATGCCCTTTCCTAAAAAAACAACTATAATTATAGTGGTAGCTGTTTTTTCCTGTAAGACTTAGACATACGAAAACTTGTTTTTTATTGAAATACAGTAGCGTGAGTATTACTCGCGCGATGGCACGTTATCTCTGTGCCATCATCCCATTGAGGAGTGACCGTATAAAGCCCTACTTTATAAGCCACGTTCCTCCGCCCCTAGTAGTCAAAGACATTAACTTGTTACGGCCGCCCTAGGGGCATGAGGAACGGCTTAGAGAGAATAGGAAGAGAGTGTGTGGCGCTTGACGGCCATCCGCCTGAGGCCCCTTGAATCTTATATCAATAAACTGTTTTAACCTAAAAAAACCCATTACTATAGGAATGTACAAGTTATCAGTGTATCTACATAAGCATAGCAGTATACATTAAATCAGAAGCATTAACACACCATGTCAAAACAAATTGAATTGAACATATGATATATAAAGACATAGTCTCCATGCAACCACGGAGAGCCAACAATTTAAAAGGTATTTATTTGATTCTAGTAACCAATAGTGGTTTTTGAAGCTCATATATACCTCGGATTATTTTAGTCGATTTCTTTTATATAAAAAGAAACATTCATACTAGCTAAAATAACATATAAGCAATAAAGAAAAACTAAAAGCTGTTTAAAATTTACTATTTATCTTTAATGCAAACATGACCACACGGTGCACAAATATGTTTGGTTTGGGTAGCCTGTGTAATTATCTATGTAAATATATTCTAATTTATACTAGAGCACTTCTTTTCACTTGAAATTTTCTTAGATTATTATAAAGTCTCTTGTTCTAATTCACTCTGATCTGTATCTATTTCGCTCTGGTCTATGCTCACTGCACTTTCTTCATCACATGACACATTTACCTCTAAGTCTATATTGTTACTTTCCGGAGTAGAGATGGTGGCGCTCTCTTTTTTCTTCTCTAATACTTGTTCTAGTGGCGCACATGTCTCAAAGCATAAACCAACTCTGCATATTCGACAGATTTTCTTTCCCTCGCCGCATGGTTCACAGACTATGTTGTATGCGGTGGTTATGCTTTTATTTAGACAGACAGTGCATCGCGACACATGAGTTTGTATTTTATACTTTCTGTACTTCTTTCTCCATTCGATCTTTTCATTACATCTTCTGCATAGTCCGAATATCTTTATTGCTGCTATTTCTTTGGTTAGCATTGAATTCGGGTTGTGTCTGAAAGCGTATGTATTTTGGTGCGCTTGCTTTCTCTTTGTCTTTTTCTTTTCTTTAACCTCCATGAGAAAATTTGCAAGTGCAATGAAGAAAAACCCATTCCAGTGCAAAAAACAAAAAGAGAACACATTAGAGGGGGCCATTCATGAAGTGATTAGTGGAGTAAAACCAGAACCCAAGAAGCAAACAGTTGAACCATTGATTGAAACAATAGAGCCTGTGCAGATACATGAAGCAGAGATATTAAAAACTCTTATAGATCAGAAAGCCAAAGAAAAACAAGGCCAGATGATTCTTTCTAATTACATATACAACCACATAAAGCTGCTTACAGACGAAAAAACAAAAACTGATTTTGAAACTACAATGGGGAGCCTGCTTTATTATCAAACTCCAGAGACCCACACAATTAAGAAGGAGAACAGCGCAGCGTACGCCAGAATATTTGTTAACTGGAGAGAAGGGCTTGCAGGGCTGTTTGCTGAATACAGGAAGGCAAATACTAAAAAAACTGAATTTTCATTCTATGCGTACTCTGATGGGATTGTGCACTATTTTCATACTAACAAATGCGGCGGGTGTGAGCGCCCATGCTGTGCAAATAAATCAGGATATTCTTTATTTATTATATCAGACAGCCAAAATCCAAAAGAGCTTTATGAGAGTGAGTTTATTCAGAATGGTGCTGAGTGGTATCTTTCCGGACGAGGGGTTCTATTTATTCTGGACACTCTTCTTAATACACAAGCAAGCAGCGTATGTGCGCTGCCTTTGGTTATATCAAAATATCCATTTTTAAATGGAATACTTAAGAAGCCTTCCTTTAGTATCAGATCAGAGAATAGATCAGGGAAAAAGATGTATAGAATAGCAATCAAAGGATGGACAATTACATCGGACATATTATTTGTCGATTCGTCCCATTGGTACGAAATGAAGCATGTAGAGCCAACAAAATAAGGCATAATCCCTGAATGTACGATAAAATAACCACCGCCATTATCACTACCAACCAAAAAATCAAACAATAATAAGATAACTATGATTTTTGAAGCCATTGTTTTTCATATTAATGTATTTTCATGCATAGAAAACTCAAAATTCTATACAAAAATTGAATGGTTTTGTTTTAAATAAAGTCATTTATTTTTATACTATTAACTGTATTACATATAATATATATCTGAAAACTCTCTCATAGAATATCTTACAAATAACAACAACTAATATATAGAAAGTAAACAGACAAATAAATTTATTGTCCATTTACTTACTTATAATTATTAGCTCTTAGAACACATAAAGGAGTTTATGCAAATTAATTTTTTCACAGAAAATTGTGATTCTATAAAATTTACAATTCCACTAGTGTGTTTTACATGCTAGGATAACAGAAGTCTTTTCTTTAATTTAAAAAGCTGCTATAACTATGTGGGGTTTTTAAAATATTTTCATACTGTACCAAGTATACGCTTATTCACTATTGCTAATGGTCGCGAATAGTTCATTTTAAACTTTATTTACTTCTGATACTACTATCTTCATGTAATCAGGAGAGCTTGCATTTACCAGTGCATCTGATGCCATGTATAATATAACCATGGCTACAATATCAAATATAATGTATACATAGTGCCAGTTACATATTATATTCAAAATAGAACAGTCCCAGAATATGGAGGAGGCAAAGTCCATGTATACTATACAAGATATAAGCCAAGATAAAAGAGTTACGAATACACTAATACACCGATAGGCAGTTGCTATCCCATATAGTGTCATAAGATTAGAATAATATACCTTCTTACCAATCATTATTCCTATTAATATTATTACAGCTATTTTAGCTATATTAAATAGAACACTGGATTTTTTATCTTCTGAATCAGGCCTTAAAATACTAAATATGCCACCAAATATCATACTTAATACCCCAATCCAAAAAATACTTGAAAAAAAGTTTGCTATCGTTAACAATAGAAATATCCTGTACATAAAGTTACTTTTCCCTACAAAAATATACTTTATATCATCTGTCACAGGTATACCACCCCAGAAAAAATTATATAGAATAACAGTACTAGAAAGTAGTGCTATATATGGAGTCAGGCGAATGACAAAATAAAAAAAATACCATGCTATTTCAAGAGCTTTTGTTGGCATCCATTCCAACATGGTATCTTTGTGTGTTCTATCGTCGTTTCTTTCATTATTCATCTTAATTCTTTTAAATTTTTATTTTATTTATATAACTTTCTTATCTAAGAGATTAGAATGCAATAAGTTTTAATTATTTTATTTTGTTAAATAATTTAATTTCTGTAAATTATATTATTAGTTAAATATCTTAATATAATTGATGGTTTCTATCATATGAGAAGCCATGTCTAATGTGGGAGTCTCATGCCCATGCCTGCGAAGTCTTATAGAGCTGTTATAATTGGAAATTGAAGCTATATAACCCGATATAACCTGAAATTAGAATAAGTCTTAATAATTTACAAGAGAATAACCAACTATAATAATTAGTATAGAAGTACTCAACTATTTATAGGATTATTTTCTAATTATAATTTATTTATTTAGAATGTAATTACAAATTTACTATAAGTAAACATATATTATATACATTATATAAATTGAGCTGTTTTAATTGTATTGATATTATTCTCTTTGAATGCATAAACATCAGGAATATTTGAAATTCTAAAAAAATAAAAGTCATCACTGTTTTAGTATTTGAGATACACTTTACATATTTTGTAATATAAGCATGATTTATTAAAATAGAATATTATTTATGCCTTACATATTTAATACTAAAGGTAAATACTGAAAATAAGATTATTTATCATTTACAAAATATATAATAGAAGAATTAGATACTAATAGATACACTACAATAATATTATAAATAGAAATATTTATAATCAAACAATCAGCAGGCCAATACTTCAGATTACACTAAGTAGATATAAATATTGTGGTGACACCACCACTCGGACGGGAGCCCCCGAGGGCGATCCGTCTGCGCGCCAGCTCGCGCGGTGATCCCGCCAAAGCAAAGGCCGGGATCTCTGAATCAGTATATCAACTTCCGACTATTTAACCGGAGCTCTTCCCCCAATTTAGGGGGAGACTCAGGGAAGCATCGACGGCTTAACTTCAGCGCCAGGCCTAACACAACTGCGCCCGAGACTCCGTGTCCGCGCAGGCTTGGGCCGCTCCCTAAAGACAATAAAGAGCTCTCCCCTTTCACTCTCTTCTCTCTCTTGGCTACGTAGCAGGGCGGCGGTGGCGTTACTCCTCGTGAGTACGTCAAATATGTATAAGTATAACACTATATATATTTATAACATGCACTTAATATTTATGTATAATATTATACATAAACAGCTGTATATAACAAATAATATAATTTTATAGAAATTAGAATAAGTCAAGGGTATTCAGTATTTTTGTATTCTATTATTCTGCGCAGAGCACTTGTTTCTTTATTTATATTTACTTAACTCCTTAAGCATACTTATAACGCCATCACAGGACACATCTCTGTTCATTATTAATTCTATACAATGTGACAATTGTTCATTAGACAGTCCTGTGTCTATTATTCTATTTGCTTCCTTTATTATTTCATATTTATTCATTATTTTTTACATAATAATTATTATAAATGAAGTTCATCTCTGCTATACAGACTGCCTGCAATAAGATTGACCCACCTGTTGATTACATTGGGCAGCACCTTGCGAATAGAATAATTCACACCACTCTTATACTAGGTATAATACTGGCACTTATATCAGGATATATTTATAAAGACATATTTATCATGGGATATGTTTATGTATTCAGTAGTATACTCTGTCTAATACTAACAGTGCCAGCCTGGGGCATTTTTAGGAGGAACAAAGTATGTAATGTGTAGAAATAAATAGACAAGTGCATATAGTAACACAGTATAATACGCATTATATACAATTTATAAGAGATATTATATATACCCCAAAACTTAAGAATATTCTACCGAGCAGGCATTCTAAAGTATTTGAAGTTCTTACGCAGATGAGAAAATGGCTTATAATAGTATAGATAGGGTATATTATTTTATCTTTATATAAGGCTATGCATATTTGAATATAATTAATAGTATATATTCGTATAAGTATTAATTTCTGTTTATTTTTTTATTTTACTGCATGCCAGGAGACTCATATATTATTGAGTGCCTAAATAACCTCTTTATACCGCAGATAGCAATAAGTCGGATGAGAATAGTTGAAATAGGAGACGAGTTGTTATATTCCGAAGTATTAACAGATAAAACAGGAAGAATTATGATATTTGACATAATAAATAAAAACAAAGAAAAAAAGAAAGGGATAGTAATAATAGAAAGAGTGGATAGAATACGGAGGGAGCACTATCTGTTTAAGGTAAACACAATTACAAACACAGTTATAAATATAAACAATGTAATGTATGAAATAAGGCATAAAATAGCACATCAGCCGTGCTACAAAGCGTATTATAATAAGAACCAGATAGAGTATGCTGGGTATAGTATGATAAATCATATAAACACAAGTAAGCGCGGCGGGGCTGATTTAGTAAGTAACGATACCGTAGTAAAAGATGAATCACAAAATGTAACCGAAAAAATGCAGTACAGCGTATATCCATGTGAAATGGATAGTAAATCAGAAGAAATAATTAGTATGATAGTTTCAGAGACAAAAGAAAGGAATACATCAATATCCACGCGTATAATAAGCAATAATGGGACAATTAACTATATACTAAGCATCAGTGGGTATAAAATAGACAACGGAATAGAGAAAAGAGTGACAGTGCTTTTTATAACCTCAGGAATAAGCACGGCAATAATCATAAAATACATTAAGATATACAACATATACAGTACATCTGGGATAAAAGAGGCAATTACGTCTGGCCAGCCAAGTCAGTCAAGTGTAGGCGTAAGTGCCACAGGAAAAGGGCCATCTGAGTCTTCTCCTGTAGAAAAGCTTGCTACATTAGAAGATGGCAAGGAGTGCGGCTTGAAAAACAATGAGAGGAGTTCCCGGTATCTCAACTATTTTCTAGAAGATGTGCAGGTGGGTAATATATCAGTACATTCTGCAATGTACTACGATATAATATATCATGTTCTTTTGGAGCACCGGATGCTTTTTCTGTCGCATAGTAATGCAGATCTGGCGAATTATATACAGGCAGTTATTATGTCTATTCTTCCATATCGGTGGAGAGGAATTCTTCTATCGCATATTAGCACGTCATATAAAAAGCTGATTGAGACAACAATTCCATATATTCTTGGGATGACGAGCAGTGCATTTTCAGAAAGCAAGTACATTCCAGACAATACTGTGATTGTTTCTCTTGATGAAAACCGGATATACATACATAATAAGGCAGAAGACCGAAGAATGTTTAAGAAGCTCTACAAAAACATGGACGGGAGGCGGTCTCTACCATTCTACCATAAAATAATCAAGAAGATGAGCCACGCCTGGCCTGGGCTGAAGGAAGAAATGAATATTTTAATGGAAATAATCAGCACAGAGGTGTCTACAGCACGGGAGAAAGTAATCCAGCATATGGTTCAGCAGGGTAATAAAAGAGGGTTAAGAGACTTCATAAACACAAATAATTACGCCCGAGAAATACTTATGCATCTCCGCGCAAGCAAAGGATTTTACAAAGAATTCATTGGAACATCACTTTACAATGAAGGCATACAGAACGAGTATCTAAGAGAAGTAAAAAGGCTAGGCCTTACTGAGGAGCATATAGTCACTATTATGTGGATACTTATGTGTACAGCACTAGAGGGCATACAGCCAAAGAGAGACATTGGTAGAATTATTTTTATTATAGAGGCGTATGTTAATAAATATGTGGGAACTGCATACCAGGCAGCAGATGCATTGTTGGTAAGTTTATTTTGCCTTCTTTCATACTTAGACATGTATGATGTGATAATGCACACGTGCTTTGCCCTGCAGGAGAAAGGAATGTCAGTTACAGACGACATGTGCAGTGCACTAATGCCAGCTATATCTACGGAAGATTTGTGTGCACTGCGGAAAAGTGGTGCAGTATTTATGCCATGGAATAAAAAAAAGAAGTTGGCCGCCCGCAAAGAGAGTATTCAAATTCAAATAAGTGCTCTGATAGTGCAGAAGTGTTACCAAGGGATAGTTCTTATAGTAGTAAAACACAAGAAAGAGGGCATGCCGATAAATCACAGCCAGACCATGCTATTCCTCATACTATACAGATATCAGAGGAAGATTTATGGGATAAGTTATCATTTACACATGCACATATTCTGGATACACTGCAAAGATATGTCTGTATAAGCGAAGAGCATATGAAAGAAGAGGATCGGGCATACATTCAAGTACTTTATCGGGCATTTGATGTGTATGAGCTGCCATACTAGTAGTAATTATAAATAAATGTAGATTGTAATAGAATGAAATCAGAGCATATTATAGCCCGAAATATTCTAGTGTTTCAAGTTATTTCGCTGTGCTGTGTGCTATTTGGTTGTGTGGGTTATAATTTTATCAGTTATAAAATCTCAAATATATAATATCTAAGTCCAAGTGCTTTTTATTAATCCTATGCCATGCATTTCATATGTTTAATAGCCATTAGACCTATCATTCTTCATATCTCCTTAGGCAAAGCCATTGATATCCTCCATGCTACTGTTAGAACAAGGGTTCTCTGCTGTAAGGCCAGGTGTAGTAGACCTATTAAGAAGGGTGGCTGTTGTAATTAAACCAGTAATAAATGCAGCCGCCGCCATAACTGAACGAGTAGTTGCCTTTTTCGCAGAGATGATTCTATCCAAATTTATAACTTTTTGAAGACCCGTTGCACCTTTTACAGGCTTCTTGTAATCAAACACAAGGTTCTTATAGAGTTCTACTCGATCCATAATGTAATTTCTAGCTGTATCAGGGGAATTCGCATGTTTTTCTAAGGCTTTATTCAGGCGAGCATCGATTGGCTCATTTTTGTACTTAAATGATGATGGATCTTTAATTTTTGGTACGCTAGCATCCCAGAATAGTGTGTTTGATATAAATGAATCACAGTCAACATACTTTTCACTGTCTTTTGTTATTTCTCTTATAGATTTAAATACCTTGCATACCAGCTTTCTGTCTATGTATAACCTTCGCAATAATTGCTCTTCATACTCTGAAAGGGTAAACTCCTTCTTCTTTCCTCCATTTTTATCATAATAATCAGCTATTTCCCAGCGGTATTTCATCAATAGAGCAAGTGCATAGTCAAGATGAGTCATGCCGTCCCTTCTTCTCTCAAACAAGTCGATCTCTTCTATTGCTAGCCTAGTAGACACACATAGATTAACTGTAAATACTTTGTTAATATCATCTAGTACATCACTCAGCATAGAACTAGTAAATAGTTTTTCATTTATTATCTGTGCTGCATATGTAAGATAGTAATGCCTATTGATATCCTTATGTGAAAGCACATAATAATACCATTTGAAAACTTTTAGTAGTGTATGATTCATCTGGGATATTAACTTCTGATTAAGTAATAATTTCTTGGATAAGTCTATGTATTTTTGAACATTTTGGGTTTTTTTATATTTATTGTCAATATACATTATACCCGTCTGTATAGTACTAAAGCGAATTATACAATTGTCCACGATTGCAGATCCGATTTCTATCAGGAGATTGTTATATGTCGTATCAGTTATTCCACTTACTATATATTTTGTGTTTTTAATCAGTATTTTCTGTAATATGGATGCCAATTCATCGCCAGATAGTTTTATTGTTTGGCCATTAAATTGGCCAAAATAATCATCTATTTCATTAGAAATTGCTTCTTCATCAATATTCATTACTAGTTTAAGTTTTTCTAGTTCTTCTAGTTCATTGTTCTCGCATATATTTTCAAATACTTTAGGCAGAACATATAGGTGTACTTCATCTCCAAAGATATGTCGTGGGTTATTGCTCAGATTTTTAACTGTGTATTCTGGTTCAGCTGCTTGTGAAGTATCAGAAGCATTTCTAGAAATATTACTATTGTTTAACGACATACTTACTGCCATATTCATTATTTTAATTTAAAATAAATTTTTTACCTTAAATACTCAAAGTTTCCTTTATGCCTATAAAAAATGTAAGGCAAGAATAATATTTTATTTTTAATAAATCATGCATAGTTCTTGTTGGTTTGGATAGTATAATCCAGAATAGCAATGGTTGAGTATGATGTTAATATATGTATGCACATCATTTGTGATGGGGGCAAGCGCATTGCCATCATAAATAATTGGAGTAGAAACTATATAAAGGGTTTTGTATTTCAATAAAGAATAAGTTTTCGTATGTCTATGCCTTCAAGGAAAAAACAGCTGTTCTCAAATATAAAAATATAAGCTGAATTGGCTTTTATTAATCCTATAGAATACTATTCATATGGTTAATGGCTGTTAGAGCGATATCTTTGTTCACTTTGGTGGCCAATGCTGCTAGCATTATCCATAACACGGCCATTACAAGAATCTGATATTGCAAGAGATCCTAGAGATATACTTCGATAAACAGATGTTATAATAGCACCCGGGAAAATTATAGCCAGTATTGCCGTAGGCCTCATAAGCTTTTTTTTCATATAGGCACTTTGAATTAAATTCTGTAGTTGGTTACTTCCCTTTGTCTCATTGTTTGAGTTTATATGATCAGCTATAAGACTTTTGTAGAGGTCTACTCGATCTAAAATATATCTATTGACTTTAAAATGTGAATTTTCATATTTTTTCATGGCTTTATCCAAGCTGTCATGAATTTTCTCATTTTCGTATGTAATGGAAGATGGATCTATAACATTTAGCTCCTCGTCATAGGTAGTTTGTAAATATGATCCAAGCATAGCACTAGGAATGTACTTTTCGCAGTCTTCTGTTATTTCTTTTATAGACTGAAGCGCATCACGAACAGTTTTTCTATCTGTGTATAACTGCTGTAGCAATTGCTCTTCATACTCTGAAAGGATAAACTCTTTCTTCTTTCCTCCATTTTCATCATAATAATCAGCTATTTCCCAGCGGTATTTCATCAATAGAGCAAGTGCATAGTCAAGATGAGTCATACCATCTAATCTATCGGAAAATAAGTCAATTTTCTTTGGCTCTCCTTCCGTGCCCATTTTCATATTAGCTGTAAAGTTTGTAAGAATGCCATCTAGTGTTTCGCTTAGTATAAAACTATTGAACAGATTCTCATTCATTACTTGTGCTGTGTATGTGAGATAGTTATGTGGATTAATGCCCTTGTGTAGAAGTATATATTTATACCACTTAGTAAGCTTTTCTAGTCCGAACTTTATTTCTTGTTCTAAAATTTCATCGGATATTAATTCCTTACTTAGGTCTATATATGCTTGTACTGGGTGTGCCATTTTATATTTATCATCACGGAAGAGAAGGCGTATATTTGTAGTGCTATTAAACACTATACGGTTCTCTGTAATTAGAGATCCCATTTCTTTCATGTGATTATTACATGTTGTATCAGTTACTCCATCTACTTTATATTTTATGTTTTTAATCAATATTTTTTGTACTATAGAAGTTAACTCCTCTTCAGATATATGCAATGGTTGGCTGTTAAATTGGCCAAAGTACTTGTCTACTTCTTCAAACATTGCTTTTTTATTCATTTCCATGGATATCTTGGCATCTTTCATTTCAATATTTTGGCATACACCTTCAAATACTTTAGGTAGAACATACATATATATCTCATCTCCATTGATTTTTTCTTGTGTGTTGCCTAATTGTCTAACTGCATAGTCTGGGCTAACTACAAGTGGATTGTTTTTTATGCTTCGTGGAATATGTATGTGGGTCAGTCTCTTGCGTATTGCCCTAAGTGTATTCATTATTTAATTAAAAACAAATTTTTAGTATAAATGCCTGAATTTCCTTTTACAGCTATTAAAAACATAAAAGGCAACCAATTTTGATTTTTGATTATATTACAAAATATTTTATTATCAGGTGGTTTTTATAATTATATGATATTTTCTTGGTACAAAATGCTTTATGTTTAATTTCTAATATATCTCTTATGCTGTTTCATTTAAAGAAGAGAAAATTCTATTATAATGCATAATATAAGTATAATTTATTTAAAAATAGAATTGTTTATCCTTTACATAACACGATAAGAATATTTATATAGGATTTTCTAGAAATACGCATAAATAGCACATAAACCTACCAAGTGAATGAAGAGCATACTTTATTAAATATTTCACTGGGTATAAGAATGGAATAAATCAGAAATAACCCGAATTAAAATAATTTTAGTGTACGCTTTTATTTTTATTAAACTAATTTATGTAACGCATAAATAATATTTTATTTTTAATATAAATTATGCATAGTTCACATATTATGTAGCTGTTTCTCATACAATTTAAACAAAACAGAATATTTCTATTATTATGAGAAAATATACTATAATAACACACATAGACATATTTATACATTTATACGATAAAGAACCCCATAAGCCACATATGAAGCAAATATAGTACCACTCTTAGCATAGTAAGGAATTCATGCATAGAGATGTTCTGGTGTAAGATAAGTACTGATATAGAGTAAAGTACATGCTCTTATAATACAACATAGTGTATACTATACAGAGGGGATGTATTATAAGCTTTAGTAAAAATATTAGAGGTCTGTAATAGTATGAATATACATAGCAGGGCTAGTCTAAAAAGCACAGAATGAATATTTATACAGACCATTGTTATAAAACACTAAGATATAGCAGTTTACATTCTTCTCACTCCAGATGTTCCCTCTCTAATGTATGTCTGGAACAGAACATTTGCATTGTGATACATTCCATCTTTCAGAGACACCACGACAAACTGCGATCCAACAAACTCATTCTGTATCATGCGCCCCATGGCTTCAGTGTGTGATGCATCAAGAGCTGCATCGATCTCATCAAGAATGTATAATGGAGACGGCTTTGTTTTAAGAAGGGCAAATATCAAGCTGAGTGCACAGAGAGATCTCTGCCCACCACTCAGTTCAGTAAGACCTTTCTTCCATGTGCCTATCTTTACATGCAATTCTACCCCGTGCATCACAGACCCATTAACACTCTCTAGCTTTGCATCAGCATTTGGAATGAAGTATTTAATATACCGTCCGATTCTTTTGTTAACAGAATGAAAGATTTCTTCTATAGTTTCAGTCTCTGCAGTATTTAACTTCTTCAAAGACTCTTCAATTGTTTCTTTGTCGATTTGAAGCTTTTTGATTCTTTCTTTCAGCTCCAGCTCAATTTCCTCATTCTTCTGCAGTATTTCAATGTTTTTTTTGTTTATATCCTTTCTTGGGATGGTTCGGATATAATTCAACTCTTCCTGAATTTGCAGAAGCTCGGTTTCTAATTCAGCTTTTGTCTTTTTACTTCTTGCTTTTCTGTCGCCTAGTGTGACATTTTCTATTTTCTTGTACCGTATTTCGTGCTTAATTTTTTCTTTTTTGATTTGGTCAATATCCATTTCTATTCTTCTTCTTTCTTTTATCTGAATAGACCTTCTTGCTCGATTCACTTCATTGTTTTTTATGCCTTCAAACTTTAATGCTTCGTCTCTTTTGATTTCTTCTTTCAACTGCTCCTCTCTCTTCTTTGCTTCTTTCAGTTTCTCAGATATTTCCTTAAGCCTTTCTGCATTTTTTTCTTTCTCTGCATACTTAGCAGACAAGCTGTTCTTCACTTCAGTAAGGCGATGGATCTTTTGTGTAAGCCCCTTTATCTCATCTTCCTGCACCGTTTCCCTGCCCAGTGCATCTATCTCTGCTTTTGTCTGAGCAGCGTGTTTGAGAAGTTCTTGTTCATGGGCAAGCAGCTTAAGATACTCTTGGCTTTCTGAAAGCTCTTTGAATGAGCATTGCTGTATAATGGCCCGTGCTAATTTCTCTTCTTTTTGAAGAGTAAGAAGATCAGCCTTCTTTGTTGTTTTGTTGAAGCGATACTTGTTCCTGTCTATGCTTCCTCCAGTGATTGTTCCTCTTTTATCAAATAGCTCGCCGTCTACAGTAACTGAAGTAATGCCCTCGGCGTCTCTTAGCTTAATAGCAGTAGACCTTTCTTTACTTAAAATATAGCCTCCTAGTAAATACTCCAAGGCCTTTTTAATCTCTGCTGGATAGTTCACTGCTTCTATTAGAGGAATACTTCCATACTCCCTCGCCCGGTCTTCTTTTTTAGGCTCTATCCGACGACCCACGATTTTGTTCAGCGGAATCACATCTATCCGTCTGCCTTCTCTGGAAACCTCTTCAATTACGCTCTTTCCAACTGCCTCGTTCTCAACAACCAAGTATTCCTTCCGCGCGCCCAGAACCACACCCACACTGACCTCATGCCGCACGTCAATTATCTCAATTAATTCTTTTACTTTCCCATAAACACCGTCTCGCACAGGATAGCCCAGCTCTCTTTTCATCCGATCAATTTCTCTTCTTATTTCATCAAGAGATCTTCCAGGATGCTTTTTATGCGCTTCAATATTGGCTCTAGCCCTTTCTTCTGACATGCCCTGTCGCTTAACCAACTCGCACTTCTCTTGCACTCTTAAGAGATCTTTAGAGATATCATCTAGCTGTGTGCTGAGCCCTTCTCGTTTCCTCTCTTTTGACAGACTATCTCTCTGTCGATCTGCCTGCATTAGTGCACTTTCTTTTGCCTCTAGCCTAGTAAGTGTTCGCTCTATTTCAGCCTTCTTATCATCGCTATCTGCTGTATTGGACTTGGACTTTTCTGTTCCTAATACCGACTTTTCCTCTATAGTGTTTTCCCTCTGATCATCTTCTTCATGTACCTGCATACTCTTTACTATTTCTTCATAAGCTGCGAGTATTCTTTCTATTTCTTTCTCTTTCTTGTTGATCAACTTCTGTGCAGCCTGGGCCTCTTCTTCCTCAACGTCTATCATTAATTTGGCCATCTCCCTATTTCTGCTGTCTATTCTTTCCTGAATGCCAGCTATGTCCACATCTACTACATCCACATCTACAATTTCTCTGGTTTTCTCTTCTATTTCTTTTTCTATTTCATACAAGCGCCTCTGGATTCCTTCTCTTTCTTCAATTGCCTCTTCAGCCTCTTTATACTCCAGAGAGCTCTTGCACTTAACAAGCGCGGCTTCAAGCGCTAGTTTCTTCTCTGCTGCCTCCTTGTGTGCATAGTAATCATCTCTCTCCTTTCTCAATCTTTCTAAAAATGGAAATATTGTTTTAGAGAGTGTGTCTTTTGTTTCCAGAAGCTTTTTTTGCTTCTTTTCTAGAGTGCTGTACGCCTTGTACTTTTCTGTCCTGTACACACTTGTACCAGAACACTCTTCTAAAAGCGTCAGAAATTGCGTGCTTTTCATTGACAATATTCGACTGACCCGGCCCTGCATGACTATAAAGTACGGCGCCTGCTTTTCTACTCTGCCGCCGCCTGGGGTATACCCAGCCTTGCTAGAAGATAGACCCACACACTGCAGCAGACGAGTAACCGTCTTGGTACTTACATTGTGATCATTAAGAAGATATTTTGTCTTCCCGTCCTCTGTTATTACTCTGGTTAACTTTATTGTGTCAACCTCTGTATATCCTATTGGGCCCCGCTCTTTCTCTTTATTGTTGAAGACCAAGGAAACCTTTGCTGACCCGCTCGTGGTCTTTGACTGTTTGAATATCAAATCTTTCATACTGCTGCTCCTTAAAAGACGAGGAGTATCTACACCAAGCACAAAGCAAATGGCATCAAGAATATTGCTTTTTCCTGTTCCATTTAACCCGGTTATTGCTGTAAATGACTTGTCCATGGGACTTATCACCGTTCTTGTTCCATAACTTTTGAATCCTTCTACCTCAATGCTTTCCAAATGCATTAAAATTTTATTTACGAATGCTTCTTGAATACTTTTGTAGTCTTATTTTATGGTACAACAAGAATGGGCTTGATTCGTTGTTTATTTCTAAGTTAGGAAATATTCTGAAGAATTCCTCTGAAGAGCTGTCTCTTTCTGATAAAACTGTTATTTGCTTTAACTGTAAAAAAGTAAATATTCCTGTAGTGAATTGTACTGTGAGAGTAAATAAAAATGAATTCTTTGTCACTTGCACAAAGTGCCGGGAAACAACCAAATTTCCCATAGGATCTATCTATAAGAATGTTTATGTAAGAGAGTCATATGACATAGATGCATTTCTAGCCGGAATATAGTCTAAAGTATAAAGTAAGTGTTTACAGTGTAAATATAGACTAATGTAGAATTAAGTTGTCTCTGGTAGTTCTTTCTATAATAAATTATTTAATTAATATTTAGTGGTGCATTTGAATAGTAAAATATATAAAGAACATGGAATGATTTATAAAAAAGTAAGAATGTAACAGGCATAAAATTATAATATCATTTAGTAAAGTATCTACAATTGACTTAGAAGGATCAATCAGAAATAAAGCATAGGAAAAATGCCAAACAACTTACCATAATAAGCAAACACGCGCGCATTCGAATAATAATAATGTCTTTTAGCACAGAATCCATTGTGGACTCAGAGGACATAAGCAAATCCGTATGGCCTGAATTATTTAAATTTTGGGTTGAATGATTTAGATGTATTGAGCGATTTGAAGTATCATTAGCACAAGACAGCACGAATATGTGTTTTTTTATTCTATTTGTGACGTATTCTTTCTCTTCTCTGGTGAGATCATTCTTTATTAAGAATCTGTGGAGTCTATTATTAATAGCTTTTATTCTTTGCTGTAAAGAGTAATAACTAGAATTATTTATGGAATTTGGATCGACAAAATATCGTGTGTATGTGTTTGGTGTGAATTCACTACTAGCATCTGAGGCGGCATAGATTATATTGTGAAGTTCTTGCAGTATATTATGTATGCGGTCCTTGTCCCTGTAAAGCTGCCTAAGAAGATGTGTATCTTGCACAGTTAGGATATGAGATAGTTCTGAATTGCTGATAGAGTGTATTCTGCGTAGAACCCATTTGTGCTCTAGTAGCAAGTATATTGCATAATCTAAATTTGTCACACCATTTGGTCTTATAGCAAATATATTTACTGTCTCTGGTATATATTTTTCTTTATTCAGCCTTTCTATAAATACAATAAGAACAGGCTTTAAGACACTGAACCAATAGAGTGACACACACAGCTTCTCCTGTAATATATTATCTGTGTTTGTGCAATACGTGTTCAGTATAGTATTAAAAGATGATTTATGTTGTGATTGCAGGATCTTGTTTTGTGTACAGTTAGAAGAATCTGTTTCCTGAAAACTTGCTGAGTTTTCATCTGTAAACGCGCAGCCCAGTGCTTTTAGACTATTTCGAGTTATATCAGGATCTTCTTTATTTGGAAGAGTCTCTTCTTTAATCTGGTTCATTATAAAACTTTTAGTAACCGGAAATAAATCTATATGTAGATATTGTTTGCATAATCGTATATAAGCCCATATAAACAACTCAGAAGAACAAATATGTATTTAACATAGCACGAAATATTCATAGACAAGATATGTTAAATGGTTTGTATATAACCCGAAATAATATTATGAATACTCTCAAAAATTATAATTTATTCTGGAATAGTTATAGAGTGTTTATAATTGAAAATAAGTAAAATTATTTTTAATTTCAGCTAGTTAATCCGAAGCAGCCCGTGTAATTAAATACATGAATATATTCAATGAATTGTTTAAGCACATTTATAAATTAATTATGTACGTATCCAGTTCTAGCTAAATTAAAAATATAATAAAGTGCATATAATCCAGTAGGAATCCAGTATGCTAAGAGTATTTCTGGCAATAATTTTCATGCAGGTGTATTTTTATGAATTATTGATTTTTGTTTGTTTTTACGCTTTTTAGATGTTTATTATTTCCCTGGGCGTTTGTTTACATTAAGATATTTTGCTGTTTTTGTTTTTATTTTTATATTGTTTTGTTTGTTTTAGACTGTCACTCTTTGTTTGTTTCTTGTATTTATGATATTCATCTATCATTTTTAGTGTATAAATATGTGCAGAAGAGAGTTTGCACATGGTAAAGTTGTCCTTCATTGGAACAAGTATTATTTTACTTATACTTGCAGCAAGACACAGTGTGTGCATTAAGAACGAGGAAATTAACAGAAACAGAATTTGGGACCTCAGAAGTAAAAAGCCATCTCCTGATGTATCTAAGAACAATATGTATAGTCCGCTTACTACAACTGAAAAAAATACTAAACCAGATTTTTTAAAAAGTGTTCACATTGCATCTTCTATTCCTATGGATGTTCAGGTCATAGATGACAACACAGATTACATCACAGTGCACATATCATTAAGAAACTATATGATGCTTGAGTGCATAGACAAACTTAACATTTTCAGTGATGAAATGGTTGGAATTGAATTTTCTGCTAGCACTCTTAAACGGATTAAAGGTCTTCACCTGACTCTTCTTCCCATTAATACAGATGTAGAGGTTGAAAAGATTTTATTCTCACCAGAAGAAAATATAATTGGTATGCTGATCCCTATGAATAGTATCATAAAATACTTTACTTTTGCTCTGAAAAATATGTTTAATAATAATGCTTGCATGACCTTTGATGATTTAAAGTGCACAGTGAAGCCAGAGCACAGAAGGATTACCATACAGCTGCGCAAGGAGTACTTCATCCCTACCTTTGATATGGCTAAGGACACAACTACGATCATAAACCAGCATGTGCGCTATCCAGACTCTCTGATGGTAGAATACAGTATAGAGAAGCATGATCCAATCCAGAACGTTCTATACAAGAACAATATATGTGTAAAAAAATTAATTCCAGATTTTATGTCGACAAGCCTCTTTAATTACTCTCAGCAAAATGAAATGCCCAAAATAAAGTATATTGACATTGACACAGCGAACCTTCAAAGCATTCTGTTTTCCAAGATGGTAGAAGCTTTCATGGACAGAAAATTGATTAATACCGTGCTGCTAAAGAAATTCAAGAGCAAGTCAGCAAACAAGAATCTGTGCTCTGATAAACCTACTTATTCATTCAACAAAAATGGAGCTATCATTAACTCCGAGAGTGTATTTGTCACAAAGACCAACCTAGAGAAGAATATGTACAACCTGGGTCTGGGCGATATTATTCCAAGTAAGTATTTAGAAACACCCAACAAAATGCATATAAAGGAGATGGCCCCAGAATTTTCAAATCAATACGGGGAGATCACTATCGCACACATCTTCGATGAAAAGTGCAAGTATGATGCAAATAACATTGAATCATTAGAAATCCTTATGTTTGCACTGCAATCGCTGATAATTGAAGTATCTCAGCTGCCACTAGATAAGAAGACATACAGAGATATAACAAATATCCAGCAAGTGATTGAGCCGGGCATTGCATATGCAATTAAGAACAGAGAAAACCACAAGATTCTATCCTCATCTATTTACTACTACGTTGTGCAGGTTTTATACGGAACTCACAAGTTAAAGATAAACTATGAGAAAATCCTTGGATACCTCGCATACATTGATGCACACTCACCCTTCATAAAGAAGAATGCTTCAAAGCAGGATCTTGAAAAGATAATTATTGCATCTCCTGCACTTTGCAACAACTTCAAGAAGGTCATTCTGGGATGTTCATGTGGCGAGCAGGTGTATGAGCACAGTAGGTGTACTGTAAGCAAGATCCCACACAACTCAATTGTAGTGTGGAACACAAACACTGAGTGTGCCCAGGCCGATAGAGTGCAGGTCATTGGGTGTGCCTGCATTGAAGAATTGCTAAAATCACACTGCAATGACAATGACTGCTTTATAGATAAATTCACTGGAGAGTGCCCTGTGGATGAAAAAGGTAATGTTAACAAAAACATAGGTTCAAAGAACTCTGGCAAAAACAAGTCTAAGAAATCAGCTGGTGTATTTGTTAAGAAGGCTAAGGCAGATGATTCTAGCTCATTCAGCTCAGGAACAAAAACCGTTATAAGTATGGTGGCAATAGCCTTTGCTATAATAAGTATATGCTCATCTGTATACTATATTTTCTTTGTCTAATAATCAAATAAATGTGATTGTATATCTTAATAATAACTGCATTATAGACTTCTGGTATAGTTTTAAATATTTTTGCTACACCATTCTTCATAACATCTGTTCTAGAATAGCAACTTTTTCCTGTATAAAGTAATTGAATAAAGTAGAGTGGAGTGTTTATATCAGCTTGTGCATTGCGTGAATTACACGCCGTCCACTTTTATAGCACTGATCCTGCCAAAGTACGTATCCATGGTGTTGTAGAATGTTTGGGCGTGTAAACACAGCAGTGGATATTATTGGAGGGTTTTATATTAAATGTATGTGAGAAAGTGAAAGAAACACATATATAGGCTGCTACATTGTGTGAGCTGGTATATTTAAAGAAATGGAAGAGCAAAGATACAATGATAGCAGCATACAGCATAGTTCTATTTCTTGGCATTTGTCTAGCCAAAAGGCATATTGTCCTGCTTAAAGACGACCTCTCTGCAGAAAGCATTCAAAGCCATGAAGAGTGGATAAAAGCCAGTAATATTCCAGAGCATACTATTAAAGGGTTTGGTGTGGGTGGATTAAAAGGATATACCGCAGACATTTCAGAAAGCGAGGCGGCACAGCTTAGAAAAAGAAGCGATGTGCTTGTGGTTGAAGAGAATAAAGAGTATACAATTCAGCTGAGCATGGGCGAGTCTCTGTCGGCAGGAATGCCCGACCTTATGCTCACTCGAGAGGAGTACAAGCTATTATATGCTCCTTCAGAGGTCAGCCCAAGCACAATTTCAATTTCTACAGAGCATAATAGGGAAGATCTATCTGCGCACGCCAATGTATTAAAAGGGAGAAGGCACTTCAGAAAGAATCCAGTTAAAAAAATATTCCGGAAGCATAGAAACAAGCCGCATCCACTTTTTAAATTCAGTTCAAGAAGATTTTCTTCTACCCAAAGAATCAAGTCAAAGCCCATTAGCATTACTCCAATGCCCATCCCACACACCAGAGAGCTGACAGGAGAGAAAGAGTATGCAGCAGCAATAAAGAAGCTGCACTATCCATTCACAGCCAGCAACTTAAAAGCAAGAGTGGATACTCCGTGGGGGCTGAGCCGGCTAGCACAGGGCAGCAAGATATATAGCGAAGACACTTTTGTATATCCAAAAAGTGCAGGCAGTGGGGTTTATGTATACGTGTTGGACACAGGGATAGAGGACACACACGATGAGCTAAAGGGTAGAGTAAAGAAGGGGATAAATATTGTTGGCGGAAACCTTGATGCAATGGATGACCATGGCCACGGCACACACTGTGCAGGAATAATTGGAGGCAAGACAGTTGGCGTTGCTTCTAATGCAACGCTAATTCCTGTAAAGATATTAACCGATGAGGGAAAGGGAAGCACAGAATATGCAGTTTTAGGATTAATATATGCAATGAAGTCACATCACCAGAGAATTAAAACAGAAAAGCACCCAAAGGCTATAATCAACATGAGCCTTGGCGGGGTTAAGAGTGAAGTACTAAAGGAGATAGCAAAAAAAGCAGTAGGCACGGGACTCGTAATAATAGCAGCAGGGGGCAACAATGCTTCTAATGCATGTGAGTATTCTCCTGCCTCAATTACGAAGGTAATTACTGTAGGAGCTATTGACAAAAATGATGAAATTGCAGAGTTTAGCAATACTGGTCCCTGTGTAGATGTATATGCACCAGGAGTTGGAATACGAAGTTCATTCCTAAATAATACCATGCGAGAACTATCTGGAACATCAATGGCAGCCCCCCATGTTGCAGGATTAGCTGCCCTATATTTAGGAGAATCTTACCAATCTCCAGAGGATCTAAAGATGCTTATTAAAACCGATGCATTTAAGTCAGATCTAATTAAAATAGCATCTGCTAAGGTACTTAACCTGCGCCTTGAATAAATACAAGTACATTTAGCAATTTTCATATAAACTTACTAACAGACTGATATAATATGTAATAAATTGTTTAATATGAATTCTAGGGCATCATATTGAATTTCGGGTTTGGCACGTTGGCTGTGTAATATTTTACAATTTTCTAGGATGTCTCCAGTGTATAGCAGAAGTCTATTAAACTCAGAAGCAATCGTTATTTTTATTATTTGGGCTATTTGTTTTCTATTGATTTATATTTGTCCGAAATCATTGTTTTTTACTATTTTAATATAATTATTACAAGAACAGATCTGGAAAGATTTAAATTCTATTTATAATTTTTAGATAAATTTTCAGGGACCGGCATACACGCAGCAGAGACACTCAAGTGTGAATGGTCTGATACAGAACAGAAAAAACAATGAACACGCAACATTTCATAAATTAGCATCTAATGTTGTATTGTTAAGTCTACAAGCATTCCTATATAGCTCGAAAAATAATTCTTACATATATATCAGTGTTTATTTATATGGATATCTCTACAGAGCGCAGATAATATCATAGATGGTGGGCAGTGTGTGCCCTTGGCTATAGAAATATTTTCAATAGACTATTTATGGTTAGTATATGACATTTTTTAGCTTTAGCTGTCTGCAAGCCTCATCAATGTCTGCCACGGTAATGGGTTTTTTATGCATTCTTTCTTTGAACATTCCCTTAATGTCTGGGTTTATTTGACTCTTTTTTGATTTTAGTGCATTTATTTTACTGGCTATGCTGATAATATCGAATACTATTTCGCATGCAAGAAACCCAAGGACATCTAATAGGTCATCTTTCATTTTATACTGTGTATTGAGGAATTCTTTGAATCTCTTCCCTTTTCTAAAGGTAAAAGAAGCCTGCCTGCACTCTGTGAAGTCCAAATACTCCTCCTTAGACATCCCTTCTGTCATTTTGTCAATTATATACAATCTGCCGTGTGTGTGCTCTGGCATTTCATATACATGTTTTGGGAGCCAATTGTATCTTAGCCTTGTCTCTGACGCAGCCCGCAGCGAAATTGCATCTTTATTAACTTTGTTACGCACGTCTTTAAAGATGATATAGTTGGACAGCTTTTTTACTCTGTGCGGATTGTTTCTCATAAGGAACACTATGTCTTCTATGTTGATTTTCTTGCTGCCTTTCATCTTTGATACTTTGTGTGCATTACTAAGTAACAATTTTAACTGCACATATATTATTTGCTCCATGTAGGTGCTGGATTCTTTATTGGGAATGCGAACGTCGCCACAGGTATACATCATCGCTTCAATTTCCTGTGAATAAAGAGTCTGACCTTTTTCCTGGTTATCTCGCACAGTAAAACCATACTCTGTCTTGCTTGTCGACATAAAACTTTAAAAAACAAAGTGCAAATAGGCTGCTTGCACTGAAGAAAAGAAGGCCGCATTAAAATAAAGAAGCATCAACAGAGCGTACGCAGGGCATCTTATTCATCTTCTGCAGAACAATACCTTGGGTAAATGCTACTGCTCAGAAGACAATCATAATGATAGAATTGGCTGCACCCGCATCAGCTATTCACAAAAGAATAATGTGTGGTATGCGGTGCTCTAAACCATTCAAGACACCGCTAGTATATAGAAAGCATTTGTAAAATGTGACAGGTATAGAAATATTTTTAGCTAATTAAAAAGAAGATTATAGAATACATGCATTAATGCATTTTAAAAGAGCATAAAATAATGTACATATAGCTGTGGTATGCAAAATAATAAAATTGTTTTTCATATATTAATAAAAGGATACATTTCAATAAAATGCAAAAATAAACTGTATACTATAGAAAGCACATTTATTTTATATTTCTTCTGGGTGCACAGAACATGTGCTCTTTCATAAATAATCTTTGTATTTAAGCAATCACTAATTAATAATAGCCACTGAAAATGCTTTGGCACTTTCCATCATATTCTTTCATTGATAAATATGACTACACCACACGCTGATAGAACTGCCAGATGGGATAAAAGAGCCCAATACGAAAACTCATAGAGAACATTTCGGGCAATAAACATAATAGCCATCAGGGTCATAATACCTATAAGAATTTTTCGGAATATTTTCCTTTCTTTTTTTATCACCCGAGTGGACGCCTTCTTTGGATCAAATATATCCCCAAGTATTTTGTTCTGCTCTATATACGTATGAAATATGCTATTGTTCAGATAGTCATGCTCTGTTCCTATCCAGTTGCAGGAAAGTATTACAGGATTCATTCTGGCTAGCTCGGCCACTGCATCTGGGGAGTCTTCTAGCACCCGGGTGAGGCTTTTAAAGAGCTTTTTGTCTTTCTTGTTCATTATTTCTGAGAGAACAGAGTGCTCTAGTCTGTAGTAATAAATATTTTTAATATGGCACTTCATGTTTGGGTCTGCAACATTCTTCCTGGATACTGCTATGACACTTGGATTGGTAGTAGTAACTGTAAACCTGTGCAGATTGATGCATTCCGAGAGATATACAACTCCTTTGCAAACTATGCCAATCGAAATGTGGTCATCTGCTTCAGGAACAGTTGCTGCTTCAGCAGGAATAACAATCGCCAGAATAATGTCTCTTTTTTTATTAAGAGATTCAAATATAAGGCTTAGGTACGTGCGCATGCTTATTGGGTCTCTGTCTAGCAGATCCACTTGTTTATCCACGTACCCATCTCGAATAAGAGAAATGCATCCTGTTGCAATTGACATTCATAACAAATATAGTTTTTCATTTATTTTGTAATGGACTTCAACAGGGAAAGTGAAGTGCGCGAGCTGGAAAGAAGGTTTAACGATTCAATAGAACTATGCGATAATTCATCAAAGGACAGGAAAAAGGCGCGCGATGCGCATCCATTCCGGGTGAAGTATGAAAGCTCTCGGGATGAAAAGATACACAATGTAGAGCAGGAGCTGTTCCGTTTAAAGGAAATGCAGAGCAGGGTACTTGGCATTCAGGAGACAATCGAGGAGACAATAGAAAAAGAAGTGAAAAAGTCAAAAGAAAAGGAAATAAAAGAGCTGAAAAATAAATATAAAGCGAGGCTACTGGAGATAGAGGCACTGTACAAAGAAAAAGAAAAGGAGATAAAGCGGGACTACGAGCAGAAAATGGAAAAGATCATACAAAAGTTGAAAGAAAAGGCGAAGGAAACAATAAAACTGAAAGTTGCCGAGGAGGTGCAGGAGCTAAAGAAGCATCTAGAAAAAAGAGTACTGGAAGTCAAGCTGCGAGATAAAGCAGTGATAGACAAATTATCTCAGATGTATATAGACTTAAAAGAAAAGTACAAAAGAGATGTGCAAAAGATACACAATACAGATGCATAAATAAAGATTTCTAGAAGTATAATTGAATAGATACATCTGTGCGCATAAACCAACCCCCCTACAGCTTTCCTGCTATAATAAAATCAAAAAGTCAAAATTGTATGTGCTAGTGTCTTTTTAGATATATTACAGTGTTTAATAATATTAAATGGTTTGTATGTAACCTAAACTATACTCAGAATGTGCAAGGTATATCATAATTCCTTAGTAGAAGAGTTTAATTTTTTTGAAATGTGATTGCCAATTGATAAAGCTAATAATTATGCTGTATCCAAATGTTCAATAAATATACAATCTTTAAGTAATCACCTTTACTAGTTAAATCATCTATTGTTGGCTGTGTTTCACTGAACATTTCAATTTACTAACGTAATTAATGCGTTTAGTTCGTTAATTATTCTATTCTATTATTTTCTTTGCCTTTATAATTTATAAAGCCTTCATTTATATTAAAGAGTGTACACATTAAGAAAAACATACAGAAAAATAAATCTGTTCAAATATATATGGAATAAGATTACACGGGTATAGAAAAACACATTACACAGCTATATAACACACACTGTTATATAACAAAAGCAGATATTGAAGTACTCCTAGGGAGTAACGCCATTGCTGCTATGCTACGTAATCAGGATAGAGAAGAAAGTGAAAGAAGAGAGCTCTTTATTGTATTTGGGAAGCGGCCCAACCCTACGTGAGCTTGGAGCCCAAAGGGCATAGGTGTGTTAGACCTGGCGCTAAGGTTGGCCATCGATGCTTCTCTGAGTCACCCCATAAATCAGGAGGAAGATCTTCAGTTAAATAGTCAAAAGTTGATCTACTGATCTGCGATCCCAGCCATTGTCTTGGCGGGATCATCGCGCAAGCTGGCGTGCAGACGGGCTGTCCTCGGAAGCTCACGCCTGAGTAGTGGTGTCACCACACTTACCATAGAAAAATACAAATTTATTAGAACAATTTTATGAACTAGTAAACTACTCCTATATATTATATAATTAATGTAAAATCAAGAATATTTAAAATTTTCTAATTTCATAAAAAAATGATTTCCAACAGAAAAGAGCTGCTGAGTGAAATAGAAAACCAATTATTACAATTAAGTAACAAACAAGAATCCCCACATATAGATCATAATGATGTAGTTGCCATTTTAGTAGATACATATAAGAAGAAAGCAAAACTAGATAAAAAATATCTGCCACTAAACAATCTAATACAGACTACATTTATGTCATTATTATATAATAATATAGACAGAAAGGCCCAAAATACTACTAGTAAAACCAGAATAAGCGAAATTACTAATATACTCTGTAACACAGAACAAATCATAACTTCTCTTATGGAGATGTCTGAGGAAATAAAGAACAAAGAGCAAAGAACGGCATATTATAATATGATGAACACTACACATCTGTTTATGATGAAATATCCTGTAGTTAGCTGTAGTGTGAAAGAGACTATAAAAGAAATAATAAGTGGCTTTTGTGGTGGGTACTCAAAAAATGAGAATATTAAAGAAGATGAAGCAATACTGGATCTTTTAGAGTTAAATGAATCTAAAGGTTATTCCAGGCTACAGAGAGTATTAGAAATAGTAACAACATTTGAAAGTATGCAAATAAGAGAAAATAAGAATGATAGAATGGAATCATTTGGCAAACAAATTAAGTTAACAAAGGACGATTTCTATTCATTCCATTTATTTTTAGCAATTACTCCTAATAGTAGTAAAATACTGAAAAAACTAATAGAAAGCTTTAAATTCATTAAAACATCCAATGATTTAAGAAAAAGCGAACATAAGTACATATATGACACCTTGTTCTTTTTCCTGGTAAACCAACAGTTCCAACCAGTGGATGTTGATAATTGCAGAAATCTATTTAAAGCTAGTATAGAAGTATTAGAGGCACTGTCTGGTGATGTATACGCCAACTTTTCTGAAAGTGAGATGGAGAGCCTACTTAAAGAACATAACATCACACCCTCTACGTTCAAGTTGAATATAATTAGAAGATTTGGGCAGAGCATTAAAAACCAGCTGGATGCTATTTTTAGTAGGCCAATTGGAATTAAAAGAGAGGTATTTTTAGATCGAAAAAAAGAATGGGCATTCTACACAGATGAAGCGGTGCATACAAACTATAATATGAAAATACCTGAGGCAACCCTAATCAATACTATAGCAACATTGGATGGTTTAGATGGGAGTCTGATGCCGATAAGAAGTAGTGAGGTAGATGCCAAAAAAAATATATGGAGGAAGAGGGCCATTATAATCGCATTAATTCTACTAATAGTTGCTGCTGTTCTGTATTCAATATATTCTAGAAGAGCAATAATGCATAAGAAAGTGGCTAAAAGATGGTGGTAAAGCCATATACACGAATTGAAATAGAAAAAGAGAGCATTGCCATGCAAATTTAAGCTATTTTAAACAATTCACTAGAAGATTGGCGTGTGATAAAATTTAAGAGGACTCAGGGGTTTTAGAAGATTAAATAAGAGCACAAAATAATTTCAATGGGATAATTAACACATAAAAATACATAGAAATATGTACAATAGTACATTTATATCATTATAATAGCATATCTGCCAATTTAATAAAAGAATGATCTTATTAGTTTACAATATTATTATTGCTCGGGTGATGCAGCCATGAAGTATTTTCTATCCATAACACATCTAAGATACCAAGAAGAATATTATTTTTAAGCGGTTTCCGTGGCTTAATTAAAAATAAAAGATTTTCTAAATAGAACCATCTTCAATTAATGCATTTAGAGCTGCAAGTAGGCTTTATTCAATTTTCAAATTATTTATTCCTTACTATTCAATTGTGCAATAATCTAGAATATACAGTAAATGGGGATTAAAGCAGGCTTTATAAAAATAAAATAGCTTAAATTTAGAAATACAATTAAACAATACAGAATTAATAATTTCAAAGAAAAACTTCATTACATCCACAGTATTTATTACTAATACTCTACTTCCATCTCATTTGTGACAGTTACTAAGTTGAACACATCTTCTTTAAGTATTTTTACGCTTTCTCTAGGGTAGACATATGTATTTGCTCTTTCTCCCTTCTTTCCTATTTCTTTGTAGGTTCTCTTATGCTCTTTCTGGAATACTTCCTGGCTGTCCTGGCGTATGATGCAGATGTCAATATTAGATCCAGAGTATAGATCATTTCGGATACCTGCTTCAATTGCCTTGCATGCTAGGTCTATTGCCTCTTGCTCACTCATATCTGGCTTCCATCCTGTTTCAAGCATACCTATGGCCGCATATGATCCAGACCCCTGTGCAGTGTATGGAAGGGTATCTACACTTCCGTGTGGGTGTATTCCAAAGAGCCCAGGGCCATGCTCATCAACTCCTCCGAGTATTAAACTAGCAGAAATATGCCCCTGGTAGGAGAACAGGTGCCTCTTCAAAATATTCACACAGTATGAAAGCAGAGGAACTCTATTATACTTCAGACTGAATAGGTGCAGGGCAGTTTCTGCCATTTTAGTGGTGTACCGGGTATCAGCAGCAGTACCTGCACCACAACAGCTAATGTTCTTTGATATTGTGTGTATTTTGCTTACATTTTTGTCTGCTATGATTGGACCATTGGTTGATCTGGTATCTGCAGCAAGTATAACAAATGTATTCCCTTTTACTCCAACAATAGTTGTTCCCGTCTTTGTAGCACTTTCTTCCAGAGCCATCTTTATATTTTGCAGAGTCTCGCTGACATCATTTGAGTTATGGCAGGATGCTTCAAATGCAGGAGAATTCATTGCGGCAGTATTATGTTGCATATAAAAAAACAAAAAGAAATTAAAATAAGAACAGCAGCTAATGCAAAAATAAACGGGAAGAAACAGAAGGACAGAAGACAGGTAGAAGGTGCTATATAATAGCATAAAATGCAAAGAAATTATTTAGAGGAATAAAGTGATGCGCTTACATGGAACAGCATCTTTAATGATATTCATCCAGTTGCAGGTGTACTGGCATATTTGCCATGCTAGAAGAGTATTTACTTTTGTTTGGTGTATTAGGAATTATGACATTTCTGTTCATTTCGGGGTATTGTGCAGAAATTAAAATATGAAAGAAATAGAGTTGAATTTTCTTTTACTCTTAATAATGACAGAAAGACGGACGGAGGGGCAGGCAGAGGAATATAACAAGGAGAAATCGTACAGCCCTCAAAGGCGGCGTGTAGAGGGGGATCCACAAGATGTGCAGCATAATAAAACCAGACATATAGAGAGAAATGTACAGAAAGAAGCGGGTGAAGAAGCAGCAGATAGAGAGAAGAGCGATGGTGTACACCAAGCTCCGTGGGAGGATGTAGAGAAAGAAGAAAGAAGGCGAGAAAGAAGGATGAAAAAACAGATAGAAAAGGCAATGAGAAGGGCTGAAAGACGCAATGAAAGAAAACTAAAGCGAGAAATGGATGCTATTAAAGAAGCAACAGAGAGGAAGCCAAGTGATGAAAAAAGTGCAGTATCTAGTGGGCCTGCTTCTCCGCTGTTATTGCAGAAGAGTATACGGGGTCCATTTCGCATGGAAGATGAATCTGAGGCACAGGAGTATGTAAGCCTAGAGGAAATACAAGATCTTTCTATACATTACTCAGAGAGTGGGCCGCAAGCACAGGAATATAATGGCTTCGGTGAGATAGTAAGTAACAGAGATGTTTCTCCGGATGCAGTGGACAGCAGCCAAGGCGGTGCAGTATACAGCGGAGTGTCTAATATAGAAAATGCAACAAGCAGTATTTTCAGCGCACTTGAGGGCATAAGTAATAGCACAGAAAGTGAAAGCATAGAAAGAGCTCCCGAAGGTATAAATGATACTTCTGGCCATATGGGCGGTTCTGCTAATACCAGTGCGCAAAGTGTGCCTGTCATCATTAATGATGCATCAGATGGGAACATATCCATTATAGCACAGAAAGTACCACTGACATCGCATGCAGCCTATAGTGGTTCACTGTCGTATTCTGATACCTCGGGTACAGTTCTTGGCCTTGCTGATACATCTGATGATCGGTCTGATTCAATTCCCTCTATATATACGTATCTTATGGCAAAGTATAAAGTAGAGCAGGATGAGATTAACAAATTAAGGCAAGAAATTCGGCCAAAAAGAGTGTCTGTGGCGTGCTCTGTGCGCATATCGCACTGGGCAAACAATAAGCACATGAAAGCACTGGGGCATGACAAAGAAGTAATTACAGAGTCTATAGTATCCGCAGATGAGAGAAGCGTGCAGAACGAGGCATATATTCCGCACCGAGAGCCCGCAAAGATAGTAGAGTATATGTACACCGACACAATAAAGGACATTGCTGCGCGGCACAATAATAACATGAAAGTGTACATCTATGCAGGAGACGAAGAAAAGCTAAAAACCGCGTTTTTAAAGATAGGGAAGAACTTTAAGGAGATACGGAAAGAGTATCTTCCAGAATACTCATCAAAAGATGTAGTTAAAATCTATTATAAAATGAAATATAAGCTGCGGCTGAAAGACTGGTCTATGCGGGATACAAGAAAGATACAGGACAAAGACTTAGCAGAGATAATATCAAGAGAGTGGACAGCGGCAGAGAAAGAGGCATTCCATAATTTATATGAAGAGCTAGGAAAGAAGTGGAAAGAATACTGCCAGCACATTCCAGGAAAGAGAGAGATAGACATGAGAATATATTACCGTTACTACAAGAAGATGCAGAAAAAGGAAGTACCAAAAAAAAAGAGAAGAGAGAGAAAGAGGGGAAAGAGGAGGGTGAGTGGCAGGTACATGAAAGACAAACGTTTGCTCTGCTGTTTCCGCATATAGGAAAGAACTGGAGTGTACTTGCAAATTATATTGTAACAAAGACAGCTGCTGAGATAAGGAGCTACCACAGAGTGTACTACAAGCACTTGAGGGCGGGAGAAAGGATTCTTGAAATATATTTAAAGGACATAGGAGAAAAGCAGATCAGGACAGACCCCCTAATACTTCATGAAAGGTCTGGCTATCAGCAGCAGCACAGCAGGCATGCAGGCGTACTCTTTTCATGTAAATAGTATTATTGTCCGGCTATAAAGTATCCCACAAGTAAATACCTAGTGCAGGTATTTAATAAAGGAAGATGGAATAGATGGCTAAAAAATAAAAATACGCACCTACCCCAAATATCTCTCGCAATATGGAAGAGAGTGCCCAGCTAGATATTATGGATATTTAAGCATTGCCCATATGAGAATTCTATTATACACGGAGTATTTTAATTTTCAGGGGTTTACTGCTAGTGGTGTAGATGGGTTTTATTATTTCTTTCTTGGCCATCTTTGGCTATTCTGCAGTATGCTATGAATGCTTTTTATATGTGTATACAGCTAGTAGTCAATTATTGGAGCAGGACAGTATTAATACAAGCTAATGCAAATCTTCTATCCGCGCGCAGTGGCAATATAAGAATAAACTAATTATAATAGATTAGCTATCATTTTCTCTGTCTAAACCATCAGATGTTTATTCACGCACTGGCCTGATTTGGCAGTTATAATTTATCTTGAAAGATCTCTACTAAATCTGCCAGTAGACAGAAATAGTATTTTACACACTTTGTATAATAAAGTGCATGTTTTGCTTAAGTTTAAATTTTGCGCTATATCTCTGAATATTTCCTTTTCTGTGTAAATTGTAAAAGCAGTTATTTTATCACGGCACTTTGTATAAAATTTAGTTATTTTGGTTAAATACAGCTGAAAATATAAATACAATATAAGCCAGTCTATGCACAGGCCACGGGCAAAAATACTTATTTTATAATACGAATTGTATAACTGATTTTTTCTGCTTTAGTACGGTGTGCACGGTTTCACACCCGCCTTAGTGTATAAAATATTTTTGTCCTGCAAATTTTTCAATGCTTCAAGAGCTCCAGAAAGAAGAGATCAACAACTATTCTTCATGTGAACAAGAAATAGACGACATAGGCTCAGAACAGTCGGAACCAGAAGAAACAAGACTTTCTGCCACAGAAGCCACATACAACGATTATTTATTACAAAAAATAACTGAATTATTTAACAAGGAGGAGAAAGAAGCCTTTATGATAGCTTCAGACCAGAAAAGGCCACTGACTATACGTGTTAACACACTGTTTGACAAACGGGCTGCTATTATGAAGAAGCTTGTTAACCGAGGCGTTAACATAGATGGAATCCAGTGGAATGACTGTTCTGCAGTAGTTTACAACAGTGATGTGCCAATAGGCGCCACTCCAGAGTATTTGGCTGGTTTATATATTCTGCAGTCTCCTTCTTCTTCTTTGGCTGTTATAGCCCTAGATCCACAGGAGAATGAGGTTATTGTTGATATGTGCGCTGCGCCGGGTGGAAAGACCACTCACATAGCCGCCTTAATGAACAACACAGGGACTATTTATGCAAATGACGTGTCTGAGGAAAGAGCACTCTCTCTTGCAGCCAACTTACAGAGAATGGGTGTAAGCAACACTATTGTTACTGTGATGGGCGGGAGAGGGCTTCCATACACAAACGTGAACAGAGTCTTACTTGATGCACCATGCTCTGGAACAGGAGTGCTTTCAAAGGACCCAGCAGCAAAGAGAAATAAGGATGCAAAGGTCATAAAGCAACTGCAGTATAAACAAATGGCACTGATATTAAAGGCGTTTGACATGCTGAACCCAAAGAACCCAGAGTCTATTTTAGTGTACTCCACCTGTTCTATATTAGTGGAGGAGAATGAGTACATTGTTGACTATCTGCTAAAGAAGAGAAAGAATGCAAAGGTGATTGAAACCAATTTACCAATAGGAAAGGAAGGGTTTAAATCGTACAGAGGATGGGTATTCCACCCTTCTTTAAAGAACACACGAAGATTCTATCCACACATTCACAACACAGACGGATTCTTTGTTGCCAAGATAAGAAAGACTGGATACAGCCCAGAGGAGATTGAGGAAAACAAGAAGCTAAAAGAAAAGGAGAGAAGAAGGCAAAAGGGAGAAGAGACCGAGGAGGACAAGGTTCCTAAGAAAGAGCCAAAGAAGAAGCCACAAGGTAGAAGAAAGCCAAGACCAGAAGGAAAGGCAGACTTAGCGAGAAAGAAGAGCCAAGATAAAAGAAAAGAGAGAAAAAGAGATTAAGAATAAATTATAAAGAGATAATAAATGAATAATACAGTGAAGATATTTTTACCAGATGACTAATTATAGAAGTATTTCTAGTACCAATAGTAGTACTACTACCAATTTTTACAATATTTTCTGGCTTTTAGCATATTTTGTATGAGTATAAAATTTCACTGTTTCTCGGCTTTCTGGCAAAACTATCGGATCGTAGTTTAGGTTATTGGGCTGGCATTACATGCGGTGGAGTAATATGTGCTCTTATCTACTCCCAAACAATCAATAGATTTCTTTGATATTATATGAATGTTGTATTAATAGTGCCACTATTTATAAAGAATATTTTATTTTCTATTCATATGATCACAATTGTAACGGGAAGTGCACGGAAAAGACAGGAAATTAATGAATACATAGATAACAGAATCCAATACCAGTTTATAGAGCAGGACTTGGATGAAATACAAGGCACTTCCACTGAGATAATACAAAACAAGCTTAAAACAGCCCACAAACTAGTTAAAGGGCCAGTGGTTGTAGAGGACTACTCACTGTACATTGATAAGCTATGCGGATTTCCTGGTCCGTATGTTAAATCTGTTTTAAGAAATGGAGAGCTGTCAAAAATAGTAAACAATCTTGCCCCACTTGGGGAATTAAAGTGCACAGCAGAGTGCTTGTACGGTTATATAGACAAAAGCGATGAGTGCCACATATTCTCTACCAGGGTTAATGGCATTCTTATTCCAGCCACCCCAGTCACCGATGGGTTATTTGGAGTGGACTATATACTAATCCAAGAGAACACAAGTGTTCCATTCTTTTATCTTACAAAGGAGGAGAAGAGTAAAAACTCAATTAGAAGAAAAACTATCAACCAGCTAATAGAGCATTTAGAAAAGGAAAAAAAGATAAAGGAAAAAGAATGTGTAAAAAATATTTTACAAAATGAAGAAGAGAACAGTCTTTCTATGCAATAATAAAGTAAAAGAAGAGTATCCTTATATAGAATTATTTGATTTATTAGCAAATGACCCACGAGCAATTGAAAGCAATAATAGCACACAGCTTGAGGATGAAAGAGTAATACGACAGGCATAGCCAGGAAAATCCTCTTTTAAAGTTGATTCAGAAAAAAAGAGGCATGCTAGAGCTATTTATATTTCAGATTATTCAGAAGCCTAATGAGGACATCACTGCTAAGCCAATTAGTTTATAGTCCAAATCTCCAGGAGAACGAGGTAAGCGCGACAGAGAATGCGTCGAGTGCACACCACGGGTAGGAATAGTCTAGGATGTATTCGTTATGCGCTATTTTCCCGAAGGTAAGTGTAATGTAAGAGACATCTTTGGGATGGACTATTTGGAAGTTTCTAGCAGAAGGGAGGGTGACTCTTCCATTAAAGTTAAGAACAAAGGAATTTGTATCGTAATTAAAGTATGGGGGCTTGTTAATTAGCTTGACGTATTGGTTGGTCTTGTTTTTTACTCTTTCGGATATTGTCTTATTGTGCTTTTCACTTTGTTCGAGCAGAAGCTGGTTCTTGTATACATGAAATATTCTAGGGCCGGCGTTGGAGTATACATTCACGTATTTTATGAAACATTCTGTAGTTGTATTGCTGGATAATAAATATTCTGATCCATAAAAATTTCTAACGAGCTCACCCACTTTATCCCCTGATGGAGAGAATATCTTCCACTTAAAGAAAGAAGACTTCCCCACCAAAACCACTCTGTTTTCTATGTCAAACATAATTACCTTTGATGCGAGGGATTTATCGGTCTTTACCAGCCGGTGCTTAAATGTCTCTGATATTCTGGGAATTTTAGTGTATTCTTTTTGAGCCACTGGGGATTCTGGAGTAACTGCCATGTTATTAAGCAATTCGTTGCTTAATAAGAATTCTGAGGTTATTCTATTTATATTTTCCTCCCTCATTGTAAGTGCGCTGTATTTATTCCATAAATAGTCAATAGGGACAGCATCGCCAGTCACTCAATGATAATCGGAAATATCTGACGAATAAAAGCATAAAAGCGTTCAATAGCATACAAGAAAAATGGACGAATTATTTTTATTTTCAAGAAATTTGTGAATGCGGGTTATATCGGGGTATTATAGAATTTATATTGTAAATCGCTTATAGGTGTAGCTAATAACAAGAGTGCGGGTGCATCTTTCTACTTTTAAATATTTGAGGGTTTGCATGTGTTATCTATGGCAGAAAATAGCATAGTTTTATTAACTTTAAATTTTTTTATTCCATGGATATTCGGCTGCAACTGCAAATAAAGAAAGACCCAGCGAATTACACTTCACTCTACATGAATGAGCTGGAAAAAATGCGAGGAATGATGAAGATATCCAAATTAGACCCGCAGGCAAAGAACCAAGAGCTGTGTTCTCTGCTTACGTTTCTTCCTCATATTTCTAAGAACTACTCTGAGGATATTTCTAATGATATATTCAACTATGCGCTGGACTACTACAATTTATTGGAGAGAAGTCTGTCACAGGCTGTGATTACTTCAATAATCATATTAAAGAAAACAAAGCAGATAGGTCCAGATGTATTCTATAAGAATGCCATTATATTAATAGAAGAAATGGATAAGCGAACAAAAACGGTATTTATACAGTTTTTAATATCTGAGATAATAAGGGACAAGGAGCACAAAGAGCTGATACAGAATGTATTAGTGGACACAATAGAGTCTAGGATAGAAGCGCATTCTAAGAGAGCAGTGTACATTTTTATACATTTAATCAGCAGAGATGTGTGGAAGGACCAAAATACAACGGAGTTATTATTTAAAATAATATTGAAGTCATCTTCTGTTGTGATTAACTTCATATTTATGTATTTACTGGACAGAGTCAGACTAACCATAACTGAAGAAGAAATAGAGATTCAAGCGAACAACAAGACCAACCAAAAAATAAAGAGAGAGACTCGGGCGGACAAAAAGAAGAAAGAGCGGCAGACAAAGGCACTCAACAAAAAGCTAGAAGAGAAAAAGGAAAAGCAGAACTCTGATCCAAACATAATAAAACTACTGAACAGACTTGGAGAGAAGGGGCCCTTCTATGCCTCAAAGCTGTTTAAGCTAATTAAAGCATCTGAGCATAAGATGGAGATTAAGCTAATGATGGCGCAGATAGTCTCGCGTATTATAAGCCACTATAAGATAAACATAAAGGGGTTCTTGGGGTACATGATGCGATTCTTATTCCCACACCAGGACAAATTACCAAGTGTATTTGCGGCAATTGCGCAGTCAATTCATGAGGGAACCGAGGAGAAAGAAGTAGAGGCAGTTTGTGACTTAATTGTGGAGAACTTCTGCAGTGACTACAAGGATGATGATATAATTGCATACGGAATAAACTCAATCAGAGCCATAGTCAAGAGATATCCCGGCGCAGTGGAGTACGATTGTATAAAAAGAATAATGGACTACAGGAAGATGAAGAAAAGAAGAGCAGTTGTTGCATCAACCTCCCTGAAGAAAATGATACGTGAAATAAACAGGCAGAAAGAAGGCGAATTTATGGAGAGCGAGGATGAAGATGTGGACGAAAGCAATGATGAATCTGGCAGTGATGTATTCCTCAGTGGCGAGGAGGATTCTTATGTTGAAGAGAGTGAGAGTGAGAGCGAAGGGGATGACGAGTCCATTCTTTCTAGCACAGATAATCCGCACGGATTTGTAACAGAAGAGATGATTGGTAAGATAAGAACAAAGAGCACGCGAGAAGAGAAGATGGCAACCTCAAAGGCAGAGAAGAGACAGAAGAAGAAGCGAGAGCACACAGGAACCAACAAGGAGAAACAAAAGACCACTAACTACACCGTAAGAAGAACAAAGAGAGTATCTATACCAAAGAAAATAACAAAAAAGAGAAAGAGATAAAGAGAACAATCCAATATAAAGCATAGATATAATAAATTATTTATAAACCAGTTAGATAACTATTTATTACACACAACACCCACTGCAAGAGGAAAGAGGATCATTCATACTCCACAATTAAATCATTAGTATATAACGCAAATATAGGAGAATATAGTAAATAGTGTATAGCTCAGATGTAAAGAATAATTTAAACGAATAAATCTGAAGAGTATTTTTGAGTTATTTCAGTGTATTCGGGTTGTATATTCTGTGCCTGCTGCAGTCTGCTATATAGGCATAAGACACCACTTTTTGTGTATAACTAGCTAGTTATTAGTGATAAATGTATAGAATATGTATTTGATGTACTTTAGCATATAAAGAGTGCAATAATACTAAAAGTGCTTTATTTTGGGTTATATCAAGACATAATAATACTGAGCCAAACAGAATATGTTCTATATTATCTATGTAAGAACAATTTACTGTATGTGTAAAGCAATTGTATTAATATTTCAAGTGCAATAGTTACTTTTATACACTAATAATCATTCGATGCGCATGACCAGAAATTAATATATTTGCTATGCAGTATTTGAGAGTATTTCTTGCACAGGACTGCTCTTAACGATTTATCCTTCTATTATACTAAGCAATTTCTTGTTTATCTCTTTTTCTGTTATAACTACTGGCTTATTCTGTTTTATTTCTCGTATGTATATATTCAGGATGGGATGGTCTTTCAGTGCATCTAATTCGTATAAATATGTATCTACTGTTCCATCTGATAATGATGTAGACATAGTGTACTCGTTAGGCTTATTGCTCTTAGAATGGCCTGCATTCAGCTTATACCGGTTGCATATAGCACCAACCACATTTAGTATCTTGTATGCTATGTCCAAGTCACTGCGCATGCACATAAACATAAGCCTCTTAACAAACATTCTTATAGTAAGAATGGATATGTTTGAGCTATGGAGTAGATCAGATATTAGCAGGAGTAATAGATCAGTTTCATCGCGCATTAACTCAAAAGTAGTGAGGTTATAAAGTATGTTAAACATGTCTATGTCTATGCTGTACTGTGTATATAAAAGAAGAAGGCCCCTAAATGCATGGACTGCTGCTCTTCCCCCTTGGTGCACCAGAGTGACTAAATTGTCAACTGCAATGGTAGGACAGTTTAGTATGGGAAGTGCATCAATTAGTATACAAAGCAAGTCTATTCCCATACTTTTCTGCTGTGTAGCATATTCTAAATCATCTAATAACTTCTGTTCTAAGTCCTCCTGTATATCCTCTGAGTCCAGAACATCTGCCCAGTACTCTATTTTTGCTATAAGTTCTTCTTCACACTGCACCATAAGAAACTATGCAAAAATTTTACAGAATAACTTCCAAAACAAGAAATAGCGCACCTTATTATCCACAGACGCTCTTTGAAACTCTTATGCACAAAACACTTTTACTTATTATATTTAATTATATTATAAATACAATAAGCACATCATGCATAAAACACTTTAAAATAAAAACACAATAACCCGATATAACCCGAATATACAAAATTACTTCTAACTTACGCATAATTACAATCTTAGCCAGTAATCATTCTTAAAAATACAATTTTAATTATTTTATTAGTAAGAGCAAATCTGTCTTTTTTGTAAATCATCCAGGAATCTTCTGCATAAGAAATATTTTAACTTTTTCTTTTCATAAACTCATGGAAGAACAAAAGAACCCAATTACATTCCAGTGCATTTCCTGTAATACAATAATTACAGACTCATTCTTTCTTATGGAGAGAGTTGAGGACAACCTTCTGTTCACAGCAGCACCAAATACGATTATAGACAACTCTATAATAAGCACTGCAGAGACCGATTCAGACGAAACATACTGTTCTTATTCTATTATAAGGTGTATATGCAATAAAGAAATAGGAAGAAAATATGTTACAGTGAATGATTCATTAACCAACTGTTTAAACAACTACTTGATACAGATAAAGAACATACGGGGGTATCAGCTGGGGATGAAGGCTCAAACAAAAGAAGCAGTTATAATGACAAACTCTGAGATAAACACAGAAATAATTAAATTACAGCGGTTCTGCACATTCTTATATAATAAGATAAAGGAGATAAAGTAATGGTGGCTTGGGATTAAATAGTGTAGAAATATGAATAGCCTGACATTCTTAATAACAGAGTTTCGGGGCGCATCTAAGTTTAATGGTTGTATCACAGGGTGCAATTTCTATTCAAAAGTAATTTATTTATTATCTTGAATTATTAAAAATGGAAAATCATCAAAATTATTATATTTTCAGTTATTTTTCAATGTTTATTTATAGATTGATATTTCGTCTTCATTTAGCCAGGTTTTAAGCAAGTCTATCGTGTATTTTTCTAATGCGACTAGGTTTCTTTCTTTTGTAGACTCTTTTATTATCACTGTTTTATCGATAATTTGTATTTCGTTTTTAGGAATAATCCGTTTTATTTTATCTTTAGATACTTCAGCGATTAAATTATTCATTTTTTTTAGCATCTGTGGCTGCCATCCTCTGATCCATCCTTTGTTCTCGATAAAGCAAATCTTTTGACTGTCCTGCGGAGTGTGCATCATAATATATAAGAGTTCGCACTGTGTTTTTAGTATGTCACTAAGTATAAACTGCTGGATGTACTTAGAACATGCTGGGTCGTTCAGTATGGTGGACAGAATTAGTACGATAAGACTGTTTCTATCATTAAAGTTCGTCGTTTTTATTGATACAAATCGTTTCATATTTAACTTTTCTAAAATTTTTGTATTTTGATTTACCATATAGAGTAATTCTAAGATCTGTGTAAAAGTTTTAATAACCAGCCAAGAGCTATCAGCAGAGCTTATCTTTATGGTATAGATGGAAATATCCTTCTCATTCTCGTGCAAAAACCTATTATAAACAACTTCTACTGAAAAAGGCGGCTCTATCTTTGTCCCAGGGGCATAAATATGACTTTTGTTAGATGATTCACACGATTCGTCACTGCTCAAGGAATCAAATTCTATTTTTATCCCTTTTTTGTGCCAATATATCTTATTCTCCTGTGGGCCATCCATGCACTTGTAGAAAAAAAAGGAAAAAATAAAAAAGGGGCATAAACTGATAGATGATTTTGACGTATATTGGGCATTGCATAATGAAAAAGAGTCAAAACATATAAAAAATGAAGTTGGCCATTCTCTTATCTTATTACGTTCTGGGATTATTTGCTCTTTAAAAACACTTACTGTTTTATCTAATACATGCATAAATAACTCAAAATACATTGTATAACATACTTTTATTGATAATTTTCAGATTAATTTGTTACTGCATGCAGTCTGTGTATCTACAGCCTATTGGCCACTTTATAACCCGAATTTTCATTGGCTGTTTAGTATTTGTAATACACTGTGCATAAATACGCAGTAGTAAAATTTACTTTTTTTATAGGGGGAGGATGAGACAGCAGAGTAATTCATTCCATAACACCAAGACATACCTTGACAACATAGAATTCACAGATAATCAAGTGAATAATAGGATATTACTTAAAAAAGTACTTCCCAGCCTGATAAACCTGGACACTTCTATTTCTATTATGCTTAGTACTCTTTCGCCAGAAGAGTATAGGGAATATGAGAAATACGTTAATATTGCAATAGATAGTAATATATCACGACTAAGTAGTAATGGCAATGCGAGTATAGAAATACCTAAATCTAACGGAAGTTTACTTTCTGACTCATTTTGTAGTAAGATATATGCGTACCATGGTGGTTTATTAAGGATAATGAATTATATGAAGACAGAAATAATTGAGGAGAATGATAGCTTGTTTGATTTAGTAATGGAGATATTTGAAGATATGATCCTTGGGCTATACAGCACGTATTGTATACATTATGTTATATACGGTCTTATAATGCGCACAGACAGTAGGCTAAGCGGTTATATTTCCTTTTTAGCTAATATTGTGCACGGCAATGACCAGAGACGAATTGTTGCTTCGCTCTGTCTTGGGTCTTTATTAAAGAGGCTACGGCACTTATCCGATGAGGCCAGAGAAATAGTGGATGAGTATATTTTCGACTGTAAAAATAGAATTATCAGTATGAATGATGGATTTAGTGACGTGCTACTATCACAATTATGGAGTATTAGTGAAAATCCAGTACTAGCTATAGACACAGCAACAATTCCCGTGGAAAAAGAAAAAATACCAGTAAAAGTAAAAACACACCTACAGGGCATTGCATGTACAAGAATAGAAGTGTATGAAGCCATACTAGAAGATGAACAGAATATATAGGTTGGTTAGTATAGGATTAGAAGAAGCACAAGAAAAAGAAAGAAATACAGATGGGAAGGCCTGAAATTTAATAAATAGACATAAATAATAGATGGTCTGAATTAGATAGAGTATCAGCAGGTGTTAGTACAGATGTAACCCACGGCTTGAAATTTCTGTGTATATCTTCATTCAGTCTATTTCATAAAAATCAATAATTTTAATTTCTAGGCACTTTGGGGTATAAAAATCTGGACATGTCACTGATATGTATAAGAAGAAATTATTAACCAGACAGGAATTATTCCTAAACAAAGTCCGTTTATTTATGCAAAAATCGATTACTGCTGCTCTGCAGCACTGGATAATTTTGCTGGTTTTGAGCCATTGGATAAACGGAAGGTTTCTTATTATTCATCTATTTCCGTTTAAATATCTCTTCTAGTAGCATTATTGTATCGATTTCGTCTTTTCTTTTGCATTTTCTTGTTTGAAGCCTTTCAATTATTCTTTCAATTTCATTTTTTCTGTGGGCACTCTTCTCTGCACACTCCCTTAAGACAGTTATTCCGTATGCTGTGTCTTCCTCAGGAATTATTGGCCTGGCAATAAATCTGTCTATAATATGCGGGAGCTGCTCTTGATTACTCTCATTAGCCAGTGTGCTTATGCACCTGAGCAGTAGAATATCACTATTATTCTGGCTGAATATATACTTAACAGCCTCGCCGTTTAAATACTTACCAGCTACTTGCACTGGCACAGTTCCGCATTGCCCATTTACAATGCAGTCTGTAAAGAATTTAATTGTTCTTTCGGGTAGGTCTTTTACAGCCGTCTGTGGGCTGTTAATCAGACTGACGTATAGGTAGCTTGCACTGTATATACACTCCCCCCAAATAATTTCGTTATTGATGATATTTATGCTAATGTCAATGTAATGCGATATTCCATAGATGATATTAATAATGCTTAGTATAAGTATATTATACGCGTTGTACTCGCACACACTATTGTTAACTGAGTACATAAGCAGTTCATTATAATTTGAAATGCTTTGTGGGTGGTATGCTACATTCAGTGATACTATATCGTAAAGGTATTTAATGGATGCTGCACTAAGAGTTTCTGTGCTTTTCAGTAGTATTTTATATACAGCTGGGTATATGTTGTTTGTGAACCATTGAATTGTCGAATCCTGTGCATAGTTCGTGCCAGCAGCATTCACTGCATTATAGTGCATCTTCATGTAAATGAAGAGGGCTTTTATTGGCCCATCACTGCACTCTTCCTTTATTGTACGGAGCAAGTACTCAAACACGTTCACTCTAGCAGAGTATGAAATGTTTTTTTTGCTGTGCACGTATACTGTGTATGCCAGCCCTATTGATATGTACAGAATATACTCTGGCACCTCAGCTGATTCATTTAATGTAACTAAATGATCCATGGCATTGAATATATCCTGCGCTCTGTCTTCTAGCCCTCCTGCAATATTATACTGCACAGCCAGTATAAGAATAGCGTATGCTATACCAAGCACTTCATGGGTATTTGTAATATCTCCCTTTATTACCGTGTGTAGTGCGTGCTGTATATATTCACTGTATATGCCACTAGCCAGCCTGTACTTGCTTCTGATCAGGTACAGAATAATATATACTGAGCTCACTTGAAGCTTGCTTGGTGCGCCGTGTGCTTGCTGTACAGTGTGGTGAATAAGATCTGTAAGAGTCAGTGCCCCTCTGGCCAGAAGGTCTTTTAATATTCCTGCAGAGATTTCTCTGGTCAGAGTAGGATCGCCCTGCAGTAGTTCATTTATGTACTCTACAGTCCCTACGTCTGTATCTACAACTATCTTACTGATAAGCATTTTCAGTATGGTAGAGATCGTCTGTCCATCCAGTCTACAGTGCGTATTAAGAAGAACCTGTAAGTAATTCATGAATTCCACTTGAATACCTTCATCGAGCAGTTCTGATGTAGTGTATAGCCTATCCATTGTGCTAGTAAATGGCATAAAGCTATCATACGCATCCGAATATCTGCTTATAAGTATACTTGCCACTTGTATCTGAATAACCACCGCAGAGCGTATAATACACACTAAAGGATCTGTTGAATGCACATTTTTCAGGTGGTTATTGTTTATCGGTATGAAAAGGCCTGCTGTGTAATGTTCTATGTTTTCTTCATAGTAATCAGGTATGTCGTGAACTAAAATACTGTAAATTATTGTGTATATGCATATGTATATCTGTAGGGATATTTCTGTATCTGGGTGTGCTATTATATACTGAACCAGTGCGTGGAATATGGTCTTAGTCACTTCTATCAGATGGTTTATCTCTAAGTACAATTCATCTGATTTTTCTTTAGTTCTGTATTTCTGTGTATATCTTACGAGAAGATTCAATGTTTTAACAGCTGCTTTATCTGGCTGCGTAATCCGGCCTAGTTCTATCACAGGCAGTACATCAGACAGAGTGAGTGCATTTGACAGAATACTAATGGATTCGTATAATAATTTATCTGTTATCTCTGATTCTTGTGTGATATACTGGCATACATGTGAGAATATTGTTGTGTAGTACTGCGTGTCCACTCCTTTTTGTATTGCGCTATGGGAGAGAGAAAGCGAGAGTGAGTGTCTTAAGAAAAGCGCAGCAATCTCCTTCACTTTTGGTGGTGAAGATCCGAGCTGTTTAACAAATGCTGTGATCTCTTCTGTGTCACCATTTATTCTTCGTGCCAGAATTTCTGCTTCTTTTGTTTTTGCTGGGTCAATATATGCCCGGAGTAATTCGTATACTTCACTTTCTTTCATGGATAAAAAAAATTATTTCGGGTTTTATGCTTTATATTAAGTACGCAGTGTAATTAGTCTTATTCTCAAAGTATATTTCTCTGTGAGTGTGCTTTTTCATGGACTCCTTTTTGTTTTATGTAAGGATTGTCAGGTTTTTCATGCACAGGAAAAAAGGCAAAATTTATTATTTTCTAGCAGAGTAAGTGCAGTATAAGATATTTTTATGCGAGCTGTACAGTATTCTATATTTAGGGTTATATCGGGCTATGCGCGTATGGTGCTGTATTAGCAGAGTGCGTGATGATTCGTTTGTTTCATAGCCCTGTCTAATTTCTGTGTATTATTCAGATGGTTTCATTTTGAAACAGTCTATAAAGTTGGCAGCCTCTATAATAAACATGAAGACGATTATAATGCTAGGGTCACTTGGGGTAATTGCTGCCTTAACGAGTGAAGGCATAGACTTATCCCTATGCTCAGATGATAGGAAGTATTGCTTTGACGAGCTACATGGAATGATTAGAAGGGTAGGTTCTGATGAAATTGCTCCACCATTTGGTGTGTATTCCTCTACGGGCGCTTCTATGGGCGGTTTCTCTATGGGCCAGGTGGGGAATCCAGAAGTATTAAATACGAGTCTAGCTGGGCATTCATTAAAACTAGCCCCAGAGTGTGGGGTAGAGCAGGGCGGCCTAAGTTGTCAGATAATATCGAATAAAACAACCACACCAACAGTTGCTCCAGCAGTTGCACAAGTTGTACATGCCACACCAGTTGTTGAAGCCACTCCTGTTCATACTGTACAAGCCGCTCCTGTTGTTGAAGCACAGGTTGTACATGCCACTCCAGTTGTTGAAGCCACTCCTGTACAAGCCGTACAAGCCGCTCCTGTTGTTGAAGCACAAGTTGTACATGCCACTCCAGTTGTTGAAGCACAAGTTGTACATGCCGCGCCTGTTGTTGAAGCCACACCTGTACAAGCTGTTCCTGCAGTGCAGCCTACCACAGTAAGCACTATACCTTCAGTGGACAGCTTAGGCGATGATTGTAATGATAAGACCGTTGTAACATCAACCCCAACAAGTGTATGTTATTCAAAACCAAAAAAACGGTTTGTATCGGTTAAGTGCTGTAAAACAGTTCACATACCAGTTAAGGCTAAGAAGAGGAAGTTACCTTGTCTCTGTGCTGATGGCACTCCTGCAGAGCCTTTATTACCATCCGCGTTTTCTTTATCCCGGTATACAGATGATATTTTATATGAGCCACCCAAGAAAATAGCTGCAACCCCGGTTACTGTTACTTCATCACCCACTATCTCTGCTGTACCTGTTTCTGTTGCTGCACTACCTGCATCTGTCACCAGAATACCCACTGAGACAGAGAATGCACAGATATACCTAAACAATCTGTTAAACGCACAGAACAGGCTAAACAGCAGGATTGGGCGGATGAACACTTCAGAGCATGATAAATTAATAGTGGAACAAGATAAGAAATATATTATAAGAGCAGCACAGCAATTATAACCCGAATAGCTGATTGTCATTACATAAATAAGAATAGCTAGTTGGTTCTTTGTTTACAGTTAAATAAATCTAAAGTACTTTTATTACATAGCGTGTTATTAATTTTATTTATTAATCAATACATAAGTAAGTTCTACTTAATAAGAATAATCCATTAATAAAAATAGGGCAGCAGTAAAATTATAAGTAAAATAGGAGAAAGGGGAGGTGAGGAGGGATAATATAATAGGATAAAATAGGATATAACGAGATATAATTGAATATGAGAATGGAATATAATAGGATTTAATTATAATATTGTATAACAATTATTTTATATTAAAATAACAGTAATTTATACGATGAAAATATAGAGAAAGTATTAAATATCTCCTTTATAATATTATCATATTGTCTATACAAAGATATACTAATAAAATAAAAATTCAAAAAAGAATAAACTGCCTCATTAAAAAACCTGTTGATATATTCGTCTGATTCTACATGTAATGGGAGTATATCACATATCCTATTAACATTGTGCAAATTAGTACCATCTTCTGTTAAACAATCAAATAATGAAATTATTTCATAGTGTGATATAGAAAATAAGAATTCTTGTTTAAAGTAAGAATAGAAAAATCTATCATTATTCAAGTATAATGTTATCCAGTATATGATATATTTTGGTGATTTTAGCAATATTAAGTACTTAATCATTCGGGTTATATCAGAAAGATCAAAAACATGTGGTGTATTTGAACTATAATCAGATATATTATACATATTCGTATTTAATGGCCCTGGCAGGGATACGGATTTGTCTTTATTGTTGACAAAGTAATTGCTAAGAATATTTTTAATAGCTGAAATAACGGGCATTTTTATATTTGACGTATCTTTAAGTAATAGTATATTAAGGCAAATGATCAAATCAGATTTAAGTCTATATGTGCTGAGCTTGCCTTGCATATGTATAATATTAATAGAGTCAAACTGGTCTATGGTGTAAACGATACATGGCAAGTCGATAATTAATCCTTCTCTAGGCAGTGTAAAGTGCTTAATCCTTTGTGATATATAATGATTAACCATATGCCCAGTTAAATTATGAATATCTCTGGATTTAATTTGATTATTTATGGATTTAAATATGTTTAAAGTATCTGGTAATAATCCAGTATATTGATTATCTAAAGACACTTTACTATCAAAAGGATTAAAATATATGAAAATCCCATCAGTGCATCCATTATAATCATAATTTATGAACAATTTACCGAATATATCTATTTTACCGCCTTTCCAGATGGCTTTTGATGGTAAAAATTGTATTTTCATAGCACACGGATTAAAATCCGATGGTTTTGATTTCGGAAGACAATTCCTAGAAAGAGATGTAAAGAATTTTGTAATGTACTCTGTGATATTTTTAGTCGCAAAATTATGAAGCTCTTGTAAATAATCAGAATCTGCTTCTGAACTGTCATTACTATCCTCATGCATATCATACCCCCTACATATGCAGGCCAAAGAATCGCGTAGACTCTTAATGTGATGCTTTTCTGATTCATACGTACCTGTAAGTTCTGATATTATATAAAGAAGGTTAATTAGCCCTGGATATATACTGCGTTTTGTACTATCACAATATGAGATATCTTTGTTATTTAATTTTTGGATTATCTCAGTCCATGCTGTGTACGCTTCTTTACTTATTTTCTTACCCGGGATGATTTTTTTATTTTTAGAATTATAAGAAAGTGAAGAATTTCCGTACATTCTATTATTAAGTATATTAATAATGGAAGAGTCTGGCATACAAAAAAGCCTTTTTAAATCACTTTTAATATATGGAAGGTGGTCTAAATTGTACTCCTGTGTTCTAACATCAAATAGAAAGCAGCAGATTATTCCCAAAAGAGTATTTTCAGCAGCACTGTGATCTTTTGGTTTTGCAAGTTCTACTATATTACTTCTATTACTGTAGAAATGAAGTATTCTTCTCTTTTTAGAGACATCTTCAAATTCTGAAAATGGTATTAATTTCATTTTATCAGTATTGTTTATGTGAGAATTTATCTTATTTATATGGATTAGTTCTTGGCACATTTTAGGAGTTCTTCTTTTTGTGAGTATAAAGCATTTTCTACGCAGGGTTTTAGCTGAATTTATTCTTTCACTTGAAAGTTTCTTTTTAGTAGACGTTTTTATTATTTTTTGTAGTGTACTGTATACTATTTTTATAAACTGAATCATTTCTTGTTGGCTGTTCATGTACTTATAAATATAAATCTGAATAAGCCATCTAGAACTGTCCATGAATTTGCCTTCATTAAATGAGCCAATTGTGGGAGTCTCTGTAATATCATATAATTCTTGAATATTCGGGTTATTACATACGTATAAGAAGAAATTAATAATAATTTCTATTTTATTCTTATACTCTGACTGTAGTACTTCATTTATATCCTGTAAATCATTAGAATCTTTGATTACCTCAGATATATTTATACTAATTACTTGATCAGATATATTTATATCTGAAATAATCAAGAATCTCTGATTTTCAATTGTTTCTGTTTTTATATTCACATGTACACCTTCTGATAGTAATAATAATGCAGCAATAATCTTATGCGAATGCGGTTTCACACTGGGAGCATTAAGAAATCGGAATAATTCCGGATCTGAATTTGAATTATTTAGTCTGATACTTACTGTGTCATTAGCAATATAAAACATATTTATAAGTACTGTATGGTATAAATATGAATAGTAAGACATTTTCATATCATTTGAGAAAATTCTGTGCACTCTTTCTTTTGCTATATTATTGCCATTAAAGAATATTCCTTCTTTACTACTTTCCCAGTTAATATAATTCATATCTAATTCGGCTGAAAACAGTCGTTTATTATACATAAACCCACAGAATTCATCTATAAATCCAGCTAGCATACCCAATGAACCGTATGGGTTTACAAATGCTCTTTTATTACTGGAGTCTTGAAGATTTGTATTATAAATTTCTTCTATATTCTTGGTGCAATTAACATAAAATACGCCACATAATAAGAATATAAGGAGTATACGGAAAATAGCTCTAATTGTTCTATATAATTCTTGTTTTTTATGTGAAATTGAGTAATTTTGGTGTAATTCTGTCTTATTCATAAGAATTTTCATTAATTTTATTTTGTAAAAGAGTTTTATAAATAACCCAAAAATCTTATTATAGTATAAATAGAAAAGTAATAATTAATAACCCGACATAACCCTTAACAGCCATACAATATAAGTAATCAGTAGTAAATACAGTATATCTTGAGTAATTCATAGAGTAACTGAGAAATGAACGATTTAAGTATAAAATATCTGTAAAGTAATCAGAATATACTGTAATTATAATTGGAAAGTATTAAAATCCCGTGGAGTATCACAGAGTGCATCAAAAATCATAACAGATCAAGGACAGTGGCTGTTTTATTAAAGATTTATCATTTGCTCTCTTATTTCACTGACTAATTTTCTAATGGTAGAATCTTCTGAGTAAACTACAGTGCATGCAGCTACTGGCCTGGAGAGACCGCATGCCTTTCCAAGTGCAGATACGCTGGGTACAAAGAAGAAGGTTCTGTTCTTATTCTCACACAGAACAATCAGTGGCTCTACAATAGCAAAGGGAAGTGCATTTCCTCCTAAAAATACTAATTCTGCATCTCCTTTGTTGAGTTTCTTAATAGTTTCATTAACTCCTACTTTCAGTGTGTGATTCTTCTTTGCTAGACTTACCAGGTCGTACACCTTCTTGGTTACATTAGATGGGCACAGTGGTTTTGCTTTAGGATGTGTTTTTTCTGATTTCTTATCCTTTGTCTCTGCTGGTCTTTCTTCCTTCCTGGATTTTTCCTCTTTTCTGGATTTCTCCTTCTTCTGGCGCTGTTTCTCGTCAATTGTTCTGCTCATGGTGGGATAAAAAAATTTGCGGTTATTTCGTTATAACCCAAAATTCTAAAAATGAATTTCTGTCCTTCACCACTCAAGAAGATTCTTCCTCTTGAAAATCTCTTGAAAAATACTTCTGTCCACCCTCTCCATCTCTGAAAGAGAAAGTTTGACTGTTTTCCCAGTGAGGTTGCTCATATTAATGCTTAAAGAGTCAAAATACCCCAAAATAACTCCTTTTTTATACGCACACATACTTCCAGAAGAAAGAATTCTGTCCACTCCCTCAGACACTCCCAATTCCGTATTTCCCATCTCCTGCTCTTCTTGCATGAATAAATAATTTTTCTGTTTGCAGGTGCACATGGCATTTATACAAAAGCTTGCACAAGCGATAGAATCAGAATTCCCAAAGGAAAGAGCAGACAGTTCCTGGGACAACACAGGGATTCTTCTAGAATTTGATAATACAAAAGAAAATGCTTTACTCTGCATAGATTTAACAAAAAGTGTTCTAGAAGAAGCAATTGAAAAGGGGGTGCAAACAATTTTAGCGTACCATCCACCAATATTCACTCCACTTAAGCAGATAAATCAAGAGAGTCCCATACTGTACACATGTATAAACAAAAGAATATCCATATACTCACCGCATACAGCACTAGATGGAGGATTAAATGGGATAAATCACTGGCTAAGTACACTCATCCCAGAAACAGAGCACATAAATACATTCGGGTATGTACAAACGTACAAGAATAAAGTACCAATTAATGACATACTTAAATCACTCACTACATCATTAGGCATACGCACTGTAAGGTACGTCCTAGGGGACACACATACACTATCAACAGTTCCCGTGAGTGTTTCAATAGGAGCAGGTGCATCCAGCCGCATACTAAAGAAGTACATTACATCTGAGCAGAGTATAAGGAGTACCTCTAATTCTCCATCATTAATAATCACAGGAGAATCCTCCCACCACGACTTACTCTACTTTCAGAGAATGAACGCGTCTGTGATTATTTTAGAGCACTCCAGGAGTGAAAGAGGATTTCTTCCAACTTTATACGCCCACATAAAAGAACTTCTACCCTCTGCAGACATTTACATCTCACAAGAAGATAAAGATCCAGTTGAATTCTACACGCAAGAATAAAGATGTAACGATTTATTTTTTAGTTATCAGCAGTCTTCTCTACTAAAACAGTCCCATCAAAGACAGTTCTAAACCAGTTAATGGCCTCATCTCTGGATACTCTCTGATTCTTTCCTACCTTTGCCTTGCACTTTCTTCTTTGACTGACTCTCTTTCCAGGCTTAGCCAGTACTACACTAAAGTCCATTCCAAAGATACCTATGTTAGTATCATATTTTATACCAAGGTCAATGTGCTCCTGTATACCAAACCCGAATGTTCCTGTGCTGGAAAAGCATGTGTATGGTAGTTCATACTCCTTTACACGTAATCCTGCTGTAAGTACTTCCATTGCTTTCTCTCCTCTGATAACCACATTTGTAGCAATCTTTTCATTTCTTCTAATTCCGAATGCACGGAGAGTAATCTTTGCTTTACTAAAGACTGGTGACTGGCCAGATAATTGTTCAAGCACTTTTGCTGCCTTGTTTAATGAATCATCATTCTTTCCGGTACAAATGTTCAAGCAAATCTTCTCTAGCTTTATTTGTTTCATGGGATTCTCTTTTCTCTCCATTCCGACTGGGGCGTTATGAAAAAATAAAATTAAATACTTTTATGGTATAAGAAATCTTCAAAATTCAAGAGAATTAAACATATTGTAGGGTACTTTTAATGACCAAAGGATTTCTCATTTATAGACCGTTTTATTATTCCTCTGTTACGGATTTTTGAGAGTGTTTTACCATCTTTATTTATTACATATTTAGGAAATTCCAAAGGGAATTCCATTACTTTATATGATGCAGTATCTGATTTAAGAAGGATCCTTCCATCTTTATACTTTATAATGGTTATATTTCCTTTTTTAAGAGTCTTTGGTATTTTAATAGCAATTGACATTCTCAGAAATTTAAATATTTAAATATTTATAATTTATTATACATAGCATAAAAATAAGTATTTGTTACTCATAGCATAATAAGTATATAATATAACAAGTACATTATTTACTACGCATAGCATCATAAGTGTACATTATTTATTACACATAGTATAATAAGTATTCATTATTTATTATACATAGCATTATTGGTTTTGGATAGTTAGGTCCATAATATTAATGGCTAAGTATGCTATTAATATATGAGTATCCATCATTGGTGGCAATGGGCATGTTGCTATCATACGTAGTTGGAGTTAAAACTATTTAAGAGTTTTGGGGCTTTAATAAAGAACAGGTTTTCATATGCCTAAGTCTTTAAGGAATAAACAGCTATTAGTATAACTTATTATAACTTATTACACATAGCATAATAAGTATATAGCAAGTACATTATTTACTACACATAGTATAATAAGTATCTACTATATATTACACATAGCATAATAAGTGTACATTATTTAATTATATTATTATAATGTCTAATATAAATATATTAGAAATAATTAAATTTTTTAAATGGCAAGCAGTGAAGACAAGGTAAGTGAACCTCCAATCAAGAAAGTGCAAGAAATGGACATAAATCAAAAAATAGACTATGAAATAAAAGATATAACCAGTGATTTAATAGGAAAAACAGTTAAATTCCATGGATGGGTACGTAATTTCCATCAAGTAGGCAAAAAAGCCTTTTTTACAGTATACTCAGCAGGGTACACAGCCAAGTGTATATACACAAATAACGATAAAAAGATCCACCTGACTAAACATACAACAGTCATCATAACAGGACAAGTAAAGAATAATTATACAAAGGATACCTTCCCATGCGAAGTGCACGTCACCTCCTGTGAAGTATTTAATGGTAAAGTGGCCCCACACTTAGAGGTAGATAAGGACCAGACAAGTGAATCATTCTTATTAGACCACCAGCATATTTTAATACGTGACTCTGAGAAAGCGGCCGTATTAAAAGTGCGTGCTGAATTATTGAAGATAACCCGTACATTTTATGATAAAAATGAGTACACTGAGATAACCCCACCCACACTCGTACAGACACAAGTTGAAGGAGGGAGTACTTTATTTAAATTAGACTACTTTGGTGAGGATGCATTCTTAACACAGTCATCCCAGTTATATTTAGAGACCGCTGTGCCCGTATTTGGCCGGGCGTACTGTATTGCATCTTCATACAGGGCCGAGAAGAGCAATACGAGAAGGCATTTAAGTGAGTATACGCATGTAGAAGCAGAATTAGCATGGATTGAGTTTAATGATTTATTATCAGAGATTGAAGACTTAGTCATATTCTTAACGGAAGGGTTTAATACGCGGTGCATCCCGATCCTGGCGCATTTTGGGGTTAAGGTTAGTGCAGTGCCTGTCCCCAGCAAGCCCTTTAAAAGGGTCCAGCACAGTGAGGCCATAGATATATTACGTAAGCATAATATTAAGAGGGAGGATGGTCAGGCGTATACGTATACGGATGATATACCAGATGCCCCTGAGAGGTACTTATGCGATGTGGTTGGGTCTGGGTCTCCTGTGTTCCTGACTAAGTTCCCTGTGGAGATGAAGAGTTTTTATATGGAGCGGGTTGAGGGTGGCCTGACTAACAGCTGTGACTTATTATACCCTGGTGTGGGTGAGGTAGTTGGTGGGTCAATGAGACTGTTTGATTATGACGATTTATTAGCTGGGTTTAAGCGGGAGGGGATATCTCCTGAGCCATATAAATTTTATACTGACCAGGCCTTATACGGCCCATTCCCGCACGGTGGGTATGGACTGGGGTTTGAAAGGATCCTTATGGGGTTTATGCCTGAGATTGTTTCTAAAGTACGGTATGCTTGTTTGTACCCTAGGTTTAATGGTCGGTGCAGGCCTTAAATTTTTATTTTAATTAAAAATCGGTTATTTTTATTACTGTAATAGTGAATAATATAAAAAATTCATTAGTGTAGATTTTTATTATTTTATTATTGGCTGTATAACGTGTTATACATTATTACCATAATTATACTGAAATATTTTAGGGTTAATTCGGGTTATTATATCTTTATATTTAAATTATAACGGACTTATCTCTCTCACCTGAAGAAGAGCTCTTTTACCACCACCCTCAAAATAAAAAGAAGGCGTCTTATCAGCCTTATCTGGTCTGTCCGGCCTGTCTGCCTTATCCGGTCTGTCTGGTCTGTCCGGCCTGTCTGCCTTATCCGGTCTGTCCGCTCTATCTGCCTTGTCTGCCTTATACAATTTGTCTTCCCTGTCTTCTCTGTCTGCCTTATCCGGTCTGTCCGGCCTATCTGCCTTATACACCTTGTCTTCCCTGTCTGCTTTATATACCTTGTCTATCTTGTCTTCCCTGTCTTCTCTGTCTACCTTATACACCTTGTCTGCCTTATATATCTTACTGATTCTGTCTACTTTGTCTGGTCTGCTTGTTTTCTCTATTTCTTCTTCTATCCTGTTATTTTGGTTTATTTCTCCTGTATTGTATAAGTCCCTTTTAAGCACGTGCTCTGTACACTGAATATTTAATGAACTTTCTTCTCCCTGTTCATTCTTATAATTAGAAATATCCTGCATGACCGTATTTATCTTACGGGTCCTTTTTTCAGGTTTTTTATGATTGGTTTTTGTACTTAAATTTATAATTGACTCTGCCGTTATTTTTATAGATTTCTTATCACTCCCTTCTGTACACTCGCTGTACTTAATTAATTTATCTTTAATCTGCCTTGGTGTCTGTGCGAAATCTATCCCTGACCACTCGGCTGGGTAACCCTTACCACGAGATATTTCCTCTTTTAGCTCCTTTACGCTGTAATTGCCACACCAAATATTGGCAAGGACCCTCTCCACCCACACTCTCCAGTTATTATAGCAATTCTTAAGTAAAGGTACTTTAAACACTTTCTCATTGCTATACTCGCATATTATATCTAATAAGTGCTCCTTTACATCTGACCACTTCTCTACTTTATTCTTAGCCTCATTCACTTCTAGAACCTCCTGGTACTCTTTCATTTTCCTTTTAAGTACTGATAAGTCTGGGTTTATTATAGTATTTATACCCATTGCCATATACCTGACTTTATTTGCACTGGATGAGTCCCTTATACTCTCCTCTAACCATATGAGATCTTCAACTGCTTCTATTACATCGTACGGATTCTGTGTAAAGTCCACTTCACTCCGTATTTGATTAATTAAATCTTTAATCTCCTTTTTATTACTCCTGTGGTCATCTTCTGTTCTCTCTGTAACTCCGTCCCTGTGGTATTTTCTGGATTTATTGCTATCCTGTGGATTTCTGTGTAAATGCGTACTTTCTTTTAATATTCCACTTACACTTTTTTTATTTTTTTTATTTTTAATTTTGTATTAATATCTTCTGTTATAGAATTTGCCTTTGCCTGTCTGGGATCCTTAACAGAATATTTGTACATTTTAGAATATTTCCACATTCCTATTTATACTTTAATACAACAGGGAATAATTGGCTTGTTATTTGTGTTTTATAGGTAACCAATTATACTGCAGGGATTCTGTTCAATAGATTATTACTTATACACTATTGGATGAGTATTTTATTCAGGCACGTATACTTGTACCGAATATAACCCGAAATAACCTGAAATTTAAAACTTACTATTAGTAGAGAAATAATTTATTACTCATCATAATCCTCAATTGAAGGCTGCTTATACGTTGAAGAATATTTGGGTTCTTTAGCGTACTCGTTCATTGCTGTTCTGTTGTTTACTTTGTGATGGACTCTTTTTAAGAATGGATCATTCTTTGAAGAATTCTTGGATTTAAACACGTTGTTTACCACATCAGTATGCCTTCTTCTCTGCACACGTAATGCACCTGTTGCAGATTCTGTTAATTCTAGGGATTTTGGTGCAAGTGTTGCAATTCTTGCTAAATTTGCAGCTGCGAATTTTGCCTTACTTGCTGGAGTTGCTTCCAGTGCTTTTGGACACTTTTTTACTGCACCTGTGCACTTGTCTGGCTGGTCTTTGCTTATGCCGCTATTTGCTATGGTAAAGTAAGTAGCACGAGAATTCGTCTTTGGATTAACTTTGCTGTACCCAACTACTTCCTTGCTTTTATATGCTGGCTGTAACTTATTTGATCCTGGCTTGGTTGTAGAATCAAATGAATTATCTGCCATACCAACTGATTTCTTAAGGGGGGCTCTTATATTGTTCCCTTTTGTTTTTGGAGTGAATGCACCGTACTGCTTCTTATCATGCTTTAAGTGTGCTGGTGTTGGCAATAAATCAGCTGCATTTCTTTGTTTTGTCTTCTCAGTGGAGTATCCTGATAAAGCACTATTTCTTTGCATAGACTGACTTTGTGCTGAATTAGAAGGTGTTCTATTGAAAGAGTCTCCTTTTTTCAGACTCATTCTCTGAACATCTTTATGTATGCCTTTAGATGACCCTGCAGCTCCACTGGATGGTCCTGCAGTGGATTCTGATGGGACAGGCATTCCTTTTGTTGGAAAGTCTTTCCAGTTACTGGCAGATGTTGACTCTAACTGATTCTTTATTTTATCCGCTGCATCTTGTTCATTCTCATTATCATCATCTTCAATTACTGCTGTTTGCTTACTCTGGTCTATTGGTAGGGTATAATCCTCATCTGCAGTTGTCCATGTGCTGTACTTCTTTGTTTTCTGTGCATCTGCTATTTTCTTGGCTGACCTATTAATTGCATTCAGTGCAAGCTTCAACTCCTGGTCTGACTGAACATTATTCAGAGTTATTTCTTCAATTGGTCTGGCGGCAGTGTGCTCACTCTGCTGCTGTGGTGTTGCCCCCATTCTGATTCCTGTTCTGGTCCTGTCTCTTTCACTTCGCATGCTTGGTGAACCAGCTACGTTTATAGCTTGTACAGGCCGTACCATGGGATTCTTTATCTCCCATGATGGCTTATTACTTTTACGTGTTGCTCTTTCTCTTCTGTGTGTTTTTCCCATATTCTTTACCTTTCGCATTTGCTTATATAGACACTCAGGAGAACTAATCTCCTTTTAGGGGATTAAATTAACTCTTCTTATTGGTTAATTTCCTGTGATACGTGAAAATTCATCGGTTTTAATTTATCTCCTTATACGTAAATCATCTCCTTATTATACCCCATATTCGTATACAACCATATCATGTGATACACTCTAAATTTATATTATACTACTAATTTATTTAGGGTTATATCGGGTTATTTACATATTTAATGGTTTAATTTCTGTGCGTCTCTTTGTATTTTTATGTTTTTTCTGGCTTCTTTATTTTCTGTGTTTCTCTTTTTATTTTAAGCCATATGCACATAAAGATAAAAACACTCGAAGGGACTGAAGTACAATTAGAGGTGGATAAAGCAATGAAAGTAAAGCAAGTAAAGGAATTGCTACAAGAAAAAGAAGCAATTTCCATAGAACAGCAAAGACTTATTTACGGTGGAAAACAGCTTGTAGATGCAAATACAATAGAAACATACGGAATACAGAACAATGACGTACTCCACCTTGTACTTGCACTTAGAGGTGGCTAAATATACATAAATTTATGTGTTTCGGGTTAATTCGGGTTATCTCCTGTTCTTCCACTGGAAGTATTGCTGTGATGCCATTAATTCAACTATTTGCTTATACTTCAGTGACTCAACAAACTCCTTTGAATCAATCAGTAAGTCAAGAATATTCAAGCACTGTGGAAAGAATAAGTATTTTGCAAATTCTGGTCTTTTCCAGTATCTTAAATAAGACAGGAACTCTCTAAATTCGGGTTTGTTAAAATACCCTTGTTGGTATAAATACTGAAGATATTGCGGATTGCACAGGCACTGCATAAATTCTAATTCTTCTACAAACCGAGACATGCACAGAATAAAAATAAAACATAAAATTTGGATTTTTATACACCCGGAATTTAAAGAATTCTTTGGTGGGTGGGGATAATTAACGGAATAAATATGAAATATTGTAAAAATAACAGTTATTCCATAAAAGGAAAATCGGTTATTTTTATGGTATTTTGTATTTAAACCTGTTAATTATTTCTTGGTTTACTCGCATTAAAGGAATTTTAGTGAATATTTTTATTGATGGAATATTTTTACTGGTTTATTTGGGTTTAATGCTTTTTTTTCCCCTTGGCCTTTCTTTCTTCTGCTCTCTTTAATCCAGCCTTATCCTTTTTCATTCTTCTGTCTGTCATTTTGAACTTCCCTTTAATTCCCTTTGCAACGGTTCTTGAGGGACCTGCAAAGACCATTTTAGGCCTTTCTCTGACTTCTTTTTTCATGGCACCTTTTCTGATGGCTCTTAAGTCAACTGCCTCCTCGCCCTGCTCAAGTCTTTCCTTTATTTTTCTTAGCTTTCTTTCTACTCTTCGCATACGCCGGGCCTTTATCTCTTCAAGCTTCTTTGAAATAGTCACTTTCTTCTCAAGATCATCTCTCTTTTCATTGAAGACGTACCTTCTGTTGTACTTCTCTTCGTCATTTCGGAAGAAGTGTGGGAGGTTTTCGTCATCATCGTATACGTACCTGTCGATTCCGTCATTTTCAAACTCCTCTTCATCTTCCTTTAGTCTGTACCCGCACACTTTATCTTCTATGTCTAATGAAGATGAGCATGAGTCTGCATCACTGTCATTCTGCTCACTCTCTGCATCCTCTATCTCTTCATCAGATTCTATGTCCTCAACAGACTGCTCGTTGCTTTCATCTTCATCCCTGTCGAATATGTTGTCTTCAAAGAAGTCTCCGTGTATTTTCTCTATTTCTTCCACGTCATTTTCAGTTAGGCCAAGACTCTTGGTTCTCTTTGCAAGAATCTTTCTCTGCTGGATTTTCTCTCTTCTCTCCATGGCGCGCTGTATCTCATTTAACTCATCCTGCTGTCTTTCTATTGGAGTTCTTGTGTCAACTATTTCCTCTGGAGTGTTTTTTCCTTGGTATCCAATATACGCCCGCTGAACTTTCTTTAATGTTCTAACCAGCCTTCTCTTGTCTGCTTCATCTACTACTAATAAGTCTGAAAGAAGAATTGCAGTTTCCTCATCGATCATGTCCTTCATGCAGTCAATCTTTACTTTGGTGCACTTGCTTAGATCTATTCTCTCTCTGAGAATGTTTGAGAGTGTGTTCTCCTTTGCCTCTTCCTCGTCTTTTTCTGCAAATATAAAGAGTGGGTCAAAGAACTTCTCATCGAGCGTGTCTGGCTTCTTGTACCCTCTGCAGACCAAGAATGCTTCTGCACTCTCATCTCTACTACTCCTGGGCTTAGTGGTAAGACACTCTGTGAACAGCTGGTTGCACATCCATACCAGAGAGTTGAAGTCCTTGGATCTGAAGACTTTTGTTACGAATGTCCCGTTCTTCTTTAGAATCTTACACGCCAGTTTTGCTGCATGGCATACCAACTCGTTCTGGACATAAGAGTCCCTCTCCCAAGAGGCACCCACATTGGGCGCACCATCGTGCAAGACCAAGTCAACTTCTGTCTCCCCAACTGCCGCAAGTATCTCTGCCTTGCATATTTTATCTGTGATGTCTCCAACTATAGTGTGTACCCCGTGAATCGGTTTTATTGGGTCTAAATCCACCCCAACGATCTTGCTTGGAGGAAGAACAGTTTTTGACAAAACTTGCAGCCACCCGCCCGGGGCAGCACACAAGTCAACTGCTGAGTGTATATTGGATAGAAGGTTAAATGACTGGTTTAACTGTATTAACTTAAAGGCAGACCTTGCCCGGTACCCGTGCTCTTTCGCTAGAAAATAGTACTTGTCTAAACGGTCTTTTCCTACTTTTTTCTTTCGTGCTGGACCGACTTTTGCCATTATTAAATTTTTCACTTTGTTGTTTTTTATGGGCGGATTCGTTGTAACTTGCGTGGATAAAGAATATTATAATGGTGTTAAGGAAGTGCTCCTCTTTTTAAAAATGGCAGTGTTTCATATTAAAAACAAGTGCTCACCTACCGCAGATGAAACTGATCCGAAAGATATCCAGCAGCAACTGAAAAAGGAAAAGGAGGAAATGAAAAAGATAGAATTCACTCTCCTAGGAGGAAAAAGAGACTCAGACATACTGTTTATAAGGAATGACACAGAATACAGTGAAATAGAGATATACAACATGATGATAAGTCTTACAACCAGGGCAGAGCACGTCAGAAGGATTATACCTGTAAATTCAATATTTACTTACACAATGGATAATCTTCTGCATGAGACAAAAAAAGTGTGTGCATCAATTGGTCTCCAGGAATCATTTAGAATCAGTCTGTCAAAAAGACTGTGCTCACACGTAAGCAGTGAGTACATCATAACAATGGTTGCAGCTGAAATACCCAGAAAGGTAGACCTTAAAACCCCAGATAAAGTGGTTATGATTGAGATCGTAAAGGATCTCTGTGCTATAGGAGCACTAAAACCATGCCCAGGTAATTTTAATATAACTAGAGCACCCCGTAAACAATAATCACTTTAATAGTGCTATGTTTGGTAATACTGGTCAGATACAAGTATAAACACAGTATTTCTACAGTATAATTCGGGTTATTCCAGTTGGTAAGTAATAAGTAATAGTACATTATACTTATTATAACCCGAATAACCCGATATATACGCATAATATATAATTACACTGTAAGGCGTACTCTCTACTTGTACTTATTAATAAGAATATTTAAAAGAGTTTCGGGTTATTGAATAAAAATAATATACATTTGACTTTTAGATATATTCAAATTAAATAATTTCTAATTAAAATAAAATAATAATATGCTGCGGTATCTAAAAATTTAAAGTGAATGTGTGCAGATCTGAACAAGAACCATAAACACCCGAATATGGCCAGGAATGTAGATGGAGGAGTACGGGACAGTCCTATAAATGGGCCACTGTATATGCAAGATGCAGATAATTTATCTCATATACTCATTCAGTTTAAAGAGTATAAACGGACTACTTTAGATGGGAATATTCTCTTAGATAATATTTCACTGTTTATACCGGAGAATAAGCTTATTGCTGTTATAGGACCAAATAATAATGAGAAGTCATATATGTTAGAAAGTATTGCTGGTATGTGCACTCCTTCAGATATAACGCATAGTAATGTATATGTTAGGGACAGGACTAGTAATACGCTTATAATAAGAAGGAGTAAGAACTGGTTACACAGAGTTAATTATATCCTGTCAGATATAACCAGAAATACTTCTAATGCCATTTCCGTATTTAATTCACTCCTATTCCTTGCAAAGTGTCATGGTAAGACAGAATATGACGTAAATGAATATTTATCGATGACAGGTCTTATACAGTCAAAAGATCTCTTATTAAATGAAATGACAGATGAAGAAAAACAGAAGTTTCTGTTTATACATGGAATGCTTGGGTTAAATGAAGTGAATGTATGGGATGGTGTGTTATCAGGTATAAACTTAGAAACAGATATAAATATTATATCTGCCATTAAACTGACAAATTGTAGTAATATAGTGCGAGTAGATAGAGTATCACAGGAAGTACTAAATGTATTTGATTATGTGATTATTATGTACAAAACATCTATTATATACTTTGGCAGTCCATTACAAGTACAGAATTATTTCACTGAAGGGGGAGTATGCTTTCCCGTGGAAAAGTATTCTATAGAATATCTTATAGAGGTATTACAGAACAAGTATCATAATTCTATTTCTAATGAGAATATTCTAGTAATTAATAATATCTGTATAAGAAACAATGAGGCAGCTAATAATGACCAGATAGACAAAGCACCAGTAAAGCACAGAAATACATTATTCCTTTGGTCACAAGTGAAAGTATCCTTTCCTCGGTGTAAAGAAGTCATACGGAATATAATTCTTACACCTGTGAATATGGATGCATATGCGTATATCTCAGGAATAGTAATTGCGATGTTTGCAGTGTACTTTGTATGGGGGTATATGTGTTTGTTTAAGTTATACAGTAAAGTCACAGAAAATATGAATGACAGTATATACAAATACACCGCAGGCAGTTCATCTCTTCAGTTTCCAAATATATTCCGATTAATTAAACAGAAGCTATTGGAAAAAAATAGTGATGATACAGAATTTATAGAAATAATCACAGATATGCACAGAGTATCTGCAAATCATGGATTTATTTCTATTCTTACGTATCTGTTTTATTTTCTGTTTATTTTTGGTGGATGTATCCAGTGCATCGGCTGTCCTGTATTTTATTCAGATATACATTTTTATACAACCAGAAGATCTCAAGTACGCTCAAATCAATTCACAGTGGCCGAACTTATAATTGCACAGATGTGTGATGTTCTTCTGTGCAGAGCACTCCCCTTTTTTATTCTGACAGTATTGGCATATTTTAGTGTTTATTGGTGCATAGACTCAAATTTAGTAAATGCATCAACAATTGGCCATGCACTGCCCATTACTATTTTGTTTATGTGCTGTAGTTTAATAGCTCTACACGGAACTATACTGCAGTTTCTTTTGACTTCTTTTAAAAAGTATGTATGCATAACTGTACTCTACCAAATTGTAGTAAATGTGATTCCTTTGCTGGTGATTTACTTATTTAAAGCACCAAATGAAACATTACAACTTGATTATTTTTCCTGTGCACTTCTCATATTTAAATCTACAAGTCTAATGGACACTCTATCCTCAGTAAGTAATTACTATAGCCCTGGTTGGACATGTACATTTATGTGGGGATTGTCTTACGCATGCCTTTACATAATGAAGATTGTCATACAGATAGTTAGTCCTGTATTGCAATTTTCACATGTTTTAGAGCACATTCTGCTATACACAAACAAATTCACAGTTAGACCAGAAACAGCAAATTCTGTTAGTGAAGCACACTTAAAAATGCTAAAAACAGAAATTCTTGCACTTATAATACCCAATAACACTTCATCTGGAAACAAACTAGATCCAGAGTACAAAGAGTACTTAATCAGTAGATACGCCGACTTTAGCCAGTTTAATGCACACACAGCTCAAATTCTTGGTAAGACTACACCACATGAACCATTTGAAATATCATCTATTTCACTTAAGAACATGTCATTGCTTTATTTAGTATGGAGTACTCTACGTGCATGGATATTTGCTATACTTGTTTTTTCTATATCCATAGTATTTGCATATAAATACTTCCTGCCTAAATCCAGAGGATAATTCGGGTTATTTCAACTGTATACACATATCTTCTATGATATACACGGACTGTGATAGTATTGCTAATTAAAGAATCCATATTTAGTCTATACTTATATCGTATAAAATAAATCAGAAATATTTCAAATATTTAATTATAATAATTTTTATATAAATATATTTTATACTGTAAGCAAAAATATGTATGAATTTAGAAAGAAAATAACGATTATTACAAGAAAAGCACATAACAGACAAAATAATTATAGAAATATTTCAAAATTTATATTGAACAGCGGAGTACTCTACTTTGGTTTAATCTTACTGTGTATACTGAATGTACAAGCAATCTTGACATCCAATGAGGTTGGTGCAATTTACATAGCGAACATCTATAAGCAGTTTAAACTGAAAGATAATACAATAATTATAGACTTATTTGGACCATCCTTTTTACTTGGTATGCACATATTAGACCAATGTACGTTATTGGGTATTATAAAACCATTTCCTAAGCTATCCAGCTCTATTCCAGAATTAAGCCCAGAATTAAATGAAAGCACTTCTGTGAAAAATGAAGATTCTACTTATAAATATAAGAAAAGCTATCTGAGTGTAATGAAGAAAATATTTCCGTACAGTGACCGTGATAGTACAAATATATTTAATAAGAATCCTAGGTCATTCTATGGGTTTCTTAAAAACAAACCAACAAGTGAGTATAATAATAGTATCCTTTGTTGGCTGCTAATTCTTTCAGAGGGCATAGAGTCTCCAATAGAAATTAAAAATAACAGAATTATTTTAAAGGGGGAGAACCATATAACACTAGAAATCCCTTTAAAGAACAAGCCATCTACTTGTGGATCTAATAATTTGGATGCGTCCACAGAAGACTCAGACGATGACGTATACTACTCAGATGTACAGGAAATAATTGAATTTTTTATAAATAATAGGAATAATCCATTAGTTACTAATGGGGGAATATATGGCGAGCCATTAGACCCAACTAAGTTTTCGATGGCCGATTATATATTTAGTCCACGGTATCTTATACAGCTGTATATATATGAGTATTTAACAACAATAGATAAATTAGAAGATTTTATTAGAATGCTGCATAGTCTGCTTGTAAACAGGAGGACCAGTCCCAGCGTCTCAAAAGAAACTGGTAGGTATGCACAAGTAATTTTCAATAAGTATTTTATTTGCAGGGCGAATTTCAATTGGCGGCATATACTTTTATGCTATCTAAACAGACTTGATGCGGCTCTTTATACACAGAAGAATTACATAATGCCGGCGATTCCTAAAAATACTCTTCACAGTACTAATTCAAGTATTTCTATAGAAGAAAAATCCACTCAGAGAAATCGTGGCATGGAAAGGGTGCTACTCTACTTATTCCGCTGCTTTGCATTTGATGTGGGAGCAAAGCGGTACAAACTAGACCATCTTCAAAACATATCAACTGAATTAAAAGAATTCTTCAATAAGTATGACAGACCAAACAGTATGGATTATGATATTCCCCATGAGTGGAGTAGAATTGTTTCTAATGCGATAAGTAAATTTACTCTAGACCTCCCAAAGAATATAGAGATTAAAGACACGAATTTTTTAAATATGTTCTATTTAACCATGCGGTTAGCTGGAATATCAGAAGAAGCAATATATATAGATATGTTTAAAAAATCCTGCCGTGGTTTAGGAGATAAAAATGAAAATGGAGAAATTAATAGTATAGTGTTTAAGAAGAATGAAAAATTACACATGTTTGTGCAGAAGATTTTTAAACTCTTTTCCAGGGGGTGTAGTAATCGCACTCAAAAAAGTAAGCAATTAACACTAGACCTTATTCTTGATGAAGGAGCAAAGGATTCTCATGAACCAAACTGCACTGCACACAAAATTAAATTGAAGTATACAAGGGACCGCACTACATTTACTGTGATTATTGGACTGTACTCAGATGGGTCTATGGAAATATTTAGTAGTCCAATTGTTGCTGTTGATTCATTAGATTCACAGCTTTATAATATACCAAAAATACATTCCGATATAAAAAAGACAACTCCATCGATTAAACACTTTCCTTTTATATGCCATGTAGTTGAAAAGTTTATAGAATAACTTAGATGTATTTTGGTCATTTAGTGTGCTGGTTTCCATGGGCGTATGGATCCCATAATCGCCATTGAGTGCCATTGATCTTGTGTAGATGTCTCTTGATAGGCCCCAGTGATTTAATTAAGTTATGACAGCTGCTGCCACAGCACTGGGAAGCTATATAAGGACAATGGAGAATAAATAAAGACACTGTTTACATGAGTAGATCCAGTTTACACATTAGAGACAGGGGGAATAAACAGCTTAGTGTATGCCACTAGTTATACTCAGTGGATTTCGATGTGTACGTGTTAATTACACTGAAATAATAATAAAATTGCATAAACATTTTATTTCGGCAACTTATAGAATGTGTACATGGAAGTAGAAATACGTGTACATATTCAATATTTTCAAATATTCGAATTTATTAATTAGCCGTTATATTCCATATAAATAATATACATACCATATAGAATGTACATGAAATCGCATGAAATCCTGTATTAACTTAGAAATTTCTATTAATAACAGTATTACAGTATTAATTTATGGTTATTAATCTGTTTAGTTTAAATTCATATTGTTTATGTTTATACAGTAGTTAAGACAGATATTTCATGGCATTTCTGGTATTTTTAGTATATTATATGGTAGTTTTAGTGGCACTTTATATTCTGTTGTATTGTAGACTAATTCTATACAATTAGGCTGTCTATAAGTGAAATTTTAATTTACCCGAAATTGCATAAATTATATTTAGGTTTTCTTGTGGGGCCTTTGTTCTATAGACCCGCCATTAGCCTTTATTTGGGAATATTGGCTGGTTCGTCTAGGCTGGTCTATTCCCAAATGGGCAAATTAATTTAAGTGTCAAATGCATAAATACCTTATTAATGCGCAACTTCATGAGCAATTATATTACAAGAACAGTCCATTCAGAAGAAATAACTAAAATCTTCAACAGAGTGACTAAACTATTTCCACACTTTAAATTAGGGGCAAGGCATCTAATATGCACCCACAGGAGCAGACAGCAGAGTTTCTCTGATATGTTAGACAGGGCAATATTCTGTGGGCTAAAAGGGTCCATGGAGCACCCCAGAACAAAAGTGTATGTGCTTGCTAATTTGGCGAGGGATATACTTGCATACTTTATAATTCTGTGTGCAGATGAGCAGAATACTGTTAGGGGTGAGTTTCAGGCGATTTACAGGGTAATTGAGTCTAGAGCATCTGCCCTGGTGGGGGATTTTAGCCGAGATTTTTTCGAAAATCTTATGAATAATGTATTTGGAGTGGGAAAGCACACTCTCAAGGACAGCAGCAACATATCGACCATTAAAAGGAGAGCCAATGTCATTACGCACTGGCCCATGCGACTGTTCAGAAGGACCAGCCACACGAATACTTCTGTGCAGGATATGACATACTCTGATATTCTGAAAGACTTCCACTTTGCCATATATCAGAGCAAAGATAGCATACTAACAGGACAGGACACTGGTGCGTGGTCCATGGTTAGGGAGCTGTACACTCGTACTATGGAGAGGGCGGGAGAGACACCCTCTTCAATGAAGGAAGTTTCTTTTATTTTGCAGGTTGACAGAGCGTGCCGTGACTATTCTCCTCCTTTATTGATTGGTGGGGGGATAGTTGGTGGCCTGCGCGTAATCAGGAAGAAGTACTTTGAGAATGTGGTGGAGCTGGCGTGCAGTGACACAAAGGGGTATCCCATTAGAGAGCTACTAAAGGATGCCAAAGTGTATATGTATGCACCACTGATACAAGGAATAATTAATGTTTTAACCACATGCGGTGCAACTAAAGAAGACATTCTTCCGTATACACGTCTTTTATCAGCAGAGGCAGACGAGTTATTTAATCTGCCTGAGGAGAAGCAGAAGAGAGCAGAAGCCATTCTTCTGGAGTCCATTAAAATTTGTGATGAAGTTATTGCTGCGATGGGAAAGTCTCCCAGCAGGGAGCGAGAACTTAAAATCATCCGAGGTGAGATAATGATGATCAATAAGATTCTTTTGGGGAGCAAGTTGGTCCTACCACAAAAAGTCACTCCAGAGCAGGAGATTGTTATTGATGCATTGGTTGAGGAGTGTGCCAGAGTATGGGAAAGGTTTATGGGGACTGGGTCTAAGCCAAGCAATAGTGCCTATTCAAAGAAGGCACATGCTGAATTCCCGTACTTCTCGAAAGTGTACAAGACTGTTGCGCAGCCCGAGGAAATTGCAGATATAGCTATGGAGGGACTAGAAACAGCAAATATTTCAGAGTCTGCTGCAGTAGAAAAACAAGAAAAGCCAGCTGAGCCAGCTGAGCCGTCTTTTACTGCTTCTACGCTGGATTTACCAGAGTCAGTATCAAGCACACCAGCAGAGGCGTGTGTTGAAGAGGCTGCATCACCCAATGATGTTTCTGCGAATATTCCATCTGTAATACGCACAATTTCATCGGCGCCCCTTGTGAAAAAGGCAAGTCCAAGTTCATCTATTTTTAGCACTCCTGTGAGTGGTGGTGTAGGGCAGTCACCAAAAGAGCAGCCGTGTTCTGACATGCGGTGCAAAGTGTATTCTGTTGGGGAGGAGGATCAGCACTTAAAGAAACTCTCAGCGGCAATAGATGTGCAGGAAGAGTCAGAGAAAAGAGGCAAGCGGATCGATGAACTACGGCAGTATTTCGGTGGGTTAAAGTATGCGTGCTTCTACTCTCGGAATGTTCCTGACCACTTAAAGAATCTTTTTAAGTGCGCTCCAAGCATTTACAACAAAGTGAAGAGGCTATACGACAGGAACTTCACTGATGTACTGGCAGTTGAGGAGATTAGAGTGTGCAGGCGCAGTATGTTCAGAGATGCGTATTCAGAGATTCTGAATGCACGCCCTGACAGTGAAATACTTATGCACCTACGTGATGACATAATAGTCACAAAGTATATGGACATGCTTAAAGAAAGAACTATTGAAAAGCTCATTGCACTGGAGAGGGAGAAGAAAGAGAAGGAGTTACATAAGGCAAGGGAAAAGCCCAAGTTAAAAGGGGTTAAACGGCTAATGAAAAAAGTATCCAGTGCATTTGAGTCATTCTTTAAGAAACAGGAAGTTCTTCCCAGTGTAGAGGAAGAGTTACACAACTGGGAGGTTTCCAGAAGGGAGGAGATGGATTCAGAGGTAATATTCACAAAGAATTCTTCACAGCGGGTTTCCCATGGGTTCTTAAACGTATCCAAAGCCCTAGTTGATCTGATAAAGTACACTCCGGGCTATGTATACAGAAAAACCCCAGAGACAGTGGATGTTACAGAGAAGTATGCAGCCTGGATTGACAGGGAAGAACCCGTGGATTATGAAGAAATCAAGAAGAACCCAGACCAATTACGTGCCCTCTCTATGGTATTCAACAGATATATCAGAAACTACAATGGCGGGGTAGTGTCAAAGTATTTATATGTAGCTATAGCAGAGAGAGCAGGAAAGGTTCCACTGGAAAAGGTTGATTATGGTATGGGACTAATGATGCTTGCCACAATGGGATCAAATACGCTCTGGCTGTTAAAGCATGTTGTTTATACTGTTGAACAAGTGGCAAAGTATGAAGAGACTAATTTTATGTCCTATCAGAGCATTGTAAACATTGTAGCACCCAATTTACTAGCAGATGATGTTCCGTATTCAATGGATACGTTCGTGATTGTTTTAGAGATGGCGCACTCTCTCTTTGCAGCCACCAGAAATATTTCATTTATGGAAGAATTCTATGCATAATTAAATAAACACACATTTAAATCTCTCACTCCAAATTCAAGGCAGCATTACATCCCCATCACACCAAGCGCATGCACTTTATCATATATAATCATATAATCACGTATTTATACTAATTATAACAATAACCCAGAATCATCTTATCACATACTCATATTATCTTTATACCATGTACTCATATTATCCTTATACCTTATATTCATATTATCTTTATACCATGTACTCTGCCTCTTATCCTTATATATTCTATTCATACCTTATACTCATATAATATGATGCCCTGTACTTATATATTATCCTTATTATGTACTCTGCCCCTTATACTCATATTTTATCCTTATATTATCTTTATACCTTATACTCATATTATATCTATATATTATTCTTATACCTTACACTCATATCATATCCTTATACCTTGTACTCATATTATATCTATATATTATCCTTATATTCATATCATGTACTCATATTCTATTCATATATTATCCTTATATTATACTCATATATTCTGCTTCTTTATACTTTCTTATATTTCTGTATACTACTATAATATAATATTATTTTATTTTATTTCGGGTTATATCGGGTTTAAACAAATCTTATTTATATTTGGGTTATATCTTATACTAATTAATACTTAATCCTATCTGATCATATAATTATTAATTATTCTGTCTCTTATATGGTAATCCATGCGTATCTAAATTCCACAGGGGTATAAAATAAAATTATAATTTATCTGTAAGCAGGTAATGTTATCATTATTAATATTATATTATAATGATTGTTTATTAAATAATGAATGTATACAGTAATTATAACACAATGTGTATATATTACTACATATTATTACACGTTGTATATAAAGTAAGTTATACTAATATAAGCATAGGCGTATAATTGTGTATTTAGTATATGTTCTGTTATAAATTTGTATTATAATCCTATTTAAGTCATATTAATATAAAATATATAACACAATGTGTATAAAGTATTTTAAATATGTAACACAATGTGTATAAAGTATTTTAAATATGTAAGACTTATTATACATATGAGACTATTTATTATTTATAAAGGATAAATTAACTTATTATTTTATTTCCATGGAAGAGAGGATTGCTGGCAGATTTGAGAAAGCGAGAGTAAAACATGTGACAGCACATAAAAAAGAGCCACTTGCACTGGTGGCAATGTACAATGGAGAGTTTGAGTTATGGAATACGGCAAGTATGCTGCTAATTAAATCCGGGAGTATTGGGGAAATACCCATAAGAGCAGCTGCATTCATTGAGGACTGTGAGTGCTTTGTGCTTGGATCGGATGATGGTATGATAAGGCTTTACTGCATAGACACATTCAAGATAAAGTGCAAGGTACAGGCCCATTCTGACTTTATAAGGTATATTGCAGTGCACCCTGTCCTGCCGTATATAGCAACCTGTTCAGATGACATGCAGGTTAAAATATGGGACTACTCCAAGGAGATATCTTTAATAAAGACGCTTACTGGGCATACGCACTTTGTCATGTCTGGAGACTTTTCGCCCCAGGATAACAAAACCCTTCTGACGTGCTCGCTTGACCACAACATAATCGCGTGGAATATTGAGACGGGGAATGCAGCCAAAATTCTGAAGGGAACAAAAGTACCACTGAACACAGTAAAGTACATTAAGGACAAGTATATAATCAGCGGGGGCGATGATGGAAAAATAAATGTATGGGACTCAGCAACGTACAATTTAGTCACGAGTGTTGCTGGGCACATTGGGCCAGTAACTGCCATACACTGCACCAACAGAGGATTTATCAGCACGGGTGAGGACGGGATTGTTCGGGAGTGGGATAAGAAAAGGTTCCGGCCAGAGACTGCCACTCCAGGGAAGGTTCAGAGAATATGGAGTGTATGCAGCACGCACACGGGCGGTGCCCTGGTGGGTGGAGATGAGGGGATTTCCTTTATAAAGCAAATGCAGAGTACTACACTAACCACATTTATTACAACAGGCAAGACTGAAGGAAGAATAGTGATAGCAGAGAATACGCAGGTCAAGCAAATAAAAACAGCCAATCCGTCTGCACAGAAAGTCGTAACCACACTCTCATTCCTTCCCGATAGAATTGCACTTTCTGAGACGGGGCGGTATTTGTGTGTTGAGTCTGACAATATGGTTTATGTGTATACAGTGCTTGGGTTTTTACTGCAGGTGTCTGTTCCTGGTCATTCTCTGGTGTGGACTGGCCCAGAAGAATTCCTTATGGTGTACAAAGATGCGCTTGTCCGATACTGTGACTTTGAGATTGACCAGAAGATAGAACTACCAGAGATAGATTCAGTGAAGTCCATGGTTAAAGTGAATAATGATGAATTGCTTTTAAAGACAGAGAGCATGCATTATCTGATCAGTATGTCTGGTGAGGTACTAATGGAAGTGCCTGATGTTCAGGGAGTGTATAAGTACAAGGATGTATATGTGATGTTCTATAAGAACAGAGTAGAAATATTCAGAGAAGGTGAGAGAAACAGTAATAACAAGTCAGCACAGTGTGTATACGAATTTAAAATATCTGGCTGGGGTGCCCGTGATAATGTAATATTTATTCATACGGGAGGCAAGATAGTTTATGTGCTTATAACACAGCCAACTAAAAACAATCTGAAAATGCAGCCTGTCTCCTTTATGTCACTCAGTGCAACAGGAGAGATTCTTGGGGTACTTGATGGGGTGTGGTGTATGGATGGAGGGAATGTATTTGAGTATGAGGTAGACTGGGAATTAGTTAAATACCAGAATATGATTGTATCCGGGAGTATGCCAGAGAAAATACCAAATAAGTACGTGAAGGAGTGCATTCACTTCCTTGTGGGTATGAACATGCTAGAAGACGCGTATAAGCTAGCAGATGACCCAGATGAGAAGTTTGAGTTATTAATTAAGCTGGGCCGGCTTAATGATGCAATGAAAATCTCTGATACAGAAGCAAAGTATTCTCGCTTAAGCACATTATTTGTACAGGCTGGGAAAGTGTCTGAAGCTCTTGCATGTGCAAAAAAGGGACTATCCGTTGAAAATGAAATTTTATTAGCCTCACTTTCAAATAGTGTAAAGGACATTGGCCATGCAGCAGAAAAGGCGTATGATCAGGGGAAGAGTCTGGCTGCATTGGCTGCTGGGTACAGGTCAGAGAATTACAAACTCTGTTTAGACATTCTTAAAGGCACGGAGTTTGAAAGTCTTTTTGCACAGACACATGCAAAACATCTGGGAAAGCAGGACTCACTAAAGAAATAACTGTCCTATTACGGTAATAGCAAAAAGACAATTTCAACAGGAAATAATAGCAGTCATAAAAAATATTGTAGGATTTTCCTTTAAATTGTATTATTTTTAGTGTATGTGCGCATAGGAGAGAGTTCTTTGTACTTTCAGGTTATATTTCAAAGCAAACCATTAAAAATCAAAATAAATCAGAAATAAAATCATTAAATTCAAATATAAAACTGCTGTTTATGCTATGCCCCATGAAAAACTGTTATTTTACACGGGTATACCCCAAAAATTCAATCTTTATGAAAATCTAGTAAATATATCGTACATAAACAGTACGTTTAGTTGGGTTAAAATGATATTTGGAGTATTTACTGTGCGGTGTATGTGCCTGTATTGTCATGCACAGTCAACAGACAATATACTGATTAATTCGTGAATATGCAAATAAACAAAGACTTCTGGTTAAATACAAATTTGTATGGTTAAATAATGAATGTTCTTAGACAGACTGTTATATATGTGATATCCTTAGCATACGTGTTTTCAGCAGAATTTGAAATAACAGCAAATCCAAACCCTTCACCTGAACAGAAGAAAGCAGCAGTAGATATATCATTACGGTATAAGTATATTGGACAACCACAAAATAAATCATAGTGTGCTGTACACAGAACCCAACTATATTTGCTATACGTGTAGTAATAAATACTGTACTCTGTAATTTGTGTAGTAATTTTAGTGTATTTAAGAACAATTGAATATCTTGAAATAATTTAAATGTATAAATATGTGCGTATTTTTTCTTTCCATGAGAGAAAGGTGTACGGTCGTAAAGCTAAATTTACAATTTCATGAAGAGTCGGCGATATTCGCAGTAGATGTTATGAAAGCAAAGGGAAAGACAATTATTGCAACTGCAGGTGGTGATAAAGCAATTAGGCTATGGGAGTATACGTACACTGGAGAAGAGCCGAAAGAGTGCTTTGAGTATAAAACAGCTCTTAGTGAAGGATGCAGTATAATTCACATTTATACATTAAATAAGCACAGGGGCAGTGTTAATTCTCTGCAATTTAGTAAAGATGGGAAATATTTACTATCTGGTGGAGACACTGGCGCAGTTTATGCATGGGACATGCAAAGGATTCTAGAAAGTACACCAGCGGAGGAAGACAAAAAGTATACAGGGCAGCCCATTCAAGTTAGAGGTGCGGATAGTACAGACATATATGAAGTAAAATGGTTCCAGGAAAAGATTCTAGTGGGTGTATCTTCTGGTCGAATAGAGCAGTATAAGCTATTTACCAATCCGAGAAATGAGAGCACTTCCAAATCCACTGCAGAGTCTGAAAATACCGAGAATCACTCAGTAAACACAGGTATACTTGAAATAACTGGAAGTAGTGAGGTCTTAAAATGTGATACCCCATATGTATCTGAAATAAGTCAAAGCACATCAGAAGAACTCGAGATAATCCTGAGCAGTAATAACTTGGCAGTGCAAAGCAGCCCAAAGAAGGCATCTCAACCCAAGGGAAATAGCACAGTAGATAAACCACATAAATCAGTTAAATTTAGGGTGATAGAGGAGTATGTGCAGGATGTATTTGCTAAGTGTATTTCATCCAAGCAGGCACACAAGGATATAGTACAGGGAATTGCGTGCACAGATGAAATATTTGCAAGTGTAGGAAATGACCGAGTTCTTAAAGTATTCAATGACTCAGGGAAGGCAATTCAAAAATTATGTAAGAAATCATTAATAACTGACAAACACACCTTTTTCTTTAGAAGACTTTCCTTCTCTGAGGATGGTCTTTTATATCTACCTTCTGCCGCGTATGAGGGAATAAATGCTGTTCACATTTTATCACCCCCAGAGTATAAAGTCATAAAAACAATCACACCATTTCCTTCACCAACTATATGCACTGTGTGCACTTCTGAGTACTTAATAGTATCTGAGGGAAGGAATGTGTATATTTTTACAACAAAGGAGTATTCTCTTGTGTTCAGGATTGTTGATTGCTCGTTCCTTCCCATTACAGATATAAAGCCAATTCAGGACGACCAGGACATTTTGTCACTAATTATATCCTCATGTGATGGGTTTTTAACGAATGTGCTTCTGTATAAAAGACTAGAAGCATAAAAAAATTTGCAACCATAAAATGAATGAAATTAATTATACACCGCCGAGCATGAGCCGGCATGAAGAACAGTTCGTAGAACATGAAGAGAGTGGAATAAAAACAAAAACAAAAACAAAAGAGAAGATAACGCCAATTACTTCGTTTAAAGGGCAATTAATTACACAGAAAATACTGGAGAACATGGAGAAGAACAATATAACAACTCCTTCAATTGTTCAGAAGTATGTTGTGCCATTAGGAATGCACGGGAAGGACTTGTTAATATCTGCTCCCACGGGCATGGGAAAGACAATTTCATTCCTTGTTCCAACCATAAATTTTCTGAACTCAGTGAATGCCACAGAGAGGAAAGTGCGTGGATATGCAGATAGGGGCAGTTTATTTAAATCATCAAGAAAGACCGTGAGTGCACTAGTTCTAGCCCCAACGCGAGAGTTAGCTATGCAGATACATGCTGAAGCATGCATTCTTTCTGAAGGGATGTCAATTTCATCTGCCTGTATATATGGTGGAGTTGAGAAGAAAGGCCAGGCATCGTCATTGTCAAAGGGCGTGGACTTACTAATCGGTACTCCTGGCAGAATTCAGGATTTTGTGTTTGATCAGTATCACCCACTGAATCTTAAGAATGTGCAGGTGTTGATATTTGATGAGGCTGATAGAATGCTTGACATGGGGTTCGAGAAGCAGATTAGATCTATTCTTGGCGCACTCAGTCCAAATAAGAGAAGACAGACAATGATGTTCTCCGCTACTTTCCCTCCTGCAGTGCAGAGGCTAGCCAAGGAGTTCTTCCAGAACACACCAGAAGAAGTTCACGTGGGTAATGGGCCAATAGAGAGCATTACACAGGAGATAATTTATATAGAAGAGCCAAACAAGAGGCAGGCAAAGAGAAATGAGAAGTTAATGAAAATTCTGCTGGAGTACGGGTATAAGCCAAGCGCAGCCATAGAGAAGAAAGCATTTGTACAGGCTAAATATACGGTGCCTGTTCTGCAGTGGGGAGACAAGCACAAAGACACAAGCAAGAAAGTACATGACTCACCCGGACAGAAGGGCGACGGGTATGAACTGCCAAAGATAGTTATATTCGTTGAGAAGAAGGACGACTGCGCTGTGCTCTCAGACTATTTACACGGAAATGGAATTAACTGTACTACTCTGCACGGAGACAAAACACAGATGGAGAGAGAGCACGCACTTAAGGAGTTTAAAGGAGACGTCCCCATTCTTATTGCTACTTCTATTGCTGCGCGTGGCCTGGATGTTCCTGGAATTGCGCTAGTATTAAACTACATGATGCCAAATGATGTAAAGGAGTACATACACAGAATAGGAAGAACCGGCAGGGCGGGGAAGACCGGCCGCTCAATCACTTTCTTTGCTAGGGACGACCATGCACAGGCAGCACCTCTCATTGAAATATTAAAAAAGGCCAAGCAGGAGGTGCCGGCATTTTTGCATGATATTGGACAAATGAAATCTCCAAAGTCCCACCGCGGAAACAGTTCTCGGCAGCCCCCATCTTTTAAGAAGAGAGAAGAAGGCGGACAGCACTTCTACGAAACACAGGAAATCAAGCATAAGACAGCACCTGCATTAAACGAGAAGATAAAAATACAGAAGAACCTTGACTGGGATTAATTGTTGCATGGTTAAATATTTAGACTAGAAGGAGAATTAATAATGCAATAGTAAAAATAAAAACATTACGCTTATAATATTCCTGCACATTTAAATTTTTGTATTCTTGTGAAGTGTGCATACTAGGCTGCGCATATTTAATAAAGCTAGAAATCAAAATGTATTATATGCAAAAAATCTAAAATTAAAAACAGAAAGCAACAGAATGGAAAGAAGAAACGGGAGAGAGAATAACTTAGAATATAAAAGCATTAAACAGATATGCGGTAGGAGTAAACTGAAGGTATGCATACAGCATGGATCTGGCCAGTTGGACAGGCATGCCAGTAGGTTTAAATTATACTACAAGCCGGTTTATAATGTAGTTTGTGGACATATTCACTGTATAATGCAGTGGCTGAGATTCAATCTAGTAACTGCAATGGGAGTATTAGGAAAGAAGGCTATTCGAAAAGTGCTTCTGTATGTCTACTGGCTATATGTAAGTGTATTATGGGCACACATCAGAATTATTTGTGCACCGGATGAGCAAAGCATTGACTACTTTAGTAACGGTTCAATTAGTACAGATGAAATGCTTTCTATTCACATTGATACTAGTATTGAGGTACTTCAGTGTTACTATGATTCAGAAAAGCTGTTTAATAACACTACGTTTAATCTGGCAGTTCCTGCGATTTATTATAATAAAATGAAAGAAATGGAAAATAAACTATCCTCCACAGAAAAAGGGGCGGATGAGGGTGTTTCTATAGAAAAAGAGCCTTTGAATGATGTAACCTTAGATGAGCTAATGCAAATACCATCGGCCCAGCTGGTTGAAGTTGAGAACATAGAACCGTACGCATCTACTTTGGATATAACCCGAAATTTCAATAAATCCACATGTGAAGAGAAAGTATCTGAATCAGAAGATAGAAAGAGTGCTATTAGCTATGCGAAAAATACTATAAAAAAAATTAGGAATTCAAAGAGAAAAACCACTCCACTAATAGACTCAGAGAGTACAATTAAAAATAAAAAGAAGAAGGTACTTGAAAAAACTTCTAAAAAGAAAAGTAGAAGAAAAAGCAGTCCTTTTGTGGCAGTAGATAAATTATCTGAGAGCTCTTCAGAAAATGAACAGCTGAGTGATACCTCTGAGAGCAGTTATGCATCCAGTGAGTCATTCAGTCAAATATCAAGAAAGTATGTATTTAAAGACTCAATGGAGTATTTTGACTCTATAAACACATTTAACAGGTATAAAGTTCTCTCGATGAAAGACATTTATCGGTTTAAGCCCACCCAAGCAATATTGTGTTCCTATGCGAAGAACAAGAGTAGGCGTGATGAGATTTATTTTTCGTTTGGCATCGGCATGATTCGTGAATTCAAGAAAATTAGGAACATTTGGATAAGCATATACACAGCCAAGAAAAGAGATGCACGCAGGGCAATTTTTCTTATTAAATATCTGGTGGAGAATCCCGAAATAACCAAACAGATATTTAAGAACTATAATATGTTCTATTACAATCGGTTTATAAAGGATTTATACAAGTACATGTTAAATGAGATACCTACTTGTTATTGCACGGAGATTAATTCTGCTTCTTATTATAATAGAGCCTTTTCTAGAAATAATATTATGAAAATACCTCTTGGTGACATATACATTAGAAAGGGCATAAATCTATGGTGGCATGCAGAGAGTATGCTTGTAATAATCATAGAGCAAAATAAGCTAAACCTAGACAGTATTGGCGTACCAGATATTTCACGCATAAAAAGGCAGATACAATTGATTCTAAGCATACCAGAAATATATGAAGATTTGTTCTATATACCGTACTCTTTGATAGAAGATACTCAGTCCCAGATCTTACTATTGGGGAACATTGAGCCGCAGCACAGATTGTTTTGTATTATACAGTATTTATATGGAAAGATCCATAATTCGACTATTATAAAAATAGAAGCAAGCAGAAAAATACAGATAGCCAATCGTAATTATTCTTTGCATACGTACAGTGACATTGACATGTATAACCTTGTTTATAAGATATTCACTGTTTTTTATAGACATTCTAAGAATACGTATAAAACATACATTAATGAAAAAATAAAAGAAATCAGACCGCACGTACAGTATAAATCTAGAGCCAGGTCGATGTACAAGCTTAACTACTTATATATGAAAGAGTATACAGGAATTCCCGCAAATAATATACTTGTTCTAAAGGGAAAGGATTCTATTATAGACGCGAATTTTAGTGTGTGCACTCTTTTACTCGAGTATTCTGTGCTTGCATCCCATGATAAAAGACTATTAGACAAAATAACAAGCAGGACAGCAAATTATGAGAATATATTCTACGACAGTGTAGAATTATCTCACTCTCATCATTACCATGTCCAATTCATAGACAATCATACACACCGTGTATACATTATACATCTTCCGTTTTTTGTGTTTAAAAATACGCGCAATGTGTATAAGTATCACTATATACACACTATTTCAGATATAGTAGAACATATAAAGAAGACCTTTAATATACGCCAGAGCAAGAAATCTTCATTCAGTAATAATGTATATCCATTTAAATACAGCAAAAGCGAAAACAAATGGTCAATGATTATGCCCGATACTACAAGCGATAAAAAATGCAAAAAAACCAAGAAAGATAACGATATGGAGAAGACCATTGAAGAAATGGCCAATTCTGGCTTTACTGTTGTTTTCTATTATATAAAAGAAAACCTCCAAACCACAGAATTTATATTTGCCCAGCTCAATCCACTCGGTGCAGATGTATTAAATAATTATACAATACATTCCCTGCAGAAAAAGGAGATTAATCAACTGTGCAAGGAAGAGAGTAAAATCGGTCTATTCCCAAGAATACCTTTATTTCTACCCAAGTTAATGATATCTGCAACGTATTTAGGTCCTTATGTTTTAAAATCAGAGAAGTATCATATTAATATCCTTACTGAATATAAAGATTTAGTCCCCATTGAATTTTCTAATTGGCTGGAAGTACCTACACACGCAAACAGAAGGTATAAACCATTAGGAATAATAGATAATTATAAGAATAAGGCGTACTACTACAGTGATTTTAGCGTATTAGACATAAATTCACCCTATGAAGACTGTGACTGTTATAGCATGAATATTGTACAAAGCAATATTAATAATTATAGTGCAAATATATCCTGGCGTACAAGAATACAGCACGGCATAGAGGATTATACAAATTATCACTGGGACTTAGTACAGAATACCACAAAGTGTAATAATACTATAGAAAATAATATACAAGGCAAAAGAACAAAAAAAGTACTTTCATGTTTTCTAAGTATGCTTCAAAAAAAGCACGTATCACTGGACATGTTTAGGTATGGAATATGCATTTATACAAAACTCGGCTCAAGTAGATGCCAGTTCGCATCTGTTTTATGTCCCGACTTTAAAAATCGTATAAATAATCTGGTAAGTATAGATAACAATCCTATGTATGAGCGGCTTAGTCCTTTGCTTAAGAAGAATATTCATGAACTGAATAATTTACCACCTATAGACATGTCTGATATATCAAATATTTCTAAAGTAACTATAACTGTAAAGAATATTAATTACATGCTGTCTAAATTAGGAATACATTATGATATTTTTGATGTATTTTTTAGGCCGTATAATTGAATTAGTACTAGTAGATGTAACCATACACGCATAAGTACGTAATACTTCAAATTATTCAGTATTTAAGGTTATTTCGAGTTATATTATTAAATTTATAATTACAGTATAAATATTTTTATTTTATTTTATTTTATTTTTAATTTGTACATTTTATACTTATACAGTATAAATATTATTTGAGTATAACTTATGAATATATACAAAATAGCTTTATTTAATTTTATTATTAAAGTATCTGTAAAACACAGTAGAATATAATAGTATATGTATATAAAACAACAAGTATATTACTTGTATAATACCACAGTAACATAGGAAAATAAACATAATATGATATGTAATAAATAATGCAGGATAAATTATGTATAACAATATAAGCATAAACAAATGAAGTACAGGAAGAGGAATAAGAACATAAATATTCTTTTTGTGGGTGCATCTAACACGGGAAAGAGTTCACTTATAAAGTCCATGGCAAGTGCTGAATTGCTCTCAGAAGGAGACGTTACAGAACATCAAATATTTATAAATGAGAAGGGGATAAGAATATTTGACACTCGCGGGTATGGCACTGACAGAAGCACAGACACAAAAATCAAGCAAATAGAAATATTCATAAGAGACCGGTATAAGAGTTTTTTACTAGAAGAAACAAAAATTCAAAGGGATCCTTTTTTAGAAGATTCTCGTATACATTTAATGATTCTATTTGCATCACCAGCCAGTAAGGGTATAAAGGACTATGACATTGTACTACTTAGACTGCTGTCTAATAAAGTGAACACATTAGTAATTATTCCTAAGTGTGATTATTATACAGCCGAAGAAATACAAGTACAAAAAAGAAAAATATCCGATCTATTAAAGATAAATAACATAAATACATTCGGTGTAGAGAAGGATGAAGATGCGTACGTATTTGCACTGTTCAGTGGGGAGAGGAGTCTAGTAGATAGTACGTATAAAGAAAGAATCCTTCCTCATGGGGTAGCAGACACTACAAATGAAAAACATTCTGATTATATTTCATTTATGAATATGTTAGATGAAGCAAGAGAAGATTTGTTGGATTTAACACACACGCACTTCTATGAGAATTACAGGACAGGTATGCTAAGTGATCAATAAACAATACTACTACAGTATAATTAAATGTAGCAAAGGTATTTTATATAATTTATACATTATAATGAGAAAAGAGAAAGGTGAGGAATTTATAGAGAATATAAGAACACAAGATGATTTATCCGATATATAATTCAAAATAATTAAGTAGAAGTAGAATGATTCAAAATTCACTTATAGAATAAATATAGAATATAGCTTATTAAAGCACACGAATAAAATATTCTAATTATACTAAATTATATTAAGAGCATTACAATACATATCACAATAAACCAGGGAGAGGTAGAAACAAGAAATAAGTAGTTAAGATATAACCTGAGCTATTTATATTTAAGCACAAGACATTAATTAATCAATCATAATAGTAATTCTAATATTATTTCTACTCTCCCGGTTTGTTATTTGAATTGGTGCGTGTCCCTTTCATCAGAATGTGTTGCCAAGGGGCTATATATTAATACTTAGCTTAATATTATTTTATCTATAATAAATCGTGCTTATATTATGTATACTAACCAGAAATAACCCGAAATTCTGTTAACCATCTATCCAATGCATAGTCATCTCTAGAATGAAATTAGCTCTGTTAAGACAATAAAGCAGTTAACTAATTAATAATGTTTTATGGGCTTGCTAATATTTGTATAGGGATCATTTGTGATGCTGCTCTAAAATTGGCCGAGCTAGAGCTTTTAATAAACTATGTAATAGTTATTGAGTCTTAACAAATACCAGATTTCACTTATACCATACAAGAATTTACACTTAAAAATATAAAGAAAACAACTGTTTCAATTAAAGAAAATATTTAACATACTCACGAGGAATAACGCTAACGCTACCCTGCTACGTAGCCAAGATAGAAAAGAGAATGAAAAGAGAGAGCTCTTTATTATATTTAGAAAGCGGTCTAATTCCGTGCGGGCTCAGAGTCCTAAGGGCGCGATTGTGCTAGACAAAGCGCTGAAATAAGCCATCAATGCATCCCTAAGTCTTTCCTAAATTGGGGGAACCGCTTAAGTTAAATAATCGAAAGGGGATCTACGGAATTGCGATCCCGGCCTTTTGTTTTAGCGAGATCATCGCGCGAGCTGGCGCATAGGCGTATCGCCATCGGTGCCCATACCTGAGTGGTGGTGTCACCACACTGATATTATTTCTAGTTTCCTTGGTTGTATTATTTAGAGTACTAAATTTCATTAGAGTATATTAATAATGGTTCATGGTACAGCATAATAAAACTTTTTTCGGGTTTCGGGTGACTTCTTTATAAGATATCTCAGAAAATTTGCTATTTTTTTACTATCCCTTAAATCCGAAAAATCAAATTCTTTTATAAACTCACTATGTACGTTTTCTTCTTCAGTATTAATTTTATCAAAGATTGATTCTATGATCGAAATGAATATATCCGACTTAAAAGCCATTCTAAACCAAATAGTCCACATATCATTAGATGTTAAAGTATTTGTATATCTAGGATCATTTCTATCCAAATTATCTATAAATTCTGCAATTTCTGATAGATAAGTTATATTTTCACCACCACATGTCAATAAAGAGAGTAATTTTATTTGATTATTTTTGTAAAGAACTGTCTCTAAAAATAATAAATAATTTCCTATTTCACCACCCATACTTATGTATGTCTTTAAAATTTGTAGGATTCTTTTAAGAGAGTCACAATATATTAAATGAACATGAATGCCATGCGTCATTATATACTTATAATAAATATTATCTATATCACTGAGTATAGTTATTTTTTTATAGCGATGATTATATAACTCTTCTTTAAAGAATGGATTGCAAAGAATATGATTCATCACATTATAGTCATTTAACGGAAGGCTTCCTAATAGATTAGAAATAAGTCGTGCCCATGGATTGGTTTCTTCAAGTGGATAATCGACGAGGCACTCTCTAATATAATGTGCCATAAACGCCGCATGCCCCGTTTTTTTAAATTTATTGTACAAGAAAAGCTTCTCTATTGGGTATAAATAATTATTTTCTTCTGATATATTTATATTTTCTGGATGCAATTCTTTGAAGTTTGCTTCGGCTACTTTATTGTCTCGAGGATGTTCTATGCAACGCGCAATCAGATAATCTGTTAAAGTATTGTTTTTCTCTCCTTCAACACATAATGATGTATTATTTATGTGTGCCTGGTTTAGGCTAATTAAATCCAAGCCGCTTTCATTATAGACTGCTTTAATGGATAAATGCATATTTGAGTGTTCTAATATTATCCCTCCTTCCAACTCAGAAACACTGTATGTTATACTTATTTTTCCAAATATATCAGGATGTTCAATAATATTTTTCTTTATAGACATATTTGAAGTATCTATTTTTATTGTTCTTTCCACTTCCTTCGAATCCTTTTTTGAATTGCATTTCTTAGAAAGTGATATAAATAACTCTGTTATATATGATTTTATATCATTGAATAGCTTACTTTGATTTTCATCAAAATTATTATCTTTGCATTCATGCCCTTCTAGGCGAGTGTAGAATTCTTTAATAGTCTCTTTGTCTTTAGAATACCTCCCCGTTATTTCAGTAATAACATATAACATGTTTATTATACCTGATACAAGCTCATTCCTATTCTCTTTCAGATATTTAATATTTTCATTCTTCAGGTCAGCCACCACTCTATTCCACTCATTATATATAGTATAATCAGCTGTTTCAAATGGTTTATTATATATGGTAAAGAACTTCTTCAAGTCTGACGATACTTCTCCCATGTGTTCAGTCGTGTATTCTTTAGTCTCTGCATCATATGCTAAGCAACAGAATAAACCTAGTAATCCAGCCTCAACACAATTGCTGTATGTTTCAATAAAACTATTTTCATTTTTTTTCCTATTATACGATGAAATAGACCTATAACTCGGTATACTTATGCTGCCAGAAAATGGAAATGCATTGTCTAAAAATGTCTTTCCATACACCACATTTAATGCATGCATTCCTTTATCATTAGTTATATCTCCATTAGACTTCACAAAGCACTTGCCAATAATACTTTTCAGATATTCTATTTCCGCATTTAGTTTTTCCTTTTCTTTTTGTTTTATACTTTCCTTAAGCATAGAGTGCACAGCCTTTGCTAACTCAATTATACTACTCTCACTGTCTAAGTATTCAAATATATAGTGCTGTATTAGCCACCTTGCATTCTTTAAAAACTTACCAGTTTTAAAGTCTTCATGTGTTCTTGGCTCTGCATATTTGCCTCCTTCTCTTATATCTGGATTCGTTTTGTTCTCTATAAAGAAGTTTATAACACTAACTGCTTCTCTTTGCTTAACTTCAATAGGTTTTACTATACCACTAGGCTGCTTTATATTGCACATAGCAATCATGCTTAGAGAAAACATGTTTTCTTTAGTGCCAATCTTCTTTAGAACTAACACTTGCTCTGCCCCAATGCCTTCTATTTTTAGTGGCACGTCCACTCCTTCTGCCAATAAAAACAGAGAGGCTAAAATATTAATTCTGTGCTCAAGCACATGTTTACTTTGAATGAATCTCATGAATGAGTTATTTCTATTTGTGTATATGGATAGATCACCAAATGAGGAAGGGAATAAGTATATTAATGTTTGGTGATAGTCGCTAATATAAAGTTGGTCTTTCTCTTCTTCACTAAGTGGTTTTGTTCTATATTTCTTCTTTTTACTAAGATGTTTTATTTTGTATGTTTTATCCTTATTAAAGTATCTACTAAAATATGATGTTAAATCTCCACTAGAATCAATAGAAGCTCTTGCACTATAATTTATATCTGCTCCCGGCGACAAAAATCGCATTGAATGCATTAAATCGCACTTCTCAGAAGCAAATGTACGTGCCGGAAATAGTGGCCCATTTGTGCGTATACACAGACCATCTCTGATTTCTTTGTTATGTAAATCTTTATAAACATCCAATCCTACTCTACAGTACATCCTACATAGTATAACTATTCCAATAATAAGCCCCTTTCTTATATGAGCTGTTTTCTTAGGAAAAGGCATTCTTAAACTTTGACCTTTATTGAATTTGTATACGTATTTATAGACCGAATAATCAATTTAATTTATGTTGACTTGTTGTGTCAACAAAAATTTCTGATTTAATTTGTACTGTTCTGTTTAAACATTCTGATAACTCATACCATGCTGCACAAATGCCAGTCTTAGTATACAACAATACGCATATCTTTAATATTAAAATTTAAAAAATATAAAGTGTAAAAAACAACTGTTATCAAATGTGATATTAATTTAAATACAATACAAACAAAAATATGAAAGTTAGATGATTTATCTAATATATAACTCAAATAATTAAGTAGAATATTGGTTTTGGATAGTGGGATCCAGAATAGCAATGGTTAAGTATGATATTAATATATGGGTATTCATCATTTATGATAGCAATCGGCGTGCTGCTATCATAAATGATTGGAGTGTCAAAACTATGTAAGAGTTTTGGGTTTTTAATAAATAACAAGTTTTTGTATGTCTAAGTCTTTAAGGAAAAAACCGCTTAGAAATATAGTAATAGCATTACTTATAGAATAAATATAAAGATAGTTATTAAAGTATCAGCAGATATTCTAATTACACCAAATTATATCAAGAGTATTACAACCCGTGCTAGACAACGAACACCAGTTATTTAAATAATAGCACATACCATAGAAAGCAAAGGCAGTATCTAGTACAAGGACTAAAATATAATATAGCACTATGTTTAAGCATGATAATGTTGGTTTATTGGCCAACCCTAGCAAAGAGCAATTCTTATAATACTTTCTTCTGTTTTAATATTTCTCTTTGTTTTGAATAGTGTATTGCTTTACTTTGGGCATATTAATAATACATTCTCATTGTATAATAAAATATTTCAGAATGTTTAGGAGAGTTCTCTATTAGAGTTTTCACACATTTTACTACTTCTTGCTGCTGTTTATTAGCCCGCTCAAACAAATCCAATAGTTCCTCATTAGTCTTTTCACGATATTTAAGTTTTCCTTCATTTCTACTCAGAAAATCATCATTAATAGCAATTTTATCAAAGATCAATTTTATAATAAAAACAAAATCATCAGAGTTAAAGGCCATTCTAAGCCAAATAATCCACACATCATTGGAAGGAACAACTTTTTTATATTTTGGGTTTTTTTTGTCTAAACCATCTATAAATCTTGCAATTTCAGTTAGATAGTCTGTAATTGTGCCATTATGTGATAATACCTTAAGAAATCTTATATGTTCATTTACTGTGCAATTTTCCAGTAAAAAAGAAAATAGCTTCCCCATATAATGCCCTGCTGTTAAATATGCCTTTATAAGCTCCAAATTGCCTTGAACCGAATTGCTGTGCCCTAAATAAGAAGCATATTTGCATATCTCTCCAATCAAATGGTCTTGATCATTAAGTATCTTTTGGGATATAGTTATTTTTTTAGAACAATTTCTGTATAATCCCCCAGTATACATTGGAGTAAAAAACATATTTTGAATTATATCCGAATTATGCAGGTTAAGACTTCCTATCATATTGGAAATAGTTCGTGCCCAAGGATCAGTCTCTTCTAGAGGATATCCCAAGAGGCACTCTCTAACATAATATATCAATTTTAGTGTTTCGCCCTCCAATTCAATTGGATTGTACAAGAAAAACTTGTCAATTGAGTAAAGTCTATTGTTTTCTGTTTTTATGTTCATATTTTCTGGGAATGGGTCTCCATTTTTTTTTTCAATAGAGTTATTAAACAGTGTTTGTTCTAAGCAGTGCTTAATCATATAATCTGTTAGACTTGCATTCTTTTCTTTTTCAATAGAACTAATTATATTAATCGTATCAGTTCTCTTAGAATTAGTTAAGCTGCCATTTATGTAAGATAGGTATTTAGTAGAAACATAATCGTTTGTATGGCACAATCTTATCTCTATTACATACTCGTGATAGCTATGGTTTATAAATATTACTCCAACCAAGTCCAAACTTTTATGGACTCTTTCTTTTTTTAGTGTACTATGTATGTTTACTTTTATATATCTGCTTATTGGCGCTTCGACCACTGAGCTGTTTTTGTCTTCGTCACTAAAGCCTATATCATGGTTTGGGAAAAGAGAAGTTTTTCTTAACTGCCTTGATTTTTCTATGAGTGATATAAATAACTTTTCTGCATATATTTCCACTTTTTCAACTAATTCATGAGAATTTCCATTTGCTATCAGAAGATTACTAAATTCTTTAAGAGCCCATTTTTCTTTAGAATATCTTCCAGTTATTTCAGCAATAACATATAACATGTTTATTATACCTGGAGCAAGTTTATTTCTATTCTCTTTCAGATATTTAATATTCTCATTTTCTAAATCAGCCACCACTTTATTCCACTCATTATGAATTTCGGGTTTAGTTATATCAAATGGTTTGTTATACGTAGAAAAGAACCTTTTCAAGTCTGGCGATACTTCTCCCATCTGCTCTGTAGTATACTCTTTCTTCTCTGGATCGTATGCCAAATAGCAAAACAAACCAAGTAATCCCATTTCAGTAGAATTGCTGTATAGGTTGCTACTATCAAAGGAATTTTCTATTCTATTGTAAGATAGAACCCGTTGATAACGAGAAAAATCCTCATTAAAGATAAATGGAAATACATCTTCTAAAAATGCCTTGCCATATAACACATTCAATGCAGACATTCTACAATCATTAGCTATATCAGCACTAGAATTCACAAAGCATCTATCTAGAATCTTTCCAAGATATTCCACCGCGTTATCCCCGTACTCTTCCTTCTCTTTTTGTTTTATACTTTCCTTAAGCATAGAGTGCACAGCCTTTGCTAACTCAACTATATCATCTTTAGTATTCAAGTATTCAAATATATAGTGCTGTATTAGCCACCTTGCATTCTTTAAAAACTTGCCAGTTTTAAAGTCTTCATATGCTTTGGGTTCTTGGTATCTGCCTCCATTTCGTATATCAAAATTTGTTTTGTTCTCTATAAAGAAGTTTATAACACTAACAGCCTCTTCTTGTTTTACTTTAGTAGGTTTTACTATATCACTAGGCTGCTTTATATTGCACATAGCACTCATGCTTAGAGAGAATATGTTTTCTTTAGTGCTAATCTTCTTTAGAACTAACACTTGCTCTGGCCCAGTGCCTTCTATTTTTAGTGGCACGTCCACTCCTTCTGCCAATAAAAACAGAGAGGCTAAAATATTAATTCTGTGCTCAAACACATGTCTACTTTGAATGAATCTCATGAATGAGTTATTTCTATTTGTGTATATTGAAAAATTCTGATGTGAATAAGGAAACAAGTATACTAATGTTTGGTGGTAGTCTCTAATATAAATCGGGTCTTCCCCTTCTCTAGCAATTATTTCTATTCCATGGGCCTTGTCATTATCAAATTTTCTTTTAAACCACATTAATACTCTTTCACTATTATTGGGGGTAACAAAGTTATTTAAACTATACTCTATATCCACTTCTGACGAGAAAAGCCGCTTTGCACGCATTAGCTTAAGCCATTCAGAAAAAAGTGTACCCATTGGAGATATAGATCCACCCAGTCGAATTTTCAAGCCTTTATCATCAATGTTTTCATTATGCAATGGCACATAAACATTCAATCCTACTCTACAGTATATCCGGCATAATATAATTGCTCCAATAATGAATTCTTTTCTTATAAGCATATCTTTACTATTAACTAAAAAAAAGATATAAGCTGATTTTTTATTTTCTTGATTATGGACTGCTATTTGTTATAATTAAAATTTGTTCTTTATTAAATTTTAGAGACTTTTATAATTTATTTGACAGAATTTATTACTCCAATAAGTATGACATTATCATAAATGATGTTTAATTGTCTACTGACTGGTTTGTAAAATTTTCCTCTCAAATTCATTATTTTATTGTCATTATATGAGTTAATGTCACTTCTGAACTTTATATAGTAATTGTGTGTCTATGGAGAACTAATAATATATTTATAATAAATAAATGACATTCTGATTTTTCAATGAAATTATATTTGACTTCTTTTTATATTCGGGTTATTTCAGAAATTCTATTGCTTCTCTATTCATGTCCAGATAAAAATAATTTATATTTTTAAATCCACTCTCAATTATTATTATAACACTACACATCTTCCCATATGCAGAGGCTATGTCCAGTGCCGGTGCTTTATATTATGATTCTGACTGTCTAAATCATCAAGATTACACTGTAATTTGATTAATCACAATATAAAGCACTTCTCATATATTATTTTTTGTGGCTTGCTGTCTCTTCTAGATAATTATAAGTGTATATCCATTCTGTTAGATCTATTTAATAAATTGTTTTTTCTTTATATTCTTACTAGTGCTCTTGCTAGCTTAAATTAAAGTTTCTTTTTTAATGTTAATAAACTTAGCAGAGCTTTTATTAGCTCTTTCTTTTATGTTAATTTAACTATTAGTATATTATTGCTTCTGTTGATTTCATAATTACTAATATATAGGTTTCATTGGCATTTTGATTTTCATAAGATAAACCAACATACGCTGTTATACGTCTTAAATAGCCATTTTAGTATATTGTGTTTTTATTGATAATAGTTTATTGTACTCTTTTAATAGTAAATTTAAGTTTACTTCTGGAACATTTTGAGTACTTTTATGCATTTCTGGCTATTAAATAAAAATGTAATAGAACAGTGCATAAAATATAAAAATGTGTATACTTTTAAATAAATATAAGAAAATAAAAATAAGAAGTGGCATAGAAAAAGAGAAATTCTTTTTATTTGTTAATAATAGTTTATTATTATAACTTACTTCAGGTAGTTTGTAAATGAAGTGAATTCACTGATACCTTGAAAGGGCTTCTAGTGCAATTAATCTATAATTTAATAATATACAGAAAAATCTATCCTAGAAACTTTCTAACACCTTAATATGCTTGCATTTGTGTATTTAGAATGTTTTATCCCCTATTAACTCTTTTTACTTTTTGCAGATCACTTGGAATATCCAGCACTTTTACTTTCTCCCATGGGAACTCTTCTCTACCGAAATGGCCAAATACTGCAGTGTTCTTGTATATTGGTCTGTCCAAGCTTAACTCTTTAACGATGTTTCCTAGACGTAAGTTAAAGTTATTCTGAACTATCTTTAGAATGTCTGCATTGTCGTATTCTGAACTGTCATAGCTGTTCACATATAGAGAAATTGGATCTTTTACACCAATAGCATAAGAAATCTGCACTAAAATACGCTTAGCGAGACCACTGGATACTAATGACTTAGCAATCCACCTGGCCATGTATGCACCACTTCTATCGACTTTGCTCCAGTCTTTTCCAGAGTATGCACCTCCTCCATTGGCACCCCATCCACCGTAAGAGTCTACTACTAGCTTTCTTCCAGTAAGACCAGAGTCTGCCTTAGGTCCACCCACTACAAACTTACCACTTGGCTGCAGAATGTATTTAGTGTCCTTTAATAGCTCTGAATCAATTACTTTTTCAATAAGGTTGGTTTTTAAGTACTCCCGGATGTATTCAGTAGTAACACTTTCTTTGTGCTGAGCGGATATAACAATACTGTCCACTCTAACAGGCCGCAGAACTTTAATACTTTTTTCAGATGCATGTACACCAGACTCATCAGAGTTATTCTGGTTTTCTACTTCGCTGCCTACTGTTTCGTATCCTTCTATGTACTCCATTGTGACTTGTGTTTTATTGTCTGGTCCCAGCCAATCTACTTCAGTTCTGAGTATATTCAGATGGTATGCTAGTTTATGTGCGAGGTGTGTGGTCATCGGCATTTTTTCTTCTGTTTCATCAGTGGCGTATCCAAACATAATTCCTTGGTCACCAGCTCCCAGGTCCCATTTGTCCTCGTTTGTCTGCTCTATTCCATTTGATATGTCCATGCTTTGCTGTGTGATGTTTGTCAGCACAGTGCATGCATCTGGATCGAGCCCCCAATCTGCAGTGTATCCTGCGTTCCTCAGAACATTTCGTGTGATTTCATCAAAGTTTATGTCTGCTTTAGTGGTAAGCTCTCCAACCAAAAGAACCAATCCAGACTTTATTACAGCATCAACTGCCACTCTAGAGAAATTATCTTGTTTTAAACATGCATCCACTATTGCGTCACTTATTTGATCGCATAGTTTATCTGGATGGCCTTTTCCTACAGACTCAGACGTAAATAGAAACCGTTCTTGCATAAAAATAAAAAAAATGAGAAAAAAATAGAAAAAAACAGAAAAAAACAGAAAACACAGAAACTTCCAAAATACTAAAAACAGTTGAAATTATCCAAAGAAAATTTATAAATTTGTACAGAAGCAGAGTATAGAATAAGGCAATTCCATACAATTACTTATTAAGATACTGTAATGTTTTCTATTACCAAGGGGTTATATATTAATAATTAGTTTAATAAAATTTTATCTTGGTTTACTTTGTTAGCAACAATTAATGAATTATGAACACGTATTTATAGATTGTAAGATTAATTTAATTTATAATGGTATGCACATGTAATAGTTAAATAACTCCTGCATTACTTCCTGACATGTTTGTTTTAATCCGACCTGTATAAAAAAAATTAATTAATTTATCCTAATTTGTTCGGATACGACATAAAGTAATATGAAATATCAAAATTATATTTATATAAATAGATATAATCCAAAGAAATATTAAAATAAAATGAATACACAAAAAGAAAAAGCAGAAGAAACAAAGCAAAAAGAAGAGTCATACAATGAGAATCTACCCAGTACTAGTAGGCAAGATATATCATATAATGAGAATCTACCCAGTACTAGTAGGCAAGATATATCATATAATGAGAATCTACCCAGTACTAGTAGGCAAGATATATCATATAATGAGAATCTACCCAGTACTAGTAGGCAAGATGTAGGAAATGTTGTTAATCAACTGCATCATATGGCTAATCTTTTAACTCACATGATAAAGAGTAATAAGAACAAGGAACATACTATAACATCTATAATAAGCAATTTTATTATAGAAAATGACCATGCAAATTCAGAATTAAACAGAATGTTACTTACAAAATTGCTAAAACATTATGAGAACAAGACAAATTTATTATCTTTTGACAATATGTCATTAAAAGTAATTAATACAATTCGGGTTATTGCAAATAAAAAGGAAAGGATGATGTATAATGAGTATGTAGGCGTAGAACTAATAAAACTACTGTATAACATCGAAGAAACTAGATCTCAGATGGATTTAAATACAAATGAAGAACATGTTACTAGCCATGATGAACATAATACTTTATTAATACACACAGAACCTAGTAGAACTGAAGAACATGTTACTAGCCATGATGAACATAATGCTTTATTAATGCACACAGAACCTAGTAGAACTGAAGAACATGATACTAGCCATGATGAACATAATACTTTATTAATACACACAGAACCTAGTAGAACTGAAGAACATGTTACTAGCCATGATGAACATAATGCTTTATTGTCTAGTGAGTATGAAACAGATAGATATTTTTTCGAATCTGATATAGGCACAGAACTGGAGGACCCAGTCAAACTAGAGTTGTCTATGCCATTAAACCACATAGATTCCAACAAGAAATACCAAAGTCAATCAAATAACTATGAATCGGTCTTGACCAAAGATGAAATATGCACAGAAATAGAAGGATTGAGAATGCTATTAAATAACAGCGGTCATAGTTTAGATAGTGATATGGTTAAATTTGGTAAAATGTTAAATAGCATTATCAAACTAAAATTATCACATTCTACAGCAGTTTCTAAACCGAATTATATAAAAACAGCAACTGATAATTTTATATCTGATGTGCTGAACCATATAGAAGATGAAATTATATCAAATTATAAAAACGAAAAAGGAAAAGGAACTCAATTGGCTTTTTCTCTAGAAACAATTAGCACTTTAGAATATCTAAAGAATTTATTCATTTTAATGAATATTAAATGCAATCCACTGATAACAGATGAAGTAGATACAGAAAGGAGTGACAATTCACTGGCCTCTACTTCAAATGAAATACAGCAGCATACTTTACTGCCAAAAGAAATTCTTAATGCAGATTTACCAGAAGAAAGCGTGTTAGGCAATAGCAGCACTTCAGAGCAAGTATTACCAACAAATATCATGGAAATGGTTTTAATGCGATTGAATGCTCTATGGTATAATGATGTTAACTGGGGGGTAATTATAAAAACTTCATTCATGTCAATATTAGCTATAATAATGATTTTGGAGGGTTTAAAATTATTTTTAAATATTATCAGAAGTTCATTTGCAGCTGGCATATTCCAAATAAGATGAAATAATTTCAAGAGTTATTCTAAGACAATAAACAGGCGAAATTCATTATTTTCCTATTTTAATAAGTTTTAGTTGGTTTATGTTTAATTTTCTAGCAGTTAAAAATATTAATTTGGTACGGCCGCCCTAGGGGTACGAGGAATGGCTTAGAGAGAATAGGAAGAGAGTGTGTGGCACTCGACAGCCATTCATTTGAGACCCCTCGAACATTATATCAATAAACTGTTTTAAGATAAAAAATATGAAGTAAATAATTATTAATGCACTATGCGTAATAAGTAATACTTAGTGTACTATGCGTAATAAGTTGTGCACTATGCGTAATAAGTAATACTTAATGTACTATGCGTAATAAGTTATGTTTTATAATATAATCATTATTTATTATGTTATGTGTAATAAGTTGTGTACATGTGTTATATGCAATATATCATAATATAATAAGTCATGTATATTAAGTGTTATTTACTGTACTATACGTAATAAGTTCTATATATTGTGTAATAAGTTCTAATAATTTATCTTGTTTTTTATTTTTTTCTACTTTTATTTCTTTTTTTCTTTCTCCCTCTACTTATCTCTCCCTTATTTCTTATACTCTGTATATCTCCTATCTGTATACTCATCCCATAAGTTATACACCTTTACTTTATTCCCTATAAGTACGTCTTTAATATTATCACTAATACTTTTACTATAATGTGTAATAAGTAGTGCATATCCCACCCTGTCAGTCACTCTTAGTCCTATTTCCTGTGATACCATTGTACAGCCAATTGAATATTTGCTATTAATTGGTGTGTGGTATGCACTGCATATAATTTCCGTCTTTACCTTGTCTTCTGTTGTATTTACTGCCTTATTCAGTATTTCACACTTACTTAAGTCGTTTAAGTAGATATATTTACGGATTGTATCTGAGAGCACTTTAACGTAGTTTACTTTTTCCGTTATGTGTAATAATTCAAGAATATTCAATGATGGCATAGAAAGTTTTGTATTGTTACTGTAGGACAGGTTGTATATAATATATCCTACATTGTGTAATAAGTAATAATTATAACACTTTGTCCATTTAATAAACCTCAGTAATCCTTTTAGCAGCATAATGGTGATTGTGTTATTATTTATTACACTATGTGTAACAAGTAATTTACAGAATAATTTTACGAGCACTCTTAAGTATGTTTCATCATATATTACATTATGTGTAATAAGTTTATCATCATTTATTACACTATGTGTAATAATTTTTGTTTCTTTTGCATCACTATTATTTACTGCACTATGTGTAATAAGTTTTATCTCTTTTTCATCTTCTTTTTCATCCCCCTTTTCTTTCTTCTCCCTGTTTGTGCTGTATAACCACTGATTCTTATCTAATAATAATGTTAATGACAGTGCATATTTCACTCTTCTGTTATTATTAAGTAACTGGATTATCTTATCCTTTATTATATCCAAGAGATCCTGCCTATTTCTTTTTATATAATGTAGAATAAGTTTTACTTCTCTATCCACGGTTATATCCACATTGCCCATTAATATATCTAATACTTTCCCATTAATTATGCTTAATATTTCAGGTGCACTGAATAATTTGAAAATTTTTGTTTTTAAAAAACCGTTAGAACAATGTTTTGATAAAATATTGTAAAATTCAGTGAAAAATTTTGATAATTCAATAAATTTACAAAATAAAACTGCTTCATTTTGTAATTCTTTTGATTCATCTTCTGTTATAGAAGTATCCTGTGGTACTGTAGACTTATTACACACTGTGCTATTAATTTTAGCTCTTTTTCTATTTTTAGGGTTATCTCGGGTTATTTCTTCTTCTAATAATATTTCTTCTTCTGAATTCTCTTTTTCATTTTTTATTTCTAAATTTCCGTTAGAATTAATTAATTTTTTACTTATTTGGTAATATTCTATTATTTTCATAATATTTTGAATTATTAAATAAGTTTTGTCATTTTCCGTTACATTTGCCATATTTAGTAATTTTTTCATTTCCTTTGAATTTCTCTCTTTAATGATTTTTAGTGTCATTAAGGTGACTTTGTCTTTGAATGTCCCTTCTGCTGATATGAACTCGTTTAAGTCTTCATCCGTTTGGAATTTCTTATGAAGGATTTTCTTGGTGAGTCTTCTCTCTGCTACCATAAAAAATTTGCAGAATTTGCAAATAATAAATAGTAAAAGGCAATAAATATGCATAGAATATAATGGTAATTATGTAATAAGTAATGGTATAATTATAATTTATTATGTAATTATCATTATATTATGCAGTAAATTTATAGCAAATATATAAATTACTTATTAGTGAGTGTGTAATAAGTTATAGCGAATAATAAAATTATTTATATTTATACAGTGTGTAATAAATAATAATACTTAAAGCATAAATAACGCACAGTATCATAAATATTATTTATACTACACTGTGTAATAAATACTATATGACTTATTACGTATAGTACAATAAATAATATATGACTTATTACGTATAGTACAATAAATATTCACATAATAATATTTATTATATAATAAATAGTATTTATTATACAGTGCAGTATAAGTAATACAGAATATTTCTGTATGCATTATTTATTACACACTGTGCCATAAATAATAACCTTAAATATAACCAAGACTTATTATACTTTTATTTCTTTATTTATTTATGAGAGACAAAAACCGAGTGACGTATTCCACGCTAATCACAGCAGCAATCAGATCATCACCCCACGGCATGTGCACTATTACAGATATATTAAAGTACATTACGTATATAAACAGACCAAACAGCACCACAGGCACAAGCAGACCAAATAATAACACAAGATATAATACACATAGTGCAATAAGTAATGATAATAACACAATAAGTAATAAGTTATGCAAAAACAACAGAATAAATAATAATACACATAGTGTAATAAGTAATAAGTTATGCAAAAATAACAGAATAAATAATAATACGCATAGTGTAATAAGTAATGATAACAGAATAAATAATAATCCACATAGTGTAATAAGTAATGATAACAGAATAAATAATAATCCACATAGTGCAATAAGTAATGATAACAGAATAAATAATAGAAGTAATAATAATAACACAGAATATAATAATCATGGTGTAATAAGTAATAATAATAATCCGCATAGTGTAATAAATAATAATCATAACACAGAATATAATATGCAAGGTGTAATAAGTAATAATCATAACACAGAATATAATAATCATGGTGTAATAAGTAATAGTGAATATAGTACGCATAGTGTAATAAGTTATGATGATATAATTTTATCAGAGTGTCCTTCTAGTGTCATTACATCTGTACGGCAAGTGCTCAGCCGGGACAGTCAGTTTATTAAGCTGGCCAGGCGGGAGGGTTGCCGAGTCTCTGAGTGGATCCATTTTACGCCCATCCGGAGAAGGTTCCCTAAGCCACTCACCCACTTAACTGAAATCCGGTCGGCCCTGAAGAAGAAAGGCATTTATAAGGAGTTCAAGTTCACACACCCATAAATGCACTGTACACAATTAAATAACCAATGTGTAATAAGTCCTACCACCCATAATAAACAACACACTGTGTAATAAATAATAAAATAAATCTGTGAGGTAATTTACTAACTGTTATAAGAAGACCATTCGTACCACGGTATACAAATAGACTAAGCACCGTATACAAATAGACTAAGTAAATATTACAGTGTAAAATAGACTAATTCTTATTTTATGCTGTACTTATACTTCCTCCTTCTTCTTCTCCTTCTTCTCCATGTTTGGACATACACCACCCTCCTTTATTAACCAGTTACGACCGAGTGAGTATAATTCCTCATCCTTCCTTATGGCTATGGCTAAGTGCCTTGAGACGATCTTCCTCTTGTTCTCTTCATCACAGATGAGCTTGGATGCCTCGATTATTTCTCCTAAGGTGTACTCAGTGACTGACCCTATGGCTATGATTGCTTTGTGTGACACTCTCATTTTACTTTTATCTCTTACCATTCTGTGTAACTGTGCTGTCTTAAAGACTGGCTTTGTCTGATTTACTTTTTTTGCTGATGCTGGGTCTTTCTTTCCCTTTCCTACTACCATGGGAATAAAAAATAAAGAGAATTTATAGTTTTATTTGGCGGGAAAATAAAAGGGCGGGAAACAGGACTTATAAGAGTATGTAGTATAAATAATAAGTATACATAAAATAAGAGCAAGATATAGTACATAATATATGATAAGTAATATATAGTACACGAGGAGTAATAAGTAATAGGAATAAATTATAAATAAAATATTTAATTAGGTATACAATATAATAGGCGTAGTATAATAAGTAATAGAGCAATGCAGTAATATATATTATACAATGAGTAATAAATAATATATAGTACACATTATGCAGTAATTAATAATTAGGTATAGAATATATAAAGTAATAAACAAACAATACATAATAGGCAAAGAGCAATAAATAATATATATTAGACAAAGAGCAATAAATAATATATATTAGACAAAGAGCAATAAATAATATATATTAGACAAAGAGCAATAAATAATATATATTAGGCATAGTATAATAAATAATATATATTAGACAAAGAGTGATAAATTGTGTTACTTATTACATACTGTATACTAAGTAATATATCAATTATTACTTATTATACATTACTTATTACACTATTCTTCTTATATTATACATTACTTATTACACTATTACTATTATATATTACTTATTACACATTATATATTACTTATTACACTATTACTATTATATATTACTTATTATATATTGTATAATATGTTTTAAGAGTTCTTTAAAATACTTTGGTTATTTATTTTCTGCACTAGAATATATTGCACAATGTAGTAAAAGTTATAATTCGGGTTAATTCGGGTTTTATCACATTGTACTATTTTAGTCTATATTTCCTGCCTTACACTGTCCACACGTGCCCTCATCTCTCTTACAACCATTCTAATGCTTTTTATCTCTTCCTCTGTTAAATATTTATACCCAATCCATGTATAACTAAATTCACCTGAAATACCGTTAATATTCCCCTTCATTAGACCAGTGCCAAGTATCTGTAATATACATTCTTGTACCAATTCTAACGGCAATGACAAATCATCAGATATTTTCTTAAGAATAACGGTTCTTTCTTGATTTTTAAAGAAATAATTAAGCAATCTTATTATAACTGCCTTTCTCTTGACTAATTCCACTATTTCTTCATCAAATGCCTTTGAAATACGTTCTGACTCCATTGGATCGTCATTCTCCAGTGCCGTTATTAATTTTATTGAAATATTTTCAATATTTTTTGTTTTATCAAATTTTTCATTGTTTTTGATTTCACTCAAATTTTTATCATCTGAGTTACTTTCTGTAATTGTACTGCATATTTTTATTAGTTCTGTAAATGAATATATTTCATCTGAATAAATCCCTGCCCTAACCACAGTTTCTATTATTTCAGTTATTTTTTCATTTTCTATTTCTTTTTTCTTTTCCATATTTAGTAATTTCAGGTACTCTACTAAATTTTTATATGAAATTGTAAAATTTTTACTTTTATAATTAAGTAACCCCAGCCCTAAATGAAGAATCCTTAAAGATTCCTTACTCTCTATCTCCATCTCTTTACACTCGTACAGAATTATACGTGCCTGTTGTAATTGGTCTATCTGTATATAATTTAGACTAATTTCCAATAATATACGTATATTACCATTAAATATAACAGAATTACTATTATTTAGTCTATTTATATACAGAATTGGATTATTCACCATCTCTGTACTATCATTTGTTGCACTATTATCATTATGTTCTGTACTATTGTTATTACTTATTATACTATGTGTACTATATTTACTATTACTTATACTACTATGTGTATTATATTCATTATTTAGTATGTTTAGTGTATTATATAATATATTTATACTACTTTGTGTATTTAGTTTTTTACTTACTAATATACTTATATTTATAAAAGTATCCGTATTAATATTATAATAATTAGGTAAAATAATATCATCGTATATATTACACAATGTGTCATTAGTTATAGTATTAATATTACTTAATAAAGTAATAGAGAGCTGATGAAAGAGGCCCTTTTCTGCTAGACTTTGCAGTGTATTAAACATAAAATAAAAATAAAGTAAATATTTATATACAATGTATAATAAGTAATAAGTAATAAAATAAAATTAATTAAAATATAATATACAATGTATAATAAGTAATAAGTCATAAGAGGCATTATTGTATAAATACAACAGAATGTAATACACAATATAATACATAGTATACATAGTGTAATAAGTAATGTACATACATAGAACACGACTTATTACATAGTATACATAGTGTAATAAGTAAGTTACATAGTATACATAGTGTAATAAGTAAGTTATATAGTGTACATAGTGCAATATATTCTATAACTTATTGTACATAGCGTAATAAGTAAGTTATATAGTGTACATAGTGCAATATATTCTATAACTTATTGTACATTGCGTAATAAGTAATAAATAGTATACATAGTGCAATAAGTAAGTTATATAGTGTACATAGTGCAATATATTCTATAATTTATTGTACATTGCGTAATAAGTAGTTGTTTAAGTGTTTAATAAATGTGAACTATGCATGATTTATTAAAATAAAATATTATTTATGCCTTACATGCCCCCCCAATGGCAGCTCTCGGTTCAGCTGACATTCCTTACTTATATGCCAGGGGTATGCCCTTTATCTCTTTGTATGATCGCTTCGTCGCTTTTCCATCTTCTCCTCTCACTATGTATGAGTCATTTCCACAGTTCTTTATTATTACTCCTCTGTTTAGGAATCTCCCTTGTTCGCTCTTCTGCTTGTTTCCCATATTCTCCTTTCTTGCTGTTAGTACTTGTTCACCTTCATAGAATTTTTCCCTTTCTCTGAACTTAAATGTTTTTGCGTATTCTCCATCTGCTCTATTTCTCTCACTTATCGCTTCTTGGTTCATTGTTGCTTTTTCTGGTGTCATCCGTATCCCTGAGTGGTATCTGTTGTTATAACTTAATTCAATTTCTCTTAGCCTATCCTTTAATTCTCTTTTCCTGTCTAACTTTGCTAAGTCATCTCTTATTGTCCTTATGAACCTTTCTACTCTTCCGTTACTGTTATGTGCTTCTATACTTATCTTTCTCTGGCCGGTTCCTTTGTTAACTAAGTATTTCTCCATCTCTTCACTTGTAAATTCTTTCGCATTATCACACATTATTGCTTCTGGTCTTCCTCTTTCCCTTATGAATCGTTCTAAGCCTCTTATTACTTCTTCTGTCTTTTTATTGTTTAGTAGCACTATTTTTCCTACTCTTGTATACATGTCTATCATTACCAGTATATATCTATCCTCAATCTCTTCTTTCATTATATCCATTGCTACTAATTCTAATTTCCTTGTTGTTTCGATGAATCTGTGTCCTGCTGCTGTTTTCCTGTTATTCTGTATGCACGTTAAGCATTCTTTTATTACTTTCTCTGTTTCGTCCCATATTCCTCTCCAATAGTATCCATCTTCCTTAATCTGTTCCACTGTTGTCCTTGTTCCCTTGTGTACTGTTGCGTCGTGTGCTCTCCATATCATTTGTCTTCTGTCCTCTTCTTTCGGTATTTCCTTCCGTTCTCCATGTTCTAATAACCAGTATAGTTTTCCATCCTCTTCTCTTGTGTGTTTTCTTATCAGTGTTTCTTCTCTCTTCCGTGCGCTGTCCGTTCTGTTCTTTTTGTCAATGAATCCCGTTAATCTTCTCTCGTATATTCTGCTCAATAGGTCTGCTGTTAATAATTGTATTCCTGGTCTGTATTCTATTGTAAAGTCAAATTCTCCTAGTCTTTCTAACCACCTGCTTATCCTTGCCTTTCCTTTCCCAAAGTCTCTCTTTACTCTCATCTCTGTTAGTGCCTTATGATCTGTTCTCACGTGGAACTTTCTTCCTTTCAAGTAGTACTGGAACTTCTCTGTCCCCCACACTACTGCTAGCATCTCTTTCTCTGTAATCCCATAATTCTTCTCTGCCTGTGACAGTGCTCTGCTCTTCCATGCTATTGGTACTTCTTCTCCATTCGGTCCTATTTGTTCTATCACTGCACTTATTCCATAATCGCTTGCATCTGTTGTTACTATAAATTCTTTCTTGTGGTCTGGTAATAATAATTCTCTTGCATCTCTCAGTTGTTGTCTCATTATCTCATATGCTTTCTCTGCTAAGTCATCCCATACAATCTTATCGTTCCTATCTCCTGCTTCTGTTATTAATTGTCTCAGCGGTATCTCCAACATCGCAAATTGTTGTATAAATTCTCTATAATATCCCATCTTTCCTAGGAATCCTCTCATATCTTTCGCTGTAACTGGTTTCGGGAATCTTAGTGCTTCATTTCTCTTCATTTCTATCGGCTTTCGTGTCATTCCATTTATCCTCTGTCCTAATATTTTTACTTCTCTTCTACATACTCTTGTCTTCTTAATATTAATCCTTAGTCTGTTTTCCTTCAATATATCCATCACCTGTCTTACTACGCCCATATGCTCTTCTTCTGTTTTTGTATATACTACTATGTCATCCATGTATACTGCTACTTTGTTCTTCCATATTAGTTTCTTTAATAGTCTGTCCATCATCTCTTGGAATATCATCGGTGCGTTCTTATAACCCATCGGCATGCTGCAGTATTCATATGTCTTTCCCATTATCCTAAATGCCGTCTTATGTCTATCTTCCTCTCTTGTCTGTATTTGGAAATATCCGTCCTTCAAATCTATTATCGTAAAGTATCTCGCTCCTTGCATCTTCTCTATCATCTCTTTCATATCTGGTATCTCATATTCTTGTCTCTTTGTAATCTCATTCAATAGTGTCATGTCTGATAATAGCCTTAGCTTGTCTTTCCCATCTGGTGTTTTCTCCAATTTCATAAATACTCTGTTTCTCCACTTCGAATCACTCTCCCTTATCACTTGTGTTCTTTCATATAGATTCAATAATTCCTTTGCCCTTTCCTGTAGCGGTATTGCCACATTGCTTGCTCCACCTTCTGTCATTTCACCCTCTTTTGTCTCTATTGTTGCTATCGTCGCTTGTGTGTATTCTATCTTGTCTATCTCTTCTAATGTCTTTATCTCTTCTGGGTATTCTTCCTGTATTTGTCTTAATTTTTCCTGTTCATCTGGACTTCTTTCACCTATTTCTTTTTCTTCTTCCTTTGCCCTAAATTGCATCTCTCCTTCCATTTTCTCTAGCTCTTCCCTTTCTCTTTCATCCTCACTGTCATCCATTAGTAGCTCCTCTCTCTTTTCTTTCCATTCCTTGTTTAATTTGTCTATCATTTGTTCCATTTCCAGATCCGCGTGACTCTTCCCTTGCATTATCTTCCTTCTCATTGGTTCTTCCTTGTCACTCATTACCTTGCCTAGTTCATGTGTTTTGGGTACTGAGTTTGTTTCCTTTAGTTGTATCTTTGTCTTCTTTATGTGTTCTACTTTTGTCTTCCTTACTTTATCCTTCTTCACCTTTTCCTTTTTCCCTACTTCTGTCCATCCTGTCTCATCTTCCTTTTCACTACTTTTATTTATGATCTCTTTAGTCTCCTCAAATTTAGACACGTAATAGTTTCTTTTATTATTATTGTTATTTTCCGTTTCCGGTCCTGTCTTATAGTCACTATTCTTCCTTCTCTCTCTGCAGTTATTCTTTGTATGTCCATACCTACCACATGTGTAGCATTTCATCACTTTTACGCTTCTTCTCTCATTTTCTCTCTTCATCTCTTCTACCATTGTCATTAGTGTTTTTACCATTTCCTGGTTTTCTTCCTTTTCCCTGTCTCTTCTGTTCACCTCTTCTTCTTCTCTCCTTTCTCTTAACTTTTGGCCTATCCCGCTTATCACTCCTGCAGTTTCTTCTGCTCCCTCTTGTCCTTCTATTACTTCCATCCATATATCTGTTAGCTCTTCATTCTCTTTTACTTTCTCATACAACTGGCATATCTTATCTTCCTCCTCTACTATTTTTTTGTATCTCCACTCAGTTGCGCATATCTTTATCATCCTTTCCCATATTTTTATGGCTCTTGCCCATTTGGCCTCTCCGGAGTTGCCCCCATGTGAACTATGCATGATTTATTAAAATAAAATATTATTTATGCCTTACAATAAATAACCCGATATAACTTATTGTACATTGTGTAATATATTCTGTAATTTACTGTACATTGCGTAATAAGTATTTACTGCTATATTTTTATATTTTCAGGTTTTTAAGTAATTAAACTTTTCCTATTTAAGTAATTTCCGTTACTCATCACCACATAGTATGCTCAGATAAAATAAAAATTAAACTATTACCGTATACAGTAACCCACTAAAATTCTCTTCCCGTGGTACCTCACAGTAAACAACCAAAATAAAATAGAATAGATTTACTTACTCACTGGCTTGCCCCACTTCTTCATGTTCTCAGCATAATTATCAGAGAATATTTCATTTACGTCAGTGCACACCTCTTCTACCCCAGGGACATCCTCAATTGCCACACAGGCAGCATTCTTCCTACCAACAAAAGCACCTAATTCACTCTTGCTCCCGTATATGGCATAACTAACTCCCATCTTCTTGCAGAGTGATGGTAAGAATAGTACAACTACAATAGGATCAACATCATTCGCTATTAAGACCAGCTTAGCCTTCTTCCTTTCAATTGACTTGACTATCTGTCTTATACCGAATATAACTGACTTCTTACTGGTCTTATTACTATCTGAAGATATTCTCTCTTTCTTCTCTTCCTCATTCTCTGGCTTATACCTTAAGAAGATCTCTTTGATCTTCTCTTTTATGTCTTCTGGCATCTTCTGTCTGAACTGGTTTAGTGCTGGTGGACACTTTAAAGCATTTTCTAATGCAACCTTCTTCTTGCTTATTAACCTGTTTTGTGCTTCTACTTCTCTTTTAGCAATATCTGCTGTGTGTTTAAGACCAGTTCCTCTTTTGTTCTTTGGATTCTTCTGTTTGTATTCTAAATTCATGCTGGGGTAAAAAAATAAAAATAAATTTATATTCAACAGAAATAAAAAATAAAAATAACTACTAATATAAAATATTTTATAATTAATATATTTACTGGTATTTCCTTATTTAGTAGTATTTTTAATTATAAATATTTTTAATTTTTCATATAGTATAAATGGTTTGTTATTTGTTGTATATTTAAGTATTTCCTTTAATATTCTTATTTCTTTAAGTAATTCATTATAATTTACTTCTTTAAGTAATTTGTTCTGGTTTTTAATTATATTCTGTGCTAATTTTATTTGCTTAAATACCTTATTTAATAAGACTTTTGGTGGTTTGTGTATAAAGTACTGCACTATTTCTGTTTTTATTCTTCTCTGTAATATCTTGGATAGGTTAAGCAGTCTCTGACTATTTCTTATTTTACAGTGTAATTGGTCTATTTTCTGTGCTCGCACAGTTATTTTATTCTTTATTCTTTTAAATTTAAAAGTCTCCAAATTTTTTATTGAAAAAGACAGAAATGGAAGGGTTTTGTCTATTTTTCTAATAGAATTATTTACGTATAGCGTAAAAAGTAATGAGCCAGTTCTCTCTGGTAGTATATAAGCAAATGACTCATAAATATTAAATATATTAATTACGGGTATAATATACAGCCGCTTCTGTTTCCTTTCTTTCTTATTTAAAATTACTTCCAATTCATTTTCTAACGACTTATTAATTAAATCAAATAAATAGACAATTTCCTTATATGGAAAATCGGTTATTTTTGTTTTATTAAAAATATTTAATTCTTTAATTACTTTTAATAAGGTAAAAATTGTTCTTTTTCTGTTTTTTACAATGTTTTTTAAATTTTTTATATCTGATTTACTTTTTGGGTTATTTTTAATTATTTTTTCATTAAATTCATTAAATAATTTATTTTTATTTTCAGGTTTTTTAAGTACTTCCCTCCTATTCCTTATTTCTTCCCTGACTGATTCTTTCTCTGAGTCCATCCACATACGAATATTATTATATAATCCATAATTACTATTACTTATTACACTATTAGTATTATATTCTATAGTACTATTACTTATTACACTATTAGTATTATATTCTATACTGTTTAGTCTATTTATATCTGTATTATTAGTAATATATTCATCATAATTACTATTATTTATTATACTATTAGTAATATATTCTGTATTATGTATTTTATTTTTATATTTTATTTTATTTATTATTTTTATTATTTTTTTATATTTATTTATTAACTGTGCATTACTTAATACACATATATTATATAATAATGACCTTATTATATTATTATATAACATAATACACTTACTATTATATACAGAAGTACTTGTATTGGTACTATTATATACACTAGTTAGTCTATTTATATCTGTATCATGATTATAAGTATTATCAGTTAGTCTATTTATATCTGTATCACATATTATACTACTATTATATACAGGAGTATTACTTATTACACTATTACTCTTATTATCTGTATTATTAGTACTAGTTAGTCTATTTATATCTGTACTACTATTATATACAACAATATCCCTTATACTACTATTACTTATTACACTATGTGTATTATATTCACTTAATTTATTTGTTATGATAGACCAGTCCACTTCTTTACTTTTCATATATAAAATATTTTATAAATCATCCTGATATTTATACTTTTAAATTAATCCTTATTTTATTATATTACCATATATAGTAATAACATTATTACCATATATGGTATTTTCCTATTTTATAATATATTTTATCATTTATATATATATTACCATATATGGCAATTTTATTTACTATATATATATTTTATTTTTTTATTTTTATGATTTATTTTTCTGATATTTTTTTTATTTTTATTTTATTATTTTTATCTTTTTTTAATATTAATATTTATTATATTACTATTATATCTATTATTAATATTTACTATATTTATTACTATATGTGTAATAAGTTCTATAATAACATTATTACTGTTATATTATTAGTGTATAATATATACAGTGATAATAATATACATAATAATTTATACTTAATTAGCATAATAATTAATAAAATAATAAAGAATAACAGTAATATAATAATAAATAGACTAATATATGATAATAGTATAAGAGATAGTACAAGTATATGCAGTAGTAACAGGAGTATAAGGGATAGGAGTATATGCAATAATAGTAGTATATGCAGTAGTAACAGGAGTATATGTAGTAGTGATAGTGGTATAATTAGTATATATAATACTGTATTTAATAGACTAAGTATTATATATAGTAATATACGTATTAATAGTAGTATATGTAGTATATGTGATACAGATAGACCAAATAATATGAGTAATAGACTAAGTAGTACAGATATAAATAGACTAAGTAGTACAGATAGACTGAGTAATAGTATAATAGATATACCATGTGATACTAATAGACTAACTGATCCTGTATATACTAATAGACTAACTGATCCTGTATATACTAATAGACTAACTGATCCTGTATATACTAATAGACTAACTGATACTGTATATAATACTGTATATGTATATACTAATAGACTAAGTTATACTTCTACTGTATATATTATATATTATATTATTATATTTATTATTATTATATTATATTATGATATTATTATTAATATAATAAGTATTTATAGTATAATCTGTTTATGTCCATTTATTATTGGTAATACTTTAATTAATGAATTTATTAATAATAATATTATAACGGAAACAGAAGGGAATAATTTAATTAGATCGATTTATTTATGGGGATATTTTTATAATTTAATAATTATAACAGTAATAATAATAAATTATAAATTAAATATAAAAGTGACACCAGGCATATCCAGTATAATAATGACAAATTCAACACTTATTACGTATTACATCATATATAAAAAAATAAAAACAATAAAAAATAAAAATAAAATAAAAAAAGAGATAAAATAAAGATAACCAAGATATAAGCAATACAACAGTAGTATATAGATAAGTAATAGTATAATAGTATATAAATAGACAGTAATAGTTAGTAGTATGTATAAAGTAATAGTTAGTAGTATATTAAATAAGTAATATAGTATATTAAATAGGTATTAGTTAGGTTATACCCTTATACTATTATACCCTTATACCCTTATACTACCCTTATTACTACCCTTATACCCTTATACTATTATACCCTTATACTATTATACCCTTATACTATTATACCCTTATACCCTTATACTATTATACTATTATATTCTACTGTGTATTGGCATAATATACGTACCCGGTTAGCTCAGTCGGTAGAGCATTGGACTTTTAATCCAAGGGTCGCGGGTTCGAGTCCCGTATCGGGTGATTTTTTATTATTAAAAGCTTAAATTAGATATTTTTAATTATTGCTCTAATACTTATTAAACATAGCATAATAAATAAGAGTTATCACACATTGTATAATAAAAGAATATATAATACTATTTATTACGCTTAGTACAACAAGTTATAACCTATTAAACAATAAAGACTTATTACACATTGTACAATAAGTTATAATAAACTAGCCATTACTTATTACACACTGTACAATATATTATAATACACTTCACTACTTATTACACACTGTGCAATATATAATAGGCGTGTTATTGCATATTGAATAATTTAAGATTATCATAAACTAACCACTACTTATCACACACTGTGTTATATATAATAGATGTCACTACTTATTACACATTATACAATATATACTACTCACATTAATATTACTTATTACACATTAACATTACTTATTACACATTATATAATATATACTACTCACATGTAATTCTTCTTATACAGTGCCTGTACACCTCTGCCGATCACTGGGTCCTTTAATAAGTCATCTACAGTATAATAATGTATGTTATACTTATCCAGTGCAGTATCCCGCATACTCCCCTCTAACTCAGAAAATAACTCACACACACGCATAAAAAAATAAGAAAACTGTCTTTTATTTCCGAATGGGACCATTCCCGGTCGCACTACTAAAACACACTCCCCCCTCTCAGCCGCAGTACAAGATGAATAGTACTCTCCTTCTGTATGTTGTAGTCAGAAAGAGTCCTTCCATCTTCCAGCTGCTTCCCTGCAAAGATTAATCTCTGTTGGTCGGGTGGTATTCCTTCTTTATCCTGTATCTTTGCCTTGACATTCTCTATTGAGTCACTTGGCTCTACTTCCAGGGTAATTGTCTTCCCAGTGAGTGTCTTCACAAATATCTGCATAAACAAACAAACACCGCAGTATTTCTGCTTTATATGACTAATTGTCAAGGAATGTGCCAGTTAAAACAAACCCAGAATGGCCTAATTTAGACATGGTCGGGTGAATTGCACCGAGTGTTCCCTGGTACTCCCTGTAGAAATGTTCTCTTAAATCGAGAAGACAGAAGGATTTGTTAGTCATCATTGCATTAAACAGGTCTAGAAGAGCCTCTTTCACTGGGTGGTACACAAGAAAATCAACATACGCACTTTCTGGTTTCATATGCAATGGGATACTCTTTAATAGAGAAACCACTTCCTCTGCAATATATTTCTCCTTCTGTGCAAGCACTAAAAGGACACCCTTCTGCCTACTCTCAGCACAGCCCATGGCACTGTCAGGGCATACAGATGCAGTCTCAGTGCATGTACTTGGTGAATCACATACGGCACTCTCAGCACAGCCCATGGCACTGCCAGGGCATTTAACGCCCTCTGCATCACATACAGTCTTGTCACACACTGGGATAGAGTACTCTTCTATTTTCATAGGATGACCAAGTGCACCAAGTATGGCCAAGTCTGCAGTTGATCCTCCTATGCGGTAGAGATTCTTTGTACCACGTGCCATGGCAACTGCGCCTAAAAGGACTGACTTATGGTCATCCTTAACAATTACATACTTAGTACCAATTGCATGGAAAAGTACTTCAGCTGCTGCCTCATGGGATACGTGCAAGTCTCCCTTCTGGATGTACATAGAAATAATATCATGCAGTGTGGGTGTGCGCAGTAATATCTCCACTGAGTGCTTGTTGAACTTCTTCTTGGCATGCTTTGCAGTGGGTGCCTCCTTTGTACCCCCTACAGAAAATGCTTTGTCCTCGGGAGACCACACTAGGAACTCGTTAAACGGCATGCCCAGCAGTGCGCGTGCTGGGAAAGTGCCTCTCCTCCCCATAGAAAGTATTCTTAGCGCATCTCTCTTCATTCCAATAAATTTAACAGGACCTTTATCCCGGGTGTGTATGATAACCCATGAGTCCGTTGTAACTGCTAGCTGCATAAAAAAACCGGAAATTCATTTATTATATCATCCTTTGAATAAGCTCGTCCAAGTACCGGCCACGGTCTCCTGTTGCTCCTCCCTCTGTGAATCCCTTGATCTTTCTTCCTCCGAAGCCCTTTCTTGGGCAGCTAAGCTTGAATGGTCTGAGCCACTTGTTAATTGCTGATGCATCGGATCTCTTTCCCATGAAAATGGCCTCTACGATGTCTTCAACAGTCTCTACAGCACCTCCAAACTGCTCTGCAAGAAGTCTTGGTGTGATGTTTACTGGCATTCCATTGTACCTTCCAAATCCTCTGGTGTAAATAAGCTTTCTTATGGTTTCAAGTGAAAGTGTGCCGTATGTAACATAAGCCCGTACCTTCTGGAGAAGAGACTTTGATGACTTGTTGTTTATCACGAATGTGCCAGTGTTCACGTTTCTTAATCTAAGTGTGTCAAGTGCACACATGACATCTGGGGCTGCCTTGTTTGAACTTCTGATTCTTACAGCAAAGAAGAATGGTGCTTCAGCTGGAACATATATAGAGTTGTTTTTTTCTGCTTCTTCCTTCTTCTCTTCCTCCTCTTTTAAGAATGCCTTCATTCTTTTAATGGTTGAGATTGTTTTGCTTTCTATTTCATTTGTAGTCAGCTGTACTTTGTTCATTGCATGGGTAAAAAATAAAATTATTTGAGTCTTTTTTTACGTTATACTTAATGACTAAAAAATAGTAAATGTAAACCAGACTGTATTTACTTATATTTCTTCTATCTTCTCCATATCAGATGCTGTTATCCCAAATGATTTTACAAAATCTTGCTGTGTTATGTTAAATTTGTCTTTTATGTGGTTCTGAATAATATTAAAAGCATCTCCCCAGTCGGATAAATCTTGTTTGGCTACAGATAGTTCTTCCTTTAGCCTGGTAATCCTTATAGGATTGTTCTCATCAAGAATTGCCACTTTTTTAGTTGATTCTTCTAAATCCTTCTTCATCTCATTCAGTTGTGATATCTTTGCTTCTCTATCCGGTAGAGTGGATCTGTTTTGTTTCATAACAGATATCTCTTCGTTTAGAAGATCCTTTGCTTTGTTTAACCCTTCCATCTCCTTGATTAACTTCCTTGTCTCTACTTCTTTGTACAGCTTTATATCAGACCGAAAACTCCAATAATATTTTGTTATTCCCACTTTCTTCTCTTTCACTTTATTCTCTGACACAAGAATGTCAATTACCTCTTTCATGCTCTGTGGAACGACTCCTTTCTCTTTCTGTCCTAACTTTTCTAGTTCTTTTAGATTGAATACTGTGTCTTTTGTTTGGAGTAGGTCAAGGATCCTTTTGGTTTTCTCTTCCATTGAAAGCGGCTTGGCTCTGCTCATCCTGTAAAATTATTTTAGAAGAGTTTCTATTAGAATTTTATATCCAGAAACTAGATTATACAATAGAATTAGAATTATAATAAGAACATATACATGTACACTGAATATATAAGCTGTTTTTCCTTAAAGACTTAGACATCCGAAAACTTGTTCTTTATTGAATCCACGTCTTTCTTATATAGACGACTTCCAATCATTGATCAGGCATTGTTTGTGTATGGTTTACATTTTGATCCCCAATATAAATATTTATTTGTTTACTGTTCTGGATCACACTATCCAAAACCAATAATATACATGTAAACTGAAATTATTGAATTGTGATTGGATTAATTATTATTATAAGTCTAACTTTTGATTATAAAATACGTATATAAAGCTGATTTCTGATGTAATATACTGTTTAGTATAAAATAGTTAGTTCGGGTTATATTGGGTTATTTCGGAGTGTTTTACAATTGGTCTAAATGTAATTTTGACAGTTCTTATGCAATACGCTCATAAATTGTAATATATTACGTGTTTTTAATATACTGTTGCCAACAAATTAAAACCAAGATAAAATTTTATTAAACTAATTATTAATATATAGCCCCTTGGCAACATATACTATTTGTGGTGACACCACCACTCAAGCGCGCGGGCCCGAGACCGATCCGCCAATGCGCCTCCGCGCGCGGTGATCCCGCCATGACAAAAGGCCGGGATCTAAGAATCACGGATCAACTTTGGACTATATAAGTAGCACGCACCCAAGCAAATATGAGAGAACCCACGGGACAACAAAGAAACATATTTACTAAAAGGCTCAGCGCCAATAGCGCCACAAGGACTCCGCGTCCGCGCACATCCCAATATTCTAATAATCATAATAAAGAGCATCTCTCAACACTATCTCTATCTATCTTGGACTATGTTATCCGGGCGGCGACGGTGCCTCCTCGTGAGCACGTCACTATTTAATATAACCCGTCATTAAATTTGAAAATAAAATATCAATTTGTATTCAATAGCTTGGATTATTACTAATGCCAATTAATGCCCCTGTTATAATAAAATTAGATAGAGCTTTATTCATTGTTTTGGTATTTAATATAAATTCCTATGACTTGGGGTGGATATATTAAAATACTACCCATACACTGTCAAAGAAATTGAAAAACTTAATTAAACCAAAAACTATAAATATAACCCAAATTTAAAAAATACCAATGCTACTTAAAAATAAAACAAAAATATTGGTTGGGCTGGGTGCTTTGGCAGTCATCCTAACAGGAGCAATTCTGGTTATGATAAAAACAATCGAGAATAATCCACAGACAAAAAATGCTACACATTCAAAACAAAATGGTATTGTATCAAATGAACTAACCAATAAAGAGAAGAAAGAATTACTAAAGAATGAATATACAGAAAATGGGGAAACCATACTAGATAAAATAGAACAATCAGACACTTCATCAGACAATCAATATATGGAAGAAAATAAGAAAATATGTAGTGGCATAGTTAATGAAAAGGTAAAAGTGAACTTTCAATCTTTGAATTTAAATCAGAGAGTAGAACTATTAAACACTCTATCGTATTCCGATAGAGTAGATGTGTTCAAAAGTCTAATCGATTCTACCCCGAAATATAGTCTATCTTATATGATAGACTGTAAAGAAGAAGAACTTTTAAATGTCTTTTCTATTAATGGCAAGATGGACTATCTATTTCTATTATCTGATCATGAAAAAGAAGAAATATTAAATGAAATTTGTAACAATCATGAAAATAAAAAATTCTTCAAAGTAATTAAACAAATAATATCAAGTCTCAATACTAATATTGAAAAAGAAAAAGTTGAAATGGATCAAGATATAGAAACTGACCCTGTTTCACAGGATAGCAATATAAATGAACTCGAAAATAACCCCACTTTGGGCTCTACTTTAAACGATGAAA